ATATTGATTAAGCATGGATACCAATACCACATGAAGCCCTATTAGTACTCCCCAGCAGTGTCGTACTAAGACATGGGGGTTTGTATGGACGGAATGAAAAACCTTGTCTTTAATTTCTTTCATTATGCTTACTCCGTACACTGTGTTCTCTCCTTTTTTTTGCTTTTTGATTTTTTTTAAAAAAAAAGAATTCTCCCTTGAAATTGCCACAGTTAAACACTGCACGTTCCAACAGTCCAAGCACACGGGAAAACTCTCTTGAGCATCGTCCATTTTCCCGGTTAGGTACGGAGTATTGTCACGGCAAGTACAGGTTGATTCTCGTCCACCTCCAAGTTGTCGTATTCCCATCGAATCAGGTGGATTCGACACTTGTTACAGACTAGGGATCAGTGGAATATCTTGACCAAGCTAAGTAGATACATATCCACGACAGAAGACGACAGGGGGAAAAAACGAAGGGAAAAAAACGGGAAACAGCCGGACCGTTCCCAGCCCCACAGTGCTGTTAGACCGCCTCAATCGGCGGGGAACAATTTTGTCTCTGTTGGGGGATTTTCTCATCTGGCTTCATTTAGCAAAGTGACTCCATACTCAAAAGGAGGGGCTAGCTTAGGTTGAGGGCAGTTCCCCTGAGATAATGTGAGATTAGCGAAGCCGAGATTTCCCTGAAGTGGGTTGGCCGTTTTTTTTAACTCCACGCCATCTTAGGCAATGGACCGAAAGGGCGTCCTTCCCTCGACCCACTGGCGTTGCAGGAGGTTCATTTCCTACGCAAATCCCGAATTGACCGGAGAATCACCGTGTGGCTCCGTGATCGCCTTTGGGGAAAACTCTCCGATTATGGAGCGCCGGATAATAAATAGAGTATGAAGTATATGATATTGATATTGATATTGATATCGATGTGGACATTGCGGTGTCTAGGGGAAGCCTCGGTCCAGATCCCAGAAGAGCATCAATTCATGATCTGCTTGACGCTAAGCTGACAGCGAAGCTCTCCATCTCCTTGACCAAACTATTAAAATGAAGCATGAACACTTGGACACTTTTGCCACTGGGCGCTGGGATGTACCATTTCCCATCTCAGTGCCCTTCGAGTCGATCTGCGGAGATAAGAAGCGGAAGCCGAGGGAAATGTGGCAGCCGAGATTGCCTTCATGGCCACGCGACGAAAACCACAAAATGACTTGACGGTTGAGATCCGCCCGGTGGAGACGGTGGAGGCGACTATCGCTCCAGGTTTCCATGGCTCCATTTCCAGAATATCAACGATATTATTCAGGTTGATAATAAGCTGCTGGACACAGTGAGGCGGTTTTTACCGCCGATTGGGAATAGTTACAAGTATTTCCCGTTTGGCCTGTGCTGTTGCTCACCACATATCCCTGTAGGCTGTACAGCTGTGGTAATGATCCATTGCGGGTCGAGACGGCTGGGCAAACGGGCGCTGAGCTCGTCTCGAGCTCGTCTTTTGTCAATGCTGGACCCGACGTTGTGGTTGAATGATTCATACACAATGACCTCCTAGGACTCGATATTTAGTATGCCCATATCGAGAGATCGCTGATTCAATGCCCTATCGAGCAATGTCTTACAAGTGCAGGTCCCGGTTCATCCGGCGTCTGTAAGTCCTTGCTTACAATTGAGGCGTAACTCATCATATGGCGAATGCACTACGCTTTTCAAGGTAACGGCGATCCTTCAGAAACGCGCTTGCTGACTCGGTCGAGAGACGTGCATATGTAGTGCCTATACGGAGTAGAAAGTATGGAGACAAGTCATACTGAGATTGTCTCGCTTTCCTACTTTTTTCTACATCGAGGGGATACAAATCACTACATGTTCCCACAACGCCGCTCGAAAGGTGTTATGACATTCTCAAGGATCTAACCAGGGAATAACATGGCCAATGAAGAAACGTTGGTTCAGACGATCAGACAAGAACGCGAATGTATGTATAACATAACCTTGTTTTCGAAAGAGGAACAGCTAACGCAGTCATGAAGTGATCTGCGTTGAGCGTTTGGCCTGGTAGAGTCCAGACCACGACAACGTCAGGGCTCATTCCTTCTTCCCGCATTCAGCATGTACGCAGCGGAAATCTCATGCAACGGAATCTGTCCGATCTCGATTTTAGAGCCGGCCGTTCGGCGACATCTCGGTCGAGCTGGGACGAAGCTCCATTGGATTAGTTGGCAGACGATCATTTCGGTGTGTCACTCAACGTTTCGATAAAAGACTAGGGCCTCTCATGATGTTCGAGGTGGCTGAGTAGATATCCTAGCGTGGTAATGCATGTTTAAGATTCAAGCTGTTTGGCAGCGGACATATACCCCAAAGTCTAGGGGAAACAAGCCGTTGCCAAGAGCAGGCGTTCACTTAAGCCGGTAGAGTGAGAGTGGACAAGTGGAGTTGACCTGTCGCGCTCGCCAGACCAGGGTTGATTCCAAATCATAACGGGGATCTAGCATGAGCATGAGCATAATCTTACAAGTATAATCGAACAGGGGACCTTGCTATTCCGTAGTCCGTACACAAGACTAAGCCTGCGCGCTTGGTCAAAGGCTAAGTGGCTAAATGACATTGATCAAGGGTCTTGCGGAGAGTGTGTACAAGCCGCAGGTGCAAGGTCCGTTTCAGTATTTGACATCCTTGGATGTACTTATGCACCCAAGACTTTTGACGTATGCATCAACAACGAGTCTAGCCTATATTGATATTTGCAGCATGCATCGACCGAATCAGAGTAGACTTTCTTTCGTTTTTTCTTTTCTTTTTTTTTTCCCTTCTCTGAACATCTGGCCAGGGCGACTCACGTGGATGGCTGGTTGACTTGGATATGACAGCTGCAAAGTTCCATTGAAGACAGAGCTACATAGTAAACACTGCGTGTTCTTGATATCCCAGATATCAAATCTGCCAGTCGGAAGCTCTGCAGGTCGTGGATCCAGCTTTTTTGGGCAATAGTGTGACTTTTGCTTTATTTGACTTTGCCTTCAGAAGGCCAGAAAATGACAGCTAGCTGGACAAAAGTACGACCTCCGCTCTTCTCTTTCCTACTGATCCAATGATCATGCTTGCTGTGTCCACTCCATTTCTGCCCCTAAATTACAACGTACAGCGTACTCAAACAGTTGGACATCTGAGAGAACAGGTTCGGTCTAACTGTCCTAGTGATCCCAGTCACCTGGGAATTGCCGGAGTGGAGCCATCCAGAAATTTTCGTTTCAGTGCTGGTCTTTTTTTCCACCAAAACCAGCCAATGGGGTAATTACAAGCTATTTTTGTCACTTCAAGGGGAAGGTGACTGGGTGGGTAGGGGGGATATCTTGGGAGGAGACAGATCCGTGCGATTGGCAAGACGGCGCTACACCTGAAGGATCGGCATTTGTCAATCAAAGTAACCACGACTATCGATACACGGACTAGGTCCCCACAGATCCGTTTCTTAACGGTCAGGAGACTGACGTGAAAACGGTTGTGATTCTGACAGATTCTGACACTGGGGTGTGGGCCAATGAACCCACTGTGGCTCACGAATGGTCGATGATCCCCGTAATTTGATCCCCGACACTGTGTCGAGAAATGTTTTATGTCGAAGTCCACACTTCGGACTCCTGCCCAGGATAGAAGGTTGGTATCTTGAGAAAGCAAGAAAGATGAGGATCTCGACCCCTCAACCTCCCCCGGTGGCCAAGGTACCTCCCTAATCCCAACGGAGTCAGGGCGCCGGAGATCTGGATGAGCGGGCAGTCTAGCCGCAAATGAGTGCTACTAACTCCAGGTCTCTCTTAGGGCAATCAGGATTTGGATCGCATCGTACGATATCGGTTTTGGCGTGCATCTTACAGGTACACGCTGTATTTGAGTTCTGATCCTGACTCGAGTACTCCGTACTCCGTACGGAGTACCATTGCTCCTGAACGCACAACCCCCAAGAACGGTGACATGACCCTAAGGCCCACGAGAGGAGATCCCGATGCCAATCATATGTCACCGAGGTCCTTTGATCCATGCTTTTCCTGCGCTGATTCATGCATCCGCTGGTAACCCTATCCACTCCCATCTCAAATCCCGGGCTTGGCTCTCATCCTGTATGTACAAGCACGCTAGTGAGCTGCACCCTATCCTCGCCGGGTTCTCCGGGGCCAATGGAAAAGTTTCGATGACCTCGAACACTAGGATTGAGCGGCAGAGAAGGCGGTTTTTTTGTCTGCGCGCAGGCGGCTATGCAATGCAGCTTGCCGTATGGAGTACGTTGGAACCGGATCGAGAACATTGTCCATCTGTTTCCGGTATGTCAGTAAAACCCTAATTGAAGAGGCTGGAGAAGTTGATGAGTATCGTGCATCTGGACTCGTGTCATGTCAGTCCAGGCTCTTGGTGTCCATCGGACTTGATACTTGTCACACTGAGGTAACCCCGGACAATTTTATTTCAAAGTAGAAGAGAGACATGGAGAATTATACTCAAACTTGATCAATGTTCTTTCAGCGAGGTCTTACATACATAATTTCCACTGTTTTATTTTGAGGTTTGAGACATATCTCGGATGGTCCCAGCAACTTTTTGAACATACAGCTGCATATTTCTTTCTTGATAGCAATATTTTGTTGCTTTCCAAGACATAGAAGCTGCATCGTACATAGCAATGTATTATCCTAGAAAATTTATGCCACTCAAGTATCCGGTATTCAAGACCGAGGTGTGTGCGTGCGCGTGTGTTGGGAGGGTGATTCCGCTCGGAGTCCAGCCCCGTCATTTGTGCTTAGAAAGATAGATCTCAATAGCCTTTTCTCTTCCCCTCACGCACCATTTTACTTACTTCCCCTCTCTTTTGCATTCAAATCGACATCGCCCGCGCATCTCGTTTGGTCGAGCAAGAGCAATCACGTGACTTCCATGAAGATACGGTCCGTGCACAAAGCTTGAGATTCCCCACTTGAGCTCTGAGGCCATTGTTCTGTTGTCGCGACTTAACTTTTCTGCGCTGCATCATGGCTTCGTATCTGTCTCTTGCAGAGATACCCACAGTGGGACGCCTGTATCAAACGAAGAAACTTACTCCCGGAGTCTCACAGCTTGCGCCATCAAAGACCCTCAACAGCACCATTTCCATCATTCGCAATGATATCACCAAGCTCCGAGTTGACTGCATCGTGAATGCTGCAAACAAGTCTCTCCTCGGCGGCGGGGGCGTGGATGGGGCAATTCATCGCGCTGCAGGACCGAAATTGGTCGAAGAATGCCGTGGACTTGGCAGATGCGACACCGGCGATGCCAGAATCACTCGGGGATACGATCTGCCTTGCATTAAGGTCATACACACCGTTGGGCCGATCTATGACATCGAGATGAGCGACGAAGATCCCCTTCGCCCAGAGCGGCTACTTCGCTCCTGCTATCGACGCAGCTTGAAGCTGGCTGTCGAGAACGATATGAAGAGCATCGCATTTGCCGCCATCAGTACTGGTGTCTACGGCTTTCCGAGTGATGAGGCCGCGGAAGCTGTTCTAGATGAGACGCGAAAATTTCTCGAGAAGCCCGCCAACATCGGAAAGCTGGAACGTGTGATTTTCTGCAACTTCGAGCGGAAGGATGTGGTATCATACAGAGATTCCATCCCGTGAGTTAATCCTTCAGCGAGACTGAGTTGGTCAGGACTGACGAAGTTAGTAAATACTTTCCTCCCACAGCAGAAGATTCGGCGGAGCTAGAGAACAGCGACGTTTGAATATCCCCATAAACCTGCAAATCCCCCATGGGTTCCCAGGCGCGATGATTACAATGCCCGAAATGAAATTCATGAACCAACGAAACCCGACTCAATTGCCTCGCCTTCCATATGACCATACCTACCATGCGATATCAAAGTCAAATCCACGTGCCAAATTTTTCGTTCCGTGTCATCGATGAGAGACGGCGAAATGATTCCTTTGGACATGTTGCTGCGGGCTTTGAGTGATTTGAAAGAGCACGCAGGGAAAGGAGTACCGACTGAACATCGACCATGGCGTCAGGAGTCAACAGAGTGAATCTCCTAGATTAGTACGAAGAATAATTTAAGAAAGTCTTGTTCTCAAAAGATATAGCTAGTATGGTCAATAGATTCCGTGGTCGCTTGTGACAGGCATTGTTGATTGTTCCTTTCAATTTCACCTGTGGATATTGTCATGCAAACAGTGCAAACTTCCTATCAGATTGCATTTGACATGATTCTTGCCAAGGACCACCCCAGCGTCGATTCTAAAAGAAAACCCTCGAGAACCAATTTTGTGAATAATTTTTGCCATGCTATATTGAGAAAATCGATCTCGACTCAATTGTGTCCACTCTCCCTCCTTCATACCACTGATCTCCTCAAAATGTCGAAGCCGCGTGCGTCACCGACACCCAATGCGCGATATCGAGTGAAAGCGCCGGAGGTACCGATTCCGAAACGCCAGGTCCCCCTTTCACAGCAACAAGCACAGGCACCATCAGGGCCATCCCTCTCCCGACAAAGGCGTCTTCCGTTCTCACACCTCTTGACGAGCCTCCGCCAACGCTTCAGCGCACTCCCCACACCCATCCGACGCGCCGGCCGCACTCTTCGCTGGCTGACCCCACTGGTCCCAATTGCCCTCTATTTTCCCGAACATGTCATGCAAGTGATGTGGGTGCGCGGCCCATCAATGACACCTTGCTTAAATGAAGACTACGAACAATCCCAAACGAAGAGCGACATAGTACTGGTCAGCATGTGGCCATGGGGATCTATAATCCCATTCCTTAAAGAGCCGAGGCTTGAGCGTGGAATGATCGTTACTTTCCGGTAAGTGGACTTTGATTCGGAGAACCAAATGTCGGGGTACTAAGATATCACAGCTCCCCTGCGAACCCCTCTCATATTGCGATCAAGCGCATTGTCGGACTACCCGGTGATCGTGTTACGACGCGAGAGCCATGCATGCGTCCGACGCAGATTGTCCCTTGGAATCATGTCTGGTTGGAGGGTGATGCTGAGAACCCGCGCAAGACGATGGATAGCAATACATATGGGCCTGTCAGTCTAAGTCTTGTGACTGGGCGGGTATGGGCAGTTTTGGGGCCGCGTATGCGTTGGCTGGATTGGAAGGATTGGGAAAGCGAAACGGGGGACGCTATCGATATACACCGAAGGAGCGTAAGAGACCGTGTGGTTAAAGATGCTGTTCAGCTGGAGCAGCCTTTTTTGAATTGATATTTGGGATGGGTGTGCTGCATAAACCTTGAAAATTCCTGACATTTTCTTTGTTGATAGATTCGAGTCCAGCGTCTTATTTGAGCTCAGCATGTACATATATTGAGCATAGCTATTTGGATATCATTGTATTACTATTATGAGTAACAATGTCGTGGTGCGATATGTGCATGTAGGGAACAACGCTCCTAAAGAGCATTGGAAAACAAGATGGAAAACGAGCGGTATATCTCAAGTTGCACAAGCAACTCAATAATGGTCGTAAATGCAAATAACGCCAACCAGAACAAAAGAGGAATATATGACCAATTAGAGAGAAACAAGCCGTATATCTTCATGTTTCTCTTCCTGAAGACGATCAATCTCCGAAGAAATGCTCATCACCCAACGATCCTTCTCGACACGACTACGCGCCTTGAAAACGATAGTGCGGCCATGCTTGCCCAGCGTGGACACATGGCGCAGAGAGCGTTTGGCTTTGCCTTGCGCTCCCACTTCTTGGGCTCGGAAGTAACTCTTGCTCAAGGGCTGCCACACTACAAAGGTAATGGCAGTATCCTCATCGCGACTGGTAAAATTATCCGAATCAAGATACACTCGAGGAAGAGCATGGAGACCGGGATTGTTGCTGTCAAAGGTTTGGTTTGCATACAGCAGGTCGTTCTCGGTAAGTAAACCGGAATATATGTAGCAGTCCTCCAGCTCGATGGTTGTCTCAAGTTCTTGATGGATGTGTGGGATTTCGACGCCGCTGCGCTTGCGCAGTGTGCTACGGAAGATGAGCAGCTTTCCCGCGGTAAGTATCACATGGCTCTGCTTGAATGTGGCGTGTCGACGAGGTTTGCGGAATAGTTGGCCAGACATCTACCGAGTGTTATTAGTAACAGTGTTCTAGCATTCATGAAGGGGCACCTTACCTTGATCGTTCGGCAGCCCGCTAGCGAGCACATGTTGTGCAAGTGCGGCGAAGCCTCAGCCTTGGTTACTTCCCACTTCTTTGCAAATTGCCCGACAACCGACTCCATTGCTTCGTCAATGTCTAAAAGCTTCAGATTGCGCTGTCGCAGGAGCCGGTGTTCTTTCGCATCATCCGCACAGCGTGTGTGCCAGTACTTCACCAAAACATCGAGTCGTTTGACCCACTCATCTCTCGTAGCAGTGTCATAGGCCTGAAGACGGATAACGAGGCCATTGTCTAGAGCCAGTTCGAAAGTGCGATCATCATCCATATCCTGTGTAGCACCATCATCCTGACGAGAGTCCCTAGGTTCACGGCCGAAGTCCACAGAAGGGCCTTCTTGAATGTTGGGATCTGCAGGGGAGCTGCCACGATGGATGTTGCGAACTTCCTGCACCCTACACAGATCAACGTACCCGTCGGAATTACTGATGTTGTGCACGTTCCTCTGCACATGAGCGTATGCATCCTCATCGTGTCGCTTCACATAGTCCTTGTTTCCATTTGAGAGCCATGCGATCTCACCATCTTGCAAGGGGTATGGATCAACTTCCCAAGATAGTGGCATGGCATCCAAGATCTCACGGGCAGATGGCACACTTTCGTCTGGTCTCGGTGCACATTTCGGTGGTGCCGGTGGCAAAGCCTTGGCTGGTCGGCAGAAGAACAAGTAATGATCGTGACTATAGAAATAAAGCCTTTTGAAAAACATCCTGTTCATCCGTTGATGCGCACCCCTTTGAGATGTCAAGCGGACCAGGAACCCCTCAACCGGGGCAGGTTCCTCTTCTTTACCACCGCAGTGGCGAATTGCAGTTGAATAGTGATGCCTTGGTCGCAGCTCAAGCTCATGGGATGATTGCATTGCGATGGTGCCGTACATCTTTTCTTCGTTGACCCCAAAGACCCATTCCAGTCGGTCATACCTTTTCCAAGCCAGTCCCATCTTCTCGGTCTTAGACCATGCCTTGAGCACCTCAGCCCACTCGGCACGACCTTCAAGCATTTCCATGCACCCTCGAATGATGTTTGCAGCGGCGAATCTGACATCGACTTCGGGACGATCCAAAGCTGCTGTGGCTTGGTCACTATCAGAGTTGTCTGTCTTAAGTCCTGTGTTGAATTGGCTAAAGGGGTTCTTGAAGACGAGCGAAACACCAAGGTCAGGAACATGAATTGGAAGCGAGGTGGGACGGCGCCATCCTAGGACCTGTCGAATGAAGGTATACCATTCTGCTGAGTGGGCTGCAGACTTGGGCCGGAGAATGAATATCTTCGTCCCACGTCTCCGGGGATACCAAATCACAATGGTCTTGTCGAGAGGAGAATATAGGTTGACGTGCGTAGTTTTGTGATTCAGTCGTACCTCATAATAAGGCGGGGTTTTGCTGTTCGGGCGCTGCACATCAGGAATCACGCGGGTACGATACATCTGAATCGCAAATGGAGTATGCTCTGCGGAGCTTTTCCGACATACGACAAGAAACTCTCTCCATTTATCCACGCTTCGTGTTTCCATGCGGAGACTGTCGTTTTCGTTATAGTCAGCGGGAAGTGTATTCTGCATAGTTTCTTCGACGCAGACCAGCATCTTCTCTGCTTTGACGATCTCCCCATCTTGCACCTTGCGCCGGCGCGGCCGATTAGCAGAGATAGTGCCCTGAGTCTTGGCAATTCGAGTGCGGAGCCGTTGCTGCTTGTGTTTGATATTATCGTCGATGTTAAGCTTCGCCATTTTCCTGGTGAGTCTTCGTTGTATTTGCGGATCGCCAGTTCCTTCATCGTCTTCATCTTGTGGCTCATGGTGCTGTAGAGTCGCCCGGGAAACGCCAGATGCCTTGCTCCTCTGTTTTCCCTTATCCTTGAACTGGGTCCGTAGCAGCTGTGTAGTTGAATCTGCCTCGCTTGGGACCATGGAAGGGTTGGGAGTCAGCGGCGTGTGAGAAGTCTCCCCAGCCACAGTCGTCTCGTACGAGCCTTGCGACTTTGGACGCACATCAGGTGGCTCCAATCTTTGAGCTCGCAGGGTAGCCATCGATTCGCCGGTGTCTGCAGAGCTGGAAACATCTTCTCTGGCCGTGACAAAGGAAGATGAGGCAAGATCATTGTCATACACATCGTCTTGTGTCCTTGATCTCGCCTTGACGGTACTGTCTGTGTCCTCTCCACTATCTTCTTCGTTTCCTTCATCCTCCCAAGCGCCCTCTGCAGTCTCCGTGTGCTCTTCTGGTGATTGATCTTCGCCACTGGTCTCTGCCTCGGGATGGGTGAGGGTCCTGAGTTCACCCACAGGCTCAGATTCAGATTCTTCCTGTTCCTGCTCTTCCTGGACTTCAATCTCGCCCTCCTCGGTGCTCGGGTTATTTGTGTCAGTGAGCGTCAGGGCGACTTCTTCATCCAAATCTGGCACTGAAGGTCCGGGCTGGTTGTCTTGCTCACTGTAATGAGTCGCGACAGGGCCCGCCGAAAAGGAAATGGCTTGGGATGTGTAATTCCTTAGCCTCAATCGAGATCTATACCAGGACTTTCGGTGACCTTGCAACCAACCCTCTGGGATTGGTCCGACGAAGAATCGCCGGTTTGTCATATGCAGATGGTTGGCAGAAGCATGGCGCTAACAAAACGGACGGTATTAGTTCCAATCGAGTTTCCAGTCAGGCTGCATACATACCAGCTGGTGATCAGTATATGAGCCAGTCTGCAAGCCAAGATAATGCTCATGGTACGAGCGTGGGTCGAGCTCTGGGGACGACCCGGCAGGCTGGTCTGGTGGAGTGCTCATGGCAGATTGTTACCCGCGTGGGCCAAGATGGGCGCCAGGCATGTGCAAGAGCATCGAGAGCATAGAGACAAGCAACAATGCGGGCGCAGGTAGATCATTCAGGCACGAAGGGGGCCCCTCAAGCTAAGTTTCGTAGTGCGATCGCCAAATCTCGATGCAACCTGAACCGATGACGTCGCCGAGTATATTTCGCAAACAGTGCAAACAGTGTTTACACTTCACCGTATTGGCACTGTTTGCATTGTTTGCACCATATGCATCCCTGTCCTTTGCCCCGCCATTGGCTTGCGTGGCACCAGCGGTGAAGCTGTCATTTCCCTCAACGGTGCTCTTAGTCCCCTGTTTAAGCTATTCGTTTCTGCAATTGCTCATTCTAAATCCTTTGAAATCGCAAATATGGCCACTACCACTGATAAACCCACTTTCCCCCTTGTGAGCTCCTTCGCCGATATCCCCATCATTGCTGAGGATGGCGTCGACACCACCAAGTTTCTCGAGGCCGTCGAGGCCCTATTGGCTATGTTCGGTACGTGATCTTTGATTCCAGTGTAAGAAACTGGGCTAATTCCGGAATTCCATAGCCACCTTCAAATTCAAAGCTTTCGACAAGGTCAATGATGACATGAAAGGAAACGTCGATGTCTGTACTGTCCGCTCTCGCATAGTTGTCACCACATCCTAATGACATCACAGAAAATCCGCAATCGCCAGCTCGCAGCACCCTCTGAGTCTGAGACTCTTCAGTCCCTTGTGCTGAACGAGTTGAAGACCAAGAAGCACGTTGCCACTGAAGGTTTGGTCTGGCTGGTCCGGTAAGTAATCACTCCTCAATCGCGCCTGCAAAATATAAATGGAAGGATAATGGCTGAATTTCTTGTGTCCCAATAGGAGCCTTGACTTCATTTTGAACGCGCTCGGTCACACCAACAAGAACCCAGACCAAGAACTCGCTGACTCCTTCCGCGACGCCTATGGCAAGACCCTGAGTAAACACCACAGCTGGGTGGTCAAGCCTGTCTTCTCCGCGGCTATGACCTTCACCCCATACCGAAAAGACTTCTACTCGAAGCTCGGTTCGGACGAGGTCGAGGTCTCCGCCGAATTGGAGAAGGAACTCGCTGCGCTGGAGAGGGTAGTCAATATCCTCAAGACGTTCCAGGACACCAAGGAGGCAAAATGGTAGTGGATCCCTTCCCAAGGCCTTTTCGCTTGTCTAGGCATGCCGCAGCATACAACTTGATCTGTACATATTCGATCTATTTTCGTTCGAGTCTGTGACTTGGATGCAGCAGATTTTAATTGCATAAATTGCTGGATACCCAGAGATATCAGCACTTCGCTTTGGACACCAAAGGGATGGAAATAGAATATGGCAAAGGTCGTAATCTGGCTTTCTTGGGTATAAAGACCCATTGTTAATGAAAGCTCCCTCTAGTGTGACTAGACCACGGAGTCAAGGCGCAGGCCGTTCTACTATCTTTGTTGGCACTGGTACTTTTTTACTGGTGCTGTTATCATGCGAGTCCTTTCCTAGTATGTTTGTATGTTTCACAAAAGCGAGGGACAGTCCATGGGTGTAATTTCTTGGCCAGCTCCTTCGCAATGTGCATGTCTGTTCGTCGTAGGAGTTTTTGGTCACCAAACCCAAACTGTCCCATCTTCGATGTTCCATGGCCTGGGTTCAGCCTCAATTTTAGACGACCCATCAGACTACAGAGTAAGAAATGGGATAGCCGACCTTATATTGCAATTAATTTCAATCGACCCGTTGCCGTCCCGGGGGTCCGGGGGTCTGTTAATTACGTTTTGCAAGGAACATATTTGTACTCCGTACCAGTCCGCCACCTGCGGACACGGGAAAAAAAGGAGTACTCTGTATAAAGTTAAGAGAGCCAAATACTCAATTTTCAGTGAAGGTAAAGACTAATCAATGGACTATCAAACATATCATGCAATATGTATGCAGCCAAAGCATAGTCTCCTGCCAGAAGCACAAGACCAACACGTTGCCGAGTCTATTGCGCACCTAGCCGGTAGTGTGGGTACACAAGCCTGCTAATTTCCGACAACACCCACTGCACATTGCAGATCTAATGTCCCGCTGATCGCTTTTCACACCTCCTCCAGGGCTCTAGAGTGCGATTGCCCAGATCTTGATATCGATCGGATTTGGATTCCACTTGTGATCAGTGCATTCGATTCTATTCTTATATCCCCTTGGCTACAATGGCTTCGTTAACTCGTGGAAATTCTACTTTCGTGGATGGCAAAAGGTGACCGGAGATCGCCTGCAAGAGTGAAACTAAGCATGTCGGGCCAAGCGGCTTGAAACCCCTGAAAGCCCAAAGGCGCTGTCACTATTGTACTGCGTTGGTCCATGGAATAATCCAGGCAAACATCCTGGTGATTGACAGCAACGGTCTCCCAATCCGCCTTAGTCCACAACGCTAGTACCACGGAGTTTGATTCTGTTCAAGACACCGACTCCACCGCATCGGAGATGATTCGCGGCAATCGCTTGGCAGGTGGAGCGGGATCATTTAGCACAACCTGTAGTCAGTCAAATCTGCTCCCGGTGCTCTTGCGGCTGGTTCGAACATGTTCTAGCGAGAGGGACTGAGCGGCGGCACATGCAACTCCAGGAACGCATGGGACCTCGTATTCCAACTCGTGGTATTCCACATGGCAATTCCATGGTTCTGGTTGGACTTGTATAGTTCTGGTTGGTCACTGTCTATACCCAGGGTTCGTGAGCGGGTAGTACTTTCGATATATGGCTGGACTAGGAGCTTGCAGGCTTTTTAGCTTTCTTCCCCACAGTGGATGAAGCGAAGATGAAACCCAAGACATGCCCGGACTTCCCACTCCACCGTCACGGACTGGTCTCGATACCACATTGGTAGACCCCACAAGGCTCGACGAAAAGCCTGGCGGTACGGAGTAGACTATGCCATTGTTACAATAGGTGCGACCACTAGCCTTATTCTTGCAAGGGTGTGTATCACCTGCGGACCCGTAGGAAAGGTTCTCGTCGCCCAAACGGACACCACGGAGATCAAGGCCGCGATGGTCTTAGCCCGCTCTCTCTCTTGGCAGGCCCCTGCTCGCCACTGACAACTTTCCTGGTAATGCTTGGTCTTCGGCAGTGGGTTTTTCATTTTTTTAACCTTTTCCCTCCCCTGATCCTGGCTCCTTCTTCTCTTTGACATCCTAGGTGTGGGGGAATCGCTATATCACTATATGCAGGTCATGCATTGGTGACACTCACATTCGGACTGACAACATGTTGCCCCTCGAAGGCCGCTCCGAGTCGATCTTCATCATCACCACTGTTTTCCTTGGTATCTCATTCATTGCTGTTTGTTTGCGATGCTTCGTGCGACTACGCATTGTGAAGGCCTTTGGGTGGGACGATGCATTCATGGTGTGCGCAATGGTATGTATCATGTTAATCCCAAACGGAATTGATCACTGATAGTCTCAAAAGGTGCTTAACACTTTGTTCGCGTTATGCGGCATCACTGGAGCCTTGTATGGCATTGGACAAAAGTCTCAAGTGCTTCTTGTAAGGGGCACCATGGAGACTGCGATGTTTGTATGTTGGATACCAAATTACGAAACTGTAATCACATGCTAACAATATCAAAGTGGTGGTGGCTCGGTCAAACGAGCTATGTCTGGACATGCGCGCTGGCCAAGATCTCAATCGCATTGGCCCTTCTCCGCCTGACGGTCGCCAAGATTCATAGACTCATTCTCTACTCAGTCATCGGCGTGACATGTGTCATTGGCCTTGTGTTCTGGTTTATGTTGACTCTTCAATGCCAACCGGTCTCGTTCTTCTGGCAACGAGTTCGCCTTGAGTTGGATCCGAAAGCTGGCATTTCTGGAACCTGCATGAATCTCGACAGTATCATTGCCATTGCATACGTCTACAGTGTCACTGCTACATGTTGTGATTTGACTCTGGGTCTTCTGCCCGTCTTCCTGGTGTGGAACTTGCAGATGAACACAAGAACCAAGGCTGCCTTGGCCGCAATTTTGGGAATGGGATGCGTGTATGTTTCCTGTTCATTTCCCGATATAGCCCACAATTCTAACATGGTTACAGTGCAAGTGCAGCGGTCATTATCCGTATACCCTTCCTTCATGATTACAAGGATAAAGACTTCCTATGTGAGTCTCCGGTTTCCGATTTACTACAACCATCCAGACTATAGACCTATTGCTAACATCCCTCTCAATAGACGCAACCTCCAACATCTCAATCTGGTCCAACGTCGAAGCAAGTCTAGGAATTGCAGCAGGTAGTCTGGTCACGCTCCGGCCTCTTTTCCGCTGGTTCCGTGACCCCAGCTCAGGCGGCGATAGCAAAAGCAGAAGTAAAAGCAAGCGCACTGGAGGGAGCGTTCCTCTGTCCAGTGTCAACGCAGTGAGATCTAATACATCCGGTACACAGTACTGGCGACCTGACTTGGAGGATGAATCGCATACGCATATCACGACGGTCCATACCTCCAACCATGCTAGTCGGACAAGTAGCCAGGAAGAGCTGCACCCCAAGCACAGTGGCACCTTCTTTCAGGGTGTGAACGTGCAAAAGACATTTTATGTCTCGGCAGATCAAGCATCCTAGGCAACTAACTCCTACCTATGCTGGCTAGATAGTGTCAAATATCACAAAACAGTATCCTAATGTTTATTCCATCCTTGCATCATCCACCTCTCTTTGACAGTCCCTACCCGTGGGCATCCTTCCATGTTGCTTCTCATAAAACCTTGCAACACACCAGGAAGTCTGAATCCTATCTCACTTTCAATATCTCGCAAATTTCCAGATTTTCACAGAGCCTGCAAACCCCCGAGGCCCCACCTGGGCAAGCTTTAACATAGGTAGAGCTAGCTGCTATAATTAGACTGCATGCCGTAATAACGGGCAGACACGACAGTCGGCAGGCACCTGGGCAATGATTGACATGCGTTTTGAGAACGATACCTAGGTATTGAAATCAAGGCCTCTCTTCCAAGCTTCCAAGGTTCTCCCGAGGCCGGTTAAGTTAGAGGTAAGGTCTGTGAGAAACCGTTTGGAATTATTGTTGTGGAATTTGAATGATATCCTGAGTAAACAACGCCCGATGCTATGCACATATCATCGTAAGGTAAGATCCATGCCAGGTGCCCAGCCTTTCAGGGCTTGAGGTGGATGCCAAAACACGAGGACAAAGGTGTAAACCACAGTCTGGACGTCTCGGTTCAGTACAAGGAAGGTCTAGCTAGAGCCATTTGGAATCAAGTGCTTTGCAAATTACCGGTATACACACCCTCAAAATCCAGACCCGCAAGCATGCCACTAACACGGTCGATTTCACGGCTCAGGTCCTCCACATTCATCGCTAGGCTGCTGACTTCATCAAACTTACGTCGTCGGTTGGCATCGGCAATCATCTCGGAAACAAAAAATTTCTGCTCCTCCAACACTATTAATCGATCTCGCAGAGATTTCTCTTCTGCTTCCAGGGCCGAGACGGCGCTGCTGGTATCGCTGGCTAGACTGGTGTTGCTGCCACTAGCAGCGATGCTGTTGTATTTTATCGACGAGAGAGCAGGCTCGGGAGATCGGAGAGTTGAAGTTGAGCCATTGGTTGAGGTATTCGGGGTATTCGCACGGCTTGGAATTCTCTCTGAGGCAGGGGTGGAATGCTTGAGAACCTTGGGTAGAGTTTTCAGCGGCAGCATGTGGAGATGGAGAAAGTTGCTAGCTTGCTGATATATAGCTTTCTGTAGCCGCTGTTGGGTGGGAGATTCGGTAGGCATGTCACGAATCCTTCTAGCAGCAACATCATACTGTGCGAAGGAATCAATCAGTCGCTTGCGGACCTTAGAAGCGTCCGCAATTTGGTTGGATGATGGAGGCCGCCTGGGGTCTCTTAAATTATTGTTAGTACTTGGCCTTGACTAAAGACATTGGGAATATGGGCATACTGTAGAGCTGTCAACAGCTTTTGGAATCGAGGTAGATGTAGGCGGATTCCCCTTTCGAACTGGATGAGGTTCTCATAGGCTCTGAGCTCCAGTGGTTTTCGGGTAATATCCATTTTGAAGTCTCGACGATCGAAGAGTGTCGATTTGCACTCCTTGCATAATCTTATGTCCACGTTGACGAGGTTCTCTGTGTTGGTTTTTTCCGTATTGGCTGGCGCAACTGTCAAGGATTAGCCCAAGTCATGACCAAGATGTATTTCCAAACCCACAAGGAGCAATGCTTAGCCCGACCTCGCCGGAGCATTCTGTATCAGGATCACCACAAACGACTCGCCCACAGGTCCTGCAGTGGTGTCGGCGGAATGTATAGCCTGAGAAATCCTGCTGGCAAAAGGGACACCGTGAAACGCTAGCATCATCTTGCCAGCTAACGATTGTTTGTTCTAGCTCTTTGCGTTGATCACTCTGCCATGCAAGAGACCATAGTTTGGTTGCACTGGGGTGTATTTGATCGGGAGGCAGACTGGCCAACAGTTGGGTTAGACGGGTCAGACGTTTCTCGAGTCGGGATATTTCCAAAAAGTCCTTATCAACAGTCTGTTTCCTGATTGACTTAAATGTATCCGTCTGGTTGCGAATGGTTCCTGCTGCTTGTTAATCTTGTCAACGACCGAAAGTCTGGGAGCCTCACCAGTATGATCATTGTATCCCTCTCTTGACTTGTAGCAAGTTTCACACACCCGGGCCCATATCCCTCGTACCGGTTCGTGATGTGCCGCTCGCGAGAGCTTCATCTGGTACATAGTGTGCTCCTCACAGAATAACTTTCCACAGCTCCGACAATTCACGCAACCATTGGTGGCATTCAATCGCTTTCCGCATGAAGGCTCCAAACATTCATCGTAAAGATAGCTTGTTTGCCAGTGTTCTTTTGTAATCAGATCCTCAGGGTCAAGGGGTCTTGGAGGTTCGGGGGTCTCTGCGTGGGTTGCGAGCGGCCGACTGAGGACAGGCGCACCCTGATTCTCATTTGATTCGAACACATCCAGGCCCTTCAACTTCTGGTTCAAAACTGCGAGGGGTTGGAATTTTCGGGCCTTTTCCATCTGTGATTTGAACCAATCTTTGACTTCATCCTGTCGGTCGTCTTCGAGATTCTGGTGGATATCGTCGAGATGTCTGGGTTAGATTGTTAACACGAGATTGTGTTGAAAGGGGAGATGGAGATCGGTACCGGTTCAACTGGAGTAAAGTCATCTATAAAGAGTCAATACAAGGTCCTTCAAAGAAACAAACGGGCTAGGGTGTGTGCATACCATCTCCTCACTGCAGATCGGACAGGAGAGCTGGGCCCCCGGAGCAGCCGGAGCGGCAGATATAGAAGTACCGCCATTCTCTAGAGATATTCTTGAGGTGAGATCCTGGGTCTCTGAGGATATTTGTGATGCGGACGTCTGCGAGTTGATGGAAACGCTGCTAGCAGCTGGCGAGAGCACCCTCTTCGGCTGCGGGGACGGAGCTGCTGCGAGAGCGCTCGGGTTTCCCAGAACACGACCTCCGCCCAGCGTCCTCCGCGACATTATCAGGGCATGGGAAGCTGGAAGAAAAGCTGTTTCAGCACAACATTCGTTGGCTGTACAGAATAAAGTTAGGGGACAGATAAAGGGAAGTGCCAGTTATGATGCGGTGGAGTCAGCCTTGTTTGGGCCTGAGGCATCACGCCAAGAAAAGTGGATTGGCCGATCCCATCTATAGACCAACAAACAAGTACGAAGTATCGTCGTAAATTGAAAGAAAACGCCGAATTATTCATGAGCCTTGACTCACAATAGACTAATATTCCAAGATTTTTTTTTCTTCTTTCTTTCTCCTTACGCCGTAATGCTCGACAAGCTGTCTTTGATGCTTGCGCATCAAAGACAGGAAGCATTTGTACCGAGGCTTCAAATAGATGTGCGGAGTACTCTGTACTAGTTCATATATCAGGCTTGATTTGAAATTTCGTAACTAATACTGTGCTAGCAATAGAAATAAGCGAGCACTCAAAGAACTGTCACTGCTATGTTCCAAACCAGCCCAATGCAGCATGTTTTCGTTTTTTTCTTCCCCGATGTTATTGAACTTTGTCTTTCCCTTGTTTTCAAGCTTCTCGGGACTGCCAGAACTGCATGAATACAAGGTAAGCTCTAATGATGTTTGGCTTTTTACCTGTTTTTTGCGTTTCGTGTCCATCATGGCATCGTCTCTTATATACAAGCTTGGGTCAATGCCCAGCGCACCTCCTCCCACCGGCCCCTATCGCTCATAGTCGCGATGGTAGCTAGTACCGGTGTTTGGATTGTCGTATTCTCTGTGGACCCGAGTGGATCCATCGTCATACCGGTCAACGTCGCGATGGCGATAGGTGCCACTCTGATCAACTCGCTCGCGGTGGTGTCGGCGGCCGGTTGGAGTGCGGTAGTCGAGATGTTGGTCGTAGGCACCGCTGCGGGGATCATATGTTGTGGTACCGTAGCCGGTGTCGTATGTGGTGTCGTATGTTGTGCCAGTCGGGTCTGTGCCGTAGCCCACCGCGCCGTAGTCGGTTGCGCCGTAGGTGCCGTAGCCCGACGGGTCGTAGGTTGAGCCCAGTGAATCATAGGTCGCACCTGCGGGATCTCTTGTTGATCCTTGTGTATCGTATGTGTCGTAAGTGGTCGACCACTCGTCTCCAGGATAGTCAGTCATTTTTCAGATGATGATAGCAGCGGTACCATAGAGTGTTCAGAGCCGATTGTGTGCTTTTATAACGAATCTTGCATGGCAGGTGGCGGTGGCAGGTACGCCACCCCATTTTTTAGTCGTGGGCATAGCCTCCGAGTTAGATCATCATTACTCGCGAATGATATTAGCATTACGTTCCTTGTCTCTATGTCGGTAGAGGCTCGCACCGCAGTTTACCATACCATGTCTTCTTCTTTGCCATAAGCCAGACTCTGTTGGGATTGGAAATCCAGAGTATGGACCTCGGGAGTGCCCACATACCATTCGGACCTTGCCAATGGGGTATAATTTCAAAACAACGAAGCTGTCCAGGTCATAAGGTTGGGTGTGAGATAGTCCCACGACTCACGAGTATACACTTCATACATTTCAGGATACTGACAGCTACTTGCTCTTATATACTGCGCTGCCGTCCTAACGCTGGAATTGATGTAGTGCGGTGAGCATCGGACGGGGTCGCCTTGAAAGATCTTTTCAATTTCGCATTGTATCAATCACTCGGCCTTGAGATATACGGGGTACTCAAAACAACGGGGAAAACTTTTCATGTGTGGTGTTCTTCATTCTGTTATGCTGCATGCAGCCTTCGCGGGGTACATTTCCTTCATTTAAGCAACCCGATGAGCATAGTGAAAAGACGATACCGTCATTCCGTGGAAACTCGCTAAGAACCTTGGAAGACAGTCAGTCAGTCCCTTTCTTGAAATTCGCCCCACAACCTTAAAATTTCCCCCACAGGACCCAAGTCTTGAAGAGGATGGATTCATATTTGTTTAGAATCACCAAATTACATCATCATCGCCCGGATGGGCTAGTGGTATGATTCGCACTTTTCTCACATTTGTTTTTTGTGCGAGTTTTTATGAACAATGTTGAAATCCTTGGCTATAAAATATTCCCTAAGTTTACGCTATGGTCAGATAGATACTCAAAAGGAGGGCTTCATGGATTTTCTTGAGATGTGGAGCGAGGGAGCTCTGTAGATTCTGAAAAGAAAGACGCAAGCTTCATATTCAAGTGAATCAAATTCTCTACCTGTCACCTGGGCATGTTTGCGAGCATCACATGATATCCATGGATATATATACACCTAGGTATAACTCTCTCCCTCTCGTCATACGCATACGCTGCTTGCCTGCTTCCAAGGTTCCTTTGCTATCTATCAATGCCTGCTTGGCCCATGACTTCTTGCTTCTTCTCCTTATCCCCTTCATATTAGTTTCTTCATTAGATTGGACCTTCTCATATTCATGAAGCTTTGCCAGCCTCGCACTACCCAGGTACTACAGTGGTATTTGAAATCAGTTATACCTCTGCACTCTTGCAATTTGGCTCCCGGATAATGAATTTGGTGGCTGTGAGTCCTGACAGGACAAGCCTGGAAGCTTCGCGTCTCAGCCCGTTTCTATATTGGTAGGTATGTCTTGCAATATAGTAGTAAGACACCAGAGGACCTATTTTATGCGAAAGTGCTATTCGCATGCTACCGTGTGTCTCTCCTCAATCCATGGCAGGTGCCAGATTTTCGATTTTGAACCATCCAAGCGCCCCCAGCCCAAATCGGCCGGAAATGAACCGTGCCACCGCTGATGATAAAAGCTCTATTGGTCAAGTCTTTACCCGGCTGATGCCAAGACCTGCAGCTCGCGCCGAAAACCAGCTCATGTTATGCAACAGCACCCAATTCGAGTCTAGCCACTGTGGCAACCCCAAGAAGCATCACTGTCACCATCTCAATCAGATAGTAAGCAGCCTCTCCCCCGTTTATATCTCTACTTCCCGTCAACCACTGTTCGCTTTTCCGAGGCCCTACCTTTAAACCCCATATTCACAATCTCCAGCGAACATCATACAATGGTCCATTTCTCCACCTGGCATCAGCTTCTATTTTGATTCTATAGGCTAATAAACCTCTCAGAGTCATGTTTCCAATGCTGGATCCTGCCACGTCCATAACAGAATGCGACTGAGGAAGCCTCACCTTAAAGACACCCTCCCAACCCAGCTATGTCTTCTATGCAATCGGGCTTTCTGCATCGACCACAAGGGAAAGGAGGATGGCGTCTGTGAGATCAATCATGAGACATACTACCGTAACCACCCGGCGGCCCAGGGGTACTTGTATCGGACGTATAAGGACTGGAAGAAAGATCATGAGCAGATAATAATTGATGAGATGTCAGGGAATGAGGGGGACGTGGTTGTGGGGAGAAACGAAAGCGATTCACTACAGTAGGCAGACACCCCACATGTGGGTCTTCCAACAAGATATGAATGCGACAGCATTCCATGTCTCTCTGCTTTTCCCCAGCCATTAGAAAGCCGCCGGCATTACGGAAAACCATATGCCTTGATCGGAATGTAAAAATGTAAATGGACTTCTGCGGTGATGGATGTATGTACGTACCGTACATACGTACATCTGATCTTGATAGCTTAGCAAGCAGTCCTATCAATGACCGGGAAACAGGAACTTGCGTAGAAGAAAACGAGATGCCCCATACAGAGAAAGTACTATGATTTCAAGCGTGGGAGAAACTCGAATACCTAATGCAGGAGACCAGGGATTCAGACGAATCTCAGGAGTCAGGAAACACATCACACTATTAGGTAGTAACTCGATTGAAAAGCAAGTCAGATGCAGAATTATGGACTAGATAGTCTTCTAATACCATTGCCCCTTTTCTTCTCTTCCTCTTCTTCTTCATCTTTCTCTCGTCAGTCTAGAATTCCGTACAATATACTCGATTTCCATCTGTCGTAGAGGCTGGTAGGTGGAGGTCACATACTCCTTTGTCTTTGGGCTTGCCCCTTCTCTTCAGTCCATACTTCTTCAAATCTCCCCCTTCTCTCTTTTCCTTTCCTCGCGCACGCACTTCCATAGTCATCAATGCATCTGTTAATCTCCCTTCCTCTGCCCCCTGACAGGCCACGGGCCCTGTGCTCTACCTGCCATCTGAAACTGTTAGCCTGTCCAAGTACAATTAATATAGGGGTATATATAGTAGGATTCATGATAAATTTGCCCCTAAAGCTATAGGGGGAGGAAAAGAGTGGGCCTAAACAGGGACATCGAAAAGACCAAAAGAGAATTTACACCTGCAGTTCAAACTTCAGAGAAGTAATCATTGAATGTAATCCATGGATAGCAAGCCGACGACCATGAAACTTTAGAAGTTATACACTGTAGTAGTTGCAGCAGTTGTAGAGCTAATTACTGTTCCTCAGTACATTAGGTAGTTACCATGTCTCAGAGGACCACGCCCTGGCAAAACAGGGATTAATATACACAGAACAAGAAAATATACAACATGTATAATATGTGGAGTTTTAGATTAATTTGTACTCCGCGGTCATCCATGGGTGTATGCTATGATTTCTTCGATTTGTACTCCGTATACAACTCGATCACATTGTGTTCATTGAATCACAATCCAGAACAACATACGGAGTACCGTAAATTACAGTTGTTATTACTAGCCTCATACAAGCAAGCTTTTCTCTGTAACCTTATTCTAGCCCTAACAATCTGAACTTCGCTACTTTACAAAGATCATATCCGCTTTGAAGAGTGTAGAAAAAACACAAAAAAGAAGTAGGCCCGAGCCCGGGATTGACGGGGACCTCGCGCATTTATGCTTTGGGTGAACCCCTACAGATTTGGTTAGGATCGGAAATTTCGGGCAGTCGAGAAAGTGGAACGTACTAAGCGCGAATCATACTGAGAAATTGTTAGATGATGTTTTATTATAGTGGAGATGTCAGAATCTCTTACCCACTAGACCACCCGGGCGGTGATAAAGGAGTATAACGCCAAATAATAATAAGACCAAAATAAGAGCAAACACGTTTTGGACCGCTATCTTGTATATGTAGCTTGTTCTCATTTGCACTGGGCAAGTGAGGCATCCTGTTCAATAAGCAGTATTTGTTATTATTGAGGGCCAATTCTGTTATCTCAGAATTTGCGGCTTGGGGTTACTGCAAGCTACTGAGGTTGGGGTTCGAATGAGAAAGAAGAGTTCGTGGAGATAATTCTCATCGTGTACCTAGTATCTACAAAAAAAAAAAAAAAACATAGAAACCCCCACTGGGCTTAGATGCTCCGCCGAGAAACCCCAAAGAAACTGATAGAGAGTTCAACCTAAGTGGATCAACATCAGTAGACTCTATTAGCCATATCTATGGTGACAGAGCACGTGTCTTGTCTGGTTTGTAGATTCCGAGACTGCTCTCATTTCTTCTGGAGGCGTTGACCCACCTAAGGAACAAATGTAAGTGTCTGACCATGATCTAATTCCACCGTGCTAGGACGTCACTTACTAAGAAAGCTACTCCACCATCCTCGGTTTCGAATGTGACTATTTGATCATAGATTAGCTCTATACGATGACCTATAAGGCCGGACGGAACTTACTGGTGGCCCCCTTGGGGAAATACAAGACGTCCCCTTCCACAGCTCTGACCTTTTGGCCTGTTGTATCGGAGTCAATTAGCACCCTTTCAACAACCACCTTGACTTCAAAGTATGTGTATGGTGCTGTAGCTTTTCCCCCTTTATCGACGCGGAAAACCCCACTCGCTATCGGCTTTTCGTTATCATCCTGGGTTATTGTTTCCAATGTTCTGTTTCAGCCTTTGTATGGTCTCGAGTGGCGATGCTGTTACAGGGTTTGGCTTGACTCGACACAATCTCACCAATGAAGATGTCCTGATACGATCCATAATGAGGGAGTGGTACGGATTGTGCTCCGACAAAGCGTTGTAGCTTGTGATCAGACATGGTAGTATATCAGAAGTGGTCTCCCAAGAAAATAACAAACAGCGGAGAAAGGAGGGCCCAAAGATGGATGTCATTAAAATCAATGGGAATGATACTGCCTTTTATGATTTATCACAATTAGACTGTTGCAAAAATTCCACCAGGATGGGGGCCATTGACTTGAATTGCGCTTGGACTAACGAAAGTGTAATCGCTGAGGCCCGCCTTTTCTCCCCTTTTAGTTGTTGAATGGATTATATGTTCATGGGTGAAGTAAGAAAGTCCGAAAAAAGAATTCTCGAATGCGACCAAGTCGGATAGCCTTGACTATGATACCCCTATAGATACTGGCTGATTTGATGTTTTGGATTGGCTAGTTTCACCGAGTTAATTGGCACTCTCTGGTAAAATGCTCATATAACCTTCCTTAAACGGTGTAACCTGCGGATGACTTTGTGTATATCCGTGAAATGCATGATGACGATTTCCAGGGCTCACAGTACCCCGCATGAACTAGTCTATAGGTGCTCATTTATCATGTCTGTTTAGTATATCCCCAGTCCCCAAAACATTTGTGTCAGCATAGATAATCCCAAAAATATTGCCCAGCTGATTTGACCGAGTGATGTACTCCGTAGACATTTATTTCATGCTAGGATTTGTTCTACTAACAAGAAGCTACTTGATATCCATCTTAGATACCCAAGGAGCCTCCAAGGTTACTAGGCTCCCCGCAGGTAGATAGCATAAATCAAGAGAGAGAGAGAGAGAGCGAGAGAGAGACTCGCTCTCGCTCTCTCTTTCTCCTTCCTCTCCTCGTCTCATAATGCGCTACATTATCAGACTTGCCTTATTTCCTCGATACAAGGGCTTCCAGGGTTTGATCCATGATAACTTTTAGATGCAGGCTTCCCTCGATGAACGATCAAACACCCAATGTGAAGACCGGGTATCTGTCTGTACACAGGACATATAACCCCAACATCATAGAGTGAGACAGCAAAAGCTATACCGCCTGGACACAGTGTACGATCATGTTTGTTGGCGATGATCGACCTTTAGTCGCACGAACAGAACTTGAGACTTCTCCATCTGCGATATTAAAGATAGGCATTTGCGCGTTCTAGCACACAGCCATTGATGTTTTGCTGATATGTACATAGTGATATGCGAGAATCTTCCTTGGGTTGCAATAGTTGTTCATGTGCGAGTCGTAGTCTTGGCTATTGCCCCAAGTTAAGAGCCCTAGGGTTCAAACTGATTTCAGACTCTAAAATAAGAAAATGGCCTCAAAACAACTCGGGCTTTGGCGGGGAATTTTCGGGATCGGCAACTGCCCCTGGGGCTGACTCATTTTGCCTCCTGACCGGGACGCCGATTCATCCCGAGGTCACCTGCCAGCCTCGCATACACAGGCTTTTGTATACTGAGATAATGGGAAGCCGAGTGGTTCTAATTTTTGTTCAGGGAGACTGCCATTGAGAGAGCGTCGGCGCATAGGTCATGCAATGGTCAATCGATGGAGCCGCCGATCGTGGGGGAACAAGGATGTATAGGTTGGGCCAATGAATCGGATACGGAATGTCATCATTTTGTGCTCAAACCGGGCTTTGTTTGTATACGGAGTAGAATTTTCTCCTTACTCTCCCGCGTACCTGAGCTTTAGGTTTTCAAGTAGATATTTAAAGGAACAGCCTGGTTTGTCTAAGACCCAAAATCATAAACGACCGCATTCCACTTCTTCACTCCTCGCCACCTTCATATCTTCATATGATGACTTCTCTATCAGCAACTGTCCGGCGGACTGCAATAAGACCACAATACTTGCATCTGGCTTTACGGGCATCCTCGGGCGTTGCATGCATAGTATGCAGCCCAGGATACCAAGCCAACAAATCTTATACCCTCACATCAAAGCGTCCCATCTCATCAACACATCAAAACCAAACCAAGGAGTATTTCCCACCACCAAAGACACCGAATGTCAAGGAGGTACAAACAGCATGGGCACACCCAGTGTATGTGTTCCCTCGCTCTCAATGTGACTCTCAATCTGGCTGGATAAAGAGGCTGACACAGTTCTAGCTACACCGAATCTCAGATGCGAGACATCAATATTGCACACCGAAGAGCTTCAAATTGGTCTGACTGGGTTGCTCTGGGGACTGTGCGCGTCTTCCGCTGGGGCATGGACTTGGCGACCGGCTACAAGCACCCCAAACCAGGACAAGACCTTCCAGCCATGTTCAAAATGACAGAGAAAAAATGGCTAGCTCGATTTGTCTTCTTGGAGAGTGTCGCTGGTGTACCTGGTATGGTTGGCGGTATGCTGCGTCATTTGCGAAGCCTTCGGAAAATGAAGCGGGATAATGGATGGTGCGTGAGCGAGAGATCTAAATCCAATGTGGCTTTGACGCTAACTCTCAGTCACTAGGATCGAAACCCTCCTGGAAGAAGCGTTCAACGAACGTATGCACCTCCTCACATTCCTAAAGCTTGCTGAACCCGGATGGTTCATGCGTGTCATGGTCCTTGGAGCACAGGGTGTGTTTTTCAACGGCTTTTTCCTTGCCTACCTTGTGTCTCCACGCATCTGCCACCGATTCGTCGGATACCTCGAGGAGGAGGCTGTCATTACCTACACCCGTGCTATCGAGGAAATGGAGGCCGGCAAATTACCTCAGTGGAACACCCTCGACGCGCCCGAGATTGCAGTCCAATATTGGAAGATGCCAGAGGGACAGCGTAAGATGAAAGATCTGCTGATGTACGTTCGCGCCGACGAAGCCAAGCACCGTGAGGTCAATCACACACTCGGAAACCTCAACCAGACCCTGGACCCAAACCCTTATCAAACGGAATACACTGATCCCACGGGTGAGCATCCAACCAAGGGTATTGACACCCTTAGGGCAACTGGGTGGGAGCGGAAGGACATCTTTCCGGCGCAATCCAAGAATTGAGGCAATATTGGGGCGTTAAGAGTGTTGAACTTAGCGAAATAACGTTATGCATAGATCTCCTCTCAAGACAATAATTAATCTTATCTATCGAATATCCCGAGGTCAAAAGATGCGTTGCCTATTTTCAAAGCCCTAGAGGTTGTGCTGAATTCAAGCAATATCTCAGGTGCCATGGATGTACGTGTATCACCCAGTGAATATGTATAGGTACAAGTCTCTCGATATTTTCTCTGCGGCAAGGAAGCAAACACTTCAGCTCCATCTCAAAAAAAAAAAAAAAAAAAAAAAAAATATTAAATGGAAAAAAAAATCAACATCGACGAGGTAAGTTCTGATGCACTGAATGAACTCTTCTTACATTCACATCATCCGTGGATGTCCTTGTTGTATACACCCAATGTAATGAATGGTTCCAAATTTGATGAAACAGACAAAAAAAAGACAAAGGCCCGAGCCCGGGATTGAACCGGAGACCTCGCGCACCCGAAGCGCGAATTATACTGATAATCAGTCAGATTGTGTTGTTTTGGGTGGTGGAAATGTCAGAAACTCTTACCCGCTAGACCACCCGGGCGGTTTCAAAAAATATCTACGTTCACGTGATATGTTAAACAGCCACAAACACAGCCACATACTCCGTACCTACACAATTTGCACTCTCAACCACGGGACGCGGGACACAAGCTAAACCCAACCAGGCAATCTGTTGGGAGTCCTCAGCAGTGGAAAATTAGGAGAACTGCGGTATCTTGAGACCTTCTTTTTCAGACATCTAACTTGTTCTTTCATCTCCATGTCACGGCGCGGTAGTTGACCCGCTCCCCCCCTATTAGCCCCGGTTGGCCAAAGGACCCCCTTTTGACCCAATGCAGTTTCTCGTCCGTCGATCCTGCAGGTCTCATTAAACCTCCGTCCTTTCATTTACGCGATTATATAAAACCATTACTTGCCGAGGATCGGCCTAGCCTCCACTGCCAACGTCGCAAACCTCCCCGCAGGAATCTTCTGTGAGCATTCCAGTGATCGATCTTCGCGCGACCCAGGTCCACTTTGACCAGGTGTCGAATTAGCCCCTCACGTAACATTACTGCACAATGGATGAGCCCCGGCAGTCAATGGAATCCAAGACTGGAATGGTGCCAATGCGAGCTTCCTCGCCGTCACCATCTATACCAGCAACACCAGCTATTTCCGCATACTCCTCCCCGGACCGCACGTTCTCCTCCGAGTCATCCCGCTCCACATCCTCCGCCACCTCCGCAGATGCCAGATCATCTGTCTCGACTTCGTCGCGCCGTCATGGATACACGCGGGCATTGGGCGCCGAGTTCGCGGAATCCGCCCGCCATCGCGATAGTGTCATGAGCCTTGGCAGCATTGCCCACCTTCAATACTACTTTGCTCGGACGGGTCTACTGGACGGGAAGAGTGGGCGTGGTAAGGAGTGGGACAAGGACAAGAAAAATAAGGACAATGTGCCTCGAGTTCTGATCACTCCCAACCAGCGGCACATGGATGACGACCTGGTCGCGAGCCCCTCGGACATGACGGATCCAGTGGAAGGCGAGTTCGAGGGCGAGGAGGGAGAGGTGATGCTGCCGCCCACAGTTAGCACGTACAGCATCAAAACGCACCATATCCCCCCTCCGCCAGACATGATCTCCTTGCGCCGGAAACTCATGCTGGCGCTAGACAAGGCGGAAACTAACATCGAAGCAATTGAAAATGGCGCGGAGCCTCCTCCTCGCGAACCTATCCGGTCGAGCCTCGCTCCTGGTGACATCCCCGAGTCACAAGAGGATGATCAATCTGGACAGGTTCCGACCCCAATGAACAAGGAAGAAGCACAAGGGATGTGCATTTTGGACGATGTGACAAACGCAATTCGAGCAGCCAAGATTTATTACACAACCCACGAGAACTCAGAGCGCCTGGCCTCAATAAAGAGCGAACGCGAGATTCGCAAAGAGCTTTTTGACGTCCTCGAAGTCCTGAAGAGGTGGGCTGCCCGGCATTTTGCCAGTGGTTTGCGCGATGAAGAGCGCGAGCGGATTAAGGGATGGATTTGTGGCGTGCGTACCATGATAATCCGCGAGAAAGCACTTGAAGACCTCGAGGCCCAGGAGAGACAAAATTGGGACTGGGCCGCCGGGGATTGGAGGGGTCGGGAGCGTTCACGCGAGGAGTCCTTTTTGCGCAGCCTCATGCCTGGCGGTGACTCCTTGCCGTCCTGGGCCCCCATTGGAGAGGCTGGGGACGACTCTCTACCAACCGCATTTCTTGAACGTTTCCGAGACGGCCGCGTTTTGATTCAGTTACACAACCTTGCCATCAAGAAGTCGAAACGCCAATTCGGCGAGATTAAGGCATACCATTTGGACATTGCCAAGCCGTACCGGCAGGCTGAAAATCTTCGGTTCTGGGTGAAAGCTGCAGAGCTCCGTTGGGAGCTTCGCTTGGAGGTTGATGTAATGGGTGTTGTACAGAATACCGGCACTGCTACTTGGGAGCAGTTTGATGCTGCTCTGTTGTCTTGGTGCAAGACGGTCCGTGAAGAGTTGGTGCGAGACTGGCAAGAAGCCAATCCTGGACGACCACCAAGTGCTGGGCTGATTTGAAGGGCATGCTTGAATTGAGCCTCGTCATTGCATTTCGGATTTTTCTCGTTCCTCGCTTCCCCTTTTTCCTGTTTGATCCCTTTATGGGAATTTGATACGATACCCCTGAATTGTCGCCGACTGTTCTGCCCGTCTCCGTGTATTTTAGTTTCCCCCGACTTGTGGTTTCTTTTGCAATTATCTCAACTGAACATTCAATGATAATGGTTTCATGTTGTGGATGTTAATATGTGCCGATTCTCTCCTATCTGATTGTACAGCCTTTGCCCGAACTCCAAGCCGAGGAGTACACAGCAGCTGGGTAGTTAACATTGGGTCTAGGCGAGGCACATGTATGCTGATCAACATTTGTTCCAAATAAAGCTAACTGTTCTAGGTAGGTGTCAGAATCATATGTTCAATGAAGGCCAACAGAGTTCAAATGAATTAGACGGCAAGGTCTAGACTGAGATGTAGAGCTCATGAGTATACACCTAGAACCGAGACACCATAAAGACAAGAAACAAAAGAAATAAAAAACAAAGGGCTCATTTGATCGCCGCTAATCCCTTGACTTACATACCGAGGAGGTACATCAGGTCCCATAGTTAGTAGTACGGGGCTGAAGGTACCCCATTCTGCGGAGCCAACGGCCATACTGGCTGGCCACTTTCATCCCTCTTTTTTGTCTCAACAGTTGCTGCCCGATCTTTCGTTCAACTTCACCATACAGCTTTGATCACATTGTTGTCATGTAGTATTCTTCTTTCGACCCTCCGAAAAAGCCACCCGTTTCAACTAGACGGGGCTCTTGACTTTACCGAACGCCCGAATCAAACGAAACATTCCTTGTCTATCCCTGCAACCGCATCCTTAGGTCCTTTTGCTTGCTCATTCCCCCCAGGGTCTGTCTCCATGCATGCCACAACTAACGGCCCAGCTATTGCGACCGACACCGTGCCGCATCCCTCCAGCGCCTCCGCAACGACCACATCACCCTCATCGCTCACCCCCACACTCTCAGTGTCTCCGAATGACACCGGCACCTCCACGCTCCATCGTCTGAAATCCAAATCGTCTTTGTGGTCCCTCGGGAGCAGTAATAACGACGAAGAGCCCCCTACGCCCGAACCCCCCAGCGCCGGCCGGGCATCCATTCTCCGCCGGCTGTCTCCCGCTCTTGCAGCTCGGGTAAAGCTGTTGGATGGAAGCAACAAAACCGCATCGCAAGGTCGGAACTTCAATGCTGTCGGTCGAATTCCCGAAGAGCACCTGAAGGAGCTCGACAGTCTTCACCAAGATCTGTCAATCAAGGTAGAGAGGAGGGGTCAGGCGTGGAATGGAAGAGACGAATCGCCTGGGCAGATCCAGAAAGTCAGACGCAGCGCGTCAAATCATCTCGAGCTACCCCACCAAGATATCTTCCAGGAAATTACCGACGCGCAAAAACTGGACCCGGGATCAGCAGAAGCCATCGCCGAGGGCCCCGAGCTGCGCATCCCAAGTGCGACTACCGGACCATTCACTGTTCAAACTCCAGAACGCAGCGCCAGTCCACACACATCCACGCCAATGTCTGTCGCAGAGCCGGTCCTCGCGCAGCCGGGTGTGAATCCCATGCAAAGCTCTATACCTAGAAAGGCGGTTCCGGACACTCGGACAGACTTCGAGAAGTATGTCGACGACACTGCGCGGAAAGAAGAGCGATCCACAGAAGAGGAGTCCGCTGCTCCTCCTCCACCACCACCGAAAGACTCTCCTCCCGCAAATGCCGGCCACTCGCGCTCCTCTTCCACGAATTCGCAATCATACTTCAACCCCATGGGTCTCCAGCGGGCAGACTCAATATACTCTTTCTCTCGCGCATCATTTAGCAATCAGCTCTCTCAGTTGACCTCCATACCCCTTCCGCAACCAGCGTCACTTGAAGCAAGCATCGAGAATATCTCCACAGCTCTCACGGCAGTCCGAGCCCTCAACGGTGCCGCAGAACAGATTCAAATCTGGATCAAGAAGGCCTCAGATGTGCTGAGTGGCTTGGACTCTGAAGATGACGTGGAATGGGCCGCAGCCGGTGGCCGGGAGGGGCTAGATGAGGTCGACAAGGCCATCACGCGGTTCGAGTCCTTGGTTGATATATATGTAAGAGCCATTGAAAAGGTGCAACTACGAGGTGACATTGCCAGCGTCGACGCAGAGAACCTGAAGACCATCGTCAGTCAGATGGAGAGCATTTTACAAAATTGGAGTCAAATAAAGAAAAAGCTGAAGGGCGTCAAAGAGCAGGTCGAGTTGGCTATGGAGTGGGAAGAGCTCTGGTCCAATGTCCTGGGTGATGTTGGAATGGAGGTTGACAATCTCAGCGGTCTAATTTTTGAAATGGAAGAGAAACGGCACCAAGCATTGATGAGCACAGGCGAGACCACTGGTGGTCTTGACATCAATGAGTTGGAGACTATCGTGGAAGAATCTCCCTCCAAGGGTCGTTCACATGCCCATAATCGTTTGAGTATTGGACCCATGCTGGCCACTGCGTCCGGTACTCCTGTCATCAAGACCCCACAAGACGATACGAGCCACTCTAATCTGATGGCCATCTTTGCCCGAATGCAACCATTGCGCGCGTCCTTGGACTTTTTGCCTATGCGACTCTCAATGTTCCAATCACGAGCTGAGAACATATTTCCAAGTGCGTGCGAAGAGATTGAAGAACGTCGCAATCGGCTGGAAAGCAGCTACAAGGTTCTTGAGACAGACGCTGAGGCACTTCGGAAAGAACTCGGAGAAGACAAGTGGATTCTGGTTTTCCGCAACGCCGGTGCTCAGGCCCACAAGATGTTTGAATCCGTCGAACGGAGCATTGGTAAACTACAAGAAGGTCTGGAAAGCGGTATGCAGGTGCATAACACTTCAACGATCACTAAGCGTGTCGAGAATTATGAAGCGAAAAAGATGCACTATATTCCCGCCATAGAGCGCGTTGTGTCTATCATTCAAAAAGGTGTGAATGATCGGCTGACCGTCAATGGAGAAATCCTGCGGCTGCTGTCTGATATGACGACCCGAACGGATGCTTTGAAAGCTAGTACCAAGGTGATGGATGCATCCCTTGAAGATGTTCAATTCCTGAAGGGCCAGCAGCTCCGAGATTCAATATCCAGTATACTTACCATGGATAGCCCTGCTCCAGGCAGTGCTGCAGAGACCCCAGGAAGCTCCCCTGCGTCGTCGGTCATCATGAATGGGAGCGGCTACAAGGGTGCCTTGACTCCAATGGGTGGCTCGAGCCGTCGTGAAAGCTCAGTCAGCATTACTGCTGCCCGTTCTGCGCTGGCCCCCAATCGCCGTTATTCCAGCCTGCCACAGCCCACCGGGACTTACACAGGCAGAAAGTCTGCGATTCCTCACCCGTCCGGCTTCATATCTCCCACGCCCTCATACAAATCTTCCAACCTCTACACTCCAACCCCAGCTGCTCGCTCTCGTACGCCCGCACCAACGTCCACAATCCCTAATCGCCCTCGTTGGAACGGGAGCGCGAACCTGAACGACATGAACAAAAATTGGACAGACCAACAGCGACGAATGTCATCAGCGCCAACAGCCCGCACGCCCCGACCTGCATCGGCAATTCCATTCCCGAACCCAAGCCGACGAGACCTATCTGCATCCCCAAATCCAAGTGGCCACAGGGCAAACAGCCGCGTTTCCAGCCGCCTCGGGTCTCGAAGTCCTAACCGAAATGCATCCTCCCCTACGCCAATACGGTCCTCGCTCCTCGACCCGCCTCCCTACAGTCGGCTGCGTCGACAGTCAGGGTTTCCCAACACTCCTCGAAATCGTCAAAGTTACGCCGGAACCAATCCCATATTCGCGCGCAGTGTGTCAGGCACCACGGATGTTTCCGAGTCTCCGAGCAAATCGTCACGGCCGGGCACAGCACTCGGTCATTCTACAAACAGAAGGATCAGTCTCCTCCCCTTACCCACGCGAACGGACGCTCCTAGTCCACAGAAGAATGTGGACAATCGCCCCCGGTGGCGTTAGTCACCACACGGATCACGTTTCAATTCGAGCAATATGCTACTGTGCATGTTCAGTACTATTATTTAAGATCCATTCGCTCCTCACTACTGCATGATTACCTTACTTGTGCAGTTCCGTCATTTCCTCTTATTCATGTTCCCTGCATGTACATCAGGTCTCTCCTCTGTGCCATTTCATTATTCCACAAGCATTCAATATAGCGCGAGAGATCTCATTATCCCGACTGTCGAGTTTTGCGTGATATCCCTATTTTTTGCATTGTCTGGTCTGAGCGTTGGGTATCATTGATGTTTACCTGTTTGCCGGTTTGATTGAACTGCCGTTGATTATCACTCCATTTTCCTTCCCCAATGTAAATATCACGTTTTGTAGTTTTATACGGCCTTGGTTTGGGCCCTGGTAACAGCGTTGGATTGTCTGCTTTCGAACAGCATTGAAACTATGCATGTCTTGTTTCAGGTATTCCCAGGCTCCTTATTCATAAATACGAATCTATTCGTTATCTGAGTGCCTGTTCACGCACCACGTGAAACAGATAGAATCCACACCTATACTATATTTTCATTTTCCAAGCTCCCGGCCGATAATCAATGCGTCAACCAGTTCCTCACTATTGGCCAATCGGGCAGCTTTGGGGACCCGCCCAATAACGCTGAAGCCGAGCTTCTCCCAAATACGGATGGAGGCTGGGTTGTTGGCGAACACCAAATTGAAGACAGAGTATGTGTATCCCTGCAAGTTGATGGTTAAACATATACGTTGATTATGTGCAAAGCTCCAGCAGCTAGGTCTTACCAGTCTTGGGGCAAATTCCAGGTAGGCTTCGCCCATAGCTTGCCCGACACCGCGGCCACGAGCGGCGGTTGTAGTCACGAAGCCTGCGTTGCAGATATGAGAGCAGCGGCCTATGGGAAGTTAGTACATTTTCTCACGTAGGTATTTTCGAGCTGAACTGGGTGTCAAGTAAATCCATGGATCTAGGCAAAAGACAGATCCATGTGATCTAGTGATAAATGCACACCTACCGGGATAATTGGGCTTGATATAGAAGGTCCCCAAGCAAACGTTCTCCCAGTCCCTACCCTCCCGCAGGCCATCGCCTTCATCGTCCAATATAGCTAGAACGGTAAAGGTTCCAAACCAGTAGTCGGCAAATTGATCAAATTCCATTGGCTGTTCCATAGGATATGTGCCGCCGCGGAGAATCTCCGCGCTGAATTCCTCATGAAGGAACTTGACTAGGTCCTTGGGGACACTTTGCGGTCCTCCGGTAATGGGGTACAAAGTCATTGGGGCATTAGCAGACTTGGCTAACGTTGTCCGCCGCGCCGATAGGCTCGGTGCGGCATCAACATGTGCTTGTGGTGGGGGGATGCGGGTAGAAGGGTCTTCCAGCAGAGCAGGCATTGTGACGATTTGTGGGTCAATGCTTGAGATCTGAGGGGTAGGAAATGAGCTCGAAGAAGACAGCAGGTGTTTTGCTCGATTGAACAGATGTTTGAAAGGAAATTGGGGATGCTGGTACCGAGTACACTTCGGATCGGCGCCTGAGCCGACCTTATATGAGTCAGCTTGTCATCTATAGGGCGGTCTCCACTTGGATTGGGGTTCGCTTTCTCCAGCGATCAGTGACACTCATCTTCTTCGTGGATCAACTATCACAGGTCAGAGTAAGCCAGCGCCCACAAGAACGTCAATGACTCCAAGGTTCGTAATTGGATATGTGAACAATTACGGATGAGCAAACTCGATACGCAAACCTTGGAAGATAAGACCACCTGGGCAGAGACCCTGTCTCTCTAGTACCTAGGTAGGAAAGTAATCGAGAATTTGAGCGGAAAAAGAATACTTACCCCGGTACGAACTTGAAAACCTCCTTGCTCCTGGCTGTGGCCAATCTCTTTATTCTTACACCTAGAAAGTACATGCAGACTCACGAGGGAGCGAGATGCCCGCATCTCTAAGACCCCTACCAGACATATATACACAGCCCTATCGCTAGGAGGTCTGACTTAATGCAACGAGCTCACAATGATTGATTTCTCATCGCGGGTCTTTGCCCCGAAAAGCCAGCGTTGTCCCCAACCCAATGCGAGTGATGAAGGTTTATTTCTCCTCTTCCTTGTTCTTCAGGGCTTCCATGAGTTCAAGCAGTTGACCGAGTTGTTGATCTGAAGCAGAATTTACATAATTAGCGTTCTGGCAAGCTGTCCAGGCCAGAATGACATACCACTCATTTTATCCAACTTGGACTTGTCCAACTTTTCTCCTTTCCACTGAGAGCCCTCAAGCTTCTGTGCATAAAGCTGCCATTCGGTCAAAAATCCGATCTGTGAGTCTCAAAGTTAGCCAGAGCTCTGCATATCTCATTGCCTTCCCCTCCGATGTGCCTCGCTCGACTTGTATCCCCGCTCCCGCACAACCACCCCAGCCATAGTAGAGGACATACAATGTGTAAAGGGTTTTCGACACTTCGGTGGGCGCGGAATTCATTTTTGACATACGAGTCGCCCAAAACGCGCATCTCTGGGTCGAGCTTGCGGTGGACGCGTAGAATCCGTCGGTACAGCTGCAAAGGCGGGAGAAGGGCGAGTGCCTCACTGAGACTTGACTTGGAGCCGATTGAGGCCGGCGTGGCCATGAGCAAACGTTGAGCAACCCGCATGTTGTATCTGAAGAACTTCAAGGTCGGAGAGATGCAAATGACATAATTTCCTGGGGATTGAGCCGAAAGGCGGCGAACGGAACGCACGAATCAGCGCGTCGGGACGTTTCGGGATTTGAGATTTAGCCTCAATTGGCCTTGGTTAAGCATCATTTACTGACATCGGCTGGAAATTTTCATTCCCAGTGACTCAATTCAATAGCTCGGGATCTTGCCGATCCGAAGGCTCTCTACGACGTTGTAGGGTGCGCAACACCAAATATTGTCATAACCCCACCACAACGACTTGATATCCAAAATCCCACGATATACGATTTATCCACCATTCACCATGCTTCCCACGCCAGACACCTCACACGTGTCTTTTGACACTATTTATGAGCCATCGGAAGATTCATATCTCTTCTTAGATACACTGGCATCAGAATCAGAATCCAAATGGCTCTCTGAAAGATTTCCCTCAAACCAGAGCACATCGCCTTTAGTTGTTGAAGTAGGAACAGGCTCTGGCGTGGTCCTTGCCTTCACAGCTGCACAGTCTCAGCAAATTTTCGGCCGGCGCGATATCTTGACGCTAGGCACAGATGTGAATCGAAATGCCTGCATCGCCACGCGGCAGACTGCAACGACGGCCATTAAAGCAGAGCAGCAGCCATCTCCTCAATCGATTCACATATCCTCATTGACAGCTGATCTATGTGCACCTCTACGACCTGGCAGCGTCGATGTTCTTCTTTTCAACCCACCTTATGTTCCTACTGAGGATCTTCCGCGCCTGCCCTCTGCAGTGGAAAATGATCCCGCTACCGTGGAGGCCATGACTCGCTCTGATAGATTTGATAATGACTCTTACTTTCTGTCATTGACCTATGCGGGTGGTACAGATGGTATGGAGACCACAGACCGATTGCTCGACGCCATCCCTGGCGTACTTTCGGTGCGTGGTGTCGCATATGTTCTGCTGTGCAAGCAAAATAAACCCGATGAGGTCAAGGATCGCGTTCGTGCCTGGGATGGCTGGCAGGCTGAGACTGTTGGATCCAGTGGAATGCAAGCTGGGTGGGAGAAATTGGTCATCGTGAGAATCTGGAAGGAAGAGCGCTCATGAAGAATGCATGTACAAAAAATACGGTCGTGTTGATTGATAAAGCAGCGATCATACCCCAAAAAAGTTTTATTCAAAAAGATCACTCTTATGCTAGCGAGTTGACTTCTGAGGCTGACCACCATTGGACAAATGCTTGGCCAGGGTTCTGGATCTCAGCCTTATGTCTGGTTTAAAGCGCCCACGCGACGGCAGGAATGTTCCCATAAAACTGTGCCTCTGCCAGGAGCTTCCCAGGGCGTCCCGTAGCTTTGTTCCACTGCGCAACAGCCACTCTTTGGCTCTTCTCCAGAGCAAGAGCAACCAACCCCAGATGACCACTAATATCAAAGCCCCGAACAGAAGATCCGTATGCTGGGTATAATCCGAGGAAACGAGGCTCACTAGCGAACCTGCCGCTGGCATCGGCACATGAGAACACGGCTAGGGAGTCATTATTCGGGCCGAAGGTATTGTCAAGTCGATTGCTAACAAGAATGTGATTATTCTCAGGCTGTGATTCGTGTCAGTATGGAATAATCAAGATAGGGACAAGACTGCAGAAGATGACCTACCGAGATTGCAATTTCGGCAACCTTAGAACCGTTTGGAGCAGTTCTATTTCCAAACGAGCTCTCCTCGAAGAATTTGGAGAAATGGATTCCCCGCTCCGAATAAGAAACACGGAAGCCATTCAAGAGGTTGCTCAGCTCGTGCACCAGATAGAAATAGACATTTTGATCTGCGCCACGGGATCCCTTGGGAGTCCAAAAAGTCCCATGTCTAGGTCCCGACCCAGGAGCTGCAACATATGGATCTATTGGCTCGAGATAACCAGTGACTTGGTTAATGTGGAAGATACGCACTAGATCGGCTCCCAGGTCAGGCACCAGGACGAATCGTCCAGTGGGGTCCACCGTCACTCCATGGGGATGTGGCGAATCTTGGCGAGAAGCGTTTGGGCCAGGAGCTGACATGTCGTATGTGAAGGTTTGTAGGAGTTGGAAGTGACCTCGGGTTGGGTCTACGGAGTATGTTGTGACAGTCGATGTCTCGCTGGAGGCGAAGTAAAACGTTAACAACCGACAGGCCAAAAAGAGTCGATGAGATCTCACTAGTGGGCAACCGCAAAAAATTCATGGCCATGAACCCCAGGTACAGAGTACATGGCAGACATCACGGGGCCAGCGGGGACAGTCAAGGTATTGACGACATCAAGCGACCCATTACCATGAGTGTTGAAAGATGTGATGCTACCGTTAGATGCCCCAATAGCTTCGTTGAGACAGTACAGGATGTTGTTGGTACCATCCAACATGAGCCAAGAAGGACTTGTTCCACATTCCTTGGACTGGGAACTTGTAGACAGTTCAAGTGTTCCGTTTGATCTGCCAAGGGAAAGCGAGTAGACCGAACCTGCATAGGATGCCGCATATAGGGCTTGGGCGGCACCCCGGGCAACAAGAAGAGTTGCAACTCCGAGTGAGGTAATCTTCATAGCGATGATGATTTCGGGTACTTTCTCTGGATACAGAGATCCCACAATGTCTTTATAGTGTTCTACTCCGTACATGTACATGTCTTGCAAGGCACGGGTGTGGAACAACTGAGCCAATCGGACCAGAAACTCAATTCAAGAATACAATGGCGTCAATACGAACAGTGGCCTCCAATGAGAATGATATTCATATCGGAAATGATGTCGGGTCCATCTCTTCGTGAACGGAACCCATGCACAAGGTACCATGAAGGCACAAGTGTGGGTCGACTTTAACCAAAAAAGGATACAAAGGGCGAGACCATCTCGGAAGCAGTGGGGGTAGAGACCAATACAAGCAAAATGAGAATGTATGGACTAGTTGGAGTGAAAGAGGACATAGAAAAGAAGAAGAAAAAAAAGAAATTGTAAGTGGCGATACCCGGATTCGAACCGGGGCCAACACAGCATTGTAGGCCGAGTTGATCAGGAATCAACTGCGACTAGCCACAATGTGGTATCCTACCCCTAGACCATATCACCTATTGAATGGAAAATTTTGTCTTATTTGGGATTCTGATTCTATCTGCTCTGTACTTCACTTTCGCTGTGTGAGTATTTGCCGTGAACTTGTCAACTTGAACTTGATTAGACTTCGCTGAAGACATTTTGAAAGTTTACCTATTTTTATGTTCACCGGTATCTATATTCAATTAAATACACATTACAAGTCCACCCGACGTCAGAGTTTCTTTTCTCTCGGCATCCGAAGATGACGAGTAGGTCGCTTGGCGCCAACGTGCCTAGGTGGACTGACGCTCGTCCCACCAATCCCGTCTTATCTTCTCGGCATGCCGAAGACAGCAGATCGGGTTGCCTTGGTCTTCATGCCCCTTTGCCCGAGACCCACCCATTCGATTATGAAGAACTTGTGGCCGAGACCTTGGAAGCTAGATTTAACATCAACGCTCACATCAATCACCCACCCACCGTTCACACCCTGAGTCTAGCCCCGCCCGCTTATAGATCACTCACCCGATGAACTGCAAATGACAAGCTCAAAGCTTACTGCATGCCCGCCAAGAACTTCTGGCAGATTTGACTCTAGCCAAGATGATACCGGTCTACGCATTGGGTGGCGGAGCCCTATGGCCAGATGGGGTCAGTTATGTGCGTTTACTGTCATCCAGAATGGAGGAAAGACGATTGAGACTATGATTTTCAATCTACGGAGGTACCTTGGAGGCCCTCACCCAGGTGGATATACAGCATGTATTATGTCAAGGAACAAATGGGCGGTGTATTGTGCTCTCTCCATACTCTACCTCGTGCTATCATGATTCTGAGTAAAGTCTGCCATGGCTCAGTATTGAATTATACTTTTCTTGGTCTTGATTGTGATCTTTTTCCTGTTCAAGAATCTACAATCGATGATCACGAACCAAAGACTACCTATCCTAGGTAGGCCCAGATTGACCGGACTTAGGTACCCACTGTGCATTCACTTGACATTGAGGGCTGTGCTACACAGCAATCGTCCAACTTGATCATCCATGTACGATACATCGGTAGCGGAAAGTTGTAGTCCCGACAAACGGAATGGTCACACTTCGGCGCTGCTCGTCGAACGCCCCATTCACATCCGCTTGACAACTCACCCTATACTACTAGTTTTGATAGTGATCTTCAAATCCCAGACCATATACGGCGAAGCGACATCGCTATCAGAGCACTAGAGAGAGATAGGCCGGCTCTCAAGGTCTCCAGGGCTGCATGATCCTTCAGCTAACGTCTTTTCTCGGCGAAATTTGCTTTAGCTGATTCTCAATGGCTATACATCATAGATGACCATCTTGCCCACGAATGTCTTTCGGTGTAGCCCCGGAAGCTGGGATCCTAGGTCACTCTCCTCTATCTCATGAAATTTGATCGTATCATGGAACCCACCAACCTATCATCCCATGGCATCAATGAAGAACACAGGGGTATTAGATTTGGGTCAAGTCTTAGGTTAACCTGTGCGTTGTTAACCAGGTGAAGAGGACCCATTTACTACCTGCGCCCCACGTGCCTGGCGCAATATAACCTTTTTCCTTCGTTATTATTGGTTCTGATGAATGCCTTTGCCTAGAATACGAGAATCAAGATATTCCTTGTGCTAGCAAGATAGTCTGAGACAACCTTGGAACACTAGCGTATCATGTATTCAACTGGGTGTGTATCTTCTTGACGAGCAGTATAGCTCCACGTGGGTGGGTACATGTCTTCAGGTCAGCCTTGCCATGTTGATATTGGTAAACAGGTCCATCTAGCTCTGCGAGGTTGTCTTCCCTAGCCAAGACTCACCGGCTGAGTGTCGGACTTTCAGACTATAAATCCGGCTTGAAGACCGCCTGTGAGAGTAGGTTCATGCTACCGTCCCAGCTTCTTCTCTCTCCTTGTCTTTCTATTTCCAATATGAAGTCCGATATGTGGAAGCTCACGATCTTTTTCTCGTTGGCAGCCCATGCCTTTGTGCCAGGAAACCCAATTGATGTCCAATCCCACCTTTTATCAGACCCCCTTCAGGTTTCCGGCAAGCAGTACGACTACATCATTGCTGGTGGTGGATTGACTGGTCTTACGGTTGCCGAGCAACTCAGCTCCAATCCAAACATCAGTGTCCTTGTTATCGAGAAAGGCTTTTACGAGTCCAACAATGGCCCTATCATCGAGGATCCCAACACCTATGGTCAAATCTTTGAGACCACTGTTGATCAGCAGTTCTCCACCTCAGAGCTTGCTATCAACAACAAGACTATGTCCATCAAGTCTGGCAAGGGACTAGGTGGCTCAACTTTGATCAACGGGGGTTCCTGGACTCGTCCGGATAAAGTACAAATTGACTCGTGGGAGAAGGTGTTCGGCATGGAAGGATGGAACTGGGACACTGTGTTTGAAGCTATGAACAAGATCGAGCGTGCTCGCCCTCCCACCGCAGACCAGATCCTTGCAGGGCATTCCTTCGACCCCTCCTGTCATGGGTTTAACGGAACCGTCCACGTCGGTCCTCGTGATGATGGCCAGCCATTCTCACCCATTATGCGAGCCCTGATCAACACTACGTCCGAATCTGGCATCCCTACTCAGGGTGACTTCCTCTGTGGCCATCCTCGTGGAGTCTCTATGATCTACAACAATCTCGATGAGGACCAAGTCCGCGCTGATGCTGCCCGCGCTTGGCTTCTTCCCAACTACAAGCGGGAGAACCTTCATATCTTGACCGGCCAGATGGTTGGGAAAGTTCTATTTGATGACTCTGGTCTCAAGGCTACTGGTGTCAACTTCGGCGTGAATAAGGCAGTCAATTTCAACGTGTACGCGAAGCATGAGGTCTTGTTGGCTGCGGGCTCCGCTATCTCCCCTCTCATTCTTGAGTACTCTGGCATTGGCCTCAATTCCGTCCTTACCAAAGCTGGTATTGAACAACGTTTGGAATTGCCCGTTGGTCTCAACATGCAAGACCAGACGACCACAACTGTTCACTCCCGTGCCAACGCACAAGGCCAAGGCCAGGCAGTGTACTTCGCCAATTTTACGGAGGTCTTTGGCGACCGCAGCTCGTATGCTATTGATCTTCTAAACAACAGCCTTGACCAATGGGCTGAAGAGACTGTTGCCCGCGGTGGTTTCCACAATGTGACTGCTCTGAAGATCCAGTACTCGACTTATCGTGACTGGCTTCTTGAGGATGACGTTGCTTTTGCGGAGCTCTTCCTGGACACCCTGGGTAATATCAACTTCGATGTCTGGGATCTCATCCCTTTCACCCGTGGATCAACCCATGTGCTAAGCAGCGATCCCTATCTACTTCAATATGCCAACGATCCCATGTACTTCTTGAATGAGCTTGATCTTCTTGGGCAAGCTGCTGCCACTAAGCTTGCTCGCGAAATTTCATCGAAAGGCGCAATGAAAGGGTACTTCGATGGTGAAACCCTTCCTGGGAACCACCTGGATCAAGATGCCAACCTGGACCAGTGGGTGACGTACGTACAGCAAAACTTCAGACCCAACTACCACGCTATTGGAACATGTTCAATGATGTCACAGGAACTTGGAGGTGTTGTCGATGCCAGCGCCAAGGTGTACGGCACTCAGGGCCTTCGAGTCATTGATGGATCCATTCCGCCCACCCAGGTCTCTGCTCATGTTATGTCAGTTTTCTATGGTATGGCAATGAAGATAGCCGAGTCTATACTGGCTGATCACGCGCGGTCCTAAACATCAGGGCCGGGGTGTAGGTGGTGACTCACTTGGCGCGTCGCTCAGGAAAGGCCTAGGTAGTAACTTTAGTTGCCATACATCCATACAACCTTGGAATGATAGATTGACTCGGATGACTCCGGTCAACATAGTATCATTTGCCTGAGTTTCTTGCTATCACGGATATCTAGAAAATGTCAGTCAATAATGGAGCACTGGAGGTACCTACATCCAGTTACTAAGTTGCACTCCTGATATCAGAAAAGCATAGCATGGCAACTCTCCACTTTATATGCACCAATTGCCATCCCATGATTCCCATATTCACTCTCCTAGAAATCCACAGCCCTTGGGTTTGAGGCCATTTGCATCGTACATCATTAGCCAACTGTGTGATGGACTAGGCCTCATAGCGAACGCAGTTCCAAAGAGCGACTTCAATCCTAGTATTTCCAATTTTTGTTCCTGTGATCAGGTTCCCGGTGCACTCCGACACTGAGGCCAGACGATGGATGTATGGTCTTAGATTGATGGCAATTGGTCAAAAAAATCATAAAAAGATAGGCCCGAGCCCGGGATTGACGGGGACCTCGCGCATTTATGCTTTGGGTGAACCCTAAGCGCGAATCATACTGTTAACTCGTTAGATTGTGATTTTTGATAATAGGCATTTCAGAATCTCTTACCCACTAGACCACCCGGGCGGTGATGGAAAGTTGGCCAAAACTTTGGCTAAGTAAAAGAAAGCAACCTGGGATCAAACACATTGACATATCAAGTAGCCCTTCTTGAGGTCGTTCCAACAATGTACTAATATGTATATAGTGGGGAAGTTACTATTCAAACAAATAGACTCAAAGCTAAAACTACCTAATGGCTTCGCTAATCTCGGAAACCTCACGCCGTGAAATGGAGCAAAAAGTCCCGGTCACTATGTAGGCTCCTCTGAGTCCTCTCCCATGAGATCCAAGCCTATGCCCCGGCAATAGGAGGCACTTATGTGGTGAACCTGTTCTAGATCCCTAGAGCATGGATCATTTTGTTGATATGGTCCGGTGATGACTTGTTCCAGAGGCTCTTGGGATCGAGCGTGGACTTTGGCAGCTGTAGCGAGCTTTAAAATACCTACAGCTTATCAATGCCCATGACCTCGAGAGCCCTGCCGTAGCTAGCTACTGCTACGCATTGGATGTCTGGATGTAAATTGTTGGTTGAGCTTCGAGAGCATGTAAACTATGATTCACGCGCGATGGTACTCTCGTAGGCTGATGAATTTCAGTGTCCAGATTCAAATGTGGACGCTGCCGTCCGCATCACCGAAAAATGGTCCTCGCCATCTCGAGGCTCGAGGTCCTGCTTCTCAAGCTTCACGACGTGCGCCATTCGTGGGCCTTTGCTAACCTGCTGGAAGAATTTCTGCATAATGTCATCGGGACCTTGAGCCTCGCCCTCGACCTGGGGGAAATATTTTCAGTAGGCTATAGTGACAGGTGGGTAGTATACCTACTCTGCCACATGTAGTATTTCTCACCCAGCCTCTCAGATCATAGCTGGTAGCACACTTTTGGGTGAAGTCTCTGTGGTGGTGGTTAAGTGGAATCGCACGATGTGATGTCATCGGTTTTTTGGAAGGTCTCTCTTACCGGAAACCAACACCTGAGAGGATTGTGAAAATTAGACCAATGATAGGCTCGGCTTCAGGTAAATGTGACTACCAACCTTGAACGGTGCCATGAACCTTGAACGAAACCTGGAGTATGGTGTTAGCTTTGCGCATCGATTCGGGTTTCAGCTGTGGCCGGTGGTCAGGCGGGGCAGCAACCTTGGAACCTTCCAGGGTTGCCAGTCATTTTGTTGGACGTGGACTCACTCGAATAATTGACATGGGGACGTGTGGGGGTGGTATGAACTGAGTAGCGTGGGAAATGGTTGGTGGTTGGGTTGAGTTCAAAACCAAGTACGGAGTATGGCACTGAGATATACATTATCGTCTCAGCAACGGCCAGGCATGGAAGTTGAGATCAAGCGATGTTCACACATTAAACACACCTCTCACATCAGAAAAAGGCTTACAAAGGAGTCCACCAATATTACAGGGAGCCCTGGAGCTCCTGCTTTTCTTGATTCATCTGGAACGTGATCTTCACCTAAATTGCACTCGTACTACAGCGATATTGGCGGATCTGCAGATTCCCAAGTTTCCAGGGATCGTCTTCCACACAAGTTTCTGTGGTCAAAATAATATGATAGAGGAACAACCGGAGGAATTAAAGATATGAAGCTATTATCATCTTATAGACCGGTATAGAATCCCCTAGCTATGTTTTGTTCGGGGCGAAGTATATAGGAAATCAAAGGCCACCTATTGGCGGTGCCCAGGTGCCTCGGTCCCCTGAGTAAACATTGGAACCTCAGACAAACCCAACCCTTACCACCTCACACCCGTGACAGTCATGCCACTGCGATAAAATGCCCTCCATATTCGCCTGGCTCCGGCGGGTTTACTCACTTGATACCCTCGACACCCGCTTTACCTCCACCGCAATCACCCCTAACGCTGACACGCGACGTCCCGCAAAAGATGCCCGCGCCAATGCAATCGCCCAGGGCGCCTCGCCTTCGCTCTGGCGCACACCGGAGTTTTTCATCTACTATGTCTTCTTCATTGTTCTTGTTCCATTGATGTTCAAGACCGTCGTTGATGCGTCCAAGGGTGAGTTCAGAGAGACGAGGCGATGATCACATTATTGACCGAAGGCCCTCAATGCCCAGAAACCCACCCCATCTACTCGAAATATTCAAACCTTCTATCCCCCGGTTGGATTCCCGGCCGCCTGGTTGTAAGTGGAAAATCCATGTGCACTGCCCACAACCATGAAGTCGGATTCGACTGACCGTGGCCATGCTTGCAGGACAACTCCGACACACAATATGCGAGTTTTCGCGATAATATACCGCCCCTTCTTCTACTCCTCATCGCACACCCTCTAGTTCGCCGCGCCTACCAATGGTACACGAACCGATCGAAAACCGAAACAAGGCCATCGACCCATGCCGTAGTTGGTGCGGGCGAAGCACAACTCGAACAGCGGATGCGCTTTGATGTATGGTTTGGACTGGTGTTCATCACTGTCTTGCACGGAGTGTCAGCCCTGAAGGTGCTGTTTATTATCTATATCAACTTCCGAATTGGCAAAGATGTTCCTCGCCCCTACGTCCCCGCTGCCACCTGGGGTTTCAACCTTTGCATTTTGTTTGCCAATGAACTATGCGGCGGCTACCCACTTGAAAAGGCAGTCAAAATTCTTGTGCCAGGCTCTGGCTCTACAGTCGAGGAGGCCAGCGGACTTGTTCAATGGGCTCAGACCGTGGATGACCTCGGAGGCCTCATGCCGCGATGGGAAGTCCTCTTCAAAGTTACTGTGCTGCGTCTTATCAGTTTCAACATGGATAACTACTGGAGTGTAGACTACCCCGCGGCGAGCCCGATTGAAGTGAGTGACATTCAAGGAACCCTGTATCTCGATAGGACAGCGCAACTGACCGTTTTCCACAAGAAGAAGCAACTTGACCCTGCATCCCTTTCTGATCGTGACCGAGTCAAGATCCCCGCAGGACCAGCTGCTTTCACTTTGCGCAATTACATTGCATACGTGCTCTACTCCCCATTATATCTAGCTGGTCCGATCCTGACATTCAATGACTATGTATCGCAGCAGCGATATACAGCCGCATCAGTCAGCCGTGCCCGCACTGTGATGTACGGCATTCGTTTCGGACTCACTCTCCTCTGCATGGAGTTGATACTTCACTACATTTATGCCGTGGCAATCTCCAAAGCGGACCCCGACTGGTCGGTTTTCACACCAGGTCAACTCAGCATGCTGGCCTTCTTCAATCTGCACATCATCTGGTTGAAGCTTCTCATTCCATGGCGTTTCTTCCGTCTCTGGGCTCTAGTTGATGGTATTGATCCGCCCGAGAACATGGTACGCTGCATGTCAAACAATTATTCTGCCTTCGCCTTCTGGCGAGGTTGGCACCGCTCCTACAACCGATGGATCGTGCGCTATATCTACGTCCCACTGGGCGGAGGCGGAGGTGGCCAGCGGTCAACCGGAGCGCCCAAGCCAGCATCACCACCGAAGTCGAACTTTATGAACAAATTCATGCAAATTCGCAACTTCCTTATGGTGTTCACATTCGTCGCCCTGTGGCACGACATCAACCTCCGGCTTCTCATGTGGGGTTGGCTAGTGACACTCTTCGTTCTACCTGAAGTGCTGGGGGGTATGTTCTTCCCCGCTCACCGATGGCGCTCGCGTCCAACCACGTATCGTGTTCTCTGTGGCATCGGCTCTGTTGGAAATGTCCTCATGATGATGGTCGCAAACTTGGTTGGCTTTGCATTGGGCCTGGACGGACTGAAGGATCTCCTTACTAGTTTAACTGGCTCCTACTCAGGTCTGGCATATATGGTTTCCTGTTGCGTGGTGCTTTTCGTCGGCGTTCAGGTTATGTTTGAAGTTCGCGAGGATGAGCTCCGCGCGGGCATCAATCTGAAGTGCTGACCAGCGTATTCCTATTTGCATTTCCGGAGCTTTGGATTTGGTGGTATTATAGTAACCATGAATGATTATACAAGTCTCGCTATACCCGCCACATCATTATAAATTAACTGTTATACATTTTTTGGTATCAAATCATTAAGTCGTAAATGGAGGGTCCATCCCCCTCCCCAGATAGTAAGACAAGCGCACCAAAGTCACCTAGAAGAAAGCACCACACCTCGAGTCCTCATGAACCTTGTAGCAATCTAGGCTACAAGTTCTCAAATGACAACTCTTGCAGCGAATCTTCCCCCAATATCCGCACATGCAGCAGAAATGGCGTCCAGGCCGCGAAGAAGAAGGCGGCTTCACACGTGAAGCATTATAAGAAAGCGGTGGCTCAGCCAAAAGCCGCTGCATAAGACCCTCCGACGGCATAAGAGGCGCATACGAGCGCAGAAGAGGATCATTATCGTGTTCAGATTTGATGAGTTTCGGCTTCCGCTCCATCTCCTCGTCCGCATCTGTCTCGGCATCCGTCGTTTCAGCCGGTGTAGAGGCCCCAGTGTTCGTAGCGGTCACCGCAGCAGAAGGGCGCTTCCGTCCTGCCACGCTGGCTGGCGTTGAGCTGCGGCGCGCGGCTGCCGAAGCAGCGGCTCTGGGTCCCTTGGCGGCAAGATTCGCACCTGGGTTCTGCGTACCACCTCCGCCGCCGGTACCCAGGGCAATGGCTGCTTCTTCATCGTCGAGGTGGTTCCGAAAGGTTTTCTGGGACTGGAGAATGCGGCGTACGGCGGAGGTAGTTTTTGCGCGGGTGCCGCGTGCACCGGCTTCTTTCGCTTGTCTCACGGGTACTGAGATTGCGACATCGCGCTGGTTTTCACGGTCGAGTTCAGCAATGTGGCGAGCGATCGCGTTCGCTTGTCGTGAGGAGATGTCCCCGCCCTTGCCGGCGTCGCGGATGTTGCGTTTGCGGCCGAGGGTTGGTGCCATCGCCTGCGTGGGGTCAAAGCCCCGCGTTGGGGCATAGGACCAACCTGGTGTGGCCACAGATTTGTCCTGGAGTAGTTCGACGCGGAACATTTTGAGGGGTTGTTGTTGGTTGGAGATGCGCAAGTGTCGGGAGACGGAGATGGGAGATGCAAGCGTTTGCTTTGTTTGCACCACAGCTGTGGAATCTTAGCATCGAGATATGCCAATTTAAAATTATACAAGACAAGTGATTAGTATTCAGAAGCTAACTAGATTCATGCAAAACAACAGAGAAAGACCTTCCAACGGTTCGCGTAGACCAGTGGCTTCAGTTTGAGATTGGCAAACTTCAATGCATAGGAACAAGCACACCCAACACCTTCCAACAATAATAGATACAAATTCAAGAAAAGCGACCAAAGACTTATTTCTTTTTGTGCAGCTGGTCAACCTTTGACTCCAGTTCTGTAATGTATGACTGGAGCTTGATTGTGGCCATTTGCAGTGCCTGGATTAGAAATCATATGATCAGTCCCGAGGGTGAAGAAGAAAAGGGGGGCTCTTTGTGAGAAAAGAAGCGCATTTGGAGCTGTAGACATACCGAAATGTCATCAGAGAGCATCTCATTGGCGATCTTGTATTCTCCTAGGACGTAATAGTACACCGACGCGCCGGCGGCGACAGACCCAGCCAGGAACCCGAAAATACTGACGTAGTTAGCACCAGAACAAGCAGAGGATGAACAGCTTCTGAAATTGACCGGCTCGACCGGCTCGACCGGCCAAAGGAAGGAATTAGGATGTCAAGTGGACTAGGAAGAAAGCAAAGCAAAAACAACAACAAAGAGATATCCGAACATACCCTCCTCGGAAAGCTCCAACGGGCTTGCTTGACGGTAGTGGCGCAGCGGCCTGCGAGCGCGAGCAGGATGACGAGAAAGACCGGACACCGACGCGTGCGCGCATAGGGAGCAGAATTTTAGTAGAGATAGGCATATTGACAGGATTGTTCCAAAAATGTTTTTTATGGAGGGAGTATGTAGGAGGGTTGGAAGTGACGTTGATGAATTGCGGAGGTCCGGGCGGTTCGGAAGTTGGGGTAACCTTTTTGTATACGGGAAGAGACTATAGCCGCGAACTTGATATATTGATTATTCACTACTTTATTTCCTCTGTTCTTCTCTGCTGTTCTTTTCTCTCGGCTTTAATTGGCCATCGTGCTCTCATTGAACAGATCAGCCAAAAGATCTTCTCTGCACACTGTGAAGTCTATGCTCCCCATGCCATACGTACTCTCAAATACGTAGATACTCAGCCGATCGAAGAATGGTCGCAAGACGCGCTCGACAATTTCATCCTTGGCAGTCTCCCGGATCCAGTCAGAGAGAAGCCACGGTCGCTTCAGGCCACTGCGGGCCTGGGGCTCGTTAGTCTCTGGCACAGTGGGTGATGCTGCAATACGGGGACCGAAGCTCTGAGAAACCTCATCTGCTAGTGCAATCGGTTCCCATCGATCCGGCGGGTATACGGCATCAATAGTGTCGGTGACGAAAAGCCATTCGAGAAGTTGGAAATCGTCGGGGCCAAGGACCAGCAGAACGTCGAGGAGCTTACATGCCTGGAGCAATGAGTAGGAGTTGTAGCGTTCTGCCTGAGATCCTCGAGGAACGGCAGAGATCGCTTCTTGTAGCTCCGTGTTGATCAAAGGCCAAAATGGTGCCATTGCTGAGGCAGAGGTCTTGAGTGCGACAGCACGTAGGACCATGAACACTTCTGCCCGGGTAGCGGCGGATGGTGAGGAAGAGCTAGTTGCACCAAGAAGATCTTCCAGTTTTTGGAGCAAGGCTGGCAGCTCTCCGACAAAGTAATCTTCACTAGCAGACAGGAGGAGAAGTGCAATGCGCCGGAGGTTGAGTTGCGCTTTACGATCGGCTTCCAAGCGGGCGGCAGAAGCTCCCACGCCAAACATAATACCGGCTGTGCTTGGTGGCGGGAGACGTACAAGCAGCTCAGAGAGCCTCTCCTTGTCGGCAAGAACCCATTGTCGTAAGAGGTCCATCCAGCTGTTCTTCACCAAATCCAATTGTAAACCGAAGAATCGAGGGTCATTGAATGCGTCGGATATGTCTTTCTTCCACAATTTTGCTGCGGCCGGAACTTTGGCCATCTGTTGCAACAAGACCATGACATTGCGGTTGAGGTTGTTGGGGAATAAACGGGATCGGATAAGCGGGCCGATCACGTTGGTCGAGACACCGGTAATGGCAGTGTTGATACGATCCGAATCGCCTAGGGTGGTGATGAATGATGGCATAGAGACCGCGAGAATACTCAGCATATCATCGGGACCAGTGTGTGAGACAGAAGTCCGGTCATAATCCACAGAAGATCTCGCCAAAGGCCCATTGTCTTGGCTGAGGCCCAGAGGCTTGCTAGTAAAGACAGCTGTGAGCAGCCGCAGGAGTACATCCTAAACCAGTCAGTTAGCAAGAAGAAGTATAATGACGAACAGTGCATGTACGTACCCCGAGTTCCTTTCGCATACGGCGGTCCTCGCCAAAGGTTGTATTTTCCAGTTTCACACCTAATATAGCAGCGAATTCAATCAAACGTGGAAGGATTTGCCGATGTGGGAACGGATTACTCAGTACATCACGCAAGAATGTGGTACAGTCTGTCCAAATCTCATCTAGGACATCGTCATCCAATGACCGAGCATAGGTTACCAAGAAACTGGCAAGCTCAGACTCCGAAAGGCTAGATGTTAAAGACGACTTGCGGCTCGGTTCCAGCGCACTTGGATTAGTGCGCGTGTAAATCGCATTGAAGATGGCCGGAATCGTTATCTTCGGACTCGACCCATCGAGTGTATGGAGAAGGTTAAAGATCAGTGACGCCGTCTCCGAGTCGGATTTGGACCACATCTCCACCAATGTCTCCAAGCATTCAAGCGCCTCGGCGGTGAAGAAGTGCTCTAAAATCCGCCGTGATCGGTTTCTCATTCGCAGCGAAGTATACTGGAACGAAGCCAAGGAAACAGAGTCGATGGCAGTGCCACTGTGATCCCCTGCGCCCCATGACCAAATGGAGAAACATAAGCGAACGGCATCTTGGAAACAAAGAAGAACGGTCAATCGATCATTAGCGGTGTTGGGACGACCTTGCCCGCCTTCTGAGTGGAAAACCCCGGAAACCATGTTACCGAAGAACCCTTGGGCTTGATCAGGGCTCTTGACAGATGGAACATTAGCCTCCTCGACAATGAGACGCTCGTGTGCATTTGCGATACAGGTCTCAAGCCCAGAAAGAAGCGCGATTGTAACATGCTCAGAACGGTCTTGCGGCCAATCCTCTGTTTGATGGAATGATAGCTGGAGTCTGCCGTAAGAAGCTCGAATTTCTCGGCAGAAACATTCCGACAGCATGAGAAGGATCTGGAATATGGAACCCGAATACAGCGGAAGAACCTCGCAGAGTAGGAATATCCACTTCTCAACAATTTCCCGAGACTTGGGCGAGCTAATACCCTTGAGCAGACAGTCCAGCAGTCGGTCTGGTGGTTGTGGAATTGGAGGCATGGACAGCCTTCTGTCGCCTTTGTCACTGGTGAATGACAGAAGTGAAGGACTGGTCAAGCGATCCCTGGAGCTTGCCCGCAAATGTTTCTGTCGAGGTGGGGGTGGGGGAAGATAGGCCTGTGCAAATCGCACCTTCAATGCAGCTAGGAGAGCATCAATCAGTGCGCCCTGGACCACAATGCTACCGCCCTCAGAGGATACAAGCAGGCGTTCGACCAAGAAATCGTCGATACCGGACTCAACCAATTCTTCCGCCCCTGGACCAAGAAGAAGTTGCCGCATAAGTTGGAGAGCGTCCTTTTGTAGGCGTTCTCCTTCCAGGCAGACTTCTGTAGGGGTCGACTTTTGCGAGCTCACGACACGCAAAGAAGCCTCGAATATGGCCGCATGAAGACTTTTTGAATCGGAAATTTCTATTCAAAAGCAACCGTTAGCATATGTCATTCATCCTCGCTTTTTCACGTACCTTCGGAGTTGGATGCCTCGGGGCGCTTCTCATTGCCGAGAACGTGAGTGAGGAGGGTGATCCATCCGTTCTGTGATAGCGCGGCAATGATATTTGAAGCCGTTTGTAAAAGATAGTCACACTCCTTGTAGTCGTCAGGAGAGATCAACTGACTATCGACGTTTTTCTCAGCGGGGTCATCGTGCTCTGAGAGCTCGTCAAGCTTGGAGATGATGACATGGAACACCCTAGACTATCGTTAAAACCATATATCTTTCTGATGGGGGAAACGGAAAAGAAAACGAAAAAAAAAACCACTGTACTCACTTGTGGATAGTTGGTAGGTCCTGAAGCCAGAGCTGAACACTCTGAAAGCTATCGCTAGACTCCTGAGAGAGAAGATCGAGAGCGATAAAAAGCGGGCGCTCAAGCATCGAGCACTGGTAAGAGAACAAAGTTCCCCCAACATCGAGAACTTGTTTCGGGGGTTGCTCATGTGTGTTGTGGTGACTGTGATTCCAAAGAACATAGAATCGCTCAGCCTGCTGCTCGGATGAAAGATGACGGGAGCCCGTTGCTGAAGAGTCAATCATCAATGATGTTAAAGACGCCTCGACAAGATGGTCAACCCAAGAAATGGAGTGCAAAAGCCAGAGACAGCGAACCGCCTCCACGTGGAACTTTGGGCTGAGTGGTGAGAGATACCACCAGAGTTGATTAACGAGTGGAGTTATCAAATCACAAGCATCTTCATAGCTGACATAGAAGCCTGGAGTGTGGATGAAAAATATACTGGTTACCGTGGAGGCAATGGTGGAAATGACCGAAAAGGAGGCCGTAGTAGGCTTGTCTTTCCCAACATCCAGTCTTTGGGAGAGTGCTTCGTAAAGCTTGCGATCTCGCAGAACGCGCGATTTTGGAAGTTTCTTGAGCAAAGCCACAAGGACTTCCAAGCTCTCGTGGACGCATACGGTATCGTCACGAGCTCCCAGCGCTGCGATAGCCAACTCATAAGCCTCGCGGATGATCATCTCGCATAGAGTCTTTGGGGCATAAGGGAGAGGTGGAAGCTCCAAGCTGTTTTTACTTTGTTCATAGAAGCCGTGAACAGTTCTCAACACATCTGTGCCCCGGCTCTTCGTGTCCGTGCTGATGTATTTATCTGAGCCGGTCTTCTTTGAGAAGCCTCGTTCTGTAAGCAAGCCAATCAATGACTTGAGAACTTTGTTCAGGGCCGCGGAAATGACCTTTTTGTTGACTGTGCTTTGAATCGAAGAAAGGTTCCTTAGCTTCACGAGAACCGACAATGCCAACAAAGGAACGTGGATCTGAACCATGTCCTCCTCGCGGACATTGAAATTCTCAATGATAAATTGCGCAAGGCTCAGATCACTCAAGACCTGATTGGCATTCCTGTCCACATCGGCAGGTCGGTAATCAACCAACCCCAATAGCTCGGAGAATATGACACCGCTTTCAACCCCATCAAAGAAGGCGCTTGCACTGCGGAACACCTCTTCGAAATGGCTTTTGGAAGCTTCGATTTCAAAGGCCTTAACACTGCGTACAGTGGGTAAGAATACTGCGGGGACAATATACCCGCCAATCTCCCAGCGATCCATTAGTGACAAAGCTATCCGGAAAGGCTTGGTTCTTTCGGATGGAAGACTGGGTGCCTGGCTAATCATTTCCAAGAGGCCGGTAACTAACGGCTGCAGGCCCACACGGCTAAAGTACTGTGATTGCGTAAGTTCCTTGCCATCGACAGACGCTGACCGGACGGTTTCCGATGAGATCTTCCGGTCGTCAATTGAGGTGTTATCATTCGGGGAGTCTGGTCCCAAGAACCAAGCCCAAAGTCGGCGGTTTAAGCCCATTTCTCGCCGAGTGACCACCCCGACTGCTGCAATCACCAATGTCCGTAGATCGCTTGCGGCAATCCTCTTCTGCAAGATCGGGGAGCTCAGGGGCAGATGTGTCACAAGAAGATCGAGGAAATTGCGCTGCACAAGAAGCTGATCGTCAGACAAACCCGATGCAATGCAACGAATCAAAAGACCCGGCTCTGGAAGAATGACTGAGTCTGCTGCAGCGAGCATCTCAGGTGGGGTATCAAGAATGTCATTGCCACCAGCGATGCTTGGCCGGCGATCTGATATGCCTAGCTTTGGTAGGTAACGATTGAGATATGCGAGAACACCAAGGCGCCGACTAGGATTGGTTATAGACGCCAGAAACAGGCACTGCCAGAAGTACTGCCCAGATGCCCCTGCTTCGGATGTTCTTTGTGTCTCAAGGCGCCCAGCCGCGTCACGCAGTTTGTTGATAGTACGCAATGTCGGCTCAAAGTCATCACTGGTTTCCTCTTCAAGGCCCGGGAGTAGTGCAAGAATAATGGCCTTCAGGGCGGGTCGAATGGCCCACGGCTCCAGATCAACAATGTAGCCCTCGACCAGAGATAGGAATAGTGGTCGAACCGTCAAGGAAGCAAATGTCAAGGTTGGCGAAAGACCGGGGAAATACAGAGGTAGGTCGTGCGACAGTCCCTCGAGCTAAGAATGACCCCATGCATCAGTAAGCCCTAGCAACCTTTCGTGTCATGATACACACCTTGATCAGTCCAAATATGTACGTGTAGACTTCGAGAGCCTTCTGGTGAACACCTGAAGGCAGTGATGGATTCAGACACTGCGCAAGACGTTTGGAGACCTGCACTTTATGGGGGACGATTGGTTGATCCGGTGGGTGTGTTTGGAGCGCCTAGCGGTCTAATGTCAATGAAAGTGCACAGCCGTCGCTAAGTGAAAGCCTCACCTTTAGCAGGCGACTGAGAAAAGAGATGTAGTCTGCCCATTCTTGGAGAGCATTGTCGAATAGGGAGAGTGCTCGTTCGACGCTGGATGCGTATCGGCGGTAGTTTTTGTCTTTCTTGAGGGTTCCTGTCGAGCGCAGAGGCGTGTCAGATATGGATATTGCACAATTGAAGATCTTCAGTCATGCGCATACCTTCCTTGCCTTGTAGCCTGGAGCGCGTCAAGGAGCTCTCGGAGCTTGCGGGGGAGTCCGCCCTCGGGAAAGCACTCGGATCAAGGCTCATGATGCCAATGACGGACGTGGAATTCGTGTGAAAGATGTGAAATACCCTCCGTCATGTTTAGGACATCGAGGATAGCCCTTGAGGTAAGGGTGGTGGTGGTTAAATGAAGCCTAGAAGCCACGCAGGCGGCCACGTTCGATTGTTTTGTTCCGCCCTGGAGCTCCGACTTGGGCGACGTCAGCGTTCAACCTCTCTCGAAACAGCAGCTTAGAGACTCTGAATATCCAAAATCAACGATGCAAATTTGATAACCCAAATTACCCGCGACGAGCGACCGCGTTCAAAAGCGCATGCCCGCAGCGGGCATGAATACACATATTAGCAGTGAAGGCCACCAGGAGCCTCATGATGTCTCCGAGCAACCCGATTTCTCCAACCCACCAAACCCCGACGGTGATGCGCAAAGTGTGACCTCGGAAGAGGAGCGACCACCTTTACCCCCACGCCCAAATACGCTGAGTCTGTTAAATGATGAAACGGGCTCTCGTGCGACCTTGCAGGCGGAGGCGACGACTGCGATTTCACGAGCCGAAATTGGGACACAATCGCCAGCAAAAGGGGGAGCGCCTACTCGACGTTGGCTTCTCGTGGTTCTTCCAATGGTCCCAAGGCCAAGGCGAGCCTAAGTCAGCTAGCGAGTCCCCGGGACAGTGAAGCTGGTGATTCAGCTAGCATTCGAAGTTCGATCCCAAATGCTGATGCTGGGGACGTGGAAGCGCTATTCTTGGACTTCGCTGCTATAGCCCCCGAAGGCCAAGAACAGCATGCCACTGGCTTACTTGAGTTCCCCGAATTTGCAGCCGACAATATAGACGATGATGGCATTTTAAGTGAATTTGAGGCGGTCGGGGAGTTGAACGAAGAAGGCGACAATGAAGGTACAGTAAACATATTTGAACGATCGCATCCCCTTATTCAAACTTCTAACGCGTATTAGAGCTGTTACTTGAGAGGTGGAAGGCGAAGCGAAAGCACTATGTCATTCTTTCTGCGGCCGGTAAGCCGATTTGGACGAGACATGGTGACAGTGGATTGATATCTGGCTATGTTGGAGTCATTCAAACTATCATATCATTCTACGAAGATGCAGACGACCATCTGCGAAGCTTCACGGCTGGTGATACCAGGTTCGTGGTCTTAACTCGAGGTTCATTGCACCTGGTAGCTATCAGCCGCATGATGGAAAGCGAAACCCAGCTTCGGCTTCAGCTGGAAGCGTTATACATGCAGATCTTGTCTACCCTTACACTCCCTTCTATCACTCATCTGTTCTCTGTACGACCTTCCACCGATTTATCACGGCCTCTTCAAGGCTCGGAGTCCCTCCTATCATCTTTAGCGGACAGCTTTACCCGAGGATCTCCATCAACATTGCTGTCGGCTTTGGAATGCTTGAAGATCCGCAAACAGCACCGCCAAAGTATCAGCAACGCCCTCTTGAAGACCAAAGCTAGCAGTTTGCTGTATGGGCTGGTCGTGGCTGGTGGACGGCTTGTCAGTGTCATTCGACCCAAGAAGCATTCTCTCCATCCCGGTGATCTACAACTGCTCTTCAACATGGTATTTGAAGCAGATGGAGTTAAGGCCGGCGGCGGAGAGAACTGGATTCCTGTCTGTTTGCCCGGATTCAACAGCAGCGGTTATCTTTACATGTATGTCAGCTTCCTGGATATTCGCGACGATATCGAGAATAGCGCAGAAATTACGAAAGACGAGTCTGTCGCCATAGTACTCATCAGTCCGGACAAAGAAGCTTTCTATGATATGCAAGGAATGCGTGACGCTCTTGTGGAGGTAAGATCGAGAATTTTTCCGCATTCGAGCGTGAGCTATGAATCTGACGATACAATAGCAAATGGAGAAGAACGGCAGCCTGAAAGAAATTAAGATTGCAATCGATAATGGCCGACCCGCAACTACTGATATAGTTCCTGGCACGGTTCTCCACCATTTCCTATATAAATCGCGTGCGAATGTGCAATTTACCATGTCATCGTATGCACCCGAGTTCTCTTCTTTGACTAGACGACGAAGGTAAGTTGATATATTCCGCTCTTCGTGTCTTAAGCCGCCCTAAATTGTGAGCTCTTACAATAGGTTGATGTCGATGTACAACAATCTGCACGCCAGCATCCATAGCAAAAACACCCACGTGAAGGTTCATCACTGTGTTTCACGTTCAGCAAGCTCCTTTGGGTGGGTCACTCCGATATTCGAGCTTTATTGTATCGCAGAGCCGAACACAAATCGAAACGCGCTCGCACAAAGTGCAAGTAAGATCGCTCAGTGGGTGCAGCGCGAGGAAGAGAGACTCTTCATCATCGGAGGTGCTGTATGTATTTGGCCTATCATGTCAGCGCCAAAAACAAGCATACTAACTTCAACAGGTTTTCTGATCAACCTATACATGACCTTCGAGTGAGCGCGATGTCTGTACATATATTGACATTTGTTATACCCAATATGACGCAGTGCCATAAGCAAAACTCCCTAGGTAGGCTGTTTTCAGTGCCGAGGTCTCAATCCACTTTACGACATCACCGCTTCTCTTACACGTGAATGCTTCCAAGGTTTTGCAAAAGATTGACCCTGCATCTCAGAGCCTTGGTGCCTTCCAAGCTTTGAGCCATCTGGGCATGTGTTTGATTACTATATAATCATGGTGACATGAGATTAAAAGTAGATCTAGTCAACCGAGTCCTCCCGAAGGTTGAAGAGTTGACGCATTATTTCGCTAGACTTGCTGCGCAGCCCATCATGGTAGATGGTGTTGGTGATGAACTGCTTACTGTTCTTGATCTTGGAAGCAGTGGCAGTAGCCAGATCGAAGTGGACATACATATCCTCGATATAGGTTGCAGCATACACCGGAACCGTGTTGCTGGCTAGCTGGGCCTCATCATAGAGCGCAGGCCATTCGTCAGTGGTAGCCAGTATTTGGGCCACATCTTTGAGCTCCTCGAGTTCCGAGTAGGATTCAAACATATCCTTGAAGACCTGACGAAGGTGTATTAATTTAAACTCATTTGCTCGAGCTATTATTGTGAACAGGAATAGACTTCTTACCATCTCGCCAGTGAAGTAAATCGCAGGAACCGAGTCGGAAATTGTGAACTGTGGGTCGCTGGAGCGCAGCCGGTCTGCCGACCAGAGCGAGGATTTTCTATCGATGTGAGAAACGTGCGTAGCATCCACAGACCTGAAGCCTGTGAGGGGTCTTTTCTCACCCTTGACAATAGATTGACTCATGGAGGATAGCATAGATGACATTTTTGTCCATGCCTCCGTTGCCATCAATGGCAGAGAGAGTAGGCAGGGTGAGGAAACCGAAGATATCTAAATCGTTACAGACCCTCACAACGATGTCTAAGCAAAGGTCAGCACTTCACCCCGGGTTTTCTGGTGTAGATGGTTTACCATGCAAAGTATCCAAGCCACCTAGACCACATTAGCTCTTTCAATCATCGTTTCACAGGCAAACCTACCGTGGAAACCAAACAAAATGCCTAATTGCTGGAAGCGGGCTGGAGTAAGCTTGCCAGAGGGAAGCTTGATGTTGTTCTGCTGGAGATACAGCATGACCCTTTTGACACGCTCTACGTCCTCAGGGTACTTCTCGTAGTAAGCTTCATTTCTCAGCTTTACCTTTTCTGTGTGCTCGTTAGTATTTAGAGAATAATTCTAGAGATGATTTAAACGGAACTGGGAAGGTAAACATACCATAGGTCTTCGCATACACAGGATCCGGTCCATTGGTTAGAGGAGGAAGACCGCCAGTGAGAAAAGCCTCTCTCAAACCCTCTGGGCTGTCATCATAAAAGCATTAGCACGATATTCAACAAAGTCATGGTGTCTTTTAAGTGCCTCGCAACATACAACTTCGAGAGATACGTCACTGCACAAAAGCCACCAAAGCTCTGCCCAAGAATACTCCACTTGCGCTGATCTTCTGGGTAGTCTTTTGTCAGGATATTACGAATTGCCTCACAATCCCGGACAATGTTGTCCGCGCGAAAGTTTTTCAGATACTCTGCTTGCTTGATAGCATCACCCTGGCGCGCCAGCGTCCCAGCGGTGATGGTCGAGCTAAGACCAGTGCCTCGTTGATCGAGGAACAACACCTGTTGAAGGGATCAGAATCCAAACATAGTGAGCTCAGTCGCAAGGCCATACCTGATAACCTTTGCTGAGGATAAAGTCCACCCAGGGGTAAGATTGCGGGGTACCGCATCCAAACCCAGGGCCACCTTGCAAATAAACCAACCAAGGAAGCTTTCCTGCTTTGCTGTCTTCCTGAGCGGGCTCAATGGGTGTGTTTTTACGGGCAATGCTGCGCGCAAAGAGTCTCAGGGTGTCCCCGGCGGGCTTGCTGTAATCCACCGGGACATCAAAGAAAAGCTCGGATATCCGAAGCTTGCCTAGGCAGTAATTAGCTTAATAGCTTTGCAGATGTGACGAATAATGACCTGGGACATTGTGGAATCTGCGGTCAATCAGTTTTGCAGTCATGATCGCGGTGTTGACAAAACTCGGAGGCGCTCGGTGGACAAGCCGCCGTATCACTGTTTTGGCCATGGACTCCGGGTTCTCGACCCCGACTTCTTCTTGGTTTGGCTTTCTCGGGGAAAGAGAGACTTCTGGGCAAATTATTGACACACGCGTTATATACGACCATAAAAACCGTGAGAACTTCTTTTTACCAACCTTGGAAGGCTTTGGACTGAAAATCAACAACGCCCCATCAGAGTATTATCGGAAGATGGGGCACACACAGGCAGCGAACATTCCCCGACACTAGCAGGTATAGAACAAAACAAAATCATTTATACTACGTTTTTAATCGACTGTTCACTGAATTATTTAGGCCACAATAGATATCTAGCTACCGGGGCTCAGAGCCTAGTCCCATGTGGTGTACGATGATACCAATGTTGTAGCTTGTACGGAGTACAGGAAGCTCATGCCACTCACTCCGAAGGATATGACCTCAGGACTAATCTCAGCCTCCAACTGATATTTATTTATTGTTGAAATAGCACTCATTGAGATTTCCAGTTTTTACATGATTGAGTCCGCTGCCCTAGGTACCCCAGCCCTCGAGAAAACCTCGCCATGTTCGATGCCGATTCCGATCTAGAAACCTTGCAACTTAAGTGAGGACATCAACAATACAACGCAGCTAAGATTTGAACTAGTCCATGCATAAAAAATGGAAATGGAAATTGGAACAAACAAATAATTTAAAACAAGATCGAAATTAGAACAATTTGTGTACATCTTTCATTAGAAGCCTTGGATTATTCTCCTTCTTCGCTTGGATGCTTCTTAGCTGTAAGCTGCCGACCAGATTTTAGGAGAAGTAGGGTTGCAGGTAACTGGGCAGCTGCAAACCCAATCATAACTCTCAGCTGAGTAGTATAACTACTAGCAAACACATCCTTGATGCGCTCTTGCAATTGCGGGGAAAGGTCTTGTGTCAACTTCACATTCTCAAGAAAGAAGTGCAACCTATGCGAAGTGAGAACCCCATGCAAAGAGCTTGCGAGTTGGCCATTTTGGATGTTGGATGCAATAGCCAGACCGATCGCCCCGCCGAGGAACCGGAACTGGACGACAGCACCAGTGCCAATTGCTGCCAGAAAGGTGATAAGTTAGCCAACGCCTTCGAAGATTGAGCGCAATGAAGTATTCGGGAGTATACATACCCAGATCTCTGTCTTCGACTATATATGGGGTAGATAACACCAAGATTCCAAGTGTTAGACCCATGCCTGCACCAGCGATGACCTCATATACGATGTCTGTTGCATGGAATCCCTTCGAAGAGGCGATGGTCGAGAGAAGGCCGACACCCACAGTATGGATGACACAACCAACAAGTAGTGTATAGATAAAGGGTATACGCCCTCTAGAGCTTGCGATGTTGATGAGACCAGCAGCGACCATGGCAATGGCAGAATATCCAATCAGATAGATACCGGCATCAAACGGCGATTTTCCGAGCAGCAACTCAGCTTGCTGTGGAACATAAACCAAAACAACGTTGAACGGGGCACCGATGACAAAAGAAGAACTAATAAACCGTCAGAAAATACAGGTGCAATTAAAGTCTTCGGATGACTCACATGAGAATGCCCATCCAAGGTCGATCAAACAGCCATCGCTTGGGGAAAATTGGATCTTTGCCTGGTATTCCTGATATGTACCACTCCCAGGCAAAGAATGCGATCCACGAGACTCCTGTAAGCACGAGCAGCGCAATTGCGTCTCGAGACGACCAGGAAAATGCGAGATTGGTTTCGTTCAGGACAGCGACGATCAAAAAAGAGCTTGCCATCATCAATACCGAGCCAACAATGTCAAGATTAGCAAATGAGCGATATGAAGCTCGTGTCCTAAACGATGGGGTGTGTTGATCAAGACCAAAGTTGACGGGCATTGCGACAAGAATGATCACTATCGCAAGAGCACATAGGGGAGCGCTAGTAGAAGAGTCAGTGAGTGTTCAATGGAGCTGTCACTCAATCACCTACTTTATAAAAAAGGTCCACCGCCATGCAGAGTTCTGAGCAAAGGCACCTCCGATGATTGGGCCTATCAAGGATGCGAGAACTAGACAAATGGACATGAGAGCACTGTAAGTGGGAAGCTTGGCCTTGGGAGTTATTTCATAGACGCAGAGTATTGTCAGTGCGTATGCACCGGCGCCACCTATTCCTTGAAAGGCTCGAAAGATGATCCTGTGCCAGCAAAGTTAGGTTTCAAGCTAAGAACGCATGTAGAGTTTAATGGGACCTCACAGTTGGTTCACTGTCTGAGCGCACCCGCACCCAATCGAGAAAGCAAGCAGTATGACCAATGCAGCGATTGTTGTAGATTTCCTTCCCACTATATCGCTCACCTTGGTCCATATTGCCATGGAACCTGGAGATATCGTCCATTAGACAAATGTTACGACGGGAAGATATGGCGTAGATGGGTCTGAAACTCAATTGAAGACAATGGCCTCAACTCAAGAAATGGAACTGAATGAATGGAGCTGTTTACCTGTGTATGTAGCCAGATATCCCGTGACGATCCAGCTTCTCTTCTCGAACCCGTTCAAGCTGTCGGTGATACTTGTGAGAGCCGAGCTAACTATGGTCACATCCAGATTTGAGAGGAAAAAGGAGAGCAAAAGCCTGTTGATAATCAGCCATCTCGATACAGCAGTCCCAAGAGACCCAGTTGAATGTGTCCGTACCCTATGGTGGTCAGTACGAGTCTCCATCCTGTCGGGTACACGATTTCAGTTCCGGGGGAGGGTGCTCGTTGTGCAGACCCCTTTTCCTGAGTATCGGACCTGGAGCGCCCGATGTTTGATTTCTTCGAGATCGGCTCAGCAAACTTGATATGGCCAGACATGGCTGTCGAACCTCTCAAGTGCGGAGGTGATGAGGACATCCATTGCAAGAAAGTTTTGAAAGGAACCGCGTAGGACCAAGCCCCGCGTATCTTCACAGGGGCTTCATGTGGAACGTAGGAGACGCACAATGACAGAATGTGGAATATTTACCTGTATGAAGGTGATCATCGCCGATCATTGAACCTAGATAGTGGGACTGAACATATGGCTTGGCTAGTATTTGCTTTTTGGGCACGATGCGTGACTCAATTTGTCATTTATGTCTGTAACTCCTCAGTGAAGCGTCTCCTGACTGGCTATTTCTCTTAATTCTGCGGTGTCTGCAGCCTGATAAGGACTCATTCTTTTGAGGGGCCTAAGCCGCTTTGGATTCACGCGTCTGATTTTCGTGTCAGTGTCTCCTTGCCTAGGGATGCCCCTAGCCTCGCCAAACATGGCTTCAGCTTGTTTCTCAAACGCAGTACGGAGTAAATTGTCTCATGTCATTCAGTAAGGATGTTGCTTATCTACCATAAGCTGCAAGTCACATTTTGGGATAGATGTTGATCGTTGTCCTAGCAAAAGGTGGTGAGACAGCTTGGAAACATGCTGCGCCTGCAGAAGGCATAGGTCGCGTTGTATTCTGACCGACACACCAAGCGAACGTGTTAAATCAAGAAAACTCAGACGTGTACAACAACAACGGCAGGATATGCTCGGGTGGCAGTTGAGGTGGAAAAGGAGGGTTAACAGATCGCATCGCACCTTCCCGAGAACCTCACGATCGCACCTTGCAACTTCAACCATTGGGCATCCGACTGCAATGGTCAAGTGGCAGCGTGTAAAGTCATCTCGTTACCGCCACAGTTCAGCTTTTGATTTTATTCATGGATGTTACTCAAATTGACCATTTAGGCCGCGTTACTAGTCTGATTAGGGAGACTCCGCCAAAAGATATGGAGTCAAACACACCACAGCAGAACATAATCCATGACCAGGTGTCAGAATTGACGTGCCCAATCACCATTCAAGGTCTAGATTATCCGTGAAGGAGTCGTCGAGGTACGATCTGGAGATACCCACAACTGCTACTTTAGGGAGGTACAGCCGAAGCTTATTGCGAGCCTTGCCACGTTCCAAACCCCGAGGATCCCGCCATCCTCATAAAGCAACACCGTTGGCCATCTCGTTCGATACAAACAATGCAGAGTCAACTTCAAAATTTGTGGAGGGTCGCCCAAGGGCCGTGGGAATCCGGAGTTCTCCCTACCGCTGAAGACTTGGCGCGAGCGAGAGCCTCCCTCCCCGCGACATTGCCGGATACCGGCTCCAGTCTTGAGTTGATACAGCGCCACATTTTGGATGACATTGCGCCGGCATTCAACGGTGGCAGCATCAGTCCAAACTATTACGGGTTCATCACGGGCGGGACTACGCCTGCTGCGCTCTTCGCGGACAACGTCGTCTCTGCCTACGACCAAAATGTCCAAGTTCATCTTCCAAACCACTCCATCGTCACCGATGTGGAGTACAATGCGATTGGCTTGCTTCTAGATCTCTTCCGATTGGACCGCTCGGCTTGGTATAACGGAACTTTCACCACTGGCGCCACTGCTAGCAACGTCCTTGGTCTGGCGTGTGGACGCGAGTATGTCCTGCAAAAGGCTGCACAGAAAAAGGGCAGTCAACTGCAGAGTGTCGGTGAAGAGGGACTGTTTGAAGTGATGAGTGCTCTAGGCCTGTCGGGCATACAAGTGCTGTCAACACTGCCTCATTCATCTGTTGTGAAGGCTGCGGGCATTTTGGGCATCGGTCGGTCCAACGTGCATAACATTTGTCGCGCTGACGATCCGCTCCACTTTGACCTGGAACGGCTTGAAAAAGAGCTCGCACGAACTGACAAAGTCAGCATTGTCGCCATATCCTGTGGCGAGGTAAATACCGGCCGTTTTGCGACAAACGGTACGGATTTGAGAGACATCCGCCACCTGTGCGACAAGTACGGAGCATGGTTGCATGCCGATGGAGCCTTCGGAATATTCGGCCGGATTCTCGATGAGAGTGCCGAGTTTGCAACTGTCAGGAAAGGCTCGGACGGAATAGAATTGGCTGACTCGATCACCGGTGACGGCCACAAGCTTCTCAACGTTCCCTACGACTGTGGCTTCTTCTTCACTCGACACCCACATGTGGCGTCCCAGGTATTCCAAAATGCCAATGCGGCTTATTTGACGGCAGGAAACTCAGATGGACCTTCCATTCCTTCACCTCTGAATATTGGAATTGAGAATTCTCGTCGCTTCAGGGCACTCCCCGTGTATGCCTCCCTGTTGTCATATGGAAAGTCTGGGTACCAGGAAATGCTTGGTCGTCAGATCAAACTTGCCCGCAAACTATATGACTGGATATTCGACCATCCTGAGTACACAGCTTTGCCGCAATCCTCATCCAAGGCAGAGCTGCTTGATCAAACGTTTATGGGCGTCCTTTTCCGGGCAAACGACCCGGAATTGAACCAAAATCTGGGGATCAGAATCAATGATAGCTCTCGCATGTTCGTCTCTGGTACTAGCTGGGATGGTAACCCTGCTTGTCGCATTGCAATCTCCAATTGGCGGGTTGACGTGGAGCGAGATTCAGCGCTCGTTATCGACGTACTGGCCAAGATTGCCGAGAAAAAATGAGCTACCAAATGAACTCTCATTGTAAAATCTCGAGTTCATCTTGTATATGATAGTAATACGCACATATGGAAATTGATAATCTTAATTAGCATTGAGAAACATCACATTTTGAATTTTTGTTGGTATTAACGACGGCGACCAGCTCCTCCCATGTTCTCGGTTCGGTCAGCCATGCTGACGACCTCACCAATACCAGCAGCCTCCTGTTCATCCTCCAGAGCCATGATCTCCTCACGGCTGTCCCACCATCTTTCTTCAGCAACAGAGAATGCGGCCTTGCGAAGTTCCTTGACTGTCTTTTCGCTGGCGTTCTCTCTCTCCCTGGCGATATCCATCATGATGTTCTGCCATTCTTCAGATGTGCGACTGAAGAACTCTCTCAGACTCTCGAAAGGTCTAGGAAGGGGTCTGCTGTCATTCACATTCTGCTCCTCGGGCTCCTCAACCTCAAGCTGCTCCATGTCCTTGGTCACAGATGGCACGTTGGGGTCTGTGGGAGCAGGCGAAGCGGCATCAACGGACATGGCCTCTGCATCAGCCTCATCCTCATCTTCATCCATTTCATCTTCCTCGTCATCTTCCATATCTTCGTCACTGTCGTCGGCCTCGTTGAGCAGGTTCCAATTCTCGGGCTCGCGGTAGAAGATCTCTTTGACGCCGTCCATCTTGACCAGATCGATAGAGTACATGTCGTCAAAGGTGAACTCTCGGTCACCCTTTTCAAATGTACCGCCAAAGATAAAAAGTGTATCATCTTGTACTGCAAGTTGAGCGTTGAAACGTCGGTGGGGCATCTCGAACCGAACAACCGAGGGCTTCTCAGGCTCAGCCGGCTCTTCAGGTTGAGGTGTGCTCTGCATTTCCTCGTCATCATCCTCACCCCGAATGCCGACCTTAGCCTCCAAAGCCTTGAGATTGGCCAGAAGCTCTTCCTCGTCTGCTTTGCCTCTGTTCTTCGCCTTGACGTTCTGGTTTGCCTGCTGTTTCTTGCCCGGGGCGCGAGGGCGTCGCAGTGTCAACGGGAAGAATCTGTTCCTGTCGGTGTTCCAAGCAAACAGCGTATCAAAGAACTCGCTGTCGATTCCTTCTTCCGTCAACTCCACGTCATGGACACCACCAAACATGATACCACGACCCTTGTGGTATGCCATGGTAGTGCCGACACGCGGCGGGTTGGGTGTGTTAGCGGGCTTCTTTCGACGCTCCCATCGAATGACGGGACCCGCTGAAGATGGCGCTTCGGTTGCTGGAGGTGTGATTCTCAGGAACCATGTATCTTGGTGAACCATAGGCCGGAGAGCCATCTTTTGCGGGCCACTTTTGCCTTGCTTGCCGCCACCACCACCGCCGGTGGAGGCTTTCACTCGAGAGTACCCACCGTAGATCACGGCACCGGTCTCATGTGGGAGGAATGAGAATGAAGAACGGGGATCGGGCTTCTGAGAAGAAAGAGCTGGCATGGGGTTTGTCCATGTATACTGATTGCAATCGTAGATCCACAGATCTTGCAGGTACTTGGTCTGCTGGGAAGTATCTTGGAAGCCACCAAATAGGATGATGTAGTTCTGTTCTCGGTCATTATGGATTCGCCAAATGCTGAATCAAAAGCATAGGGTCACTTACTTTGAAATAGGTCATGCGGTGGCCACTTCGAGCAGGAGGGCCTTTGCCCTTGGACTCGAGTCGGGTCCACTCTCTCGTGGTTGTGTCCAGGTGCCAGAAATCGTTGTAGTGGTAGAATGTACCTTGCTTTGGCGAAGAGAACTCTCCTGTTTACGATCAACATCTGCACAAAAGAATTTTACTATGAAATTCCGTGAAATATCTTACCTCCAAACATGTAAATACCTCCGGTGTTTCCACCACGGCACCATGCATGTCCACTTCGAGGAAGAGGACTATTCGGACTGGTCACCTCTCTCCATTCGCCGCGATCAATCAAATAGACGAAAAGGTTGTTGAAGAAAGTGGCGTGTGTCCCATCGAAGTATTCACCACCGTAAAGCAACAGTTCATTGCGGTTCGACGGAGAGGCCAGCACAGTCGCAGATGATCGTGGGACCGGTGGCTCAGAGGTGACTTCAGTGACCTTCAAGAACTTGGCCTGTTCTTCGGCATATTGGGCTAGGATGGCATCCAGATCGGCATCTTCTGCGTCGCTGTCTGCATCTTTACCCTTGGCTTTTGATCTTTTCTCCTTCTGGGCAGTCTTCTTCGTCTGCTTGGCTGCAACACGCGCCTTGTGTTCGTCTGTTTTCTTGCCCTTTTTACCCATTTTGGCTCAATTGTCCAGAATGAGAGTTTTGTCTTCTTTTCGTGGGGCAAATTTTATGCCTTCCCCACACTGACGCCCCTCCAGATCTACACAGATTGGACTGCTTGTTGAGTTGTGAATATGGAATAGAATCTACAGACTATGTAAGCTGACGATAATTATAAGTTAACGATCTATTTCAATATTATCATAGCCATGCTTTCTTCTTAGTAGATAATCATCCCACTTGGAAGTCGCGAATGTCAATCGTGCCTGACCGCTCACGTGCAGACGCGTTCGATATTGGCGCGATTGCGTCGATTATTTCCAAACACCAACGGCCATGAGAGCAGCACGCCCCCATGACGAAGAATAACTTGGCTGTTCATCTCAAATGGCTGGAAACCCAAGGGAAGCCTTCATACCCTCAAATAGCGCAGTCTAGCTCGCCGCGACGCGAAAATCACGAACCGCAGCAACCGACTCCCCCAATTGACGAGAGTGCGATACTTGATGATATTCCCGAAGACGTGGAGAATGAGACGGACGAAGAAATGGCAAGACTGCTATATGCGCCCCAATCGGCGAGAAAGCCTCGACTCTTGAGCAGACCCGACACGCTCCCCGCCAATACACCCTCAACTTCAAAGAAACGCAGCGAGCACAAGCAGTCAAGCGTGGTACGAGGTATGGAATCAAATACACCAACATTTGATAGTATGGCCAACCCGACTGACTTGAAGCGCTTGCTGAGCAGATTCTTTCCACGAACCACCGGCTTCATCCCACAAGGCCGCTCGAGTAAAGTCTACCCCGTCACGACCGGATAATCCGAGAGCCTCCGATTACGATGACATTGAATCCATTGATCTGACTGGAGAATTCGATCCGTCCTTACTGTCCTCTGGTGCCACCCAAGCAGCCAAGTCACGCGGTCTACGGCCAGATCAGACCACACCTTGCGAAACGATTAAAGAGAAACGCGGAAAGAAGCGAAAGAGCGATGAGTATACTTCAGATCTTCATTCGCCCTCGAAACACTCGACCAAAGTGCGCACCCTGTCGGGTACGCCCCGGGCTATGGGTGCGAGGGGCAAGATAACAAGCGAATCCACAATTCCTCGCCAGACAGCCCCGATGAATCCTCCAAGCGTGGTGAAGCGACCCGTGAAAACATTGCCCTCATTCGAGAATCCTCGGAAACAAGTGATTGCTGATTCCGACGATGAGGAGGAAGACGAGGGTCTTTTCGATGACTGGCCAGACAATGATGACCATGGCAATATGATGTTGGATACAGAGGAGAGCCTCTACCCCATTCTTCCTGAAATGAGTCCAGCCGGCGATGAAACATCCGAGACAAAATCCGGCATCAAACAGTCGCACGATAAAGAAAAATCCACGCCCAAGGTGTCTTTCCCACCTGCGCAACTATCCACTCAGACTGCACGAAAAACAGAACCAAAAGATACCATTCTATCAACCCCGTCGTCAAAGCCATCAGGGACGCAGGAGAAGGACCCGGCGGTTGTGGATTTTCTGGCACTGGGGAGAAATGCCTTTGGACATGCAATCGCCAAACTGAAGGCTATCTTGCAAAAGAATTCCGAGATTGTATACCAGCAGGCAATGGAAGGCCAGCCAGTCCCAGAGTTGATCGCCGAAAACAAGAGTCTTGTCGCCCAGATTGATACAATCGAGTTGTTGAAAGAACAGCAAAACACCCACAAAGACTGTCTGGCTCGTAAACAGAAGTTCAAGCAGAATCTGATGCGCGTGATTTCTCAAGGCCTTGATCCAACGAGTATGCCAGATGAGCTTGCAAAAAGCCGAGCTGTCGAGATAGAGTTGGAACAACTCGAAGGACACATATCACAGCTTCTTTGTCGAGTGAACCTCTTGGAGCTCGCGCAGGACAGCCCGTTGGACACGCTCCCTGCGGAACGTACAGAGCCAACAACTGCAATAAACCTACTCGCACGTGAATCAGATCCATTTACATCATCACGAACTGAGTTCAAACCCAAGGTCAACAACCAAGAGCGCCCAACTTTCACAATTCCCCCAAACCGAAAAATGCGAACGAGTGGAGCGGTGGTGGAAATCATATTGCCCGGAACATGGGCTCACCGCAGCTCGATTCGATGGACCTTGATGAGTTTGATTGGAATGCGAGTGACGACGAAATACTCGAGGCAGCTGGAGGCTTCAACGGTGGTGATCAATTACCTATTCGCGACTCTGGCAGCCAAAATCGCAAGGTCTTTGCAGAGACCTCTGGAAACACCCAAAAGGCTGCTGCTCCGAAGAAGTCGCCCGGCCATAGCGCTTTTTGGTCTAATCATCCTTGGTCCCAAGAAGTCCGAAAGGTCCTAAAGGATCGATTTCATCTCCGTGGGTTTCGACCAAATCAGCTCGAGGCCATTGATGCAACCCTTGCCGGCAAAGACACCTTCATACTCATGCCCACCGGAGGAGGGAAGTCTCTCTGCTACCAATTACCCTCCATTGTGACAACTGGACGCACCAGGGGAGTGACAATAGTGATATCTCCATTGCTCAGTTTGATGGAGGACCAAGTATCGCATCTGCGAAAATTGAACGTGAAGGCGTATCTCATCAATGGTGAGACCGAAAAAGAGGAAAAATCATGGATTACGAACCAACTCTCAAGTGCGGAAGGACAGGCCCTAGAGGTTCTGTACATTACCCCCGAAATGATCAACAAGAACCAATCATTGGTCCGAGCCCTAGAAAGGCTTAATGGGAGGAACAGGTTGGCCCGTCTGGTCATTGACGAAGCACACTGCGTCAGCCAATGGGGACACGATTTCCGACCAGACTACAAAGAGCTCGGAGAAGTTCGCTCCAAATTTCCTGGTGTACCAGTGATGGCTCTAACGGCTACTGCCACTGAAAATGTCAAAGTCGATGTCATGCACAACTTGAAGATGGATGGATGTGAGGTGTTCCTGCAGAGCTTTAACCGTCCTAATCTCACATACGAGGTGCGGCCTAAGGGAAAGAATGACGAAGTCTTGAACAGCATGGCGGAGATCATCACAAGCCATTATCGTAACCAATGCGGAATTATCTACTGCCTCTCGCGCAGAACATGTGAGACTGTTGCAGAAGACCTGGAAAAGAAATTCCGCCTCAAGGCGAAACATTACCATGCAGCTATGCCCACCCATGAAAAATCAGCAGTGCAGAGTGCGTGGCAGGCGGGCAAAGTGCACATCATTGTTGCCACTATTGCTTTCGGGATGGGAATCGACAAGCCCGATGTTCGATTCGTCATGCATCACAGTATCCCAAAGAGTCTTGAGGGTTACTACCAGGAAACGGGTCGTGCTGGGCGAGATGGCAGACGCTCCGGATGCTATCTTTACTATGGTTACAAAGACACCGCAACTTTGAAGCGCATGATTGACTCTGGAGATGGGAGTGGTCAACAGAAAGCCCGCCAAAAGCAAATGTTGCGCAATGTTGTTCAATATTGCGAGAACCGCAGTGACTGCAGACGTGTGCAAGTTCTCGCCTATTTCGCTGAGAATTTCCGCCGGGAGGATTGCAGCAACACATGCGATAACTGCAAGTCTGATTTGGTGTTTGAGGTTCATGATTTCACCGAACAGGCGTCCTGGGCTATCAAGATCGTGCGGCAATTCCAGATGTCAAAGGAGAAAGTGACTGTGATCTATTGCGCTGATCTCCTTCGTGGAGATAGCAAGCGACCTAAAGACCCATCACACCGCAAAATGGCAGGTTATGGAAAGGGCGCTGACCTCGACCGTGGAGCAGCAGAGCGACTGTTTTACAGACTGCTGGGTGAAGATGCTCTCGCCGAAGACAACGTGATCAACAAGAGTAACTTCGCCGTTCAGTACATCGTCCTTGGTCGCCGTGCAGCGGAGTACGAGAGTGGTAAGCGCCAGATGAAGCTGGAGGTACGCGCCTCACCAAATAGCAAGGGCAAGGTCCAAGCCAAACCCAAGCCCTCCGCAGCTGGAAAGAAAGGCAAATCCGGTTCTTCGGGCTATCCTCAGTCGACCATGGTCTCCTCTCCCGTTCAATCAGCACAAGATCGCCGCCTCGAACGCTTCCAACACGCCGAACCCTCGGAACAACAGTTCTCGGGTGGCGATGACAGTGACGGGTTTGAGCCGGTTCGGGTTACTGGGAAGTCTAGCCGTGCGAAACCGCGTGAGATGGGCCCTCCCATAACCAGTGATCGAAAATTGGATCAACTCGATCACATGCATCGGGTGGTCGTGGAAGATTTCCAAGAACATGCCAAAATCATGCTTCAAGATGTAAGCTCACCGTTTGGAGTGCCATATTCTTGAGATGCTAACTGTTTACATAGCTTGTTGTTAAAAAGGGCCTCCGCTGTCAGCCTTTCTCGGACCAGTCCCTCCGCGAGATGGCCATATACTTCCCCAAAAGTGATTATTGCTCCTCCTATTGAAGTGAAGTCTAGACTAATGACCAGCCAGACCTCTCTGAACTGTCTCAAATTCCCGAAATCGATCAGGACAAAGTGAAACGATATGGCCGGCAGATCCTGGAACTGGTTGGCAACGCAAAGAGGCGCTACGAAGAGATGACGCAAGAAGCCGAGACAAACGGTGTTGTCGCGGACCCCAATCACCACAATGTGATCAATCTCAGCAGCAGCGACGAGTACAGTGACGACGATCTGTTCATGGACGAGGGGACCTTCAATCTGGATAACCCTGTAGATCCACCAAACAACACGGCCGAAGATATCACAAGTCGCTACTTCCCCCACCACTTTCTCCGGGTTATGACTCCGGTGACGACTTTGAATCTGGCCCAGCAGCTTCTAGCTCCAAGGGTCGCAAACGCGCACCCGGAAAACGCGCACCACGACGGAAGTATGGCTCTACTGGCAGCTGGAAGGGCAAAGGCTCGCGATCAAAACCCAAGTCAGATCGACCGGCAAGCCAGTCCGCGCCCCGAAGGGGTGCTAAAAGCAAGACCCCAAAGTCCACGATTGGAATGATGCCCCTTTGAGATGCTATTTCTTTCCCCCTTCCCTCTTTTCTTGTTAAGATGTCATGATCAATATTGCACATGCAGCATTCATAGGCGTTGTTGATTTTAATGTTGTCCACTCACTATTCATAGCGTGGGTTTCAGGCTAGGCCTCATATTTGACATGATCACATAAGATTAGGATATACAAGATACCACCAATAATACCACTTTGTCACTGCATCGCGTTTTGAGTCCCTCTGGGTTCAATTCCCTAGCGAGCGACCAAAATCAATCAGCCGGAGTCGGCGTGCATCCCGAGGATGGAACTGGGCGACCTTTGCTCTCACAAGGAACCTGGATGACGCCGAATCCCGCTCAAGGTCAATGTAAGATCCAGTCTCCAACATGGCCTCGAGCAAAGTATGCATCTCTTTCGCCGCGGTCTCTCTTTTGTTTGCAGGGGCTTCATCTGCATTGCGCTGCAAAAATTGATCAATCCGTTGCTGTGACCCACCTTCCGCATCAACTGGGTCCTTTTGTTTCTTGGGCTTGCCGCTTGCCGTATAGCCCGCCTTCAGCGTGGAATCCGACACCTCGAGAGCATCACCAACGGTCGGGCCACCCATATCCTCAGCAGCGAGCATAGGTGCAAGGGTGTCATCTATAAAAGTATCTAGAGACACCTTGAGGCTAGCAGAAGAACGGTCCAGATCTTTGTTTTGCTTCTTTTGCTGAGCGAGGTGTTCGCGCGCTATTTGTGAGGGCGTCTGCTCTTCTTTCCTTGCGCTTTCATTGCGAATTTTCTCAATGCGCTCTCGGAGTCCATTTGCGATTGATTGCGAGTCACGCAGATTAGCGTCTTCGACTCGAAGGCGCTCTCGGTTGACAGACAGCTGCTCAGCGGCCAATCTCACAGATACCTTTGTCTCTTGGACAAGGTGTGATGTTTCCTCAAGAGCTAGTAGCGATGGTAGCACGGAGTCTGTTGATGGAAGCTCATCATCGGACTTCATAAGCGAGTCGTATGCTTTCTTGGCCCTTCTTGCTTGAGATATGCGGACCCAAGGGTCATTGCTCGCCTCTGAGAGATCGATTGAATTGATCTCACGCAGCTTGATAACAAAGTCAGTCCAAGTTCAATCATCAAGGCATTTCGCGAACCTTGTTCAATTCATCCTGTTGGCGTTTGATTTGCTCTTGAAATCCTTGCAAGGTTGCATCTAACCGTCGCGTATATGCATGCAGGGCAGTACCGCTGAGAGGCTCCTTTGCATATTCATGCTCCGCTTCTTGGCGTTGTTCTGCGAAGCTTTGGATCCTCTGCACGGTCTGGTCGGAGATATCCATGTTTAGTTGATGTGACATAAAATCCACGCGAGCTCTTTCCAGAGGCGACAGAGCCCTTGTTATTTTCTTTCTTTTTCTTCAAGGCGAGTTCAATTGGAATTCGGACTTGCAGTAGAATGTTTGCTCAGGTAAAGACAATCAGAAGTAGCGCGACACGAAAGGAGATACATCACACTGCACATTCGCGCCGACGTCATGTGACCGAACTTCCTCGACCTCTCTCATCTTCTTCATCATCACCTTCCTCCCCTTAATCACCGTGGTCTACATTTCATCACTGTCACCCAGTTTCTTGATTTCTTTTTGAATTTACAATCACTTCAGAACTTTGTATCTGAAGTCCCTCAATTCGTCGATTGCGAATTTTATCCACCCTCTCGACCTCAGATTGGACGTTATCGGAGGCTACAGCGTGGTACAGCAGGCAACGGTTTCTAGCGCTTGATATCTTTCTTGCCTGATCTTCTACTTCCCATCGTCTCTACCCAAGGACCCCATCCTCACATTTCCCGATTCGTCTTTTTCGAGCGTCTCGGCACCCCCCGTGAAGCTCCCCCGGTCGTGCCTCCCTCTCACACCACCTCAAACTCCACTTCCTCCCATCTTGCGGAACTTCCTCACCACCTTTCCTCCACAACCTTTACCATTCTCTCAAAAGCACCAGTCTCCCCTTTCGATCGTCAGCACCAGCACCTTCCGTGGGAATCCCTGGTGTACATAGCCGATCTTAAAAGAAGAAAGCAGACTTCATCCTTGACACCTTTCGATATTTCACTCGTAAGTGAAAAGAGACAGCAGCACACATAATTCACAATGTCTGCTTCACCTTCCAACCTTCAGTCCGCCAAGCGTCCTCTCGAGGACCCCTCCTCCCCCTTCCGGTCCCAATGACCAACCCGAGGCCAAGCGCCCAGCGCTGGACAAAGTAGTCAAGAGCGACGATGCCGAAGCCGAGGCAGATATCTCCAGCGAACAAGTCCAGAGTGCTGATGTCACCAAGGACACCCAGGGAGATACTGTGGTTCCGGACGCTCCCAATGGCAAGGGTCTCCCTGCTGACACCCACCCCATCCAATCAACAGCTTCCCAGGCCGACCGAACGGCTTCTGACCAGCCTCCCGTCGATGAGTCGAGCTGGGTTCACATCCGTGCAGTGATCTCTAGCCCCGAGGCAGCTACCGTTATTGGAAAGGGAGGTGAGAACGTGTCTCAGATCCGTCAGTTGTCCGGCGCCAAGTGCACTGTCAGTGACTATGCTCGGGGCGCCATTGAGCGTATCCTGACCGTTAGCGGACCCCAGGATGCTGCTGCTAAGGTGAGTTGTCTTAACCCTGCGCAGTGTTTGCCTGTACTGTGCACTTACTAATGTCAAACAACAGGCTTTCGGCCTCATCATTCGTACCCTTAACAATGAACCTCTTGAGGCTGCGTCAACTGCCCAGTCAAAGACATACCCTCTCCGTTTGCTAATTCCTCATATTCTGATCGGCTCCATCATTGGAAAGGGTGGAAGTCGCATTCGTGAGATCCAGGAAGCCTCCGGCGCTCGTCTGAATGCCTCCGATGCCTGTCTGCCCCTCTCTACCGAACGTTCCCTTGTCATTCTCGGTGTTGCGGATGCCGTGCACATTGCTACCTACTACGTTGCTTCAACCTTGGTTGAACAGTTGACCGAGCGCTACGGTGGTCCCGCCGCCTCAGCCTATGCCACTCGAAGTGGCGGTCCCGCCGGCGCTGTCCCTGGCGGCATGCAAGTCGTACCTTACGTTCCCCAGCCAGCTGGTGGCCAGTACGGTCACCCTGATACCTTCAAACGTCATCCCCACCCCAACCGTGCCGGCGGTGGTGCTTACGGAGTTCCCTATCTCCATGGCCAACCTGCACCCGCTCCAGTTCCCCAAACACCCATGCACTTTGCACCCGCCCCTCAGGCCCCCTATGGCGGTGTCGGACCCCACCAGCCTGCTCCCTACGCCGGCGGACCCCACCAGCCTACCCCTGGCCGAGGTCCCCCAACTGCCCCTGCCCCTGTGGGTGGCGCCGCACAGAGCCAGCAGCCACTGACCCAGCAGATTTTCATCCCCAACGACATGGTCGGTGCCATCATCGGAAAGGGCGGTGCTAAGATTAACGAAATACGCCACCTGAGCGGTAGCGTCATCAAGATTAACGAGCCCCAAGAGAGCAGCAACGAGCGTCTTGTCACCATCACCGGTGCCGCTGAGTGCAATCAAATGGCTCTCTACATGCTCTATTCCCGACTCGGTTTGTCCCTCCTTAATCACCTTTTGTGTCTCTTCTCTAACATGTTCACACAGAAAGCGAAAAGCACCGGATTTAAACCTAACAGATCCCAAACTTGCGGGATCACGGTATATGGCCGATCTCATAACATTTATGTTGTTCTGCTCAAAAGTCCACGGTGGTTTATGACGTTTCTTTTTCATTTGCTCTCAATTTCTTCCTAGGAGTTTCTTTCTTTTTTCCATTCCTTTCTTACATTCTCGTTGTATCTTATTCGACGGCGTGTGATTTGATTTTCTGCCTTCCTAATAACAATTCCCACGATTTTCCCTTGATTCAAGTAGCCCCTATCCCTTCCCGCATCCGCCCTTAATTATCACCGGCATTTCACGCTCGCAACACCGACAGAACTACATCCACAGCCCAAGCATTAATTCATTGAAGCCCTTTACGTCTTTTTCTTCTCCTTATCATGGCATATTGACCGCCTAGACTTTTTGGAAACTGACATGATTCATCTCTAACCCTGGAATAGGTGCCAACATCTTCTCCATGAGAGGCGCAACACCCTCAGAAAACTTGGCGGTCTCCTTTGCGCTCAGATGCGCATCCACGCTGTCCCAGCCAACCGCCAAGAAATGCACGGTGGCTTTTCCACTTGGACTGTGTGCATGGTCCAGTTTGCAGGGTCGGTCAAGCTGCCCCATCGCCCATGACCGCGGGCTCGCCACCTGCGGCATTTGCTCCATCAACGCAGTGCGGAAACTAATCAGATCTGCATTTAACTGCTTCGCCTCTAGCACAGAAAGAGTGCTTGCATATGGCAGCGTGCATAGCTCCGTCACTGGATTTTGGGTGAGGGTTGCCGTTGCAGAGATGGGCGGGCTGAGTGTGACGTAGACTGAGGTCGGCGGTTGCGCGTTGTCTACGGCGAGGAATTGATCCAGAAGATTCAAATCTGTCGAGCTGCGTGGGTCGTTCCAGTCTATTCGGTTTGTTAGCTCTTGTCTACGGGACTGGTGCTTGTGGGTTGGACGAGCAAAAGCAATGGTGAGATCAGCTATCAGACAAGAGACAACAGCACTCACCCAAAACCCAAACAATGATGTCTTGATCTTCGGATGTGCGACCCCAGGCTGAGCTCTGATGGCCACTCTGATGTTTCGTCATGCGAAAGACGTCCAGTAGAGCCTGGCCTTCTTCGCTTGACACATCCTCGGGTTTGACGGAAGACTTGACGCGGAAATAGATGAACTGACAGCTTGATTGAGACATGCTGGATGATGGTAGATGCTCGGCTCCCAAAGCGCATTCGATGTTATCAAGATGGAAAGGTGATGTCACTGTCATGTCAGTGATCCCAATTGGGAACTATGAGCCCTTTGCTTCGGATAGATACTGCCTGCCCCTAACGTACGATATAGTACTCCATGCATGAACTCTCGACTTCTTGCGTATTTTTTCTTGGTTGTAACAATGTCTACTAAACCTGGCTTAGATGAAACAAAGTGTCTTTCAGCTGAGCGCGACAATGCCCCTTCAAAGAGAAGTGTCCACCAAGATACCTTGAGAACGAGGCCGGTGACAAAACCCTATTGGCCCCCCACTGTACAAAGACAGTGCAGTAAACAAAGGACCATTGTCTCCCAGTTCTCACAAACTCATTATAAAGTTGCACCGATGTCCTCGAGATTGCCCTCACAATCCATACACTGTCGGCTCAAACAGTCGATACTCCAAGCAACTTGGAACTTACACAATGGCAGATGGCAAACCCAGCGTATTCATGATCAATTCCCGTACCTTACCAGAGCCCCTTGACTCCGAGCCAGCCTGTTGGGTAACTGTATATTTCCACGAAAAGATGGCCGAAACCCATTGGGATGAAGATCTTGCTCAGTATGTTTTCATGGAAATTCAAAGTGGACGTGCGGAAATTGGCCACAAGTCGAGACATGGCCTTTCTTGCAAGTGCATCTCGCTTCCGGTGACTGGAGTTTCGCTTCGTCGGAAGGCCGAAGTTTACAAACGTGCTGCGTACATTGCACAAGGATGGCATCAGCGCATCCTTGCCAAGCAGGTTCAGTTGGACCGGCAGCGTATCTTCTTCAAGTCCGGTGTTTCAGTGGTTGCTCCGCCTAAAATATTGGAAGAGGGGGCACCTTTCTAGAGAGTAGCATATCAAGCAGAGTAAAGCATCACTTTAGAAACTTGGAATTACATGCGAGGTCTAGTGTGTAGCTATCAAAACACTAGTTATCGTTGAGAGAGAATCAAGAAATTCAACGTTCATCTAGCTAAAGATACTGTAGCAAAGGCATGGCTGTGATAGCTGACTTCATCGCGCTGAAAGAACCCGCTACATTATGTGCATACCGTAAGACTCCCCCGGTCAAATAACGACCATCCAGATACCAGTACACGCCAAGAACATCCCCCCAATCTGGGTCAAAATGTTCACAATTAAAGCAAATATCAGATATCAGTTACCAATCATCCACACTGCGCACCTTTGCCTGCTTGTCTTCAAATGCCTGCTTCAGGTTGGAGTTCAACTGCTGACGACGGGACTTTTTCGTCTTGTAAGCAATTGTATCTTCCTGTGGGAACTCGAGCTCTTCTGCGCCCTCCACGCTGCGGAGGCGACTCTTTCGCACAGAGCCATTGACACTAGCGCGGAAGTTGATACCACGGGAGCCAGACTCAGGGGTATGATAAGAGCTACTGTCAACTGACCCAGGGGTCATGGGAATGCGACCAGCAGCACCCTTGCGGGGGAGTGTTGAAGGGTGAGCCCTCGCGGCTGGAGGAGCCGGCGACTGAAACATCCACACCCAGCCTGCGCATCTGGGCTTCAAGGACATCAATGTCGGTGCGCTTTCCTTCGACCATGCTCATCATGGTTGCGATAGTCTTCGTGACAGCCTCAACGGTTGGCCGGTTACGGTTTGTACCCTTGACCTGGGAAACATCGGCGAGTTTGGCACGGAGCAAGGAGACTGCTTGCTCAAGATCAACTGTCTGAGCTTGGAGGTTGGTGAAAGTTGTGCGGAGGTCGTGCTGGAGTGCGCCCTGCTCAGCAGAGAGGGGAGCTTGAAGAATAGCAACGCGATCGGTGTGCGCGTCCAGAATTTTGCGGATGCTGGCAAATTGAGAGAGCAGTGTGACAATTTGCTTGGTGAGCAGGTCACGACAGGCACTCAGTTTCTCATCTACACCTTGCACGCGTTGGTCATTCAGTGTTTTTTCAACAGATGCGATGATCTCTTCAAATCTCTCAATATCCTTGAAAGTCATTTTGGTATCAAGGATATCGGCTGGTTGGTCACCGTTCAGGACCATGACCCATTCATCGACATTGGATTCTTCCTTCGGTTGCTGGTGCATAAGGAACCCAGCCAGTGATCTAGCATTGATTCCCAAAGTGTCGACCATTGAGTTGATATCACGATAGAGTCGTTCAACCTGACCTGCGATTCCTGGCTTCGTGGTCTCGCTCATATAATTTTGGTGAGGCAAGAATGGATCCAGTGTATCAACCGGCTCAATAGGCTGGGTTAAGTCATCACGCAGTCTGTCGTCCTCGTCATCGTCTGACAAAGACAGCACATCGTCTTCCTGTGCCTGGGCCGCAGCATGAGCCCGCTCTTGTGCTTCTTGTTGCTCCCGAGCGATATCGCTGGCCTTCTTCAAACGCCCATCACGCTCTGCAAGGTGAGTCAGAGATTCTTTACGAGAGTGCAAGGCACTTGTGGATCCTTTGCGACTGTGAGGCTCTGGAGAAAACAAGACGTTCTTCTTCAATCCACCTTGACGAACAGGGCTCGGTGAGCGGTAAGGTTCGCGATTGTTTTGTGCGACAGGGCCAGGGGGAGGGAGCAGTGGTTGCTTGGGAACCTCTCCGAACAGCTGTCGCGGAAGACGACCTTTATCCTCAGCAGGCTTAGAAGGGCCGCTGAAGAACCCTCCCGTGGAGCTTTTATCGGAAAGTCCACCAAATGAACTGTTTGCCGATGGTTTAGGCTTAGCAGTCTTTGCTTCGTCGTGGGTGATTTCTTCTCCGCTGTCGTTGAAGTCTGACTCATCCCCAACGTCTGATTCTGCCCCGGAGCCTTCAGAGCCTTCAGAGCCTTCCGAGTCATCGGGAATTGGAACCGCCTCCTCTGACAACTTGGATTTGGGCTTCGCGGTGAAGTCAGGGGGCAGCGGTGCATCTTCGGGAACAGCCGGCGCATCTGACTTCTTGGGCTTGGTCATGAAGTCTGGAGGGAGAGGAGCGTCGTCTGTCGGTGGAGCAGGCTTCTTTTTGGTGATGAAGTCAGGGGGCAGAGGAGCATCGTCTGTCTTGGGTGCGGACTTGGGTCGTGAAAGGAAATCAGGGGGTAGAGGGGCGTCGTTTGCAGGCTGAGCCGAAGGCTTGCTCGGTTTGATGAAATCCGGAGGAAGTGGAGCATCGTCAGTAGAGCTCTTTGAGACATTGGAAGAAGCAGATGTATCTCCAGCCGCATAGCTATCCCGGCTCGTGGAATCCGGTGGCAAAGGCGTTTCCGCATCGGTACCAGAGGCAGAGAAATTCTTCTTGGGTGTCTCCGTCTTGTCTGATTGCGCTGACAAAGGACTAGTCAGTCGTTCTTGTCCAGCGTTGCCAAACATGGAGAAAGATGTCTTTTTCTCGGCTGAAGTTGTAGTCTTCGAGCTAAACATTGAGGTAGGAGTTTGTGAGTCTGGTTTCTTCACTCCGCCAAAAATTGAGAATGTACTCTTGTCGACGGGAGCCACGTCGTCGGTGTCATCCATCGACTCACTAGGCGACACGCTCCCCTTGCGTGGAGTCGATACCATGTCATCAAAGGAGCTTCCAAATGAAAATGCTCCTCCCGAGGACTTTTCTGCCTTCGTGTCGATATTAGAAGCCGATCCATCACCCTTGAAGCTGGACTTGAGCTGAAAGTCGCCTGAGCCAAAGGGATTCTGCGGCGCTTTGCCCGCAGGAGCAGAGAAGAGGGTTTCAGGCTTCTTCGACCCAGCTCCAAAGGGCGTGTTCGAGCCTTGGCCGAAAGTGCTACCACCGGTGGGTTTTGAGAACGGCGACTCGGCTGCTGGTTGTTTCGCGCCGAATGGTGACTCAACTGCCGGCTTCGCGGTGGCTGATGCATCGTCGCGTGTTGGCTTTGTGGAAAATGATGACTCGCTAGGCTTGGCTGACGCAAAACTTCCGAAACCGCCTCCACCCGAGAAGGAGCTAAAGCCTCCTCCGGAAGCCGGGGTACCGTTAGCACCAAATGGATTCGCCGGAGTACTGGACTTTCCAAATGCGGGCCCAGGTGTCCCGAAGCCGGACTTTCCGAACTGGGCCCCTGGAGTGCTTGGGGTACCAAATGAAGGGGCACCCGGCTGAGATGGGGTTCCAAATGCAGCGCCTGGGGGGGGTTGGTTTTCCAAATGCCGGTGAAGAGTTTCCACCGAGGGGAGATGGGCTGCCGAATCCTGGGGCACTTTGTTTTCCGAAGGCAGTCGCACCCATGGTTGAGGCACCCATGGCAGGCGAGCCACCAAAGCCAGACTGCCCAAATGAAGGGGCCCCGAAAGACGACTGCCCAAATGCAGGTTGTTGTGTAGGGGCCGTGGTCGGGACTGGGGCTGGCACAGGGGCTGGGGTGATAGCTGCAACTGGAGCCTGGGGTGCCTGACCGGACGAAACAAGCCCAGAGTATGGGACATTCTGGCGGATAGATTCGGCATAAATGAGCCACCAGGATGTGAGGATGCCCTCATTGTTCAAAAGGAATATGCCAGGCAGGGGCGTTGAGCTCTCCATAATATCAGAACCAGGCATCGGCGCAATGACGTTCGTTGTGGATGACAGGTTGGGTACCAGACCAATCACTGATGTTTCATCGCCGGATTCCTTGAGTGGGACACTAGCTCGTTTTGTATCATCATTCACTTCAGTGGTCATGAACTGGCCAACGTGAAGCTTCGTTCTTTCGTCATTAGCTAGGGCTTGGTCAGATCGTGTGATGAGCCCGAGATCAGTGGACGCAGTGGACGAAACAATCAATACATCTTTCAAGTGTGGCTTGTAGTCTCTGAGTCGGGTAATGAATTGGAAGGCAGGAGCGCGCTTCAGCATAAATCCCATGGTTGAACAAACTTCAGGCAATTTTTGGATCAGGAATGGCTGCTGCTTGCGACGGGTGATGATGTAGTAAGAAGAAGGAGGGTTCATTCCCATATCATCCTCCAAAGCGTTGGGAGTGTATGCCATGAGAAAGATGTCATTTTCGAGCCATGCGACGGAAGAGACTATATCTTATCAGCAAAGGGCATTTGAGATCTAGAATTAGTTTGACTGACCGTGGCAATCTCCCTCCAAATCCGAAGGTTTGGGGATTTCAGCTTTCTTTGCTCCATCTGGAGACATCTGGTATCCAGTACCATCGGCCAATCCAGCCACTAGCTGCTTTCCTTTGTTGCTCCATGACACACAGCTCACGCCATTCTTGAGGACGGGGCCGTTGGGGCCAGGAAGAAGGTTGCCAGCTTTGAGGTCGGCAATCAAAAGGTCACCATTTACGGTGACAAGCGCAACAAGTGTCGAGGTTGGGTCGGGATTAGGCGCAAGAGCACGAAGGGAAACCCCGTTTGTTGGGATTGAGATTGCCGGTTGCGCGTTTCCTTGCGCCAGAGTATTTGTGTCGAATACGGAAAGAGAGGCGCCATTTTCCGTTGCCAGAATCAATCCGTCGTCAGCCGGAGTAAATGCCACATGAGTAGGACGAGAAGGAAGTGGTATTGTGGCCAGAGGTTGGAATGCCTTGGTCTTTTCCATTTCCTCTCCAGCCGGTGCCTCAATCGAAGTGCGGATGGTTTCGGTATTGCCCACTACTAGCGCATCGGGCCCGGCACCAACAACGAGGCCTTTGGTATGCGCGACAGCTAGAAGAGACGAAGTAGGAGCCGGAAGCGCGTCGTCCGGCCAGGCGGTAGGGAGGAATCGAATATTGGCATCACCAGATACGCCTTTGAAGCCGATTTCCTAAAACCATGTTAATATGAGTGACCACGGCAGGTCCAGTTGTTGAGGGAGTGGGACATACATCTGTAAAAACATCGGGGAGCTCTGGACCAAGCTCCGCAGAGGCAGTTGCCCCGGCGGGGTTGGACGCGCCGAAGCTGAAAGCCATCCTGAATTTATCTGAATGGATGGTGCCAGAAAAAGACCGTGTGCTTTCGCTTAGTGGTGAGCTTGTTCTCAAAGCATTGGGCGAAGGCGAGGTTGGGGGAGTTGAAAGTGAGCGACGGTGGAGTGACTGAGGACTCCGGGAGAAGAGGTTGAGAGTATGCGCGAAAATCTTGGAATCGCGCTGCTTCCCATATATGAGAAGACTAGTGGAGGGTGTAGATAGACGCAACGACAACCACCGATGCGCAAAGATTGGAGAGGATACGGAAGAGTCCAAAGATCATTGAAGGCCCGAAAATAATGTCCGGCAAAAACACCTTGTTGGTGCCTGGGAATTAAGGCCACAACAACCAGGCTGCGGGAGCTTCGTCACTCCAAACAGCTCACTTCACTCTTCACATCCATCTTCAGCTACCCCATCTGTCCACCACCTTTCTCAGTCTCGATACCCAAACCATACATCCTCTTCGCTCATACTGCTATTATCAGCTTTGATAAATTGTCTATCTGGTCGCGAATACCAGCGTGATCACAATGCCGGGCTTTGACTTCTCCAACTACAACCGCAACGCGGCACTTCACGCCAGGGGCGTTCCCCTCCCCAAAGCCACCAGCACCGGTACAACAATTGTGGGATGTGTCTATGATAAGGGTGTTGTGGTACGTTCGATGATGATATGAGAAGTTTCCAAGAAACTAGGTTGCAAGTGCTGACTTATATTGCCATTACAGATTGCAGCAGATACTCGTGCCACCAGCGGTCCTATAGTAGCAGACAAGGTAAGAGGAAGAGATCATTGCGGTACACATTTCTGGAGTCTGACCTTTCTTTTGTTGTGATAGAACTGTGAGAAGCTACACTACATCGCGCCGAAGATCTGGTGTGCTGGAGCCGGTACCGCCGCCGACACCGAGTTCACAACAGCACTCATCAGTTCCAATGTCGAATTGCACTCTCTATCAACGGGCCGCGACCCTCGTGTCATCACCTGCATGACCATGCTCAAGCAGCACCTCTTCCGCTACCAAGGTCACATTGGAGCCTACCTTGTGGTTGCAGGTGTTGACCCGACCGGCACAGGACTGTACACTGTGCACGCACACGGTTCTACAGACAAGCTCCCCTACGTGACTATGGGATCTGGATCTCTGGCAGCTATGTCTGTATTCGAGTCGACCTGGCAACCAAACCTTGACCGCCAGGGTGCCATCGACATCTGCGCCGAAGCTATCAAGGCCGGTATCTTCAACGATCTGGGTTCCGGAAGCAATGTCGATGTGTGCGTTATCGAGAAGGACCAGCCTACACAGTTGCTCCGCAACTACATGAAGCCCAACGACCGCCCACAGAAGGAGCGCAACTACCGCTTCCAGCGCGGTACGACTGCTTACCTCGACCAGCGGGTCATCAGCAAGGAGGACATGAAGAAATATGTTACGATTGAAACTCTGTCGGGCGATGACAACCTCGCTGCTGGCGACAACATGGAGGTTGATTCTTAGATATTTGAGGAACTCAGGCCAATGGTCTCCTTGGATTAACTTAATGCACGCACGGGTTTTATCTGTCTCAAAATCATATCTGGTCATATTACCATGTAATGCTTTAGACTTCAAGAATGACTGCAAGCTTATTTACAGACTACAAACAAGTAAGCTCGAAATACTGCAGTTCTCGCAACTTGGTCCATTCAAATATGCAACTCAGCGCCCTGTGGGCAAACTAACTATGGGTATCACGCTATATTACAAAGTGCCTTATGCACAAATGTAGACCTCCTTCCTTGATCAAGTTGCCAAAAGATCCACACAGATGTGATCACTGGCTGTTGATGTTCGATTCACCAACTTCAGGGGGAGCTGTGAGCTGTTGAACAACTGCACGTCCCTCGAATTTTTCAACAATCCAAAGAATGTATTGATATTGGGTTGCCGGTATGCTGAGACCATCACGGCGTCTGCGTACAATGCCGGCATGATACATAGCTCGTACAAAGTCTGGATCGACGGGTCCACCGTGTCTGCGCAAAAACCCGTAGAGCCAGTGGACCATATGGAAGGACTGAGACGGAGTCAGGTTTCTGCAGCAGGAGATTGCGATTGCCAGCTGGTTGATCAGACCAATGGCAGCATGCGGGTCGGGACACCGGCTGGTGCGTGGACCAGCATGGTAACGCACGAGTGCCATTTCATCGGGGTGTGGAATATCCTGATAAGCCTTGTGAAGGCTGATCTTGAACGGAGTGTTGTTATTAAGAAGTCTGAGGATAGATCGAGTGCTGTTTGAATCTCCTGATCGCGCAATGTGCACTAACTCCTCTGCTGTCGCGCGGTTGGTGAGATCCATGCGATGGTACATTTCTTCGAATGAAGCGTGGAAAATGTTCCGGATGCCCTTGTGCAGAGACGGGGTCTTCCACACATCTGTGAGCGAAAGACAGGAGGTTTCCAACTGCTCGAGGGTTTGGCGGACTGTTTTTGTGATAGACTTCTGGGATTTTCTGTCGAGAGCAAGAATGAGGAGCCTGTTGTAAGGAAGATCGAGTTCTTGAATCTCGCGCAAAAGGCCGGGGAAAAAATGACCATCGGTTTCCTTGACTACGAGGTCGTAGAGATTGAGGAGAAGGTGGATCGGCCGGTCTGTCGGTTTCGAGTTCTGGTTATACATGTACCCAGTGGTCCGACAAAGGGTGCGCAAAAGCCATAGTCGCAGCACGATTTGGCTTTGGGTCGAATGCTTTCCAGAAGCAGTCTCTTGGTTTTCAATGCAGGGAAGGGGGAAGTCACACCAAACGTGTGATTTTGCGACGGTGGAGATTATATCGGCATTTGCCAGGCAATCCCGCCATCGGTGGAGCAGCTGGTTTCTGAGGTCTTTGTCGTTTGAGACAGATATTAATTCTGTCACCCGAATGACGCAATCCGCGGCAGAGTCCACGTCCAGTTGGCTGAAGATCTTGTTTGGAAATGGGGCCTTGGTCTCCAAATCGGTCTCTGTAGCTTGAAGCCAGTTTTGAACCAAGATGGAAGGCCACTGATTGCGATTGCTTGCATCGTGCGTTTCGATGATGATTTCCTCCGCGAAACGAAAGCTGTGAATCTTCAGAAGCTCCCCGAGCCAAGCATCCACAATTTTCTTGTCCAGATCATGGTATCCCAAGATATTGCAGCGACCAATGGCTCGCCACATAGCCCGATAATGTTTCAACAGCGCGTAGTGATCCCATGAGCCCAGAGTCTTCTTGTTCTCAACGAGGATATTGGGCAGAGTGCGGATGATCAAACAAATATCCTCCGTAGGAATCAAGCCCAGTTCTAGTCCGCGTTTTATTGAATCCAAGACAGCTGTTCGTCTAGCGCGTTTCGCTTTCGTCCGGACAAAGAGTTCAATGGCTGCGATGTAGTTCCCTGAGCCTCGGGTGTTGAGAAATGGGTCGTCCAGAAAGGTGATGGCTTCCTCGAAGTTTTGTCCCGATCGAGCAAGTAGTTGGTCAAAAATCTGCCGGCTGTAACGGGGGTCTCGGTGGAGATCAATTCTCATCTGGCGAGTGAATTCCCTGGCATCTTCGATGCCCCAGTCAGAGCCACTAAGAAACTCTTCCAATATTTGCTCAGGTATTTGCGGATCGATTGTGACGGCGTCAGGCGCGTGATCTGGAAATTGGATGTGTTCTGACCCGGGGCTTAAATCTGAGGAAGTGACAGGATCTTCGGAATAACCTAGGGCATGGTCTGCGGAGCCTGGGAAAGACGGTCAGAATAAAGACTCAAGCGATTAACTCGCCTCCGGCCAACACGTACCTTGACTTTCAAATGGCATACCCTGCCATGAATGGTCACCCCATTTCATATGTTCCCTCCCATTGCGGCCAAACAGACACGAGATGTCCTCCAGCGGCCCCCCGCCAATACTGGCTAGTGCTGTGTTTCTTCGCTTTGCAAGACGTCGCCGTGCTTCGAGGGGCCCAGGGACACAGCTCCCATGGCGTCGTTGGCCATTGGCAAATCGACGGAACGTGGCTGCCAGTAAGTCGTCGCTGACCCACAGGTAATCGAGTGTCGGAGTCGCAGGGGGTTTGAGAGCATGCCTATAGGCATGTCTACCGAAAGACATGGGTTTAGCTATGTCATGTGTGAGCCAATTGGGAGGAAGGCTCGCGAGCACCGCGGATCAACTTTCGCATGGCAGCTTTCCAATGACTTCTTGGCATGCTGACTAACCATCTCGCGGCACCCAATTCGGACCAATCAGTGGATTTTCTTTACCAGCTTTCCCTCCCATCGAACTTGATGGCCTACAACCTTGCAATGAACACATCCCTATGCCTTTTAGATAATGTAATAAATCACACAATTCTATCGTGACTTATCATTTCTCATCCAGCCAATACCTATCGAAGCTACATTGGAACCGAAGGCTGGACCTCGGGACGCTTTGGGAATAGTTATCTGTTGCATGCTTTGTACATAGTAAGAGCATTTTTGTGTCCTGCTCGTGCACTTAATTGGCAGGGGAGGATTCCAAGACCGAGTTCACTGTAGCTCTGTTTGATTGAATGGATATGTATAGAATAGCTGGAGAACCTTCCAAGGTTGTAGGTAGGTAAAAAAACAAAGCAAAAGGGGAAGACACAACGCCAATATAATGCAAAAAAAATGCAAAAAAATGCCCACCAATGGTATCACATGCTGATCATCTCGGAGAAGACATAACGGAACAAGTTGGTAAAACGTAAGATGGTCATGACAAAAGCGGAGGATAGAGTAGATATTCAGGGGGTTCCACCTTCATTGGGAAAGGGTTTCCTCCCTGTCACCACATAAAAGTCCGTATATGAATGGACATTTCGATCTTGGATACTTTTCCTCACGTCGACAAGAAAAACTTCGATCTCGGCCTTAGACCAACCGAGGGCAAGGAATGGCTTATAAGACCACCCGGATAAAGCTTCGAGCCAATTGCTTTCGCTCCAAGCGCCGATGGTTTTTAGCCTTTCTTCTTGTGGCCAGGTATTTGTAGGGATCTTTGACACTCGTTGTTCAACATCAACAAACCCTACATCTTTCATCCACTGTTCGATCCGATGTGCGATTCGAAACTGCCTTGGTGGATCGGCATCGCGACTTGATCGCATATTCAGATCGAACCAATCATGCATAGCGAAAGCGCTATATCCTCCATCTGGATTTTCGGGAGGCATGGTTTTGTCATCACATCGGGGTTTTGGGTCTAACTCATGGCATTCCAGGTAGGCTCCTGGCTTAAGGTGTTTGAATGCTTGTCGTAAAATGCGTTTGAATGAAGGCATAGCTCCTGTCATGTGGCCGATGTGAATGAGATCAAAATGGTTCGCATCCCACAACCACTCATCTTCGGTGGCGTCATCAACTAGAAAATGAACATTCGGTGGGACTTCTGTCGGCTGCACTGGGGACAGGTCGGTCCCTGTAATCTCGGTGTTTGGAAACAAGGCCGCTATAGGGAGACAATTCGACATGGTGAGACAAGACTTTGCACAGCTGGACCGGGTATACATACCCATCTCTATTGGCCAAATCCCTGACCCGGTTCCGATATCGAGGATCTTTTTGGGGCTCATGAGAGGCACATGGAACAGTTTGTCCCCCATGACCATTTTGAATAAATGGTGCTGCATGTCTAGACGATCCAGTTCCTGTTCGTCATTGGGATATACATAGGCTGTACATCCGGGAATCGGGTGAGCATACGTCGTGTGAGGTGTGACTGAGCCGGGAGTGCAAACATACCTCCTTCATGGTACCTATGATACCGTCTTCCATTCTCGAAGGGATAATCGGTTACACTGGCAGTCAGTGACTGCGTGTCACTTTTTCTCGAGTTAGTCAAGAGCCCAACTAGCATGATGAAAACAACCGTGGTTGAGAGAAGGGAAGAATTGGTAGGTTTGGGGCATTACCATTCAACGCGAGGTACCTGTGTGAACAATTAGTATGAAGACATTGAAAATCCGCTGCCCGGGATATCGATATAATTAGGAATAAAAAAAGTGATACGTCAAATATCAAATTGGCGAGCTTCAGATTGACAAGCTTACCGGTGGTCTTGCACCCATGATCGATGCTCTTGTGCGGTCAAAAAACAGCAGCGGAAGTACTGTATATCAACCCTTATGGGGGGAGACAGACACACTTGACCAGTACCGAATCGGAATAAATTTCGGACTTGGACACGACAATGTCGAGAAATGTCAGACAGTCTTCTTATGAGAGGGCCGTAGAGCAACGGCGGGGGGCGTGCTCTGCAGGATTGGATGGCGGGGGGGTTATGGGGTGGGAAAGAATAATTTCACTATACTCCATCTCATATCCCACTGTGAACCGAGAAGGTACCCCTTAGACTGATGTAATACCAGACATGACGAAAAACAAAAAAGTAGCCCGACAGCTTGGGTTAAGTTATAATCTGGCAGGGCGGGAGGACGATCCGGGCAACTATAAACCAGCGTGCGGGATCGACATTTGAAATACTTGATAATTCAAGAGTAAAACGAAGTGGAGCAGTTCGTGTACTAAAGGTGTTGTAAAGCAAAGTGTAAAGAAAGAAAGACATGGGCGCTTCGGGCGTGGAGGTACATATGTAATGTCCCTAATTTTCACTGGGGAAGATCAAGTTTTCTCGGGGAAATGATTGGATGAGACCTATGTCACCTTTTTTTTTCTGTCGATTTCCTGACGAGTTGTTCTTTTCTTTCTTTTCTTTTCCCCCCATAATGGAATTGCCAGGTTTTCATTCCTTACTCCGTACATTAGCGGAATTAGAATACGTTCCCAAGCGGGAGTCGGGGTCTCCGGAATTTCAAATTAATGGACTCTTTCTCCGGTCCCTTTGCTGGATTGGGTTTTATTCGAATATCCATTCCCTCGGAATTTCTGCCAGACACCTGGGCAGCATCCCGATTCTCACGATCGCAGCCCTTTGACTGCATGGGCTCGATCAGCCAATAGTGAACGGTCCCATCTGGCTGGGAATTTGCAACCGGCCCAGCCACGGGCCGTCTTTACCCTTTCTCCTGGGATTCTTGAGCTTCGGATCAAAATTCACCTACAATCTATTTATGAGATCGGCGCTGTCAATATTTCCGATTTGATTTCACATTGCTTTTGCTTCGATCTGGTACTTCATTTTGGCAAAAGCTGGAAGAAAAAGGTAGAATAAACACAGGAGTTCGGTTAAGTGATGGATTATCGAACTCTCGGCCCCGCAGAGGCGTGGAGCTGACATTGATGTCCTAGCCTGGAATTGATAACTACGTACGGAGTAGTAATCATTCAACGCGAATAACCCACAGCTAGCTTTAGAGCTACTGTTGCCAAGACACGGTTTGTGACTGTCAGCAATTCCTGGAGCTTCGGCGCGGAGGTCGAATTTTGAATCTCAAAACGTGGACATGCTTCCGAAAGCTTTGCAAAACTGCGCCGTGCAGAGAGATTATTTAAGTTTGCGGTGATCTTAGTCTTGTGGTTTTCCCTGTGATGCCATTCCCCTAGTCCGTATGGAGTAGACACCTACCATATTAAGGCTTAGTGGTGGAAAAGAGATGATCTGTCAGAAGTAGTGTCATTAGGGGAAACTCAGGCTCGCTCCCTTAAATGTGTCCAGGCCCAATATCATCCAAATCAATAGCTCTCATTGGTCAGAAATCCCTGCCCCAGTTCCTCCAATTCTCCAATTCCCCAATTCCACCTCTTTGGGAATAGTGTCAAACACTCCTGTAGGTTACGTCCACAAGGGGATCTCCGAAAGGAGGGGCACATGATGTCTAGAATTTCGGAACATGCACAGTAGTTTCCGGCTTTCTGGGTCATCTTACGGAGTTCTTGGACTGCCATGTCTTTCAAGAGTGTCCATTAAGAACTCTCGATGATTCTATGGCGCATATGTACGTGTGTGGAGGATGGTAGCTACAGATGCGGCTACGGTATTTCGCCGGTAAGGGGATGATGGGCTTAGGCATATCCAACTGTCACCTGCCGTCATCTCACTCACCCACTTTCCGATGTTCCTACTCCGTATGGACCTTAAAGCATGTCAATCATTTGTAAAATGTACCTGTCCTTTTTATTCCCTGTCTCGCCATACCACGGCAAATTTGGCTTGGGCTCTTACCACCTAAATATTGGGATTTACTCCGCACATCTGATGGGTTGGCACAATATGATATATGCTGTATAATCAGGCTTGATAAGATATTTGGTTATGGTCAGGTTGACAAAAGTACAAGAACCAGACTGGCGGGAACATGTGGGACCCACCCTGAAAGGCTGGGTGAGACGAGCACTCGGGGCCGGGGTGTACTCCGTACCGTACGGGGTACGTTCACAGATCTTGATCGTACACGCGACTTTTCTTAAGCCCTTGGAATTTACGAAGTATAAGTACTCTGTACTCCGTACAGAGAAAATACTCTGAGGCGGGTGATCTATTGCACAGAGTACTCGATTCCGTTATCAATGAAAACACTGTAGTTCTGGCATTCGGTGTTTTGTGTTCTTCATCATTCCTAGGGAACTAAGCTCCACCATTCATATGGTGTATTTTACTTTAGGGAATTCACCCGTGTCCTCGGGGTAAACCGAGTTCAAGAAAGGGGAAACGAAATACGGAGTACGTGTCTTCTGGCTATTTCCATGCGACCAAGCGGGGAGAAGAAATTGAAAAAAAAAAAAAAAAAGAGACAACAACATGTCAGAAGGACCGCCTTGCGCATTGAAACCCAGGCGCAGCACCCCTGCAGCGGTACCAAGCCAAACGCCGTTGCTGCCATGGAGCCGGGTTCCATCCATAGAAAGTCCTCGGGGCTTTATTGGAAATCCGACGAGTCATAGCAATCCATCCGGACCCAGCAAATGGGAAACTTATTTTGGATCCAGCCTTTCGGTAACCCTGGAGCTAAATATCCAACCATTTCGAGGCTCTCCGGCTCAGACGTCTCTTTCTTTTTTATTTTCGCCTCACGGGTCGCTTGCTTCGGTATGTCGACGGGTGATGTGGCACTGATACCACCTACGTAGTGAATCGACAAACGTCATGCCATACTTTCACCAAATCATCGCGTGGCTGTTTCTCTGCGTCGGAGATTCTCGGTGTGGAGAGTTCCTTGTACAAGGTATTTTTGTTGGGCGCCAGCTTCCTGTAAACTACCGTCTATGCACGGAGTACCCTGTAGCTAAATTTGTTGTACGGAGCACCTCCTACGCAATATTTCATACAAGAAGCCAACTGGGGTGGCTGATAAGTCATAGATGTGACCTCGGAACCCTCTGCTTTCACTTTGGGAGTTGAGCTCGCCGCCAAATGCTTGCAGGCACCAAGCCGATTCGAGGCACATCACACGAAAAAGCAACAAGGTTCTGACGATCAGATCTTTTTCTTTCCGGGTTCGAACCCAACAGTCGGGTTGGTATGGATTGACAACGTGCTATCTTTATATTGACCGCTACAAAGAGAGAAACTACGAGTTACTCGTACTGGCATGAGGAGTGGGGCCATTCCCAGAGATTTCGCCTATCCGTCTTAACTCCGTATTCGGATCATACTCTGCGACCAAGGGTTCAGTGATGACAGGTGGGCTAGGCTAGCCCGTGCAGCGATACCTTGTTCCCCGAGCCGCACTTTGCTGTCGCCCCGACAGCTCAGTACACACACAGGTTACACCCGTGGAAGTGCTTTTAGGTACGTTAACCAGTACATAATCCACTTCATTATCACCTCACCGACGTTTGCTCAGTTGGAGTTCTCGAATGTCTCATGCTGTAGTCTGTACAAAAAGTCTCCGCACATGGACAGTAGTCAAAATCTTCATCTAGCTCAACCTTTCTACTTCTTCATCACATGCAGAACTTATCGATATTGACAAATTAAGACATGAACTCTTGATGTCAGCGACTATATGAATTTTAGCCAATGTCCAACTTGGGATTGTGTATCAAGTGGTGGGTGCCTCGCATGGATTTTCAAAAAATATATCAACACCCCCTTGATAAAACTCCATGGGTGATAACCTAGGTGAACAATTGATTTGACTAATAGGAACTACCTATGAAGTGCAGATGCCAATGATGCCTATTCGCTGCGGATGTGAAGAGCCCGTCTATCCAAATCATTGATCACTCTAAACCCCCAGAAGCTTGGGATTGCGCTAAAGCAGGACAAACATGGACTGGAATTAACTGGAAGCGACTGCATACCACCTGTGCATACTCCGTACTAAACTTCCCGACTGCCATTTCCAAGATGCTCATTAATATTTCATGCTACGTGGAAGTGCGGGGTGAGGTACACACAGAAATGATCGACTGGCCCACGCGGTTCGGTTCACAAAAAAATTGGGACTTTCTAACCTTTCGAGCGGGACAAAAAAAAAAAACTTGGTAGTGCCCATTGATCGCTTAACAAAGGTGAAAAGATTTGGAATTGTGCATCGCTTGCCAGGATCTGGATTTTACTGGCTGGGTGGACGCGCCAGCTGTGGTCAATGAGGGCCACACAACGCCTGACAGAAGCAGGCAAATCATGCATGTCTAGTATTAGTCTGAGGCGAAAGATCACCAATACTACATCCCTGCCCAATGAGATTCGTACGCTACTTTCCACGGGTCAGCCAGCCCGAGAAGGTCGAGAAGGTCGCCTGAAAATTACCCTCGCGGGCCAATCACAAGAGTTCGAGGGACCTTTATAGCGGAATCATGTGCTTAGGGTAAGGAAATTGAAGTATTTAGGGTGAAAATCTTGGATAGTATTTGTCATTGCAAGTATTAACCGTGGTTTCGTAGAGTTCGTCTAATCCCCAACCCCCTTCGTACTACGAGTGTACCCACTGAGTCATGACAAGACCATGCACAAACACATATACAGTACTCCGTTTTTGTATTTCTGTTTTTGCCTGGACACGCTAAATGACATTGTAGTAAGGAAACATCTCGGCTGAGGTAGCGGCAAGCTCCATTGGTCGGAATCTGTCCGTCCTCTAGAACCCTGTAGTTGCAACAAACCACTGCCCAGCGATGTTGTGATAAAGTCACCGACATCAGCAGATACACTTCTTAGTCTTTGACCGAATTCCAGATGCGTCTTACTACAGTACATCCTTAGATGCACCACAAACAATGATACTCCAAAGGCCCTTGATAACTTAAAAAGATAGGAAAGAAAATTATGGCCAAACCAAAGGGTGAATGTGCTCCAATACTTCTGGGTGATTGGGCGAGTGGGAAGCACAGAAGTTTTGGATGTATAGATAGCAACAGCTATATGATCTTTCTGTGGTAGGATATAGTAGTTTTTATGTGCTTGGCAGCCCTTGCTTATCAACAAAGTCGAAATAATCATTTTTAAAACCCCCGGGCATACAGATCGGGGTCTCCTTGGTTATAGTACTATGAATTTCCATGACAGCTGCTCGGGTGATTTCCGATGTCAAAAGCCATGAACCTCCAGCTCTGGAGGGCTTGGGGCGTACTATCACTAGTGCCCTGCCCAGGTGGTGCATCCATGGATCAAGGCTCTCTGGAATGTTCTGTCGTGGAAGATATAAATACACGTCAAAGCCGCGAGTCTAATCGGAGCCTATTATTTCAACTCGAGGAGGCTTATTGAATCAAATGCACTTGTAATTTACGATTGATATAAATTAAACCTTAACTAGTGTATAGTTAGCACATAGATAACTTATTTCATTCCAAGGGTTTTTTTGAATGACTGGTATATCTAATCTGGTCCACGGGTGCTGCCTAGGTGTGACTGTGAAGTTCTGAATTCCCAACGAAAATTGGTCATTGTGTTCAGTGCAGCTTGCTTTTATCTTGGTTTCAAGGTTGAATTCTTATCCATGGACATTTGTATTATCAGCTTGATAATTACCTGGGCATGGTTGGTTCTTTATTATCTCTTGCCTCTATCTGTCTCTATCTGTATCTGTATTTACCTAGGTATTCCCGACAACTTTCAAGATTTGGAATCAACGGCTCATATATTATGACCGAGAAAGTTAACCGGAACTCATGAATAATCACAGTCCAAAACTCCAAGGTATGTAAGCAGCAGACTTCCGAATCGGGTTATATGGTGTATCACGGAGAAACCATTTCCCGAGAATGACGCAGCCAAGGTTTCCAGAGCACGGCCTGGGAGATTAACAGAACATCACGGGGAGCTAAGTCTACAGCTTGGAAGAGCAAGTCGAAACCTTGTCAGTTGAAAGGTGCACCATTGCGCTCCATGGGCCTTTCTGGCACCCATCAACTAGAGGCGGGGTACTGAACCTCAAGACTAGCGCTGACGCGCGACGCGTAGAACCTCACCAGCCAACAACCCCGAATAGCCAGCTCACGATCCTCTAATCCGCAGACTCCATCCTGCATGGCGCGCCAAAATCCATCTCGCCCCACGAGGGCTCGAGCTTCCCGTGATAACCAAAATAAGAGAGGCCATCAGACAGATGCTCGTATCCCAAACGTCTATCAAGAAATGTTAGAGGAGGCCGAAGCTCGCGATCCTGGACAATTTGCTTCAGACCGGCCAACTAAGAGGCGCAAGGTTGGTGATCTGAAGGCCATTCCTGTGGATTCGCAGCCGCCGAGCCAGCCACACCGAGACACAGAAGCGAGCAATGATGAATCCCCGCAAATCCAAACTGTTTATGATTCATCTGCGTCTGAAGAAGAATCAGATATTGAATGGGAAGATGTCGATATAGCGCAAGCCCAACCCTTCTTCCCTCAAGATTCTTCTGCGCCCAAAGACGATGATGATATGCTCCAGATCACGCTCGAACAAGAACCCGAGAAGCGACGAAAAGTCATTCAAAAGAGAAAACCTTTGACTGGCGCAGAGAGGAAACTTCGATTAGATGTGCATAAATCTCACCTTCTTTGTCTCCTTGGGCATGTTCATTTGCGCAACTTGTGGTGTAATGACAATGAACTTCAGGTCAGTATCAATGTACCAGATAATTTGGCCGGGGCTTTCAACTAAAGTTCCTTTAGGAATTTGTGAAAAAGATACTACCCAAGAAAGTCATCACTCTTTTGCACCCAGATGAACACAAACCGCACTATACCAGGTCTACCACATTTGTGGACGGTCTGAACCAGGCTGGTGACGCCTTTGCGCGTAGATTCCGGGTCACAAAGCCGGGAATGAAAAGAGCTCACTGGGCCGAAGATGAGACTCGTTTGAAGGAGAGCCTGGTATCAATGACAAGTTGCCTCGCCGACTAGAATCCTTGCTGACAACTATCCAGGAATCGGTCATGTTGGGCGCAGAGGTGTTGGTATCCAGAAAAGACTTTCGAGCACAGGCAAAAACAATGCAGGGCTCTCGAGATTTTGGGGCACAACTTTTCTGTGCCTTACTGCGTGCTGTGGCTGTAGAAGCAAGACTCGTATGCTCATTGCAACCGCTTCCATTTTCTGGCACCGTCAAAAACAGAACGCCATCTAAACCAAAGCCCCAATACATAGTAATATCTTCAGACGACCCTGGATCCTCAACAGATGAGCACCAGAAGTCCGAAACGTCGCCCACAGCCCCAAGGACTCGGCGGATCGGGCAACCAAAGTTCGCTCCTTCGCGTCCTCCAAAGCCTCAATCACACTCCGGTAAGCAGAAGTGGTCAACAATCAATTTTCTGAGCTGACTAGCAATCTCACAGTCCCCTACCAAGCAGTCAAAGAATCGCCTTTCCCAGTGTTTTGGGTGGAAGCGTTCAACGAAGCTACCAAAAAATGGATAACGATTGATCCCGTCGTGACCAAATCCCTGGCGAAGCCCTCCAAATTCGAGCCGCCTGCGAGTGACCCTCACAACCTGATGAACTATGTGGTTGGGTTCGAAGACGATGCTTCCGTCCGAGATGTCACCCGTCGTTATGTGAAAGCATACAACGCGAAGACTCGAAAGCTCCGAGTCGAAAACACACCACACGGGGAAGAGTGGTGGGACAAAGTTTTGAAGACATATGAAAAGCCTTTCTTCGAGGACCGCGACGAGGCAGAGATCAGTGAACTGACCTCCAAAGCTGCGGCAGAGCCGATGCCCCGCAGTATACAAGACTTCAAAGATCATCCGGTCTATGCACTTGAGCGACACGTCCGTCGTAACGAAGTCATTCATCCGAAAAGAGTTATTGGGCATGTTAGTTTGGGAAACTCCACTACAAGGAGTGAGAAATCAGAGCCCGTCTACCGCCGTGCTGATCTTCACGTTGTGCGAAGTTCTGATAGGTGGTATCGTATGGGTCGAGATGTGAAAGTCGGCGAGCAGCCTCTCAAGCGTGTCCCGGCGGTTCGGACTCAAGGCGGGGGAATAAGCGAAGATGAAGACGATGAGCCTGCTGAAACCACCCTGTATGCGGAATCTCAGACCCAGGTATATGTGCCGCCTCCCGTGATCAACGGCAGGATTCCAAAGAATGCATACGGAAACCTGGATATCTATGTTCCCAGCATGGTTCCACCTGGTGGAGTTCACATCAGGCGACCTGAGGCGGTAAAAGCTGCTCGAATACTCGGGATTGACTATGCTGATGCAGTCACTGGGTTTGACTTCAAGGGCCGTCGCGGCACAGCTGTACTTGGGGGCATCGTTATTGCACTTGAGTATCAGGAAGCACTGGAGGATGTGATCGAGGGACTTGAAGATGAGAGACGACTTGCTGCCCTTGAGGCTCGATCTGCAGAGGCTCTCCAGTTGTGGCGATTGTTCTTGGTGAAGCTCAGGATTGCAGAAAGGGTCAAAGAATATGCTGGCGACGACGAGGAAAAGGAAATTGAGGAGATCGAAGAAGAAATGGAGGTTGAAGACTCTGGTGGTGGTTTCTTTCCCGAAGCAGGCGAACAAACGAACAGCCCACCTCCAAGCTTCGTCGGCAATGATAGATTGGCACAAAGTCAACAATATTTAGAAGACCACACACACAGTGAGCAGGTATCATCTGATCATGGCGATGATGCCGGGGGAGGATTTTTCCCTGACGACGATGACGGGGATGACAAATTGGCACATGAACCAGTCAAAGCCCCCACGGAGCCACCGAGGCCTACACACTCTGTCATATCCCCAGCGAGATATCGTCAGAACTTCTCCAACCCAAGGACAACCAACAGTCAGCAGTACTCCCTCGTCGTTGTTCCGAACAACCCTACAAGCTCAGAGTCCCGAGACCGCCAGCTACCCTCGGAAACACAAGAAGAGATACCAGGATCATCTCACAATGATCCGATTGCATTAGACTCATCCACAAATGCTGGGTCAAAGTCTGCTAGTGTAGTCACCATTTCGGGGCCCCCGACCCCATCAAAAGATCAAACGCATCCATCAGCCCCGAACTATGACTCCGACAGTGAAATTGAGAAGGGATCATTACTTTCTGAAGATCCAGATGATGAGGATGCGATTCCGGAATGGCTCGTGTCCGATGAAGAATGATTTATGTACCAATACACCTTTGGTGGCTATTCTGCATCGGAAGTCATGGATATTATTTGGAGATCATTGTACTATATTCAAAGTCAACAAGAAACCCAGGTTTCAACAATTTAGCCTCACCGTGTGATAATTCAAAGTGCACTACTCACTACGCATAATGAGACAAAGCATTCACTTTGTTCAAGTACCCCAAGTACCCCAGTTGTTTCTTTGGGCGCCTCCCATTACGAGCAATGCAACGAATGTTGTCGGAGGGAAGAGTGAATTCCCCCACAACCCGCCGTTCATTTCGGTTCTGGTCAATGAGCCCCTGCCATGAAAAACCTTGGAACCCTACATGCAAATACTCTGGGAGGCTAGATTGAGTTCGACATAAGCACGGAGTATTCCAAACTCGATATGGAGTAGTTTAAAGATATGTAATGACTCGACGCAACGAAGATCCCACACCGCATCCCTACCTGCTTAAAGGGTTAGACTTGATCAAACCTTGGAAACCACCACATAGGTATTGGATAGCGAATGTGTCAAAAGCCTGAGTGCATCCGTGGATTAATCCTTGTATTCTCACACTAAGCACGTGTACTCCGCACTGGCTTGCCCTAATGCCTCAACCCGATGGTTGATGATCTGGATAGTGCAGGAAAACGGTTGGCGACCACTTTATGGCACTATGAGACGCCACAATACGATATATTGGCTCTAATAAACCCAGAATTGTGTGTTACAAGAGGAGTATTTGTTTGAAAAGAGGTCCTGGTTTATATAGCACAAACTTTTCGAAGTTTTCAACCAACAGCCTTTCGCCGGGCTAGCTCAATCGGTAGAGCGTAAGACTCTTAATCTTAAGGCTGCGGGTTCGACCCCCGCGTTCGGCTCTTCCTAAAATACCAACATGGTCTTTAAGATTATCTTTTTTGTTTCGTCTTTTTCTTTTGCAGCACTGGGATGCATTGTATTTTGTTTTCTCAAAAGGATATATACACGTAGACAAGTTCCAAGTGATGCCCACGTACGCATTAAGAGTACGGAGTAATCATCGTGGTATCGGCACCTGTTGCCTTCAGAACTCGAATCCACGCACGGACCAACCCGATATTGGAGACGCGTCGACGCGCGAAGTTGCCTAACGTCATGAGCTTTGCTTCTTCAATATTTTTAACCTTTGTGCGATGAAAGAACCGCAGGGAGCTAGAAACACAGAACACCGTCAAGATCAATTCCACACCCCACGAAGGCCAAACCAACAGCTTCCAGCAACTGCAAGGGTCACCGAGAACAACCGGTCACCAGAGCCAACATTAGCAAGCAACCGCAAAAGGGCCTCGGTGCCACGCGCCCAATCAACGCTCACACAGATCGACTTCGTCACTCAACCTACCGCGTCGAATGATGAGCAACTGGAGTATATTCACGAACAGGGTCGCGGGAACACCCACACCACCGAAACATCCAGAGCCAACGATGGCACCGACAGAGACTCAAATTATCTTCCACCCCCTCCAACACGTCCAACTCGCATGGCAAAGATGAAGGCGAAAGACCAGGAGTACGGCTCGAGTGAACGACCACCGAAACGGAGGAACTCAGCGTTTAGTGATACAGACCGAGGCCACCGGCCGCGCAAGAGTGAGACCCCGAGGCCGACTGGCCGTTCTAAGGGTATTCGAAAATCTTTGGAGAAGTCAACAACGAAACGCGACAAGACGTTGACCCAGATGGACTTTGTACGACGTTACATTACCATCGCCGATGATGACGACGACGTGAACATGGGATATATCCAGCCAACACCACACAAGAACAACGTCAAAAGTGAACAAAAAACACCCCTTCCAAGCTTGAGCAATTTACGACACGCCAAGAGTACCACCCCCACGAAAAGGAACCGCAGAGCATTCGAAGAAGAGCTGGACCTGTCGACGGGAGACCCAATTCCACAGCCAATGAATAGCCATGGAACCGAGAGCCAGGCACAACGAGCACCCAAAGCACCAGTGACGCCACAGAAACCTCGAATGCGCGAGATACCTTCATCCCAGACACCTGAAAGTCCCGGCATCGCTATCATAACATCATCACAGTTCAGGAGTGCTACTCGCTCCCCTTCGAAGACAAAGCCGTCAAAACCAACTGAAACTTCCGTGCAGTCTATCAAACAAGAATCTCAACAGAATCGAAGAGCGGAGGAGGATTCACAAGACTTTGAAAATATACCCTTGGTGTGGGGAACAACAACACACTTACCAGACATGCCTGACTATCTGAATATGCCCCCACCGAATAATACCGAGCATTTCTCTTCATCAGCACCTCAACCAGATGTGGATTCCCAAGAACTCCCCGGAGTGACCAATCAAATATCTAGGAATAAGAGGGAGAGAACAGTAGTCTATGAGACGGATGCAGACTCTGACTATGACGAACCCGAAGAAAGCCACAGCAGAAGCTCCGTGACACCATCTCCAAAAAAGCCACATCAAGTGATTCATGAGCAGGCAGGCTCACATGCAACTCAAACTGAGAACGCGTCTCCTAAGGATGATTCACCAGATCTTCCTCTGCCGGCGGCTCCATCAAGCCCCAACTGGGGCGATGCTCCCCCATCCGAACCTCCAATGTCCGATGCCTCCGTCTGCTATCAAAGGATGCATGCAGCTACACAATTTCCCCATGAACCGATCCCAGCTTTGAATACACAGAGAATGGCGGAGCTTTTCCCATCTGAAGGCAACACCCAGATCCCGAGACCAGGTCCATCGAAGCCCGTTCAAAACCAGACCGGGCCGTTCTCGCAATCACAATCGCAGAGCCAAGGAGCGAAAGATCCCACAGAGATGGTTCCCGAATCCTCACCAATTCGAGAGAATGAGAACGAAGCCGATGATACGACGTTCCAAAGACCCAAGGCTCCTCAATCAGTGGTACAGGTCGAGTCTTCACAGGCGGTGGACCGAGATGGTCAATGGCGGGGACAAGTTCTCTCTCGAAGCCAAGTGTTAACATCAAGCGTCATGGAGAGCATTCCAATGCCCAACTTCTGGATGGGGAGTCAGGATAGTGTAGGTGAACCCTACAGTTTACCTGAAGGATAGCATTGTTCAGTCAGTGGCTCATGATTTATGAATTTGTATCTCAAATACCAATATTAGACGCATTTTTCTGTACAAATAAATATCAAAACATCAGAAACAAAGTACAAAATAAAATCAAGCAACGCTAAGAGATGCATAAACAGCATAGAGTAGAAATTAGCAAAGGTTTGTTTGGTGATCGTCACAAGCGGGGCGGTCGGGCCGTGGACGAACGCGGAGATACTGCAACCCTGTGCTTGGCCTTTAACCTCTTTTCTCCCCCTCGCAACTCCCCACTCAACCATGGATATTGCATATGATCATATCCAGGAGGAAGCTTTCTCTAACAAAGAAGAAGCTCCTTCTGAAGCCAAAGCTCAAGAATCCAACAGCCTCAATGACGAGCTACAAGAAACCTTCCGTGCCTTCTCCGCCAGCCCGTGGGGTTCCCGAATCGGAGGATTATGGGACAACGTGCGCAAGCAGGGAGAAACCTACTATGAAGGCGCTCGCCAGGAGTACGCAGCTGCGAGCGAAGAAGCCGTGAAGGGGTTCTCAGACCTGAAGGACACACTTGCCGATCGAACAAAGGGGCTTTCTCTCAGCACCGTTGCTCTAGCGAGCAGTGGCGAAGGACAAAGTGACGAGACCACCACACCTAAGGCATCTGCAGATGGAGAGTCCCTGGAGAAGGGAGAAGGCGCTGGCGCCGACGGAGAGAGCTTTATTTCTCGGTTGAAGGCGGAAGCTGCCCGGCGGCTAAAGGAAATCGAGAAGGCCGAGGAGGCCGCAGACGAAGCGATCATGAGATTCGGAATGAATATCAGCCAGAAGCTGCGCGAAGCTGTCAGCATTGTACCTCCGGAGACCGACGAATCTGGCAAGCTTCTTTTCGAGAGCAAGGACGCCGAAGGCAAGCGGGTCATTCACGCCACACGATTTGAGGCTCAGCTCCACGTTATCCACTCGAACCTCGAAAGCTTCACCAAGGATCCCATCAGTGACGAGTGGGCCGCATTCAAGAAGGAATTCAATGTTGAGAGCAAGACAGATGAAATTGCTGCCGACCTGGAGAAGTACCCCGAGCTTCGGTCGGCCATGGAGAAGCTCGTGCCGGAGCAGGTGGAATACACCCAATTTTGGACTCGCTACTACTTCCTGCGTCTTGTCGTGGAGACTGAGGAGAAGAAGCGTAAGGAACTACTGAAGGGTATGCCAAGTCTTAATTTTGAATATGAATTTCCTGTTACATTTCATACTAACTACACTTCGCCACACAGGCGCCAACGCCGAAGACGAAGAAGAGGTGGGATGGGATGACGACTCTGACTCCGAGTCCCAATCCCCATCCACTCCTCAGGTTCGCTCTGGCAACCAGACTCTTGCTCCCACCACAGAGACCCCGAAAGCCGAGCCCCGTCGGTCAAATGACCAGCAGTCCCAAGCCGACAGCGAGTCCAGCTACGATGTTGTGAGCGGTGCCGCTAGCAAGACACCCGGAAGCCCCAAGGAGAAGGAGTCTGCCTCCAAGGCCGATGACAGTGACGAGGACTGGGAGTAGATAGCTCTGCTCACTTCTGGCACCTATCAGCAAGGGAACCAATGACCGTGTTATTTTCGGGGCATCTGTCTATACCCATGACTTCCCGTGTCGAGTGTTACTTGCTACAGTGCCGGTTGAGCCATTCGACCGCTCACTAGAGAATTGTTTTGCCTGGAGTTTCGGAATGTCGGTTTGTTATTTGGCGTTTCGGACCCATCTTGTCCTTTTCTATTCCCAGCCCCGTTTTGTCACAGCCTTACCTTCAGCGATCGATGTTCCATAGGTTTGATAACGGATCCGCACGTCATTCCTTCTGTCTACATATCGGGACCACGGAGCTTTGGCTGCTGGCCTGCCCAATTTAGCTCCACCCACCCTACCTACCCAACATATTGTTGCTTTTCAATGATATACTTGAAGCCTATTCGGACCCTGTGTAGCCAACTTCGAAAGAATGAAGCATTTGTTCTCGTGTTTGCATCTACTTCGTACATACTCACGAGTATGGCCACCTGTACGTGCACCACACTCATTCACATCATTCCGCAGTTCTGGTCTCTTCATCTCTGAGGTTTGAATACCCCTTTTTGGAAAGAGGAGAGTCGCCATACGCCGGAGTCATACCACGTAGACCGCTGGGACGGACATTGGGTGAACCCTTGCGCACCGGAGTTTCGGGTGTGTTCTCCCTAGAACGAAGATGGAAGCCCTGCGCGCGTCCGCTGGGGGAGTAGGGATCTCCGCTGTGTTGATAAGGGCTGCTACCAGGCTCCCAGCCGTATTGATAGTCCTCACCACGATGTTTGACGGGGCTTTCATTGTAAGGGTCCCAGCCAACACGGCGACGGGCATCGGAACGGAGCCGTTGGCGGTGTTGTTCGTCGCCGCCAGCACCGGTGGTAGAGGATTCTTCTAAGAAGAAGTTCAGGAGTTCGTCACTGATAGACAGATGGGATTGTTGTTGGAATTGTTGCAGGGACGTCAAGCGGAGGAGTGTCTCAAGTTGGGAGAGTGAGGTACGGACGTTGTTGAAGAGGGGGTTCGAGACAGTTGTTGTGGCAGCTGATTGAGTCGATTTTTTGCCACGAGGTGATGAGGGTGATGAAAGCGAAGAATGGCCTTTTTCTTCTATGGATAGGTTGGCGATTAGTGTTGGGTCAATTGAAGTTTCGGCTGTTGAAGAATCGCCAGCTTCGGTGTCGGAGTCTGTATCAGACGTTTCGTCTTCGTTAAAAACTTCAAATGCAATCCATTCGGGATCCAGTCCAGATGGCAGGCGCCATTCTTCTGGTATGGAGTCTTGGTGGAGCGAGCTGAAACTTTCATTCGTTGAATGCTCGTTTCCATTCAGCTGTGCGTCGAGCTGGGCTTGCTCTTCGTCTTCTGGTTCATCTTCCGACTCCTCCGGGGAAAAGTTGTCTACCTCATCGCTTTCCATCATCCGCCGAGGAGGAAGAGCATTCACATCTCGCTTCAAGAGAAGTATCGGATTGTTCGTTTCTCCTTCTGTACTTATGTTGAGAATCTTCCCCGTATCGGCATAAAAGATCTTGGAAATCTGGTGAATGGGTAGGATTTCCCGTATGCCTGCACTGGGTACACCCTCGTAGCTTGAGGGCTGTGGTTCATTCTCGTCAAAAGTATGAACGCGCCCATCGTCCAGGTCTTCAATCAGCAAAACTTGGTATGCATATTCATCAGCTCCAGCTGGCCCTGGAAGCCCGCCTTTTGGATGCTGATCTGGAGACTGCAGCGAGCGTATTGGAACACGTCGTAGCTTCAAACGCGCCTTGTGCATGACTTCCTTCCATGTCGCTTCCCGCACAGATTCCTCATCATGGGGTCGCAAATGGCTAGCGAACAGCATGTACATTGATAGCGTGAATGTGGGCCCCACTTGAGCGGCCTGGGACGGGGACATGGAGTACAGCGAGTCACCTGCGTTAAGGAATGCACTAGCCTGGAGAAGCCGTGACGGCGAAACTGTTGCTGGTAGATTCGTGGAAAGTTTGGCACCAGAAGTAGTGATAGCCAAATTCATAAGTGGCACGGCATCTTCGATTCGTACTAACAGCTTTTTGATGTCTTTGATGATGAGCTTGAGCTCTGCTGCGGCATGCGGCAGGTCTTTGGATGATTTAGCCCCTTTTCGCCTCAACTCTTCAGAGGAGGCAGCCTTGGCTAACCGCTGCCCTAAGGCTTGGATATCCCACCTCAGAGACTTGGTGAGACTGACAGCGGATTCCAATGACGTATTGCCCCGCGCAGCACTGGAATAGAGAGTGAGTTTGCTGATCATCTGTTGTTGTCAATGTAATATGACTCACATTAATTCGATCATATCAATCGAGGGAGCAATAACTTGGATCTTGCTTTCCAGTCGTTGCTGCAATGCAAGTAGCTCATCGCGATCTTCGCTTTCAACATTCTATATGCACGATAGATGTCAGCACTGGTGTGTTGAGTCGGAGATTGCGACATTACTTTGAGAAGGCGAGATGACTGGCGCATAGCATAGCTCGCAGTGATTGTGATTCCCGAGCTGCATAAGATTTAGCAGTTGTGTCTCAAAGGTTGGCTAACGCGGACACATACCGTATAGCATAGTTCATCGCCTGGCGGGTAAGCTGTTGCATGCATTAGCTCGGTTCCTGACAGGTCGCATGTGAGACATACCCCGGTCAGGAAGGTATCCATCTCGATTTATTCTAAAGACCAATGGTCTTTGAAGGTTGTGTAGATCGGGATATAAAAGAATGACGAAGGGGGCTTATCGATAAGAGTTGGAAGCCCAACTCAGGTAGGTATGAAACAATGAAGAGCCCAACGATGGGGGTCTGTCCCGTTCAACGGGTCATGGTGGCAATATTGGGCAGTGAGGGCACCACGAGATGAATTGAAAAGAACAATTGCAGGACTTTCAAGAGCCTTCCTGTGTTTTTCTCATTACACTCAGGGTCACGTGTTGTTATCGCGGGGTCTTAGTCATCCGTGCAAAATCAAAAGGCGGACCCCTCGTTCTTATTGACACAACCGGTGTCCAAATCTATTTTTGTTTAGATTCGATATTGAAGGTTTCAAAGCACCATGTCGAACCAAGTTCCCGAATCTTGGGAAGATGAGCTTTCCCAACAGGCCCAGGGCGTCAACCTGAACGCACAGTCTCGCCCTCAAGCCCAGGCGCCCACATTCACACCTGGAGCCGCCTCTTTCACCCCCGGAGCCTCCTCCTTCGTTCCAGGACAGCAATACCAGCAGTACTCTGGATACCCCCAGCAGGGCTACCCCCAGTACGGCCAGCAACAGGCTTACGGCGGATACCAACAGCAGGCTTACGGCCAGTACAACGCATACGCCCAGCAGCCCGGTGGCTTCAACCAGTACAACAATGGACAGCAGCAATACGGCGCTTACCAACAGCAGCAACCCCAGAATGCGCCTGTAGCCGCGCAGCAACCCGCCGCATCTGCCCCCAAGCCCGCATCGAGCGCCGCCCCGCCCAAGGCCAAGGTTCTGTCCATCGGTGCTACCTCATCCACCGCCGCCCCCAAGACCAAGGTTCTCTCGATTGGCACCCCTACCCCCGCTGCGAAGCCTGCTGAAGCCAAGGAGTCCAAGGGTGACACCAAGGGCCCTGCTGCTGCCGAGGCTGGTGCCAAGGCCGTGGCCACCAAGGGTCTTGATAAGTCAGAGAAGGCTGCTGCCAGCGGCAAGTCTTCTCCCACACCATCCTCTGGCCGCTCCAGCCCCGGGCGGTCTAGCCCTGCTCGCGGTGAATCTGCCAAGCAAGCTCGCGAGGCCAATGCTGTCGCGAAGTCTCAACAGGCCGATGTCGATGACGCAACCTTGAAGGAAATCTACGGTGAGAGGAGAGAACACGTCAACGTTGTGTTCATCGGTCACGTCGATGCTGGAAAGTCTACCCTTGGTGGCTCTCTCTTGCATGCCACTGGTATGGTTGATGAGCGCACTCTCGATAAATACAAGAAGGAGGCTAAGGAGGCCGGTCGTGAAACTTGGTACCTCTCGTGGGCCCTGGATCTGACCCAAGAGGAGCGTTCCAAGGGTAAGACTGTCGAGGTTGGCCGTGCTTTCTTCAAGGTTACCGTTCCCCACCCTGACGGTCCCATTGAGCGTCAATTCTCCATTCTGGACGCCCCTGGTCACAAGTCCTATGTTCCCCACATGATCGGCGGTGCTTCTCAAGCAGACCTCGGTTGTCTGGTCATCTCCGCCCGTAAGGGTGAGTACGAGACCGGATTCGAGAAGGGTGGTCAGACTCGTGAGCACGCACTTCTTGCCCGTAACACTGGTGTCTCCAAGCTGGTGCTTGTTGTCAACAAGATGGACGACCCCACAGTTGAATGGAGCAAGGAGCGTTTCGACGAATGTACCATCAAGGTCATGAAGTTCCTGGAAGCACTTGGCTACAAGAAGGCAGACATCTTCTGCATGCCCATCTCCGCTCAGCGCACCATTGGTATCAAGGACCGTGTTCCCAAGGACATGTGCCCCTGGTACGATGGTCCCTCGCTGCTCGAATTCTTGACTGATTTCGAGCTTCCCGAGCGCAAGGTTAACGCACCTTTCATGATGCCCATCAGCGCCAAGTACAAGGACATGGGTACCATGGCCGAGGGTCGTATTGAGTCTGGTGTTATTAAGAAGAACGGAAACTACCTCATGATGCCCAACCGCGAGGAAGTCTCCATCTCTGCCCTCTACGGTGAGACTGAGGAGGAAATTGCAATGGCCAAGGTTGGTGACCAGGTTCGCCTGCGCCTCCGTGGTATCGAGGAAGAAGACTTCTTCCCTGGATTTGTGCTCTGCTCTCCTAAGCGCCCCGTCCACTGTGTCTCTGCTTTCGAGGCCAAGATTCGTATCTTGGACCTGAAGAGCATTCTTACTGCTGGTTTCAACTGTGTGCTCCACGTTCACTCCGCAGTCGAGGAGGTTACATTCGCCTCCCTTCTGCACAAGCTCGAGCCCGGCACTGGTCGCAAGAGCAAGCGTCCCCCTCAGTTTGCCAACAAGGGCCAGACCATCATTGCCCGTCTCGAGATTACCAGCACAGCCGGTGCCGTCTGTGTCGAGAAATTCTCAGACTACGAGCAGCTTGGTCGTTTCACTTTGCGTGACCAGGTAAGTTATTTAATGTTTATTATGATCGTTGTGACTGGAGCTATTGCTAACAAAACGTTCAGGGTCAAACCATTGCTATTGGTATGATCACCAAGCTCATCACCCCTGAGACTGAGGCTGAGTAAAGGGTTTCCTCTGCCGAGGACATCTCGATGTCTATATCTTCAAAAGTGCAATGAACAAACAAAAGAAAAAAGAAAAGCCATGTCAGCGCTGTGCTTGCAAGAACTCCGAAGGGAGGTCTGGATGGGCAGAGGTTGCTTAATGATACCACAGACAGTCCACCTTAACTGACGATGATGAATATTTCCTTTCCATATTTTACATAGACTTTGCTCTCAGCATGAATCTAAGCGGTTGAACCGCGCTCGGTTCTTGGATTTGTATCTCTAGTAATGCTTATATGTAGTCGTAACTCGTGGCCACAGTGCTTATCACCAGCCATGGATGGATGTACAAGAAAAGAAAAAGCAAAATTGAATCATAAGTACAGGGCTCGTTCGGTCGCCAGCACAAGCATAGTCACGAACATGCTCGGCACCACTCCGATTGCATCTAGCGCTTCTTTCCAACGACCTTGGTGAATCCATCGTCATCAATCTCGGGCTCGGCGCGCTCACGCGGCGCACGAACCAAAGTAGGCGCATCGCCCATCTCTTCATCATCCACCTCGTCATCGGTCTCCTGATCATCATCCGCAGCCTCGACCCTCTGGAATTGTCCGGCAGCAGAGCGGTTCTGGCTCTTCTTCTGGTATGTCTCCCACATCTCTTGGACAATGCCAAACTCGCCGCGATCTGTCTGGACCTTGAGCTCCATGATCATGTCCGCGGCGTCCGCGGCGCTCTCATCATCCACCGCCACGTCAAACTCGTCGTTCATCACTTGGATCAAGACTTCCTCCAAATCTTCGGCATCGGTCTCGGGTCTCTCGCGAATCATATCGGAAATTGCACCGCATAGCCAGTCGCGCTTGTCGCTGGAGGTTGGACCACCCCAGTTTGATTGCACGGCTAGTGAGAGCGCCGGCCAGTTGTTGAGTGTGAGGGTGATAGCAAGGTCGAGGTATGAGGCGGCATCGGTGGCCGGGGCGGATGTGGTTGCCATTGTGGGAATGACTTTGTAATGTCTGATAAAGCGTGGGCCTTGTTGCTTGTTTGCTTGCTTCTTGTTTTTTTTTCTTGGCTGAGCTTTTGCAGTACCCCGCGCTAGGTAGGATAAGAGGGACCCGGGGGAGATAGCAGAAGTGTTCGCTCAACTTCAGTCAAACAATGGAGAAATTGTAGAATTGTCTGCCTCCAGGAGGTGGTTCTGTGCGAAAAGGGAAAATGTGTACAATTGATCTTTCACTCTTGGAATTCTAGTGCCCAGATCTGAAGGGGGATTTTTTTAAAAAAAAAATCCCGATTAGATACGATAAGGTCATGTGATACGGAGTATCGGTATCAAAATGAGCCCCGGAGACCTTCGAAGGTTCGCCGGCAAAAACTACTATATTTCAAGTACTTGGTGTGATTCCTCAAAGCTAGGAGAAAATAGACGAAACTGGCCATGTTCACAATACCCAAAATTGCAATTGACCTGCAACTAGAGCGAGAACCAAGTTGACTTGACAGAACGGCCCGCAACAAAAATTGAACTCCGATAGGGGGAATCGAACCCCCGGCTGTCGTGTGAGAGACGACGATGTTAGCCACTACACCATATCGGATAAGCTATGTGGAAATGGAACAGATTGTGCATTATAAAGGCTTAGCGCTACCGTCGCTGTTTGTGCCGCGTGGTTCTATAAAGACCCCTCCATCGCCCCAGTTGACTTCTATTTAGTTTTCACCCGCCCGCTTCTCAGCTCGCCCGTCTTCGTCCGTGCTCTGCTGATGAGGCATTTCTGCCATTGATCCGGATCGCCAACTCCGTAACCCCTGGTGTCCTTTGTTCGACCCCTCAACTGCAAACTGCGCTGCTTTCGCTCATCTGGCCCCATTCTCTCAGCTCCCACCATTACAATCGACATGAGGCAATTTCGCCCTTGGTCTGCTGTGCCGACCTGTGGATCTGTTACCTCACATGCCCATTGGCTAGCCAATCGTTGACCTTCCGTGCATCTACGAACACGCCCGACGCCCGTTTTAGATAATCGCCTTTGCGGAGCGGGACTCCAAATCTGCCTCGCGGATGCGAAGGCCGCGCGGGACACTTGTCAGCCTGGTCTGATAGCGTTCGCATCATTTCGGGATTCAGGGAAGGACTAATCAGGCTGATTCGGCGGCCATTCGCGAAGTCTGGTAGTTGCCGAGTTCGTGGCAGTCTACAGGGCGAAAAAGCAGCATCCCGTATATACGTTGCGTTTACAAGATCTTACGGCCGCAATCACCTGGCCGGAGGCGGACACTCCATTGCCGCCAGACGGTGCCCGGGATACGCGGATGGTTGTGTTTCGTTCCACGCTGGTTCACTCTTGCGCGTTTCGTTTTCTGTCTCGAACCAGGGAACGACTGGCGAGCAGAGCTTAATCAATCCAGTGATCATGACATTGGGCGATGATGCGCAGACTTGCAGTTCTCCAGGAATAGCAGCATCATTGCGGTATGATCTCGGGAACGTGGCTGTCCAAATTCCGGGGATCTACACAGTCCCGACCCCTGTCACCAAACGCGCTCTGTGACCGAAATCCTCGTTAGCTTCACGATTGATTGGTATAGAGGACGAGATGGACGGATGAGGAAACGGCTGCTTGGTGGCCGGAGGGATAGTCGAGAAGGCATAAAGCTGGCTTCCGTAGGAGGTTAGATTAGAGGGTGGAGGGTTCGAACGAGACACTAGAAATCGTCAAACAAACAGTACACATAGCTGAAAGATAAAAGGTTGATATAGGAGAGAAATTCTGCCGCAGAACCGGTGAAATTAAACTTTCTTGGTCAACATGCGATCACTATCAAGTTACCCTTCTACCCTCACATTTCTTTTACCCTTTGTCCCCATCTCCAAGCTACCTGCCATGGATTCATCAATGGAATATCTCACCGATCTTGAAGGAACACAGGTCACGTTTGATGCCGTTGCGGAACCACCGTTCAACTTCCCCGCCCAGAAATGGATAATACTTGAGAAGCTCGGGGAAGAGTCGAATCGCCTGACAAAGGAAGACATTGCCGCGGAGCTCGGACCGTCAGACACCACCGGGAAGTTCCTATGCCGACCTGCTAGTGAGGTAGACGATAACAGGCGCGCATTTTTACGCATTTACCAACAAGTTCCTATAGCTGGAACTGAAACCAAGAAAGCCACCGTACGGGCTAGCCAGGCTGTCGACACCCCTCCTGACCATCCAGAACTGATCGCTTTCCGGACATTCATGAAGCTAGACTGTGACGTTGTCCCTCGACTACTAGGCTATCAACAGCGCCAGCAAGACCACGACGAGGGTGTTCCCGGGGGATATATCACATACATTCTATGGGAAAAAGTCGCCGGCGAGTCTCTTAATTTGACTGAATTCTGGAGGCTCCCCTTTGCCGATCGCCAGGCCATCCGTGATCAGTTTCGCCAAGTCTATACGTAGGATTATCCAGTGACCACAGCAAAACAGTGGGCTAACAGAAAGCAGAAGGTTTTTACCATGCGGTTACATGCCATGCATGACTGGTCCATCGAAGATCATTTATGACAAGTCTAGTGGCCAAATGTGTGTCTATGCGAGATTATCCATGTGGAATATTATAATCTAACTATCTCTAGGCACATATGCGGTTTCAAAATCGCATCTCCGTTTGACGAACCTCAACAGTGGGATGATATTAACTACTTCCAATACGGACTCATCCAAGCCTCCCGTAGCCGATACTACTGGGAAGGAACACCACCTGAAACGGCGGATTGGATCAAAGATGTCAACGGCTGGACGTGGTGAATATGGAAACAACCACAGCGGGATACAGTGTGAAGTATGATCCGCCATCTTGTTCCTTCCTGGCTGGCTTAGTAGAAAAATATGAACCAAGGGATTGCTGCAGGTGCAATAAAGGCGTACTATGTCAGATGTTACTTGCAGTTTATTGAAGTCTATCTTCATTGTCTCAGGTTCTTGCTTGCATGACTGTATTTGCTATACACGAAAGTATTTGGGCAGCATACTATGATTAACGCCGTCTGATCCATTGACCACGAGGAGTGGGATTGGAAATCGGCCCCTGGGCTTCAGCAATGGTAGCAAGATACAGAAAACATTGATTGAAGGACAACACAGGCCCGGTAGACTGATTTGCGGGGTCTAGAGGCGCATATCTGACGGATGATTCGATCACGGGGGAATGCTCAATTCTCCAAGTTGATCCGACCTGAATTTGTCGTAAGAATATGGTCTGGTCGTAATTGGTCAATTAATTTTGGCCCATGACAAAGCCGCCCTGATTAGATCTATGAATTATCGCCCACAATACCACTCCCCTAACGATGTAACGAGGTGCGAGTATCTCTGAAGACAAAACTCATTATGCGAGTGGATCCCTTTCTTTTGTCGAATGTGTGATCAAGTGCCTAGATACCTTGACTTAGCGCTTCATCTAGTCTCCAATGAAACCTGTCGGCCTACATCCTGTACTATTTTGGGAAAATCGCCGTTGTGCACCGAGTAGCGGGGCTGCGGGGGGGCCCGCGGGGACCCACCATGGGCTATGTGCCGGGATCGCTATAGGCAGTAGGGCCCATCACCCGTTGATGGCTGGGCTTTGGGCTTGAAATTCGGGCCCAATCTGGCCTATTAAAGAGGTATAAACTCCGTAGATGAAATTGTCTTCTCGAACTACATCTATCACATTGTGACTGGAAGAGACGAAAGTGGGAAGACGGTGAAGGGTGTCTTCTTTCAAAGGGGGAAAGCTTCAGGAGATACGGAAGTCCGTACTTCAAACACCACGACCATATTAGCCAAGCACTATCGAGAGTTACAAACTTGTTGATCGGAGTTTCGCTTGGATGGAACAGTAAACTGTTATAATGACTTGTCATAGGCCCACCCTGCCACTCCTCCGGGGCAACACAACTTTAGAGTCAGCGCTAGAGCAAGAAGACGACATCATCCTTGAATTGGGATTTTCAGAACAGCGGATCGAGTTATTTTTGTCACTATACAGCAATAGGGACGATATTGAGAACATTGCTGCATACCATCTCGGTCTCGTCCACTCTACATCTGTGAACGAGATTAACAGCCGGAGAAGCGAGCTATCATTAGATTCCATCTACCCTACAAAGTTGGAGAAGCCAGAAATCCTGGCAATGTCGACGAAAAACTTCGTTGCGAAGCTGCAACGTTTATCTGGATACATGAAAATTGTCCGGAGATCCCTATTCCAAATTTATGGGGCTTTGGACTTGTTGATGGCCAAAGTGTAAGAAATCTCAATCGTCTTTGATCATGATGTCTAATCTGTGGTTTCTGTAGTTCACGAAACCACAAAATTGCCCTGCAGGATCCAGATTCTTTTGGATGATCCAAAGATCTTTCATGTGGCTCTTGGGATATAGCCTTCCTTGTCCCTATATTTGCCATCAACTTTCGACTATTCTAGAAAGTGGATACCTGGTCATGGAATACGTTGGCAACTCAGATACACAAATGCTCTCAGAGACTTGGGATAGGCACCGTCGTCACCAAGACAAGAGAAAGAACCTTTACAAGGGACTTTCTCCCATAATGCTTTCTCTCAGTCGAGTGCCACTACCTTATGTAGGCTCTTGGACTTTAGATCCGAATGGTGTTTTGCAACTTTCTAATCGCCCTCTCACTCTTCGACTCCATCAATTAGAGAATGGAGGGATTCCGACCAACATAGCCGGAATTCGACTTTTTCCACAGCGCAAGCATATTATCTTGATCTTCTGTCTTGTCATGATAGTCGCATACTAAACCAGCCAAACTCCATCAGCGATGCTGATGATGGGCGGGCCCAGATGGCAAGATTGACTATGATGAAAGCCCTCCTACTGCATTTCTCTGATAGAGAACACCGAGAGGGGCCTTTTCTTTACAGGCTCACAGATCTCCATCCTAGCAATATTTTCGTTGACAGCGAATGGAACGTCAAGTTTGTGATTGATCTAGAGTGGGCCTGTTCCCTACCGGCGGAAACCTTCCGTCCTCCATACTGGTTGACAGGTCGTACAGTTGACGACCTAACAGGAGAGCATCTCGAACCCTTCAGAGAGGCGTACGAAGAATTTGTGAAGATTTTCGAGGAGGAAGAAAAAAGGTTTCCTGTTATCAGCACTTTGAATTGTTACAGGACAACACTTATGAGAAATGGTTGGAAGACTGGAAGCTTTTGGTATTTTCATGCCTTGGAAAGCCCGAAAGGCTTATTCAACCTCTTTCGCCAACATGTCTATCCCGCTTTTGTACCTTCGCGTCAGGTTGCTTCTGACTTTTCCGAGGTTGTTTCAGACTTTTGGGCTCCTAATGTTGAAGAAGTCATACTTGCCAAGCTCCGAGATAAGGCGGAGTATGATAACTCGGTTTGTCAATCATTTGATGATGCTTCAGGCGATGCTCGGGACGGAGCTTTGAAGGAATGAAGTCATGGAACATTCTGAGAATACATAAAGATGAAGCGATGTGCATAATACATAGTCTGCATGATATGTAAAGAGAAGCAGAAGCAGAAGCAGAAGCAGAAGTAGAAGTAGGAGGGAGAGCGTTTCTCGGATTCCGGAGCAGAGTCACAGCACAATGGAGATGATAAGAAGGTGTGGTTCCGGTCAGCTTTACAGCACGTGAGTTCAATAGAGCAAGTGATCGAGTTGATTCAGAGTGCGTTCATGGAGAAACTATCACAGCTGGAACTAATCCCGTTAGAAGATGTGAGAGCGACTTCCCCATTGACAGACTATGGGGTAGATTCTATCGGTGGCATCGATCTTCGAAACTATATCACGAGCGAAATGGCGGCAACATTGGGGTTGCAGGACTTGTTAACCAGTCCAAGTATTGCCGAACTATCAGAGCACATCGCCAACTTGTAAAGTATCGTCCCGTTGAGCTGCAAGCGGGCTGAGATCTGAACTTCTCACACAGCTCTGTTGCGCGCGCGCAGATTTTTGTGTGTGCGGGCTTTATAATCGAGTATTCTGAAATGGAGAAACAGTTGTCTCTACTAAGATTTGATCAAACACAAAGAAAGATATTGTCAGCCACATTTAAATCCACCATAGATAGAGATTAGACCTCAGTAAACATGTTCTTTCAGCCATTCAAAGGAGAGCCTCACTGCCACTGTGATCCTTTCGTCGAACCTCAAACATTGCAAAGGGGTCAGCCAATGTGGCAGTTCCCATAACGATAGTCTGGACGGGTTTGGTATCGGCATGTCGGAAGTCATAGCGTAGCAGAATATGACAGAGGACGATCTTTAGCTCGTGTATAGCCAGAAATCGTCCAGGACACGCGTGCTTGCCCAGCCCCCAGCCAATGTGTTCAGCGGAAGGAGAAACTGCCAGCGCTGTTGTTTCATTTGCGGGGCTTTCATCTCGCATCTTGACAAACCGATAGGGATCGAAGAAATTGGGAGAGGTATATACTTCGGCGTCCCACATTCGCTCGGCTGACAAGATGATCGGGGTGTTTTTGGAAATACGCGTCCCGTCAGACAAGTCAAAGTCCTTTATCGCGATACGTTGTAATGCAACGCCTTGGACTGGCTTGAGCCTCTGACTCTCTTTAAGACAGCTATCCATTAGCCGCATCTTGTTGAGTGCAGACAGCGTCAAGCCATCCTGCTTGACCACCCTCACTATCTCGTCTCGAAGGGAATCGGCCAGCCCCTCCTTTTCAACGATATCATATAAGAATTGAGTAAGCATGTCGGTAGTTGTGTGGATGCCTGTCACAGCAAGTGCCAGCTGCACCATGACGGGATCGCACGGCACGTTCATTTCCGAATAGTGCTCGGCCACCCACTCAAACGCATCCATGTATCTCTGTGGCACCTTGCCATTCTGTAGCGCAGTCTCCTTCTCGACATGTCGTTGTTGCAGAACGGCGTCAATGAGACTCGTTGCTTCATCCAACTCGGCCTTCAACTTGCGACAAACCGGAAGAATGTGGATCATGATAGGGCGTAGGGCAGCAGGCCACCTGCGAAGGGCCTCTGAGGCCTGGATGGAGTCGACCGTATACTCGACCGTAATCTGTAGCCAGCGAGCATTGTGACACAGTGGTTCTCCGACGAAGGCCTTGGCGAGAAGCTGAGCGATAACCGTGGAAAGACTCGACTTAAGCCCTAGCTTGTGCCATGCTGAGAGGTCGAAAGTTAGCCTTTTTGACTAACACATCGCTCCGGTTATACCCACTGGGGTTGTCAGTCCATTCCCCACGAAGAGCGCTGGTGGCCGTTTCAGACAACGGATTCACGAGATCAGCTAAAAAGGAGGCGTCAGTAAAGCTTGTCCGAATTCATGCCTCTGTTTCGCTGCTCGCTCGCCGACTTACCAAGGGGAGCCACTAGCTTCTTGCGGATGAATTTAACAAACGCCTCATCTTTCTCAGCAAATGCGAGGTACGGGCGGAAGGGGTATAAGTTAGCATGAAAGCGCTGGTGCATGAATTCTCCAAAGCTCAAGGAGTTATGATTGCGGATCTCCTTGGTATACTCGTGGGACAAGAACACCTGGATTCCATCATTTGTGAGGAACTGGAACACCTTCCACTTAGCCAGACCTTGCTTGATCAACGTGGGAGCGCATAGCATAAACTCCCCAGGGGTTTTGTTTGCCAAGGGAAAGCGCGGTGAGCAATCGGTGAGCTTCCACAGGAAGAAAGCTGCTGGAAATATTAGACATAGAAGGACGACAAGGGAGTCATTTGGGAGAAGCATGGTTTGTGGTAGGCCAGTCAGCGCCGGGAAATATTTACCAGTGGGTGTAGTCCACTAAACCCTTTAAATAAGTGCTCCATACTCCGTAGGGAAGAAGGGATCTGCAGTGCCCAGGTGGGCTGAAAGAGAGCTCGTTTCTGAGGCGAGCTTGGGTACGGCGCAGTGGGTCTAGGAAGGACGTTCAGGGCCAGTGCTCGGCTGGGGAACCTGACCTGATAACGGTAATTTACGAAGATATTACGAACGTAAAACAGAGCTCTAAGCGAATGCAGAAGGTCTCCAGTATGTCATGTAATAATACCATACACGCCCCGTACAAGTATAGTAGATCGCGCCCAGACCCTTGCCGATCCAGAGACTAGCGGGCACTCACATCCGATATATCAACTTGGCGTGCTCCCTACCATACGGAGTAGTTGAATTAGTTAATCACCTGCTAGCTGAATTAAATACAAAAAGCCCTACGCAGTACAGACTACTCCGTACATCAGTTGCCCAGGGGGAAGCCTCCAGCTGGAGGGACTAATTTGTGACATTTGTGAAAGCTGTGGGCTGTACGGAGTATCACTGGGAGTGGCGCATGTTCATTCCTTTCGAGCAAATAAAGCCAAGATCCCCGTCTTTTCTTGAGTGGCGGCAATGTCCAAAGAGGTTTGACCGTCATTGTTTTCTTGCCAAGGATCGATACCTAAATCGACAAGTGCCTTGAACAACAAGCTTTCGTGGTCATCTGAATCGCAGTGAGCCTTCTCACGACGGGCGATAGTATGCAAAAGCGTATCCCCGACCAGGTTGGTTCTGCCAATCTCATGCGTTGCAAACATATGAGCGTAATCCTTTGGATTGGAGTTCCGTTCACAGGGATCCTCCGAAATCCCGTTCACGTTCCATGATTTCGGTGCCCTCACATAATGGAAAATAGGAGTGTCGCCATTGTGATCAGCCAAATTGAGGTCACAGCCTGCAGCCAAGAATCGTTGGTATAGTAAAGTTGCGTCTGTGAAACGATCTTCATCTTCATCAAGTTCGATCTGGCTCTGACGAGACAAGTCGCTGGAGTCCATCAGGGCTGTTGCGATGCAGTGCATGGCTGTTCTGCCATCGGGTAAGATGCTCAGGGGATCTGCACCCCCTTCTAAAAGGGCATTTATCGTTATTGCGTCAGCCGAAGTGCATTCATCGGCATACGCTGCAAGAGCCCGAGTCAAGGGAGTGAACCCATCATTGCTACGCGAGTTCACTGCAACTGATCGCTTCAAGAGCTCGGTAACAATCTCTCCACTCGCTATTTGAGCTGCCCAGTGCAGTGGGGTTTTGCCGCTCAAATCGGCAGCGTGAATGTCTGCGCCAGCATCCATCAGCTCGAGAGTCATGGCAAGATTTCCTCTCTCGCAGCTGTTCATAAGTGGAGTGCTACCCATATCGTCCCTGACATCAATATCGAAGCCCATCGCAATGATCGGCCCAATGGGATGATCAATATAAGCTGAACATAGCTTGTGAAGAACAGTGGATCCGTTTTTGATAATTCTCAGTGGATTGGCACCATGCCGAAGAAGAAGCGACATCGCAGCCTCACGCGTGCTTCGGGGTTCTCCTCCCAGTTTTGAACAATAAATCCTTTGCAAGAGAGGAATGTTTCGATCATCATCTGCGCCATTTACATCCGCACCGGCCTTCAACAAAAGCTCGACCATTGCTAGGTTGCGAGACTGAATTGCAGAATTGAGTAGGCCTGAATCTCTCGCGTCAACTGAAGCCCCGTACTTGAGAAGAAGATCAACTGTCTCCAGACTAGCACCATCCCTGACAGCGATGTACAGAGATGGCCAGCCAGGCTCACTTCGCACGGCGTTGGGATCTGCGCCATGGTTGAGTAGGATTCGTAGAGTTTCCCCATTCCATTTGCAACGACAGGATGGAGATGAACTGAATAAAGCGCTCTGGATAGCATCGTGAGAGGCCACAGCCGACTGGACGTCGACGATGCCCGCTTCAAGAAACAAAGCAAGGGCTTTAGGGTGCCACCAACGTCGACCCGCGGAAAGTGTTATGAGCGAGGTCACCAAGACGGATTTCTCTGCTGGCAGCAACTGCTGCACTGGGGGCAACTTTCGGATGAGCAGTTTGAACATTGTCAAGTTACAAAGAGACCGATGAGTAGCACGTTCCAGTAAGAAAGGAATTATACTGGGAGTCGCCTCTCCAATATATGGCAGTAGGCGTTCCAACATTGAGGTTAAGCCGAAACGGGGAAGGAGAAAAATTCCAGACTGAAGGGAATTGTCGTTGTCCTTGTCCATCAATTTCAGCTCCTTGGCGCGGACAAACTCTTCGACTAATCTCTCATTTCCCGTTGCAAAAAGCTGTGCCAGGAACCGAGCGTGGTCTTCAGGGACCTCCGTTGAGTCCACAATCTGCTTTATTTGATTATTACTCATTGTCAAAGGTGACACGCGGATATAATCAAATGATTGCACCCGAGGTTCCGCCATGTGATCCCTCAGTATTTCAACAACAGAGGCACAGCCAAGCAAAATAGCCACGTCCAATGGACGAAGACCATTCTTATCAGGCCAATTTGGATCTGCTCCCGCAGCCAAAAGCAACCGTACCACCTCTCCGATGCATCTGGCATCGTCACCCGAAGAACAAATTTCACGGGACACCAATGATATAAAGTCATTTTTCCTCTTCCGTCCCTGGAGGGTAGACCGCGAGTCTGCTGATGATGCAGGCTGTGAGTGATAAACAGGTTCCATCTTTTGCGCCTCGGAAATTTTCTTGAATCCGGCAGCAGCATGTAGAGCGGTTCGGCCTCGCTCGTCGGTCAGGGACAGGTCTGCACCTCCGTTGAGTAGAAGACTCACGCATTCCGGGCTGCCAGAGCGGGATGCCTCATGTAGAGCAGATCGTCTGTTGGAACATTGGTGATTGATGAACATGAGATTGGGCTCATGCGTCTCCAAAAGAAGGCCAACAACATTGCTCTGCCCTCCTATCGCAGCAAAATGAAGAGGAGTGCGCCCCAATCTGTCTCTGAGATAAAGGTCGGCACCATTCTGAATCAAAGTCAACGTGTTGATGTCAGAGACAGCTGACGCCAGATGTAAAGCAGTGACTCCATCTTTGTCCTTGGAATTGATATCGAACTGCATGGATGGCTGAAGAAGAAACTCCAACCAGGTTCTTTGATCACTACCGGCGCGAAATTCGTCCTCAATAGTAGCAGCAGCATGTAGAGCTGTTCTTCCCTCATGATTAGCTTGATGGTAGGGTGCGCCGAGTTCGATGATCATCTCAGCCCGAGGCTCACGGTCGGACCAACTCGCAGGCTCTTCTTTCACGAAGTGATGAAAAATGTTATTTCCTTTGAAATCGATAGCTTCAATGTCTGCACCGGCAGTTATTAGACACTGAGCTACCTCTCGCATGAAACGTTCACTTTCACTGCCTCGGCGGTATTCCCTGAAAGCCCCAAAAGCGTAGTGGAAAGCCATCGAACGTCGGCAAAGAGTTTATGTATACGTAATATAGCGATGAAAACCCACCAGATTTGCCCTCAAAGTCCTTTGCTTTTGTAATGGCCCCCATTCGAAGTAGTTCCCGTACAAACTCGAAAGAATCGTTCTTGTCGGCCGTTAATGCGATAAGCAGGGCCGATCTCCCGAGTCCATCTTGGGTTTCCAGTGATGCACCATGATTTAGCATTTTTTGGAAGGCTTCAAAACGTTCAATTTGACACTTTTCCTCATCGTATGGATCCCGAGTAAATTTCAGCTCTCGGTAAAAAAGCTCGTGAAGGGGCGTTCTGCCGAGATAATTTTGTGTGTGCAAGGCTTTTGGACTGGATAACAGCCAATCATCAATATCTTCCATGTGACCTACCGGATAGGTTTTGCAGTAGTGATGGAGAGCTGTATTCCCCTGCCAATCCTGTAGGTCAAAATCTGCCTCTAGCTTGTGAAACTCTGCGGGGCTGGGGGAATTTTGCTCGCTTGCATTGCACATCAGAACTGTCATGCCATCGGTGTTTCTTTGCACGTTGATCCCACAACCGGCCTCTGTCAAGATCTTCGCAACGTCCGGATAGACCCGTCTCAAAGAATTGTGAAGAGGAGTTTGCCCGTCAAAGTCAAGGAGGATGGCGGCAGCACCCCGAGAAAGAAGAGCGAAGAGGAAATTCTTAATTGACATGCTCGCCCAGTGAAGGCTTGGCCATTCAAAGAGTGCTGTACGGCCTCTGTGGTCTCTCGCATTGATATCGCAACCTGCGTTGAGCAAAAGATCTAGGCAAGCTTCCATGCCATCACTGTCTTGTGTTGAAGAATCTCCCAGTGGGATACCGAGCCCCCACGCATGAAGAGGGGTGTAGCTCGGAGGTGGCAGAGGATGAGCTGTGCTTTCGTCTTGAGTGGGCGGCTCAGGTGGAAAGTTTCTGTTCATCGAAAGAATGCTGACATCGGCTCCATGATCGAGCAGAATCCGTACCGTGGCTGCGTTGCGATTTCGAGCCGCTAGATACAGTGGAGTATCGCCATACTCGTCATGTTTGTCAATTGAGCGCTTGCAAGTATCGTTCTCGAGTAATTCTGAGAGAATCTCATCATCCCCTCTCTCCGCAGCAAGATGCACAAGGTTGTCTGGGCAGAGACTTTCAAGATCCACAAGGCGTATAAGCTCGAGAACAGCTTCTACAGAACCAACTTCAATGGCGGATGCGAGAGCGGTGGATTCCTTCGTGGACTTCCAATAATGTGGCTCTCCCTGGGGATCCAAGAGGCCAGGGGTCAATCTTCTAGCAGTTCCAATACCAATAGACACTTTCGTCATTGGATCCACACCTGCTTGTACGAGTGAGCGAACAACCTCCACCTTGTTCAACTTGCACGCATATGGGATGATGTGTGACCTTGAGGTGTAGTCGTGTTTAAATTTGGTACCATGAGAAGCACCGTGCTTCAATAGCAAGCTAACAATTTCATGCTGGCCACTCACGATCGCATAAACCAAGGGTGTATGCTTGTCCGCGTCTGTGATGTCAGGGGTCGAGCCCCGAGAAAGGAGGTGGGCAGCAAGCGGAACCAGTCCAGAGTAGGCGGCAACATGCAAGACTGAGCAGCAACTGGGTAAACCGTCCTGATAGGCTATCCAAATTTGATTCCAAGCCTGGTAATCATGACTGGAATCCTGACAGAAGGCATCCAAGTGTCTGATGAGGTCATTTCCGAGATTCCCTGATTGGAGGACGTGAAATTGCCATTCCTGGATGGCATATCGGAGGAAGTAAAACTTCAAAAAGAGCGACTTTCTATCGCTTGATGGATTTTCACGTTCCTTGGTGATATCCCATTCCCGCAATGGGCCATTCATGAGATACCGAAGACATGTTTGCGCCATCATTGTATGAACAGCCTTTGAATCGACTGTATGATATTCACGGGCTCCAGATGTCGTTCGAGTGTGCTCAACTTCTCGACTGAGAAGATATTCCGTCAGCGAGTGATGGATGACCTGAACAACACCATCCTCACAAATCTCAAGGAGAGGCCCGCAAGCCGTCCGAACAGCATCCTTTACATTGGAAGCTATTTGAAGCCCCGCGCGGTCAGGTAGTGACTCAACCATAGCCGTCAGCTCCAGAATGCGCATCGGACGGGCTGAATGCGTCACCCATTCAAGAATGAGCCTCTGCAGACGCGTGGAAGTTCCCGATCGCGTTACAGATTCACGCAGTAGATCAGTGTATAGATCTCCAAGGCCATCGGGGAGATTGTGAACGCGGGTTCTTATGTTTTGAGGGCTGAGCAGTAACTCGTCAATCATCAGTCTCGCGTATAAGAATAAGCCTTTTCCCTTCTCACAAAACGCATCCTTCATTTCCTTAATTTCTGTCACTGTCAATTCCAGATTAGAGTTTTCAAGGTGCCGTGTCACGAATATGGATATATCCTGATCCACATGTAGACGGTCGAGGCGTAAGTCGACGACGCACGAGCGGTGCAAGTGTTTCTCCACTTCCGGGACCTGACGACTTGTGGTGATGATTTTCACCGTGCGCGAAAATTCGTGGCCCAGGCGAAGGAAGTCCTCGAGCCATTTGTCGTGTCCAACCTCCATTTCATCCAAAGCGTCAACGACACAGTAGACCCTTTTCATCAATTTTAGGGCTGTTGCCAGACACCCCCAAAGCTGGTCGAAAGGAACAGACTCGACTGCTGGGAAGTCATTTCGTAGCTTCTTCAATGCTGCTTGGAGATGAGGCGAGCTGGGAATCAGCTTATGACAAAAGTCTCGTAGTAATGACTGCGGTGATCGATTGTTCTAGATGATCTCTCTGAAGAAAAATTACAAGACAGGGCCATCCTCGAGCTTGTGAAGTCTAGCAATGGTATGTGCTGCAACGACCGACTTTCCTGATCCGGGGATGCCCCTGATCCAGAGATTCTTCACTGAATTTGACTCAGCTGTACCCCAGTCGCGATATTGATCGGTCTCAAATATCCATTCACAGGTCCCTTTGACATGTGAGTTCAGATGTTTCCTGTATTCGCTTGCAGGGGAAGTTGAATCTGTCGGCTTCAACCACTCATTGAGCCTTCGTATGTTCTTGAGTATTTCCCTCTGATTGTTCTCTGCTATGCTGGTCAGTTACGCTTTTTGGCATCAAAAGAGAACTCACCGACGCCGACTTCAGCGTCTTCCGCCTCTTTGGTAATGATTTCCATGACTTGAGAAGATTGCTCGAGTTGTATCCGTTCAGGTTGGTTCAAAGCAACCCTCACTCAGCTGAAATGTTTCCTGTCGGGGGCCACGATGGGAATGGCGTCGGTGCCATATTTCTCAGGCAAAATTTGAGCTTTGATGCTGAATCACAACGGGCTGCCAAAAAGCACAACGAGAAAGACCATCTAAAATACCCCAAGAAAGTGAGAGCGGAGGATGTACAAACGACGTGATCAAAACTGCATACAACCGCAGAGACTTGGCGGAAACTCTCGCCCTTCCAAGCAAGTTCTTTGGCTCCCCCTCCCACCTCCCTTGATCGTACTTGATCTTGGCGTGTTGACACGACGGTCCCTTTGGTTCAGAATTCATGAAATACAGTGCAATACACCAAAGAAACAATGGCATGAAACAAGCATTGCTGAAATCACAACGTCCTGGCTGGGCTGCGACCGCATCGTGAGATCAATGACTCAAAGTCCCAGCTGCAGGCTTGCTCACTATCTTGCCACTTCAATTAAGGCACCCATCCTCTACTATCATATCCGCAGCTTTCTCGGCTACAGCATATACACTGCTCAAGATATTCCCACTTACGTTGTTCGGGAAAACAGAGGCATCCGCTACCCTCAGGCCATCCACACCCTTGACCCGCAGACGCGAATCCAAGGCATCGCCCATCGCTACCGAGCCACAAATATGGTACTCTCCCATGATCAAATCATGAACTGCTTCTTTGGCTGTTTCTAAATCCTGCAAATCTTTGGTAGGTTCCGGAAAATAGCGATGTATGATTGATGGCTGAAGGTGCTCTGAGCTGGCGACTTTGTCAGTCCAACGAAGCGCGGCTGCGAGCAACGCGATGTCAGCCTCATGGCCTCCATAATTCGGCTGGATCATCGGTTGTACGGTAGGATCTAGTTAGGTAACTTAGTACATCGATTGTTTTATGAACCTACCTTTCGGCAGACTGATTGAGTGACTCACCTGAGCTTTGGATGTGAACGTATCCACGCGCGACAGGGTATTGTGCACAAAGCAGCAATGTAAACCCAGCCGGGTCCTCTGCTGATGGTGGCTGAATGAGTTCACTCTGATGCTCAACTCCCCTTGCACTGGCAGTTGCAGATATGAGCACAACTTGGATATTGGCCGAATTCTCACTCTGCAGGTGAGATATAATCAAGGAGAGCTGTTTCTCGTGAAACTCGCTATTCGGTTGAATTTCTCGGATACCTTGCACAATTTGCTCCAATTCTGCCCCGGAACTAATACTCTTCGCTGGGAAAAAGCCCTGTACACTGAGAATACAGCTGAGCGGACCGGATCCAGATTCTCGATATTGGTCGATAACGGCCTGAAGCTTTTCCGGTCCACCGTTCAAGCTTTCATTGACTGCGACTTCTGGTTTCACCACGAACGTCACGAAAGTCATGGAATGATCTTGCAAGTTCGCGCCAATACTGCGATTGGGAATTTTGCATTCGACTCCCGCAGCGCACAGGATGTCAGGGTCGCCAATTCCGGATAACTCTAGGATTTGCGGAGAGTTAATCGCGCCACCACTGACAATGATTTCCCGTCTAGCAAGAATCGTGAACTCCCTGTCCCCATGTGTGATACTGACTCCCGTGGCTCTGTTGCCTTCTAAGATGATTTTATTGACAAGTGATTCGCACAAAATTTTGAGGTTTGGTCGTTGTCGGTTCTCCTCATAATAACCCCGCGCGGCATAGCTGCGTTTGCCCTTATCTGGCCCTGTCCGGATCACAGAGCCGAGTGTATGGTAGAAGCCGATGTGGTCGCCACTCCAAGGATCAGTGGGCTTGCTGACTATGTTCGTGGCCTCGTCGCATGCATCAATGATATTTTTCTCGATCGGCGTGATTGTGTCATTAAAGCTGGTGCGGATCGGCCCGTCGGTACCGTGGAACCCATCCACAAATGGCATCGTTTCCGAAACAACCGAACTAGTGGGCTCGAGTGTCTGCCAAATTTTTGTGATCAGTAAATCGCGACCAAGACGAAGGAAAAGCAATACAGATCGTACCTGATGCTTTTTCATGTAATGTTGCATGTTCTTGGCGGACCAGCCCTCATCGCCTGTCAAGACCGCCCAATCATCGTAGTCCTGCGAGGAGCCCCGAACATACATCATTGCGTTCATGCCACTGGAGCCACCGAGGAGCTTCCCGCGTGGAATGTGGTGAGACTTCCCACGATTCCCATACTAAAAAGAGAATGAATTTCAAAACTCAAATGTCTTGTCTCTGCGAGGGGGATAGCGGGTACCTGTGGCTCGGTGTACATGCACCAGTCATACTCAGGATCCTCAAGCATTTGCGTAAATAATGCTGGGGTATCAACGGTTGGATCTCCAATTCGGTCCTTTCCTGCCTCGATCACGCCGACCAAGACATTTGGGTTTTCGCTGAGACGAGCAGCGATCGTGCATCCTGCTGTACCCCCTCCGCAAATCAAATAGTCGAATTCAGTCTGGACAAATTCGTCAACCGGTGTTGGAATTTTGGGGTGTAGGGAACTCATCGTGTCTTTGGGTATTGTGTGTTCTAGCAAACTTGAAATGAAAGCAATCGGAAACACCAGAAGCGCGACCACAGAGCTCTACAAGTTTGCCTGCAAGTTGGACTAGCAAGGTGATCCAGTGGTCGAGCGGGGAAAATGTTTGGTTTACTTGGCTTTTTTCCCCTTTTTCTGATCAGTCCACACCCGCATGCAGGTGGAGAGACTAGATAACCTCCAAATCTCTCTGGATTTTTGTGAAAGAGAACTCAGCTATCAGAAATGTGCTAAAAATCGATTCTGGAGAAAGGAATACACGCGACATTAAGTACAATACCTAGGCGTGTGCTTTCCGTGGGTTGACGCGGCATACACAGTGTTATCGGCATACTCGGTGCTATCGTCAGACGCGGTAACTTCGGCAGAAACGCTAGCGTCGGCGGACTTTCACCCACTCTCAACTCGTGAAATCTGTCGCTGCTCTCCAGGACGTTGACCTTCCAAGGTTAGGGGTGAGTATTCTGATTGAATTTCCAGCCCCCTATTGGGATTTGTTTTTTTGAATGGAATTAGTAACCTTGGAAGTCCATAGGGCTGCCTACTGTAACGGGGAAACCGCGCTACGTCCTTATTTGCGCCACTCTGTCCGAAATGGTAGGTTTAGCTCTCGATCGCATAGCATAGAAATCCAGCATCCTACACACCTCTGAAATCCCTATTGGCTCAGGGGGCATGTTTCCATCCCCGTAGCCCCCGTCGAGCGCACCCCCGTAGTCTTGTCTGCGGTGTCAGACCGCCAGCTCGCTCTTCCCACCTCACCACCTACTTTACTCAGATGTTACTTCAACTGTAAAATACGATCAGGCAGGTAAGCCCTAGAACCAAATGATATAATATTTGGGTATGGGTAATTGAACATATGTTCCAAGTTTCCTGCCATGCCCCAGAGAAATGGCTCAAAGTTCTCCCGCACGATTGAAGGACAACTCAAGCTTCATCCATTTTTTGAATATGATCAAGGGTATACTGATCAGGATCCCACGCTAAAGCCCTTGTCTCCGTTTGACTCAGCTTTAACTCGACGTATTCCTCCATTGTTTGTAACTCGGCATTTAGAAGATGAAGTCTTTCTTTCCAGGTGGCACAGATGTCCTTTGTACAGACAGGCCCGAAAAAGCGCTCGTCAATCCTTGACCAGTATATAGCATCAAAGGCAAAGCTATGCGTTGCTGCATATACGATCCAGAAATCCCCAGTTTTCCAGCTCTGCTCCATTTGATCTGACAGACGCTGGTTTTCTGAGAGTCGCCCCTTCTGGATTGCCTCATTTTCGCAGTCCGTCATCGCTTTCAAAAAGATTGGAAGCTGCCTCTCAAATTCTTGAGACCATCCCGTAATATTTGTTGAAGCATACTCAGGCTTTGCCAAAATGAGCCACCAAGGGGGTGCGTGAGTAAATTCGACAGGCGCTGCATATGCAAACTCCCAGTCCACCACGCCTGCAATACCGAGGTCGTCATGAAGAAGGACATTCCCTGGGCGGAAATCGTCACACCATACAGGAAAAGGTCCATTCTCATGTTTAATCCATCGGAATCTTAGGTCCGGATCACGAGTGAGTTTCCGGAACAAGAATCTGGCGACGAATTTGCTCCGGCAGTCATCTGCTGAGTTTATGGCATCGTTTCTCTGGCTCATCAGGTGTGAAATTTGCAGTTATGCGAGGGACTCGAAATACGAAGAGGCGGTATCAAATGTTGTAGTTGGTATTTGCGATCGGGGCAGCGTCCCTACTCGGACGAGTTCATTCATCTGGATGGTGACAGGTCTGGCCCCGACTACCCACGTGAAACCATCAACTTGAACGAGAGATCCGATCTTGTTTTGGCCAGTTCTCGATAACGAGAGGCATACACCGGCTAGTTCTTTGTAAAGGGCCTCAAATTTGGTTGGTGGGATGCTGGGATCGAGTGCTAGTGGCGCATTTGGTGGGCGATCTGGGTCGAGGAGGACTTCCAGCATATTTGAAGTATGGTTGATTTTCTCCACGATTATGAAGGGGCCTAGTTCCATCGGACTCTCCTTCTTGGTCCCAGACTGAATAACCAGAGGGACGGGTATCGACGTTTGGTCTCCAATGAATCGCATGGCAGCGACTTCAGTGCGAACCTTTTCTTCTGGAAACATAACAGCCCCAGGAAGTGGAAACCTTATAATGGCGTGGGGGAGCGTGCAAACTCCATTTGCCATACAGTGTTGAAACCTCCGGTTTTCAAAAGTGTGAAAAAGATTCCGCCTTTTTCCGTAAACTCAAGAATAAATTGTCCAATTGTGCGGCAAACAACTGGGTCAAGAAGTTGGAGGGGCCAGGAATCGATCTACTTGTCGGAAGCGACCCGGGCGCAATCATCAAAATTCATACGGACTTCCATGATGAAAAAGAATATAGGCTCATCTGGGGATCAAGCCACAAGGGAGCCAGATGAAACTCAAGGGCCGTGATGGAGATGCTCAAAGGAGATATGCGGGAGAGAGAGGGGGAGGAAAGATGTGTATATCAAAAGTCAGGGGAATTGTGAGCCACCTCTCGACTGTTGATACACGCAGGAATAACAGGTGGACCGTGCGGTACCAGGCCTAACGCCACAGCTGAGCTTCACCTGGGCACTGACCCGAGGACTGGGGGATCTCAGAGAGTCTCCGCCGTCGGGTGACCCGACTGGGGTATCTAGGGCAGGGGGCTGGCAAGTTACTCTGTACATAGTACGGAGTATCCAAGTTCGTCGTCTCGGTACGGAGTCCCGGATCCACGGTGGGCCTGGTGGGTCATTGATCGTTCTTTTGTTTCGCAAGAAATGGTTCTTTGCTTAAGGGGTACCCAAACATGACCTGGACATGCGATATGCTGCTTCCACCTCAAAACAAGCACAGCTCATTCGGACCCTTGGGATTTTCATGACTTCAGACAATGGTAGACCCCTGATCACACAAGAGATACACAAAATCTGTAAAAGATCAACGAAGCCCTGAGTGATTGACTTGCAGACCTCGTGAAATCAGACCCACCACCAGTACTCCGTATCAAAATCCCTTCTTTTTTTGCAGTGAATTTTGTTACTACTGTATTCCACATTTCTTTCTCAAATGGACGTTACATGGCTTCATGGGGCCACCTGTCTTTTCAACATTAGAGAACAAGGATGCATGATACATCATTAAATTTGTGGTGGAAAGAGGTATTTTTCTCTGAGCTGCCTTGACAAGCTTGCTCTCTGGAGTTGGTCACTCCCAGTTTCTAGCCGAAATTTTTGGCGGGCCCGGCCCGGGTACGGTCCACCCGGGCATGATGGTCCCCGAAGTACAAGGGGTCACCTGATCTAACAACACAAACAAAGGTCACAAACGGCCTTGACCGCTGTTTATGGACCTGAATAGGGGCGGTGCAAGTCTAATACCAAATTCGGCATCGGAAATGTTTTTTCACATATTGATCAGAGGGAAATTACACGATAGGCAGGACCCATGTCCTTATTGACGATGTGCGAGTGGTATTGGTTTCTTTTGTCCGTGCAAATCTTCTTTTTGTGTTTCTTTGGAATCCATGGGCCATCATTAAATCCGCCCGTGGAGCTTCATCGGTGATTCATGAACTATGCCCCGGTGTGAGCCACAGGCCAATGGATCCAACACCTGTTGTATATGATGGGGGAACATGAACATGGTGTACTTCAGCTGAATTGGAGTTATTTCCCCAAGAATGTTAGCGCCGCGAGGCATAGAGCGTCCACACCGGACCTCATAGTTGGCTTGATCTGAGGTGCAAAAAGTGCTGAATGATTCCCGGGTATTTCAACACTGCTGTCCCTTTGTGCTTCGTCCCAAAGCTCGGTATCAATCCCTCCAATAAACCAGAAGCAGGAAGGAATGTCCTCAGCTAGCCTGCAAAAGTCTTCGCTGACATTGACTGTTGGAGTGTCTCCATCGAAATCTTGGAAATGCCCTCCAAAGGAGGTGACCAACTCGGAAGCAACTTGATCGTCATTTACAATTGGCCAGAACCTCCTTGTGGGTGTGAATATAGGAGGCTTGGGCGAGCCACTAGCCATGCATTCAGCCTCGACAATCCGCTTAATAGCGCTGATGATTTTATCACGCGTCTCCAACTTCAATGTGCGATAGTCCAGACCAATGTGCGCTCTGTCTGAAATGATGTTTTCAACTGTACCTGCTTGTAGACTGCCAACAGTTACAACTGCAAGGTCACTGGGGTCGATCTCACGGCTGACGATGGTCTGCAACCTGATAACAATATGTGCAGCTAGAACAGCAGGATCCACAGTCTGATGCGGCAACGACCCATGCCCACCTCGTCCAAACACGGTTATCTTGAGACTATCAGCAGCAGCCATTATGGTACCAGGTCTCATGCCGACACTCCCAGCACGCAAACGCATGACATGCTGGCCGAATGCGTAGTCTGGCTTCGGGACCTTGGAGTATAGACCATCATCCACCATTGCTTGAGCGCCTCCGCCGCGCTCTTCGTCGGGCTGGAATAACACAATCAAGGTACCGCTCCACGCGTCCCGTATCTTGACAAGCATTTGCGCCGCAGCAAGCAGACAGGTGATGTGCATATCGTGGCCACAAGCATGCATGACTGGTCGTTCAATGTCATTGGCATCTCGCATAGTCTTGGAACTGGCATACGGCAAGGAGGTCAGCTCCTGGACCGGTAGGGCGTCGATATCGGCGCGCAGGAGTATCTTTTTGCCCGGGCCATTTCGCAACACTCCTACAACTCCATAGCCACCGATATGGGTGTGTAGCTCAAATGCATTCAGTTGAGAAAGATGTTCTGCAATTTTCTCCGATGTCTCCTTTTCTCGGAGAGAGAGTTCTGGATTGGCATGGAAGTGTCTATACAGAGCCTCATAGGGCGCCAGATCGAGGGAGTTATCTCTCAAAATTGCGGAAAGGATGTTGGACATTTTTGAGCAGGGGGTGTGAGGGAAAGCAAGAAGTGCCGAAGCTCTTGGGGTAAAAGACGTCCAAAGGATCGGTTCTCCGAGCTCTCGGAGTGCTCGTACCTGGGGCCCCGCCGTCCGGTCCCGGCGTGTGAGTCATCGGGGCCCACCTACCCGCGCGGGCCACGAGCTTGAGAGGGGCGCGGAGAGCTTCCGACGCGAATTGGTGACAAAGCGTAGAATGCTTAATCGCCTAACTTGGACGTTGATCTAAGCTCTAACCATCAAGGTCTATCTCACAAAGACACAATCTATATCAGCCACCAAAGCAATTTGATCTAATTTGTCGGCGGTGGAACACGCACACACAGCGCAATTGCACCATCGACCTCGCGTTTGGAATTGCCTGGTAGTAAGTTTACTCTTGCTTTGGTCGTTCATCAAATCGCATGGCTTTTCTAATTATCCCAAATATCCATGTTTGGCAGGTTTATCCGAATATTATCGCTACATCCTCTGGGTCATGAGCCTCGAAATTGCCTTATACTCTGCTTGGACACCTGAGCAAGGCCCGAAGAGTCTCTGATCTCATAAGATCTGGCCACTGCGTAAATAGATGAGAGACTCTTTATGCTTCCAACTTTGCTCCCACGGGTCTCCGATTTTTAAAATTGTAGGTCCAACTCACATCGGCGCTAAGAGTCCTCCAATGCTCTCGATATGGTAAGGGCTCTTCTTGTCGTCAATTTGATTCGAGCCCTAGCCATAGTTATAGCTTTCCAAGTCTGTGAGTGGAGACAAAATCCAAATTATTGTTATTTGAAAAGGATTTGGTCTTAGGGCTGTGCTGCGGTGGAATTCCAAACCGGTTACACTCCGCCATCGTTGGAGAGCACGAACTGCCTACAGTAGGTTGTTCTAGACTCCTCAGTATCACCCTTGTTTTATTATTCCAAGACAGAGAAAATAACCTTGGAATATAACGATCGTGTACTCTAACAGATCTTCCAAGGTTTCCACTGAGGCAGACGATAGTCCAAATAATCTCAATACTTTTTGTTTTACTTCTTCCAAGGTTGGATTCCAGGTTCTACCCGCTGGGAGAACCAGATATGTTTCCATGACCTCATGACGATTGGAAAGAATATCTTTCAAGATTGCAACCCTCTACTTTCATACACAATTTTATTAAATCTCAAGCTCAAGAAAGGCCTGCACCCTCTACACACTCAGGCAAAATATTTGCATCTGAACCCTTGTACTTGTGTGTCCTTCCAGGGCTTCCGGATACTGAGATTTTATGACGTCATTGATATAGCGACGGCAAACCTTTTGTTTTTCGGACCTTTGATTTTCACCAACCTTGGAAGGTGATACGGTGATGTTGCATGTGATATAGACCTTTGAGTTCTATTTATGCAGCGAGCGTCAGCACTCACTGCATTCTCAGTCATCGCGAGGGTCTATCCACGTCCGCGGGTGTAGAGTGCACAACGTAAACACGGTATCCCCATTCCCAAATTTAAGGAATGATTCGATCGCTCTACATATTTTCAATCTGATTTGAGAGATTCAAGCGAAATGTCCCACGACAGCGCCTCTTCCGCCAACTCTCTGCCGGGCAGTCACAAGTCACAACAATCCTTTGCTCCAATCCGCAGTGGATCCACACCCTCGGATCATCATCCCTCGGAGGATGGATTGAGCGATGCAGCAACGGCTCGAATCACTTCCAGCCGAAAGAGTTATGCTTCTGGCCATGAGGGACAGGACTGGGCTCAAATCCAGAAGCTCATATCAAGAATGTTTGGAGAGGAGCGCAAGGCAAACTCAGAAGAAGAAAAGACAAGACACGCTGGAGTCATTTGGAAAGGTCTCACCGTCAAAGGCGCGGGCCTCGGGGCTGCTCTACAGCCTACCAACGGGGACATCTTTCTTGGGCTACCACGCCTCATCAAGCGACTTCTGACACGAGGAAGGAACGGAACCAGTGTCGCAAAGCCACCAATTCGAACAATCTTGAATGATTTCACGGTGAGAATTAACATACCTCGTAAGAATGCCACTGGCTAACAAGTTTAAAAGGGCTGCGTCCGCCCAGGGGAGATGCTGCTCGTTCTCGGGCGCCCTGGATCTGGTTGCTCTACTTTCTTGAAAGTTCTCGGAAATCAGAGAGCTGGCTATGAAGCTATTGATGGTATTGTTGAATATGGTGGGACAGACTCAGAGACCATGGCAAAGCAGTATAGGTCGGAAGGTAAGTGTTCTCTGCCCATACAGTGACTAGTCACTGAGAATGTTAGTTTCCTACAACCCCGAGGATGACCTCCACTATGCAACTTTGACCGTGCGAGATACTTTACTGTTTGCCCTTAAATCTCGCACCCCCGATAAAGCCTCACGGATTCCGGGTGAAAGTCGAACAGATTATCAGCAGACATTTCTCTCCGCCATCGCAAAGTTGTTCTGGATTGAACACGCTCTTGACACTAGAGTCGGCAATGAACTAATCCGAGGAATCTCTGGGGGCGAGAAGAAGCGAACATCAATAGCTGAAGCCATGATCACAAAGGCTAGCACTCAGTGCTGGGACAACTCAACCAAGGGCTTGGATGCCAGTACTGCACTCGAATATGCCCAAAGTCTACGCAGCTTGACGAACACTGCCAATGTCGCCACCGTGGTAGCCCTCTACCAGGCATCAGAAAACCTGTTCAATCTTTTCGACAAAGTGATAATGATTGAAGATGGAAAATGCTGCTTCTTTGGTCCTGGCGACAAAGCAAAAGCCTACTTCGAAACCCTGGGCTTTGAATGCCCTCCGCGTTGGACGACTCCCGATTTTTTAACTTCTGTCTGCGATCCACACGCAAGACGCGCCCGACCAGGTTCAGAGAATCAGATTCCCCGCACAGCAGAAGAATTTGAAGTCGCATACCGCAAAAGTGAGATATACAAAGCCAATCTTGCAGATATCGAAAGCTTTGAGAGGGAGGTTGAAACTCAAAAGCATGAGAAGGAGAAAGTCAGGGGCCAGATGAAGAATAAAAACTTCACAATCCCCTTTTATAAGCAGGTTGCACTTCTCACGCATCGTCAACTTTTGATAATGGTTGGCGATCGAGCAACCGTGATTGGTAAATGGAGTATCATCACCTTCCAAGCCTTGATTGTCGGATCACTTTTTTATGCACTACCTGATACGAGGTCAGTCTTTACTTCTAAACCATTTTGTGATAGCATTGCTGACTCGAAGATGAAGCGGTGGCGTGTTCACGAGGGGAGGTGTCATGTTCTTTATTCTCCTGTTCAACGCATTACTTGCAATGGCTGAGTTGACGGCCGCGTTCGAAAGTCGACCGATATTGATGAAGCACAAGAGCTTGTGAGTCCTCAATGACGTTTGCGCAATGCCAGTCTAACGAGATCGCTAGCTCTTTCTATCGCCCTGCAGCCTATGCGCTCGCGCAGGTTGTAGTGGACGTCCCACTTGTGTTTGTCCAAGTTGTTCTTTTTGACATCGTTGTGTATTTGTGAGTTTCACTAGCTGTCCAGACTAGGTACGAGCTAAAGTCATCTAGCATGGCAAACCTTTCCCGAACACCGTCGCAATTCTTCATCAATCTTCTGTTCATCTTCACACTTACAATGACCATGTACTCATTTTTCCGATCCCTCGGAGCTCTTTGTGCATCATTGGATGTTGGTATGTTAACAAGGAGAAGGCATTTGGAAAATTTACTAACATTGTACAAGCTACACGTATCACGGGTGTTGCCATCCAGGCTTTGATTGTGTATACAGGTAAAACCAGACATATCACTGTCATTGATATGACGCCGTGTACTAAACATAAGCAGGATATCTGATTCCACCGTGGAAGATGCACCCATGGCTCAAATGGCTCATATGGATTAACCCAGTCCAGTATGCATTCGAAGGACTCATGGCAAACGAATTTGCTGGCCTCGCGATCAAGTGTGAGCCTCCATATGTTTTTCCTGATGGCCCAAATGCATCTCCTGGGCATCAAAGTTGTGCAATCCAAGGCTCCTCCCCCGACTCATTGGTTGTTGACGGTTCCAACTATATCTTCACGGCTTTTACCTACACAAGGGCCCATCTGTGGCGTAACTTCGGGATCATCATTGGATGGTTCATATTTTTCGTTGTTTTGACGATGCTGGGTATGGAAATGCAAAGGCCTAACAAAGGAGGAAGCTCGGTGACGGTTTTCAAAAGAAACGAAGCTCCTCAGGGGGTTCGAGATGCAATTATAAACCCGGGGAAATCCGAAGACGAGGAGTCTAAAGTCAATAACAGCGACCAAGACCACACCCAGGAAAAAGACTCTGACGAATCTCCGAACATGAGTTCATCCATCTCCAACACAGCAATCTTCACTTGGCAAGATGTGAATTATATCATCCCATATAGGGGCGGACAGAAAAAGTTGTTGCAAAATGTTCAAGGATACGTCAAACCGGGCCGACTTACCGCGCTGATGGGTGCTTCTGGTGCAGGGTGAGAGGACATGTTCCAATCTGTTGAATATCGCTAAGGCTGAAGCAGGAAAACGACTCTTCTGAATGCGCTCGCCCAGCGAATCAATTTTGGAGTTGTTACTGGTAGCTTTTTGGTTGATGGGAGGTAAGATTGCAAGATTACACGCCCTACCACATGATCGCTTAGAGGATGGCTGCTGATGGTTAAAGACCTCTCCCGAAGAGCTTCCAAAGGGCGACTGGTTTTGCCGAGCAGATGGATATTCATGAGCCAACTGCTACTGTGCGCGAGTCCCTCCGTTTTTCTGCTCTACTGCGCCAGCCCAAAGAGGTTCCATTGCAGGAAAAGTACGACTATTGTGAGAAGATAATTGATCTTCTGGAGATGCGATCCATTGCAGGCGCCACAGTTGGATCTGCGGGATCGGGACTTAATCAAGAGCAACGAAAACGCCTGACCATTGCAGTGGAACTTGCAAGCAAACCCGAACTACTCTTGTTTCTTGATGAGCCAACATCGGGCCTAGATTCGCTTGCCGCGTTCAACATTGTGCGTTTCCTGAGGCGGCTAACTGATGCCGGACAGGCAGTCCTTTGTACCATTCATCAGCCATCGGCTGTTTTGTTTGAGCATTTTGACGACTTGGTGCTGCTTCAGAGCGGTGGGCAAGCTGTTTACAATGGACCCCTTGGGAACGATTCGAAAACGCTGATCGAATTCTTCGAACGAAATGGCGGGAGAAGATGCTCTCCACACGAAAATCCAGCAGAGGTATTTTTTGGTTTGGTGCTCGTTTCAAGTGAGATGCTAATGTCATACAGTATATGCTGGAAGTCATTGGCGCTGGCGATCCCGACTATGATGGACAGGATTGGGCCGAAGTGTGGGCCAATTCCCCAGAGTCAAAGCAGCTCCAGGAAAATATCGAAAATGTTGTCAGCTCACGCCGGAACACTCAAAATGAGAAGATCAATGATGACCGGGAGTACGCCATGCCGCTATGGACCCAAATCACCAGAGTTACAGAGCGGAGCTTTGTTTCATATTGGAGATCAAGGGACTATATCATTGTGAGTGACTTGGATTGCTCAAAGTCTATCTCTACTAAACGTCAATTCAATTGTAGGGCAAGATGATGCTTCATATCTTCACCGGTTTGTTCAATACATTCACGTTCTGGCATCTTGGAAACAGCTACATCGACATGCAGTCAAGGCTGTTCTCTGTATTCATGACTCTGACAATTTGCCCACCTTTGATTCAACAATTACAGCCGAGATTTCTACATCTGAGGAATCTCTATCAATCCCGGGAGTCCAAGTCAAAGATTTACTCTTGGCCTGCTTTTGTCACGAGCGCGATACTTCCGGAGCTTCCATATTCAATCGTGGCTGGTTCAATCTATTTCAACTGCTGGTGAGTCAATTTCAAATCAGACAGCTTTGTCAATCATCTGACATGCAAAAGGTACTGGGGAGTATGGTTCCCAAGAGACTCTTTCCGCAGTGCGTATGTTTGGATGCTTCTCATGCAATTTGAAGTGTACTACATTGGGTTCGGCCAATTCATAGCAGCACTTGCGCCCAATGAGCTGTTTGCCAGTTTACTTGTTCCGACCTTTTTCACGTTCATCGTTGCATTCTGCGGCGTTGTCGTGCCTTACGCCGCCCTCCCACACTTCTGGCAGTCTTGGATGTACTGGCTGACGCCGTTCCATTATTTGCTGGAAGGGTTTGTCAGTGCAGTGACGCACGACGTTGCAGTAGATTGTCTCGACAAAGAGCAATCTTACTTCAGCGCTCCAGCCGGCATGACATGCGAAGAATATGCAGGACCATATACTCGGCAGGCTGGAGGTTATGTCCAAGATGCTGGTGATGGATTGTGCTCTTACTGCCAATATTCCACTGGAGATCAATTTGTGAGTTTCGTGTTTCGCTCCCACTTTACAGAGATGACAACATTCAACTTACTGACTGGGGTGGTTACACTGATAGTCCCGAGGAATCAATATCTTCTATGCCCATAAATGGCGAAACTACGTGAGTGCCTGGGTCCCTTCCAAGTTTGCTGCCCAATTTGGACTAACCATCTCAGGGCATCTTCTGGGGATACATCATCTTCAACTTCGCTCTGGTGTTTTTCATCTCATGGTTACATTTGCACGGCATCGCTGGAATGAAGCGTTGGTTGAGTAGGCGGAAGACAAGGAACAAAGAAACAACGCAGTAGTTAGTTAGTAGGTTTAGGTACTTCGCTTCTTAGAGACACGGTCAGGGCGACAGACTTCCACCTTAATCATTCCTAATGTTCTGATGTTCCTGCATTTTTTTCCAGGTTTCAGTTGAGAAAGAAGGTAAAAGTCAATATGCATGTTTCAAAGTTCTGCTTCACTTTCAAATCGAGTTCACGGCACCAGGGCTTGACTAGCTTGACTAGACAGATCCTTGACAGGCGAGCGAAAGTCTTTCGACGTCCATTTTGAGGCTGGTGTGATATGTGCAAATAATGTTGAAGCCCTGACTTGATTCACAATAACTGATTGTCGCCATATGTTTATCTCAAAACCGCCCCGATCATTAACCCCAGGGGGCACGAGGTGACTAGTGGAGGTAGTGGAGGTACGGAGTACGGAGTAGTGCAGGCAGTGCTTACAAGTGGCGGTAGAATTGGCGGTCAGACGTCTAGTATGGGCAGAACTTGATTCGTGGGTCGATCACTACCAACTGCCACTGGATCCTGGATCTTGACATTTTGGGCGCGCATCTTTTTTTGCTATGCTCTAGTCCCAATCTTTCAAGTCTTGCCAATCTAGCTGCTACTGTGAGCGCCATGAAGGAGGAACCCGCTCGGGAAGGCTCGATTGCCGACGACTCGAAGGCCAACCTTGCAGCGAAAGACCGCAAATGTCAATACTGCTCTCAAGCTTTTACCTCCTCCTCCCTGGGCCGACACCTCGACCAATTTTTATTTAAGAAGAAACCGGACGGCGTACACGACGTGGAGGAAATTCGGCGACTTCGAAGTGGCATTACTAGGCGGCAGGCCAGGACGTCTGCGGGGAAGACAGAAGGGAGTCCGGAACGAAGCCAGAAAAGGGATTCTGTGGACCCCTCTGCAGCTGCAGACTCGGCCTCGAAGTCGCGCGATGCTCCAGTGCGCATGATGTTCAACACGCCCACCTGGCACGCCACGGGGGTGATCAATGATATCCCGAACCCAAATCGCGTGCCAGATGGGCCTCGCATCACGCCTTCACAGTCTCGCAATGTTTCGCTGCAACTTCCTGATTATGCGAGTCGAGGGGCCAGCGCAAACAACCCGGATACCATGCGTGCATTGGAACTGGCCTTGCGCGAAGTGCTTGACAACATCAAGGCAGCAACGTGCGTCCACCACTCGCCATCGCTTATCTTCAGAAACCGGCTGACTCAATTTTAGTGTACGATCAAGACCTCGGCTATCTCCCTTTGACTTCGATATACAATCCCAGACCTTCCCCTCTCTGTGCTTGCAGTTGCTGCCTCCCCCGCCGAGCCTGTTCGCGACAAGCCCCTTTCCTTCGTCCTCTTCGTTCCCTTTACAGCCGCCGGGTGTCGAATACGTCGACATAGTCCGACAGAAACTGCGATCCCAGGTCGCACAGTGGCAAGAGGACCAGATAAGAGCTGACCAGACTTCAGCGCCTCACACGAGGCACGGAAATAATGGGGTAGACGCTAGCTTGATTTATCGCAGTGCGCAGCAGCATGAAGACATCAGTCTTCGGCATCTGGATCTTGCCTTTAACCACTGGAACTCCCTCCCACGAGATACTCGTAGCGAGGCGTGGCAGCTAGAAATCATGCGCGCGTTTGCACGCGAGGCTGAGAAGCGCAAGTCCTCGGACGAGCAACTTGCCAGGGTACAACAAGAAGCCAACCAACTCCGGGCGCAAGTCGAGCGCCTCGGGTCGTGCCAATGGCCCCGCGAGTTCGCCCTCTTTCCGCCAGATACATTACCCCTGCCCCGGCAGGTGGCGCGCGAACTTGATGCGCAGGACAGCCATATAAACCCCACCTCATCACGATGGGACTATGATAATGTGGTCGCCAAATGGAAGCGCGTCGTGATGCACGATAAGGGCATGGGTCGGATCGGAGTTGGCTATGGAGGAAATCCCAGCCCATTGGGGGATTCAGATCATGGTCTTCCCCAGCAGAGCCCTGATATCCGTCCGCCGCGGCCGGGTGAAGACACAACCTCTCACCCGAACCGTCTGCGGCCTCTACAATCTGCGGCCACTAGAAGTCCAGATGTAGGTGCTGCATCTACTCCTGCGTCCTCCACCCACTATGCTTCGCCCCACTCTTATGCAGATCCACGCAGCCCGCCTGGCGCCCTGCCCTCAGTAAGTGGGTTGCCACCAGCCAAACGCCCTAGGCTCATGAATGGTTCAGAGGATGTCCCTGAGTCCGGACCCCCTCATGCAGTCACCAAGCCATGGGGTTCCTCCACTCCACACCTATCCAACCTTGCTGCTCCTTCGGGACAGACGCCTCCATCTCGGGGCTAGGGGCATGGAATGTAATTTTAGATCGCGCGTGTTTGTCAAGGCGTCTGTGTGCTATGATATCCCGTTTTTTATTTGTTCTGTCGATTATTGATTTTCTTGTCTCACACTATATCATTGTCCTCGTTACAAAACTTGGAAGATATCCATCCTTCATTCATTCAGTGTTACCGTCCAGGAACAGCTGACTATATATATATATTTTTTATTCTCTCTTTTGAATGGGCTTTCAAGTTGAGGTTCATCATTGAATCGCTGTCATATGCTGTGTGTACAAGTTACCGGCTCAATTCCCATATCGAGCAATCTCTCCACCCAGATACTCGGCCAATGTCAATATCTTCTCCTCTGAGAACCGTCTTCCTACTAACTGAATTCCCACCGGGGCACCATCGTACGTCTCAGCGTCATCTACTCAATCATCAGTACCGAATCAACACAGCGGTGGCAAATTCAACTTACAATCCCACTGGATGTTTCCAGTATCGTCACTCTGACAATCAGCAGGACGCACATCAATCTTCTTGTCCGCGAAAGTGACCGGCAGCGAGATACTGGTGTAGTCCAGCAAATTGACAAAAGCACTGTACCCAACGTACTTGTACTGAGTCGGGATCACTGCCGCGTGTGGTGCTGCTGGGCAGAGGAATGCATCGACAGGACGGCTAGTGCCTGTCAGCTCGGCGGTGCTGCTCCAGTAATCGATATACTCTTTCTGATATTCGCGCTTGGCGACGTTGAGTGCGGCAATTTCCGATGCTTTAAGCTCGGTGCCATTTTCGGGTACAATCACTTGCGCAGCTTGACTTTCACCGGAAAGACCAAATTGATATTTGAAGTCAAGTCCGCCATCCATCTCATATATCACACGCTGTTGCTTGTCAGTATGTTTACTCTGCGGAGTCATGCGATCACTTACGGCCAGTTCCACTGCCTTTGAGTGCGCCGGCGGCTTCCATTCAATCACCCGACAGCCCAGTCGCTGGAGGGTTTTCTCTACGATGTCCAAACCGCGAGCAATCGGGGGATGGATAGGGCAAACGCCGTCATACTTCATAAGACCGAAGGATAATGTTGACGGATCGGTCTGAGACTTGGCAATCAACGCCTTGGTATTCTCAACGATCTCATCCCGCCAGGGAAGCTCAAATGCAAGGGGATCATGGAGCCAAGGCTGCTGCTGAAGAACCGCCTTGAATAACAGCGTCAATGACCTCGCCGTTGGGGCAAGTGGTCCAATGACTGACAGGATGGTTCCCTGGCCATCCATTGAATTGGCCGCTCCTTGATATGGGATCCGACCCGCCGAGGGCCGGAGCCCATATAAACCATTGAAAGCGGCAGGGATACGCACACTGCCTCCAATGTCGGTCCCAAAGCCGCCGGGGGAGCCACGCAGTGCAATCAAAGCACCCTCACCGCCTGAGCTGCCGCCAGAGGACAGGAGCCGGTTCTTGGGGTTCCATGTGTAGCCAATTATATTGTTAACGGTCTCGCCAGACATGAGGGTGCTGGGCACACTGGTCTTGCAGTAGAGAACTGCGCCTAGAGACCGCAGCTCACGCACCAGCTCACTCTCCTCGGTCTTGCTGCGGGGATCGTTCGGTCTGCCTTCAAAGGTATTGACCCAACCAACATAGCCCATGGTGGTCTCAACGCCTTTGATGTGGAATTGGTCTTTAAGGCTGACTGGCAGGCCATGCAGTGGACCGATCGGGGCTTTGTGCTTTGCGAAGTGTTCGTCTTGCCGTTTGGCATCTTCAATGGCTGCGTCAAAGAAGATCTCGTGAAGACAGCTGACCTGGAATATAAAGGTCAGATCGGGTTTCCTGATGTGGGGCATTTTGTTTAGAGTGCGGGCTGTTGGATCGTACGAGTTGATGAGCAAGAGCGGCTCTGTGGCAGAAGGCCTCTGTGACCTCAAGAGATGTCCAGGTACCGGTGGTAGTGCGACTGCTTATATCCACTGCGTCTGTCTCTGTGATCTCGATCTCACGCGCGGTGAGGAACCGTCGAATATAATCTCCAGTCACATCGCGCAGCTCTGTAGCTGGAGGGATGGGATCTTCCAATCGCCATTTGGAGGGGATCAATTTCAAGGTTGACTGGCGCTTAGCTTCACCTTGCTCTCGCCAGGTTCCAGTCATTGTGAATTGATTTACTTTGAAAAAAGGGTGGCACAAAACGTATACTTCCGAGGTAGTTATATTCCCGAAGTGCTTATCAAGGTGTGCGGGGTCGCATGGGTGGTCGTTGGGGTCGTTGGGGGTCAATTGGAGACAGGCTTATCGACGGCTTCTTACACGAAGGAATTCACGTTTGATTTGGGATGCAATCTTCCTTTCGGCTCTGGGTTGTTTATCTGCTGGCCGGGTGTTTACTCCGGTGGGGTTTACAGTGCGGAACCCCAATCCGCGGACGGTATGTATAGGATATGCCGCAGGACTGACCCGCCCATTTCGAGGGTATGCGTGCGCCAGGCTTGAGGGCTCCATCGAGAGCTATACACGAGTGGACTGGGTTTAATGTTACTAATTTTATTATGCCATCTGGAGCGCTACGTTCAGACGGGTTCTGTTTCAGCTGCAGGTTCCTCAGGGTTCGACATCTGTCGAACATTTAGGTTTATCCGTTTGCTAGACATCCACCCCTTCCACATCTCGTAGGGACCTGGCGGCATGCCGGGGCCTGAATCCCCCGAGGATGGCCAGTCGGCCAGCCAGGCAGGGCAGGTCGAAGGCAAGATCTTGGGTACCCCGTGCCAGGCGAAACGCGAGGCACCGCTCATGTAGACCGTATCGCCGGACCGCAGCCGAATGATCTCGCAGCCATTCCCATCATCATGGCTAGCCAAGAACAGCCCGTCGCAGCCAAAGCTCACACTGATAAGTCCTACGTCACAGTCCTCGCTCACGTCACGATGCACGCTGAGCGTATCGCCAGCTGAGTACAGATTCAAGATGGCAGCCTGTGCTGTGGTGTTAGGGAACGCGGCATGGAGGAGCTTGGCAATGTCCGGGGGAAATTCAGGCGGAGGTCCGGATGGGTAGACCTTGGCTGTCCAGTCATACTGCCCTCCCAGTGTCACCCAGCGCAGTTTCTTCTCCAACAGACTCTGAACTGACACGGGCTTGTGTACCTCTGGATCTTTGGGTTCGAATGTTCGAGTAGGATCATCTCCAAAGAAAGACTTGGGCATCTGTGTTTCTTCCGCATTCTCGGGGTACGTCACATCGTAGTGGAGGTGGAGGTTTGTCTGATGCTCAGGGCGGGGCAGGTCTCGGTGGAAGAGGCGTGAGAGCAATTCAATCTGAACGGTGGGAGGAAACAAAGCAGGGATCATCAAGAGACCTGGCAGTAAGTCAGGAACGGGCTTGTCCTGTGGGGGTCAGTTCTAACCCAGGCAAATAATGCTAACCGGATATTGAATTGTGAGCATAGACCGGGATGTTCTCAGCAAGGGGAGCATGCTCATCTGCCGTCTGATGACCTCCACGGATGAAATCATCGAATGCGAGCCGCAGATCCTGGCTTGACATCGACTGCGCAACCGTCACTCCATGCGGTAGTCGGTCACGATCTAGTCGTTGGAGGTCGAGGATTTCCGGATCATCGTCAACGTCAGACACGGCAATCTTGGAATACTTCTTATAACAAAGCCTCACGGGATCAGGAGGGCGATCATACGCACTCAATCCTTTGATTTGAGCCATTGTGAATAGATGGAGCTGTGGAAGAGGGCCGTACCAAAGAGTGAACGCGTTCACCTCACCGCCCGGTGATAGACGCGGGGTCTTTTGTCAACAAACAGAGCAATTTTGTCTCCCCACCGTCCAATTTTTGCGTCATCCTCTCAACAGGTCTCGTTCTTTGATCCTTGGGTGGAAATTGAAGAGCCTGTTGCTCTAGTTGTTTTCAGAGACCTGAATTGGAGTTGTAAGTCTACCGACTCCTCCTCGCTTCCCCTACAAAATCTTCTTGGCGGACATTTTTCGATCTGCATTTCGACACCCGTTTTCTTTTTCGTGGTTTCTAATTATCAGAAGGGTCCGGATATTAGCAATTATGGATAATTACCAGAAGATTGAGAAGATTGGTGAAGGTATGTGCTGTCGTCGCGGGTTGTTTACTTGTGCGCTTCCACAGGCCAACTAACGCGTTGGTACTTCCTAGGCACCTACGGCGTGGTGTACAAAGCCAAGGAGCTTACCCATCCCAATCGGATTGTCGCCTTAAAGAAGATCCGCCTCGAAGCAGAAGATGAAGGTGTTCCCAGCACCGCTATTCGCGAGATCTCCCTCCTTAAAGAAATGCACGATCCCAACATTGTGCAATTGCTGAACATCGTTCACGCCGACGGTCACAAACTTTACCTCGTCTTCGAATTCCTCGATCTCGATCTTAAGAAATACATGGAAGCGCTGCCAGTCAGTGATGGTGGACGTGGAAAGCCTTTGCCCGATGGCTTCAAGGCCGGTGCCACGCTCGGCCTCGGAGATGCTATGGTCAAGAAGTTCATGGCTCAGTTGGTGGAGGGAATCCGTTACTGCCACAGTCACCGTATCCTTCACCGTGATCTGAAGCCTCAGAACCTGTTGATCGACCGTGAGGGCAACCTCAAATTGGCCGATTTCGGACTGGCAAGAGCATTCGGCGTTCCCCTTCGCACATATACTCATGAGGTAGGCATCGAGGATCAATCTTTTCTGTTGCGTTGCTAATTTGTGATCAGGTCGTCACATTGTGGTACCGCTCCCCCGAGATTCTCTTGGGTGGACGCCAGTACTCTACCGGTGTTGATATGTGGTCTGTGGGTGCTATTTTCGCCGAAATGTGCACGCGCAAGCCTCTATTCCCCGGTGACTCTGAAATTGATGAGATTTTCAAGATTTTCCGGTAAGTGGAATGGAACCATTCCGTGGAAAGATTGAATTTAACAAGATGACAGCATCCTGGGTACCCCCGGCGAAGACATCTGGCCCGGCGTGACCTCCTTCCCTGACTACAAAGCCACGTTCCCCAAGTGGAAGCGCCCCAACGTCGAGATTGTTCCTGGGCTGGAAGAGGCCGGTTGTCAGCTCTTGGAGTCTCTGCTCGAGTATGACCCTGCACACAGACTCTCAGCCAAGCAGGCCTGTTCCCACCCGTATTTCCGCAACGGCAGCGCGTACTACTCTGGCCGTACCCCAAACAGCGGCTACAACTAAAGTGATGGTTTCATCCTTTTTTCTCTGTAATCTTGTTGATTGGGAATTTCTTCGAAGCTATTTTCTTATGTACGGCGTTCAATGGGGATAGGGCGGGTTTACTCCAGGGCCGGATACGAAGTGCTTTAGTCATGAATTTCAGGCGTACATACCCATTTCTAGCATATGCTAGCTCTGTATGGATACTTCAAAGTGGTACGACTGTGTCATTCAGCCTCAGCCCAGAAATGATAATGAAAGTTATGAATCGCCGATGAAACCCAAGACCGATGTCAGAGCTGAGCTGCGCCTCACGGAGTCTAAGCTAATAAATGTTTCGACGCCTTTTCCCTGATTCCGCCCTTCGGCATTTGCATGCTTATTCTATTCTCAGACTAGGAATACGGCACAGCTGCAGAATGCACGTCCGTGGGGGCCGTTGAGGGGGCTGACAACCTTGGAAGTATTGGGGGCCGAAGCGCTCTTTGCGCTGAGCGTCCTCATTCGCCCATTTCGAGGCTAGTCCACTGCACTATGCAGCCTTATAATGAACCCCCCTATGGGGATCAATACGAGGCCAATCAGTGCACGAATCTGACAGCTGAGGCTATGTTTCGGCTCGGCCACGCCGTGTAGAAAGAGGGGGATTTGGCGAATGTCCTCAGGCTTCTTATAACCATCGCATTCCCATTTCCTGTTCTATTTTCAAACGCGATCGTCAAACTTGTCCTGGCTAGTGTGATTTCAAGCAGAATAGCCGCCGACACCCCCCACCTCCGCGCTTACAGAAAAATATAAAGATCACGGAGGCACTGAGCTCAGAGCCACAAAACCTATCAACCATGGAGTTTGACGATGAGATGCGCTACGCTGTAGCCCCTGGCTCATCGCGGTCCAACAGCCGGCCGCCACGCAATCAACCACCCCAGGAATCTGTCCAACAGTTCTGGAAGCAGTTCAATTCAAAGTATCCTGGAAAGATCAACACGATCCTTCCAGACAACCTATATGCAAAGACAAGGGCCAAGCGTGTTCCAAGTGGCCCGATCCACGGACACGAGGCTGCCAAATCATATGAGCAAGCGCGGCGCGAGTGCATCAAATCCGTTGATCGGATTGTGAAGGAGTGCGAGCGCGTGAATCAGAAATACACCGATCCACACTTTGACATTGAATTCGACTTGAAGTCAGGTCGGAGACATTATCTCGATGGATTGGACAACCCAAATGAGGAGATGAGGCCTCGGGGTGTCAAACGTGTTACGGTTAGTGCATCATGCTAGAGTAAGGAAGTAGGTATACAATGGACAAGAGCTCACATTTCTTCAGGAGATCTTTGATAACCCACAATTCTTTGTCAATGGACCGACAGCATCGGATGTGCGTCAAGGATACGACGGTGATTGCTGGCTCATGGCTGCATTGTGTACTATGGGCAACAAAGAAGAGTTAATCGAGAAGATCTGCGTTGCGCGCAATGAAGACGTGGGAATTTATGGATTTGTCTTCCATCGAGGTAAGCAGCTACTTCTGCCTTGCAAAAAATATGATATTGACCTTATCAGACGGCGAGTGGCAACAGTGCATGGTTGATGACAAGCTCTACCTTCGCGCTGCAGACTACGATGAATCAGTGGACGAGCGACCACTCTGGGACGATATCAATCATACGGAAGAGGAGTATCAACGCGTTCTGCAAACGGGCTCCAGGGCCTTGTATTTCGCGCAATGCGTCGACGAGAATGAAACATGGCTGCCACTACTAGAGAAGGCGTTTGCCAAAGCCCATGGCGACTATTCCGCCATCGAAGGTGGCTTTGTTGGCGAGGCGATCGAGGATCTCACTGGCGGAGTTACCTCTGAGATCCTGTCCAGCAACATTCTGAACAAAAATCGATTCTGGACTGAGGAGCTTATGAAAGTGAACAAGGAGTTCCTGTTTGGCTGTGGTACCGGTTTGTTCTCCAACTGGCTAGACCCTCATTACAGAGGACCCCCGAGAGATCGCAAGGGCATCTCAGAACAACATTCATATTCAATCATGGAAGCTCGGGAAATTGATGGACATCGTCTATTGAGACTCAGGTAAGCCCTCTCCTCTGTGATTTATTTAATCATACTAACAGAAACTAGAAACCCATGGGGTCGGAAAGAGTGGCATGGTGCCTGGGGTGATGGATCCAAGGAATGGACACCAGAGTGGATGGAGCGTCTAGGTCACAAGTTTGGTAACGATGGCGTGAGTATCTCTCTTCATCCACTGGGAACGGGTTACTGACACCCAACAGTTCTTTTGGATCAACTATCAAGACCTTCTGCGAAAATACCAGCACCTGGACCGTACTCGCCTCTTTGGACCTGAGTGGATCATCGCCCAGCAATGGACGACATTAAATGTTCCCTGGTCTGCGGACTACCACAGCACGAAGTTCATGATGGATGTCACCCGAAGCGGTCCAGTTGTGATTGTCTTGTCGCAGGTTCGTCTTGTCCACCTTCCTTGGTACAAATCCTAGCTAACAAGTTTAGCTTGACACGCGGTACTTCAAGGGACTGGCAGGTGAATACAGCTTCGTGCTGAAGTTCCGCCTGCAAAAGGAAGGCGAAGAAGATTATTTAGTGCGCAGCCACAGCAGCCACTTCATGGGCCGATCCGTGAATGCGGAGATCAATCTTGACCCGGGTCACTACCACGTCCTCATGAAAATCACAGCTTTCCGTCACGAAAGTGTGGAGTCAACCGAAGACACCGTCCGCCGAGTCGCCTCTACCCGAAGAGAGAAGCTCGTGCAAGTCGGGCTTTCATACGATCTCGCACATGCCAAGGGGCTGGTTGGGGAGACTGAGCAAGAAAAATGCGAAAATGAGATGTTCAAGAGAGCGCAGCGTAAGAAGCTGCGTGAAGAGACCAAGAAAGATATGCAGAAAGAGTGGATTCGTCAACGAAAGCTGTCTGCCCGACGAGAGCGCATGGACGCTGCTCGCCCGGGCGATTCCCCGTACACCCCAAGCAGCAGTACCTTTGGACGAGGCTCTGAGCGCGACAGCGTGCCTAGCCAGATCCTTGCAGACGGACTTGTCCAGGAATCACCAATCGATCTCACCAGTGTTCCGAGTGACAACAGTGATAACCGAGTGCAGAATGCAAGCGGTTCCGTGCCGACGATCCACGTCAATGGCGGCGAGGGACTCCACGCAGAGCACGCGAGCAACGGATGGAAACGGGGTGTCGAGTCTCCGCGGCCTAGCTTGGACGCTCGTATTGCCACTGATGGGTTGAACGCCAGTGATTTGGAATTGTTGGAAGGATTTGAGTTTGACAGCGACGTTGATATGCCTCCAGAGGAGTCGGAGGTCAAGGTCCAGCCCTCGATGGAAGAAGAGGACTTGGCTGTTGACCCTTGGAATGCTGTCTGTGTCGTTGGTCTGCGAGTCTACTCCAAGGATCCAACATTGAGCTTGCAGGTCATCAGACCAGTGCTAGAGAAAACTCCTGAAGCTGCTCTTGATCGGGATGACCCTGCAGCGTCAGCTACTGCTCATCAAAAGGATTCGTACTCGTCGAAAAACTGAAGTAGTACCTAGTCAGTGCCGAGGTTGTCGTTCTCATTGTATTTATCTGGGAGGTTTTGTGAATTCACGTTTGTCCTATATATATTGAACTTTAGATTCTCCCGATTTCAAAATGCTTACCAAGAGAGTAGAAAGATAGGCGACAAGTCCAACCTTGGAATGAGTAGATCAGTGTCTGCTGAATTGCAGTTTTCCCTCCAGGTCTTGAATCCAAATTCTAGGGATTAATCGACCCATGGAACTTGAAAGAAGTCGTGTTTCCAGGAAAGTCTTCCAAACCGTTTTCCCCCGACCTCGGGGGTTCTAGCACCTGGGCACGGTGATAAACTTATGATATTCCAAGATTATCAGAACTCTCGATACGACACGCGATGCTATATTTACAGTATACTCTCATCTGATGCAAGTATAGTAAAATAGAAGAACTTTCGACGGAAATGTGGTTGACGGTACATATACAACCTGATTTCTAAGGCGCTGATCAGTCACGGATAACCTCACGCATAACAACGCGAACTCCTAACGACCTTGAGAAAGTTCTGTTTTACCTCACGTATATCCTACCAAAGCCCGAATGGTGCTATGCGAGTTGCGCTCTATCCCACACGCGGCATAGCCCTCTTTTCAAATCGCTGCAGAGCAAGTCGGCTTGTCGTCGCGTGTTTTCAACGCGCGAGCCATTCCACATTCTCATCCAACTGCACTGATGAGACTGTTTCCCTCCCTATTGGGAACAACGGATCTATATCACTCCGGTAATTAACAAATTCCGAAGATTTGTTTTGGAGTTAAAGTCTACACATACTTACTGATCCAGAATTACGCGGCCGAGCGCGCTGAGCAAGCCGGACCATGGACTGTCCGAGAAACCTAATGTAATTCTTTATCTTCCGCCGGGACCTTTGTTTCGTGGATCTGATCTCAGGATCACCCAACACGATGTATCTCTGATGCCGTATGCTGATGGTCGGGCAATTGGAGAATTGGGCTCCTTGACCAGCACAGGCGAATCGCCCCAGCATCTACTGGCATCTACGGCCTCCGCCATAGTGGTTACAGTCAATTATCGGCTTGGAGAGATGAGAAAACGCTCCCAGTCACATCGAAAGATAGACCCGGGGTCACAAGAGTCAGACGACGTCTCGGATCAAGTTACGAACTCATCCAGCTCCGAACCACATTCATACAAGTACCCAACACCTGTGCACGACACGCTAGCTGGATTTGACTGGATCCAGACAAACCTCCAACCAGCCCAGCTAGCAGTCTTCGGTACTCACATTGGCGGCTCTCTAGCTTTGATGCTAGCTCTAACAGAAGCCCGATGTATCAAATCTGTCGGCGCTCTAGACCCTGTCTGTGACTGGCCCAGTCTGGACGAATACTGCGTTCGCGAAAATGCGAATATCAATACAAATGCAGACACGGCCGAAAGCACAGAGACAATACCCAAACCCAAGCGACAGCGAAGAAAGGCTGCGCCCCGTGACCTGGTCCCACTGCTTGAAGCTCGTTCCCGCTTCTTCGCGACGCCAGAGCGCTGTTTTGACTCGTTCGCTTCCCCGATTCTATTCCTTCGCTCTGCCGGTCGGGACGTGCCGCGCGCTTTCCCTCAGTACCTGACAGGACCGGAGTATCCGGTTCCGGTGCTGCAGTATACACCGACGACGACGGAAACTGCATCCGATGGTCTGATATGGGACCAAGATGAGTACCCCGATGCGGATGGCGAGGAGGTAGATGAGCTTGCTGCGACTGCTACTCGTCGCCGGAAGGCGCTTTCTCGGTGGCCGCCTTACGGACTCGATTATGGACTTAGTGGGGATACATGGTCTGGCCCTGACGAGGGTATTGGGCGATTAGAGTTGACGTTGCCCTGGGTTAGGGTTTTTGCAAGCGGCTATGGAAACGTGTCTGCTGTGGAGAGGGAGCCGTCGGTAAAGCCGGTGACGAGAGCGAAGGAGTCGGGTACAGGGTCTACTGTTCTTGCTAGACAGGCTGATGAGATGGTATCTGCAATGCGAAGAGCTTGTTTCTGGGGTCGAGAGAAAGGATTTGCCGAGCGCAAGGTCAACTTGTCGAAGGTTGATGGGTTTGACAATGTCGAAGCGGGCAAATGGTTTGATGATGTCTTCAAAGGAACCATGGAAGAAGTGGATTAAAAATTGATGGAACATAATAAGGAAAACCTTGAAATACAATCAAGAAGTGAACTGTAGGCCGAAATACCCAAATCTAGTTTATCCAGACTCCATCGCTCCCACTTTTACAATGATCCACCCATACCCGGGGCATCATTAGGTGAGTCCCACCATGCATCAATATCGCCCAGTTCAGCGAGCATCTTCGAGTCCTCCTGGAACTGTGGCGAAGGTATCTGACCCATTCCATTGACAGGATCGGCGTTTTGAGCCTCGGACAGGAGGCTAATATCCGAATTCCGTATCCAATCCAAATCACCTAGCTGAGAGTTTGAAACAGGGAACGGCTGTTGCTGATAAGATGGCTGCTGCTGGTACTGAGGCAATGGATTGTGTCCCAGAGGTGGTTGCGTCGGCTGCACCCCAGAAGGCATGTGAGACGGGATCTCAGAGACAGACAAGCGGGACTTCTTCCTAGAAACATCCACGCCTTGTGCAGTAACAGCACGACCGTGTTGCACGGGAGGTTGCTGCGACATGGAGATCGAGCTTGTGCCGTTGATCTGGCGTTTTGAAGAGCCTGAGCGGCGCATGTGCGCCTGCCAGCGTCGCTGGAGTGTAACGAGGTAGTCACGGGTTCGCTTGGCGTTCTCGAAAGATTGCCCTAGCTCGTCGAGCGCACGGAAACACAGATTGAGATATGCAACCATCTCGGTGCTGCGTGGGTAGGTTGAGCTGTCGCCCTGTTTTCCTGGACTCATTGGGGAGCCTGATACTGTGACAAAGAGAAGCATGAGAGCAGCACTGAAGATGATTGCGACAACTTGGTTGTTCATTCGTCGGAAGGTGTAATGCTTTTCGTAGAGGTGGAGAAGGCGGGCGACGGCGGTGGCAGACTCAACGCACATACGCCGCGCATGGTGATATCCTGGGCCTTGGCGAGGGCTTCGGGGTTGGATGTAGCTCTTTGAGAGCCATGGGCGGTGGAAGAAAATGATGATTTGGTGGTATTGCATACTGTTGGAGGTCAGGGTATGCTTTGCATGCTGATTGGCAGTGCGGACTTACTGTAGCATCATCAGGTGTGGTAATATTGGGATCGTGTCATCGTCCAAGTCAATTTGGAGACTAGAAGGCAGATTTGCTTTCCAAGCAAATAGATCTTCAGTCACTTGGTACGTTATTCGTTGCAGGTCGTGTCGAGAAATATCAGAGCACCCGTATCTAGGGCAAGTCAGTTTAGTGCATAAAATTTGGACTGGAACACCCACAGAATATGTCCAACTGGAGAGATCATTTCCCACAAGACAACAAATTGTCTACAGATCAACTCAGTGGGATTCTTCAGCCCGTTCTGAAGAATTTCGTGGGAAGCTTGCTGGCCATATGGACGCCAATTGTCTTCCTTTTCAGGACCCAAAGATGAGGCAGGCTTGGGAACGCTAACGTCCCCAGCATTCATTCGGAATGGACGTCCCAAGTAAAAGCCCCAGAAGCTGAGTTTGTTAGTGGTACTCCGGTACGCAGGCTTCGAGACTCACTGATCGGCCACATAGCTTCCCCAAAATGCTGCACGGCGCACGTCAGCTTCAGCTTGAGTGATCTCGCCCCTATTGACATAATTTGTCATATCCAAATGTAAACCAAGATCAAAGGCAAGTCGCATCGACATTCCTGGATTCCGTTAGAAAATGAGAGTTGGTGCTTTCTTGTGACATTAACCTACCGCTGTATAGCCAACCGCGTGCATCACGGTTTGACGCGCCCTCGTGGCAACTCATGATAACCAGGGCCTGCACTGTGGCCACGCAAGGTGAGTCGAGTTCAATTTCCAATAGAGCCTTGGCTCGGTCTGCAAAGAACTCAGACAGAGACTTTGGGAATGTGATGAAAGTGGGATGGTATCGTGCCTCAAAGGCACTGCCGATCGCGCACCTGTAACAGATTAGCTAGCTGAACCGTGACTCGTGGTAGGAAGGGCTCACATTGCATTAGTGAGAACCTCTGAGTAAAAAGCAGTGTCATCAAATTCGTTGCGCCATTTCGTTCGTGCAGTCATAAACATGTCTTTGTCAACAATATATGTACTAGGGTTTTGCCAGGTGAAATATAGCTCCACGAGATGATCCTCGAGAGCTTGATCAACTGGCTGGCCTACCCGGAGGTGATTGAGGATATCTTGGCCATCGTGGCGCACCGTGCGTGCATCCGGTCGTTGCCTTTGCTGCGTGGCGGATACATCCACTAGATTGAGATTAGAGGTTGCACCGTAGAACCGCAGATGACCATCGCCCGCGATCTTCAAGGTGCCGATTCGGTTAGACAATTGCTCGATGACATCGTTCTCAGCCTCATCTTCTTCTCCACTGTCTGAATCATGGTCCCCTATGTGCGGAACCCCGCCCATCGAAACACCCAATTGCTGCGACATGTCCATCCCAAGCTGGTAGCTGTCAGGGCTTAGGTCTGTGTTTACAGGCATACCAGCCATGACAGGTGCACCAGGCCCTCCTGGCCCGCCATTGAGATTGGCGTAGATGGTGTCCAAGCTCTCAGCTGTGGGCAGTGTGAAACCCCAGTGGACAAAGTTCTGGTTGTCGGACGCTCCCCGGACCATGCCAAACGGGTTCCAGCCCTCTGGCGAAGGAAACTGTCCGCTAGAAGCAGTATCCTGGGCCGGGGAGGGGCCCGATGCAACCATGTCGGTCGGATTTGGTCCCTTGGGGCTAATGGCAGGTGGGCTTTGGGATGGAGATTGGCCAGAGGCCACAGGGCCTTTAGGCTCGGCGGAAGACTGCTTCTCGCCATTTTCTGTGGGCTGGGCGAACCCGCGCGGGATCTGAAGAGTGTCCAGAACCCTGTTCATGCCAGCTTCATCTTCTGGCTTCATGGACGGAGGCTCTAGCCCCTGGTCCTTAATGAAGTGACATAGCTGGTCGATCCTGGCCGAGAACAACTCTGTTGCTGCTCGGAGTGACACCCTGATTGACCGATTAGCTCTCGGAACATTATCACGATGCCGCATTGCCATTTTCGCCACTTGAATTGACACCTCAACAGGAAGTACTTACTTCCGCTTGTCATCGCCATGTTGGTACTTGCACTCTTTGCCCTTGCGCTGGCAATTTTGACAATTTGGAGTGGCGCCGTCACACTGGCTGAGTTAGATCTCTCATTGTCTTCCCCGCGTTCGGGTAATCGCATACCCTGATCTTGCTCTCGCGACATGGCACACAGGCGGTGGTGACATGCTTTCGCGGCGCTTTTTTCATTTTCTCGTCAGGTGACATCACGAATTACAAGTTGCGATGGAAACCCCGCAATTGCGCCAGGAACTAATTCATCGTCAAAATTGACATTGTCCAGGAAGAAAGCAAAGATGAGAATGTCCTGAGAATGACCCGGGGGCGGGGAGAGGGTCCACAGGAACCTTTGAATTCCCCCGGGGCTCATCACTTGACCATTTTGCTTATCCCCCACCTTTTCATAGGTCGCTGGCTGTGGAGAAAATGGCAAAAAGGAATAATGGCCTCTATACATGTCGTTCTCGATCATGCGAATGAAAGGGATGAAATTATTGGAAAGCAGGTGTAAATGAAAATATGTATTTTCTACAAATTTAGAGAAAGACCATCAATAAAGCCTCGAGTCACACACTCTCCGGTACACTACACCCAAGAGAGTATCGCGACGTCCAAGATAATTTTGAAGTCTCGCCCGGGAGACCGGCAGAAAAGGCTATTCGCGAGCGGTGAGACTCATATTGTGGGTAACTGTGATCACCTGACCAGTTCATTTTGTATAACAGATCCATCCATGGATCTTCTTCCAGCCTGCTGCCTATGTGATAATGACTTAAAGGTTCAACGTCGGCTTGATACGCTCGTTCTGAACGACCTCGATCCAGTAGTTGTCGGGGTCCAGAATGAACGCGAGATATTTCATCCGCCCGTCAGTCAGGCGCTTCTTAAAGTTCACATTAAGAGTCTCGAAACGGTCGCACGCGGCCTGGAGATCGTCGGTAGAGATGCAGATGTGCCCAAATCCTTGCGGCTCGGTGTTACCATTGTGGTAAACCTGTCCCTCCTGCTTCTCGGTGCCATAGTTCCAGGTCAATTCGAGAAGACCTTCCCACTCCGCCACGCTGTTCTTGGACCCCTCTTTGATCTCCGGGTTGGAGGCAGGGTATCCCAGGAAGTACAGATTGAACTGGTTCTCCGGGTTCTCAATGGTGCGGACAAGCGTCATGCCCATGGACTCCTGGTAGAACTTCAAACTGGCCTCGGCATCTTTGACGCGCAGCATGGTGTGGTTCAGGCGATAGCTGCTGGGGTCGGTGGTGGTGCTCAAATTCTCATCACCGCGGCGAATAATCTCAACCCAGTATCCATCGGGATCCTTGGCGAAGGCAATGTGGCGCATGCGACCCTCAGTGAGCTTCTTCTGGAAGGTATAACCGGCGTTCTCAATGCGCTCGCACGCAGCTTCGATGTTGTCGACACTGATCGCGATGTGTCCGAATCCGCGATGAGGCTCCGTGTTGCCGTTGACAACGCTGTAGTTGGGGTCATTCTCGGTGCCGTAGTTATGGGTGAGCTCCAGGACGGCGTTGCGATCGGTCCAGTGACGATCACCCTGGAGGGAGTTGGGGCCGTCGTAGGCTAGGAAGTAGTTGCAGAACTTCCATTCGGGCATGTCAATGGTGTTTACCAAACTCATGCCAAGGAACTTATAGAATTCCACCGATCGCTTTGGGTCTTTGACCCGCATCATCGTGTCTGTGTTCCATGTTAGTATTGGTTGAGGGTGTGCATTCGGAACAACGAACGGTTGAGCTTATAGGCGGAGGTATCGGTAGCCATGGTTGCGAGAGACCCTGCGACATAGTTAGTGATTGGCCGGTGCAGAAAGACGCGGAACATACTGATTGGCAGAAATGATCTTTGCTTGGGGACCCTTGTAAACAGGCGAGAGAACATGTCCAAGAAGTGGTGGAGGGGAAGCTTTTGTCAGCGGAGGCGAGTGCCCGCCCAAAGTGTGGGGCCTATGACGGTGGGAAGCTGATCGTTTGGCATCGCAAATCTTGATGCGATCTTGACTAGATACAAATATCACATTGATTATATCTCACCTATCACTACGGAGTAACAATCTGCTCATTGCGCTGGGCTGGAGAGAAGTTGGAGACCACCTGGGAAAACACATCGTTCGCCTTTCGTGGCTCGCATTATGCGAGCAGTAACATACAATGTAGACATGAAATTGACTTGACAACTCGATCTCAAGTGCATAAATATGTCGAACTTGCCTGACGCGGGCAGTTTCATCTGCGTTGATGTACATGCGGGCGTTTAAGCGGACGTCATCAAATCAACGGGCAGATTGCTTTATCGTCGGGCATTCACACTTCACCTCAACAACACCTCAATCCCACACCTCCTCGAAGGCAATCCGATCTTCAATCCCTCAAAGGTTTGTGGCTCTCTTCTGCATTCTCCTCCACACTCTTGTCCCCGCCTTCGGTTGATCCCTTCCCTGCGATTGGCTTCCATCCTTCCCCGGCGTCGTGTCGCATGCTCGGAACGGTCTTTGGCCTCTTTTCTCTGATTTGGAACTTTGTTATGCTGCCGCGCTTAGCCCTCACCTGCCAATCACTGCCCCCTCTTCAAATGACATGTCTGCCCATAGACACGTTTCCCCGGCCATTGCGGAGCCTCCCACATCTCATGATCCATGCCCGGGGGTTTCATAAAAGCCCTCTGCGACTGCCCCATTCCTCCTGGTACCACCGGCCGTGATTAAAATCGTTGCAACTTGCTATTTGGACCAAGAATTCCATATGCGCATTGAGTCAACGGTTCCGGACCGCTTCGTGCTTCCCCCTCCCCTGTCATCTGCCTAAATCTCCGATATGAGAACGCTGCCTGCTGCCCTCGTGTTCTCCGTACATTGATCTCCGGTTCATAGAGGAGTCCCTCTATCCTCTCTTTGCTTGGGGCTTCAATCTATGGGTTTGAAGATGGCTGAATACGAACCTCTTCCAGTCCTAGACTACTGCTCTTCGGTATCCGAAACCTCCTCGACAACTCTCTCCTCCTCCCACACCTCACAAGACTCCCTCGAACCCACCTTCCTACCCTACTGGGCCCGATACGAGACAAAGTGCGCCCAGAACCTATTGGACTGCTCCGACGAGCCGATCGAGTACGACCACGACGACGAGGACTATCGCGACAACTGCTTCTTCTTCCCAGAAGACTGCTCGTGGACACCACCGAAAGCCTGGGAGGAATATCCTATCCCAGAACGCCCCGAAACTCAGACTCAGGTGGACTGTACACCCTTGGCACAAACAACCGACACCATGATCCCCGGCCTTCCAGATATCAAGATGCTAGACGCCGAGGCGCTCAGCGACCTCCTAGAAGACAATCTCTCTCCACCAGAGATAACAACCATAATGTACGTCCCGCGCCCATCCCCCCAAAGGACCAGCTGACCAAACCAGCGTCTTCGCAACCAACGGCGCCGTCTTCGCCCACGGCTCCACCCTCTCCTCCCGCCAACTCCGCAACCTCAGCGCCACATACGGCGCCGCATACACCTGCTACGCGAAAAACGCCTCTAGCGGCAATCTCACCGGCGTCAACCCTGCCAGCCACCCCTCATCCTACGTAACCGCCAAGTCCATGTCACTGGGCGACGTAGGCTCCATCGTCTTCGAGCTAAACGACTCCGTAGCCGTCGTAACCCGCATCGCAGACAAAGTGCTCGTCGCAGCAGTCGGCCCCTCCAAACTCGACGACCCAGAGACTCCAAACGACTACCTGACCGCCGGCACAGAAGGCGGTGCCCCAGTCACACCAGAAGGATCACAAGGGGAAGGACAGCGAGCGTCGGCGCCTGCAGCGCCCTCGCCGCACTCGACTCCGAACGGCCATGATGGAAATGAGATCGATCGCAGCGCGGACTTAGCGCGTCTCGCGAGTCTGAATCTCTCTGCTTCACCGGCTGTGCTCCTAGCGCTGGAATCGAAATGCGCGGCGCTGGGTCGGTTCCTGGGTCAGAAGTTGGATGATCTGGAGAGTCCGGAGGATTTCTGATTCTGCGTTGGGGGGTTGGGTCGGGCTCGCTGCAAAGCCCAGCCCTGGAGGTGCTGGACTGGAGGCGGTTATAAACATCAGTTATAGCCCTATTACACAGATATGATTCGATGACACAGGCAATTCTTGCACATTTGATCTTTTTAACTTCTGATGTTTTTTATATTCAATGAGCGTTTCGCGGTACCGCGATATCTTGCATTGCTATTTCTTATTTTTGATATTCCAATGGCATGGTGAATTTGAATTGAGAAAGTGAAAGGAAATTCATTAAGTGGTATATATCAGGACCTGTGGACACACGAGCCGTAGGGCGACATGCACACACGGTATAAAATGTTATGTGAGTAATGCAGGAGGTACCAAAAAGCATTAAGAAAAGGGGGTGTGCGAGAACGAAACGCAGCTATATGGGTGGGACACCAGTCTATTCCTAAGACTTTTCGTTCTTCTCCAAGGCTGCGCCGGTGGGACCGCCGTGGAAGCTGGTAGCGGAGCTAGCGGTGCGACTGATTCCAGGTGCGGGAGTGGCGGCGACGGGGCTGGTAGCAGCGGGACTGGCAGCAGCAGCATCCTTGGTGTCAGTACCCGCAGGCTGCGAAGTCGGTTGGGCCTTCTCCATCTCCTTCTCAGCGTAGGTGGGAGGTTGACTCTGGCCGGAGACGTTGCGAGAAGGACTAGTCGAGGCAACGGGTGAAGTGGCCGCGGGAGAAGCGACAGTCGGCGAAGCAGCTGCGGGCGAAGCGAGAGTCGAGGCTGCTGCAGGGACAGGGCTGCGCGTGGCGTCCTTGATGACGGTCCACCACTTCTCGGCGTCGGCGGATGTGTGAGCCTTGAAGCTAAGCTCGGTATTGGTGTGGAAGGCGTTGCCGATCTTGCCGGAGGAGACGTCCTTGCCCTTGACATTGAACTTGACACCGTCGATGGCACCGACGATACAGTCGGGCAGGTAGAGGGAGAGCTCGGGGGGTGGGGTCCTTGCGGAAGTCGTCGTTGTCCTTGAACTCGTGCAGGTAGCGAGCTGCGCTGACGACGTAGTAGCCGGTGGAGTAGCCCTTGACGATAGCACGAGAGCGACGCTCGAGGGAGCCCTCGATCAAAGGCTGCGTGGAACGGTGGTCCATGTTCGGGAAAGTGATGCTGGAGAAAGAGCGCGGGGGAGAGTCTGGGTTGACGAGGGTTGCGTCGTTGCGGACGCAGAAGTTCACCCATTCGAAGTCGGGGGGGATGCGCTGCGCGGTGCCGAGGATATCGGCGTACATAGCGCGCTGGCGCTCAATCTGGCCGCCCATCTGCTGGTGGAATTGCTCGAGGGCTCCCTGTACGGTTTGCAGGAGGTGGGCCTCGAATTGCTGGAAGGAGTTCTGGACGGCGAGGATGTCCTGTCGGTGGTTGTTCTCCTCATTGACCTGGTTGTTCAGGCGGTGGTTGATACCGCGCTTGATGATGTACGGGTCATGCTGCTGGTCGAGCTTGTTGGAGGCGGCCGCGTCGAACGACGCGGAGTTCTGGCCCAAGAGCTCGATGTGCTTCTGCGTGAGGGCGCGGGCCTTCTCGACGGACTTGGCGCCCTTGGATGCGCCGGAGCTCAGCTCCTTGGACTTGTTCTTGATTTCCTTGTGCAGGCGCTCAAGGGTCGGGAGCACGCCGTTCTTGATGTTCTTTTCGCCGTCGAGGTACATGTTGACAATGCCCTGGGTGTTGTTGCGCACGTTCTCAAACAGCCCGGTGATTCCGCCAGCGCTGGAGCTGAAGTGGTGGCCTTCTTTGAGAGGCTCGTTCACGGTCTATATCCAATTCTCGGCGTCAGTCGGGCACATTGCGTTGTTCCATGACAATATCTCACCTTCAAGATCTTCTCATAATCTTTGGATTGGGACTTCTGCACCTTGGCGGTCACAGAGAAGTAGTCCTCAAGATATCCGCACATGTGCTTCCATGCACGAAGACGCTCGAGCAGGAGCTTAGTAGTCTGCAATGCAATCAGTACAAGCTGGTCATCGATTCCCTTGAGAACCCATTGACACCCATGGACCTACCTCACTGCTATCGGTATCGGGAATGGCTTCGTCATCACTCATAGAGGTGCGACGAGTGAAGCCGCTGCTCACAGTACCCGAGCGCTGCGGCAGCTTTACATCCGCGGGGCTGGTGGGGGTAGACATTGTCGAGATGGCTTCAAAAGCGATATGGAGAGAGGGGTTGAACTATGAACAATACTCCAGCTCCCAGGAATAAAAGTAAAGGGAGGTTGCAAGACGGATGGGGGAAACGCTAGTCCGTCTGCGGACTAGTTAGTATAAGACTAGATCCATTAATGGAGACAACAAGTAGCACTTACACGTAAGAGAAATGAGGTGGGATGGAAAAAAGTGAGGCACAGAGTGCATTTTTGACCTTCTTAAACGATCGTCAACGCCAATGAGGTCACCGTGCCCCTCAACAGCCACTGTAACCCAATTTTGAGCTGTGGCTTTGCGCAGATCGGGCTTCGTTTGTTGTGGCCAATGGGGTGTCGAAATGGGCTCCTTTTGGGCTTGGACCATCGGCTTGGACTAGATTTGTCTGATTTGCTTACAGATTGTCGGCCCAAGGACTTGGTAACTACGGAGTATACACTTGGGTGTTCAACTCTAACCTGACCTATACTCCGTTGCCTTGACCTAAATCGGACTTCTGTATTTGTTGTCACATCCAGCCATGTGTTTCCTGGTTATATTTGTACCGGAAAGTGAACAAAGCCATTGACGCAAGCAGTCAACCTTGGAAGGTCAGTCCGGGTCAGTCCGCGGGTGCCAGGCCCTGATTACCAAGGATGATCTACAGCAGAGTTACTAAATCGAGAAATGATGTCATTAGAAGCACGACCTTGGGTGAAATCGTGCTGGTGTCACATTCGTCAATACCCGTCTATGGAAAATAATCCAGTCTATAAACGCCAAAAAAATAACATCTGCGCTGAAACAATGCGTGGGGTGTCAAAGTATACCATGGCTCGTAGGGGATCGTAGGGGATAAGAATAAACCTGAAAGAAAGAAAAAAAGAAAAAAACAAAAACAAAAACAGACAATGGGGAATAGGGCGAAGAGAGGCGATCTGGGAGTTCCAGTGTCCAGCACTGGTAGAGAAAGTGGGGAACTTTTGTCGTAAAAAGGCGAGGTGTGGGGTGAAATGAAACATCGGATGAAAGAGAACATCGGACGAAACATATTCACATATCACGCTCTAGCGCGAGCTTGCACAAGTCTAAGTCTGCGATCCTCGTCGTCAGCTTGGGTGCCGGAGTTGAAGTAACCGGGGCGATTCTGCACCTCTAAAGGAGTCGCAACCCCGCTTGTCCGGCCACTGCGGATGTAGGCTTGTTGGGGGGACTGGGGAACCGAAATGGTAGGTAGACTGCTGGCGATCACCGCGTTGTAGTCCGGAAGCCCAGAGTCGCGGGGTCGAACGGCGCACCGCACTGCGGTCGAGTAACTGGGCACCCGGCTCAGAGTTTCCACCTCGGCGTACTGGGGGTGGAATGGGGTGGCCATGCCTGAGGGCAGGGCTTCGTGATCCACTTCATCGGAGGGCCGGCGGGATAATTCGGGGCTACCGTGGCTGTGCGAGTTGGATCCGGACGAGGGACCGAAGTAGTCATTCGGGACACCCAACTGGCGATGGATGGTGTGACCGTCGGTCGGGGATTGGGACCCAATGAATCCATCGCTCGGGGTCATCATACCCCCGGGGGTCGCTGCACCGGGGGTTGCGGGGTGGTGTCGGGAGGCAGCGTTGAGATTTGTGAGACGGTGGTGCAGCGCTGAAGCTGAGATATCGGTGTTGGTCAGGGCGTTCATGGAGGCCAGGTTCTCAGAAGACATGTTGCGACTAAGGGGAGTGAAAGGAGTGCCTGGACCACTGCCTGGACCTGGTGTGCGGTAGCCATTGGGGTCCAACTCGCCATATAGCTGGTCAAACGTGTGCTCGCCGTAAAGAGGAGGGGCTTGGTGGGCGAACTCATCCACTGCAATCCGGGTCGATTGGGGGGTTTGTCCGCGGAGATGATTGTTTTCATCAATCGCGAGATGCGGGGAGATAAATATCGAGACCGGGAGTGTAGCTCGGAGCTGTATCATGGTTAGCCTGGTCGGATGCCGCAGCGCGGGTCTGGCAAAACTCACCTCACTGACATGCCCATCCGGGTTGTGCAGCTGGATTCGGAACTTGAGCTTGTGGCGAACTTTGATGCCCTTAGTGTCGGTGTCTTGCAGACAGCGGGTCAAGGTTTGCGGCATGTCCAGCACACGCGAGCAATGGTAGCCCTCTGCGGCTTCGTCGATAATTTCGATATTGTCCTCATCCAACTCGTGTTCGTCAGTCAGAATGGTTCTCGTTATTTTATAGGTGTTGCGAATGGAGTCTGGATCCTCTGGGTTGAGCGTGAGATCATGACTTTCGATCAATTGTGACGTAATTTGACCGATTCGTAGGCCCTTCAATAGAGGGATCAATTTGAAGTCGACGTGAATGGCGGTTCCGAAGACGATCGCTTTAGTTGGGGTGCTGATGGAATATTCGATCTTGTTTGGCCAAATGTTGTCCACCGACTGCGGGGCGTTAGTAAAAATGAGTCAACCCGAATCGCCTCCCCACGTACCATTGCATGTGAAAGCTCGAGGGCACTGGGGTCGAGAGTGCGAATAATGCGCAGAGGCTTGCGAGCGACAATGTCTTTGGCGTACTTGCGACCAATTTCGGCCTTGAAGCGGTACATCACCCAAGTCTCCGACAGACCCTCCACGCTCTCAGGCATGGAGCCCTCCAATACCACATCGAACGGGTATTCATAGTTGCCCGCCGGAAGAATCTCGGTCTTTCCCTTACCCGGGTCCCGGAATCGCCATGTCTTATCGTAGAAGACCCGCTCTCGCCACGATTTGCGGCCACCAGAGGCTGAAGTGGATGGTAGTTGCCAACTGTAGGATGTTAAGATATTGTGGAAGGCAAAAAGCGCCAGGGGAGCATGCGACACATACCACACGCGGGACATGCCCGTCAGCTGGAGTCGGAGGTGTTTGATGGTCAGCGGCTCGGACAGGCAGAGAATCAAAGTGCCCCGAAGGTGGGCGCTGGCGGCTTCATGTTCACCACCGCGAAACACGATATATTCGTCGTTCAATCTGTAGAGCGTCAGATGCGTCCACATGCAGGGTGCAGGGTTGACCCACCTAATGTCGAAATACTTGGCGCTACTTGAGCTCCCGCCGCTACTGAAGAAGCTGAGGGCCATGGCTGTGAAGCGCAGAAGATGCAAGTGAGAAGTAACGATATGGGAGGAAGAAAGAGAAGAAGAAGAGAACGAGAAAGTAATTTTCCCGTTTTTTCTCTATCGCAGATCTACCGGAACTTGACCAGATACGCAAACCTGGTCCGACCAACGGGTCCCGCTGGAGTGGAGTGTGCCGTTTCCGGTCTCTCTCGCTTTTTTTCTTCTTTTTTCTTTTCTGTTTTTCCCTCTCTTTTGCCTTTCTTTTTGGGAAAATTGTCTCTTCCTCTTTGGGCTCTTTTAAGTGGCAAGGACGTACGGAGTACTTCGTACTTGTGAGGGTTTTAGTGTTGTCATCGTCTATACGCGCATACTTACTCGTACTCCGTACTACCCAATGTCACTATTTCACTCAAAACTCAAGTACATCCAAAATTGGTCTTTTACGTCAGCGTTACCATAGCTCTGAGGACTCTTATTTATCCTATTAGCCATGGATGTGACCAACTTGCTGCGCCTTATGGGGATGTGCATTTGATCTTCTTTTGGCTCCATCACGCCATCACTTCGATCGACACCTCCCGCTTTAGTTGGATGCACAACATCCTGTTGTTACACTGCTGATTATGCGTACAATCCCCTCTTTACACGGAGTACACCTACAGTATACTCCGTAGCTAGTCCGACTCATATTGAATTCTTTCCCTCCCATATTGAAATCTACCATGTGTTCCAAGGTTAGTTATCAGATCAGGCAATACCAAGGATTGACCTTATCTATACACGATGGCGCCACAATGTGATGTTGGTTGCCTTTTGCTTACAGAGTACTTCCCCTGTGATAAGTGATGGGAGTTTCCGAAACCTAGGCGCGATGTACCATGCCAGGAGGGCCGTGTGTTCCTGCAGGTCGCCCTGAATATCTAAACCAAATTACCCGCTGATCCAGATCCATACTTGCACAGCAACTTGCACGGCAGACCTCGTGGAACAGACTCGACTTAACTACGCGGAGACTTCGGAAATATCCGCCCCTAAACTGATCACAGCAACTCTACGCTGACACGTCCCTGAGCAGTGCGGTAAGAGCGGGTGAGATCATGGGTCCACCCCAGCTGTCACTCGGCGTGCCACCGTGATAGGGCAACAAGGCCCCATGTGCCCACGGAAGATAAGGTCCCTTGCGATACACAACTGTGGCGCCTGCGAACATGTTTCGAGAACCGGCACTCGGCCTGGCCCCGATCAAGCCGACTTACGGACCCAGTCGGGATCCCTTCGGGCATTTCCGCTTCACCGGTTCGGAATCCCGACCGGCTTTGCCTGCCCGAGTGTCTGTGCTGGCCCGCGTTGCTGAGTGTAGGCGTCCGGTGTGCCAGAACTCGTGTCTTGATACTTTGGCTCGACAAGCGTGCAGCATATCGTATATAAATATACATTCCATGGCGCCACTAAGCTTCCTTTCCGTTTAGGTCCACAAGCTTTAAGAACCAGTCTAGAACGTTAGGTCTTACTGTTTTGGGGAACAGGTGGACGTATTGTACGAGTCAGAAGTAATATACGTCGACCTGATAATTGAGTGAAAGGAAGGGATTTCATCACACCAATCAGCCCTCTAACAGATAGTGTAATATCAACACTAAAACAAATGTACCGTGAAGTGAAGGACCTTTGAAGATTTGCGTAGATCAATGGAAATTTTTACAATCGGGGCTCCACTCTCAGGACTTCTGAGCTCCATCTAGCATTCCGGTGTGAGTTCCAGAACATCGAATCTTATCCACATTGCATCATTGCGATTGAAGTCAATACTGTGGGACTTTCCCATTGCGCGTATAGCCGTCAATATCACTCAGAAAAGCCTTGATTGTTTGGCATGTCGTCACGATTATTGACATATCTCAAGTCATGACCTACTTGCACATGCAAGCTGCATGTCAAGATAACTGACTTTTCCAAGGTTCGAGACGTCAACAGGTGGACCCAATCACATTGTGTGTCACACTAGATGCCTGACACCAGTGGGCCATGTTTTTTGGTGCCCCAAACCACATCTCAAGCGGTTAAATGATTAGGAAAAACATCTAATATGAGAACCGGAGAAATCGCGAAAATTGCGCTGTCAAAGCGCAGGTAAAATTCTTTCTCCCGGTGGTTTTAGTGCCGAGTATAGGACAATCGTAACCTCCGATGATCGCCAGGGGCGAGGTTACAATGTCTGCGGGAACTAAAAAGAGATCGCGTGGATCGACGGCTTGCCAAGAGCCGTGGAAAAGAATTCTCGCGCTCTGAGCTACTATCATCTGATCCAATCACGGTGAACTATTGCGAAACATGGGCTTGCGTCGTCAGGGTCTTTGCTTGGGGGGTTTCCCGGTCTAGATATGGGTGGTTTGACATGTACATGTGCAGATCGGGAACACAAGCTCGCCTCCAACCACTTGGCTTTCTCACGCACAATCAATATTCTTCCTCAATGGCCCTAATGCGAATTCAAGTCACCATTATACATGTGCCGCGATCAATGTCTTCAGCCATGAAGTCTGCCCCAGTGCGATCGTGTCGAAAGGACCTCTGCGTTGGACATGGGTCATGATAGCAGTTACCCTAGCCAACCCGGTTCTGATAAGGCACTGTGCTAATACCAACTGCCGGTCCTCATTAAGCATAAAGAGACTAACTTGCATGTGGCAGCGCCACGTCGCGCCAGCATACTGATCACGCTCAATGGGCCCAGCCCAATGTCTCCTGGATAATCAAAGAACAGATCGCTGCAGAAAGCCTCGCCACGGACTTTTGATCAGCTAGGTCTAGACATGCATGAATCATGTGTTGGTCCTTCTCCCTCGGTTTCATAAAGCTCATATGATGGGTGTTGGCGTTGGCGATTGAATCGTCCGCGCTGATTATTGGTCGAGATCCTGAGCCCTTGAGTACTCTGTATTCACAATGAATGTTTTTCCCAACATACGCGACAAGTCCGATTCACGTTGTAGGCTCTGTAGAGGTGGGAACTTGAGGCTCGAGACTCGGGTCTTCCGATTCGGGCTGGTGGCTTGCTGGGGGCGTGTCGGGAAGGTCATACTGAGGCGCCGACGGTAGGTTTCCACGAAAGACAGATATTCCACGATCGGCGCGCCAACTCTGCGGTATGTCACAGAATTGCTTGACGAGGATCCATGTTCCCAAGAGAATCACTGTTGCCACGGCGAGGGCATGACAGGCCCTGTATGCAGTCACGGTCATGGAGATGATGGCGCTTGATGCACTCCGCTGAGCAATAGAAACTTCAAGAGCCTGCTTTGCTAACCTCGGGATTGATGTTGCTCTCGCTTCAGGACTGTTGTTGGGTTTTCAAAGTGCCGGAGATGGAAAGAACGGCACGGATGTGCCAGAAAAAGTAAAATACTCTTCACCAACCCAAACACTCCTTCAACCTCAAAAATGAGCACCCAAAACAAACGAAGAAAGAAAACTGCCAATTTTGAATTGCAATTCTGGAGGGACGGTAGCTTTTGGGTGGATTGACATTCCAGAGCATGGTGGCCGAAAACAGAATCGTGGTATCGGCAGTCAACAAATGGCACACGACACCAATGGAAAGACTGGGGTAACCCACGTTTCCGGCCACTGCACGTGGCTGGGAAACCATGTTAACCCAACGAGGAAATTATGTGGCTTTGTGAGTAACCATCGCATGCTACTTGACATTGATCCAGAAGTATATGCCGCATCTATGAATGAGACTGAGCTAAAATCTGGCGACGGGCTTGCGGAGTACTCCGTAACCACAAATAAATTACCCGCTGGAACTCTACATAGAATCAGGTGCGAAATAGAATAAGAGTGGGCAGTATGTCGACTGTAAACAAACTAAGTAGGCAGCGTGCCGGTCTTTTGTGTCTTCGACAACATCTTCTCCCGATCTAAAAAACAAGAACTAAAGATTTGAGGATTCCAAGGTTCGCTATAGACAAAGAAATTAAACAAGCCTCAGGCTGAGCAAAGTATCCACTGAAGGCCGCTGTAGTAGTAACACAAATTGAGCGACAAGAGGAATATCTCAGGTCGCAATGCAAGGTAGAGCTCCGGGTGAGCAGCTCGCTGAGCCGAGTTGCCCCAATCAAAAGAACGTCAATGATGATTAGAGCACATGGGCAGATATCAATTAATTGCATTGCCGAGGGTCATCGGTTCCAAAGATTAGACCAGATGTCGCACATGGAATCAACAGGATAATGGAGGCGCCGACCGGTCCCTATACGGGATTCTGGGGCGAATATTACTATCCAACACCATGAATTCTTGTGACAGTCGTAAAATCGAAAAAAATCAAATCAACTCTTGGTCCAGCAAGAGTGTCGTGTCGGGGGAGAGGGTGGCGGGTAGGGTACAGGCGCATCGAAGCAAACATCTTAACATTATTCTTCAGAAGATCCACCCGAGAATGATATAGAGCAGGAAGCCTGCAGCGATGCAAATTCCCGCGATCTTCAACACCGCAACCGTGTCGCCTTGCTTCGCCATGCGCGTGAGTCGAGATGCGCTGCCTTTCAGGTTCGTGGAGAATGAAGAGAACACGTCGCTCTAATACATCGGAGATCAGCGGTCTATCCGTTGGAGTCCAAAATAAAGAAAGCATCTCGACGAAATGTTTCATTCGAGATGCGGGACCAAGCAAGACATACCGTGTGGTCAAGAGTATCCTGGTCGCGCGCATTGTCATGAATATCGATCGTCACGGAGCGGAGGGCGGAAACTTTGGAGGATAGAGAGTTGAGAAGAGCATTGTTCTGCCTATTTTGAATGAATGTCAGCGACCAAATCAAAGATACATAAGCCATCAGAGCAACATGGTTCGATAAGGTGGATCGGAGATAGGGGACGTACTGCTCGCGCTCGTATGCGTCACTCATTTTGCAGACTTTTGAATTTCTCACGAGCCTGACACTTGAAGTAGATCACAAGACTCGGAGAGCTGAGACGTTTGTACAGAAGTGAAGTGGCGGTCGGTGGCTAGAACTTGGGGAAATCGGAGGCGACGTCAGTCTAGTGATGGACCACGTGATCTGTATCCACTTTCAAGTAGCTAAATTGTTGTTTCCATGAAATGATTCTCATGAATGAAAAATCATAATCAATTGCCGAAGAGCGTATTATCATGAACAAAGCCTCATCACCAGATCAGAAACATGGCAAGTATTCTGCTGGCTCTCGGGAAGTCCACAGTAGAAAGCAACCTGTGTCTATTTAATTTTATTATTAATTTTTTTTTTTTTTTTTTTTTTGAGCACATTATACAAACTTGCAGCGTCAAAAACTTGAGCCAAGTTTCCATTCTCAAAACAATATGATTGATAAATGTTTCTCCATGGCTATACGGCGTACGACGTAGAGCACAAAACACCTGTGGACGGGGAACTCGGGCTTTTTCTTCCCGCCTTCCCGGGCCGCCTCCGATTTCTACTCCGGACCTCAGATCAACTATCACTCTAATACAGGGGATCAAGTAACACGTGATGGGATCAACAGAAGACGAGAGGCCTTCAAAGCGGGCTCGTCAAGCCTGTGAACCATGTCGGCAAGTTTGTGCGTTCGTGGTAGCCGGCATATGATTCTGATATTTTCGCAGCCGGAAAAAGTCCCGTTGCCCTGGAGAAAAGCCCAGCTGCTCTTATTGTGAGCGGTTGGGTCAAACTTGTGTATATGCAGGTGCTGAAGTTTTGGAAGAAGGATCTGGGAGTTCAAAGAAAGCCTTGGTAAGTGCATTTCAAGCTCACAGGTGTTGCACAAAAGCACGATCCAACACATAGTGGCTGTAGGAACAACGGATATCTGGAATCGAGGGCAAGATCGAACAAATGATGGACTATATCACGTATGCTATCTCATATGCTCCTTTTTTCAAATTTCAAGATGCTGACTACCACTCCAGGCGGTCTTCCTCGGCAACACCTCTTTCCCCGACTGCTCCAAGAAATATCCCTACTGTTCCGGAGAGTGTTTTGCACGAAGGGGTCTCCCTGTATGTATCTTTGAAAATGTGGATGGGATGTTTGGACTAACTCTTCTTCAGGAGTGAATCATCCACAGCCCAAGACTCTGAGCTTTACTTAAAGTATTGTAACTCACAGCCTTTGCTTTTATTCCCTTGCCGATCTTCTTTGGTTTCTTTAGGAACAAGGGAGCCTGAAGTTTTGCTGGCCATGGAAGCTATGGGCGCCCGTTTCCGAGGCCAAGGGGTTCAAGACAGGGAAATTCAAACCGAGATCAAAAGAAAAACCGAAAGAGCTTGTCAAATGGTGATGATGAGACTAGCATCGGGTACAGTGGAACTCTCAACCATACAGACCTTGTGCATTCTCAGCATGCTCGAATTCACAGGTGAGATGATTGCCGGTCAGGTCTCCCTGCTTTCTGCTGACAATGGGCCTTCGTCAAAATAGCTGGTCATATCATTCGTGCTGGATCTTATACAGGACTTGTCACACATTTTATGCGAAACCTGAAGATAGGTGGCATTGAGTCTCTGAGTAATCTTGAAACTGAACGCGACGAGCGCAAGCTGTGTTACCTGAGTCTGATCATGCTGCAAAATCTTCAGGGGTCCTTACATCCACCAGAAGGAGGTGGTTGTTTAGACTCGCTTGCAATCTCAGGTGGGTCAGATTCTCTGTTGAGATCGAGATTGACCAACAAGGGAATCTCATGGGGTAGTAACGGTGACAACAAGCTTGACATCGGGATCAGTGGCACCAACATCCACACAAGCGAGCTTTGGGCCATGGCATGCAATTATGCGAGCAGCCATGTGGGTGTGGACGCTCATTCACCCTGGTCCCCAAGGTCAGACTACGCCATCATAAACTTTCACCACTGCGAGCATGAGAGCTTGATGCCGCTGCGATTCCGACTCCATGCGAGCCGTTTTCAAGACCACCCACCGGCTGAACTCCAGGCTCACCGTGACTACTGGGGTCCTTGGTTCTTCTTTCAAGTCCTGTGGCATGCAGTCCCTTGTCTCATCAACCATCCATTTCTTCTCTCCATGCGACTGCGGAAGTTTCGCAGGACAATGCCCCAATACTTTCTTCGTAACTCATTTGAGCAGCTGACCTTCCACTCGGGCTGGGTGATTCATTTTATTGAACTAGCAAACTCGAAAAATTTCGAGGTTTCGGACCCCACCATCGGACATTGTGTTGCTATTGTGGCCACCATCTATCTTCAACACAGCTTTGTTGAAGATGAAGCCTTTAACAAAAAAGCTCAAGCAGGATTTGAAAAATGTCTCGCATTTCTACGAAACATGGGTCGCCGATGGCCACACATTGACCGACAGGTGAGCCATATTTCTCACCCTAACGGGATGTTAAGCTGAACAATTCACAGGTTAAACAACTGGAGCAGCTTCGGGACAGTGTTGCTCCTGGGGGGTTGATGACAGACAGCGGCGCATTCACAGGCTCCCATTCTCGTCAAAAATGGTCTGTCAACTTGCAAGTCTTGTGGAAGATCTTAGTTTATGCGCACGCAAGCAACACTTCGGACCCCAGCGCAGACATATTCGGCCCGGAACTTGCTAAGGACAGCATTGGTCACTCAGGGGACCCATCGGCTGGTGCTATCAAAGAACGAGATTTCTCGCTCATTGGGTCTGCAGGGATCTCTGGTCACAAGACGGTAGCATCTGAGTGTGTGACTTATCCGCCGGAGCAGATGGAAGATCCGACACAGGCGGCAAGCCAAATTCCGCCGCCTATCGATCTTTCTGGGCTTCCGGGTGATCATAATGTGGAGTTAGCAGGCAGTGATACATTATTTCTACAGCTTCAGGATTATGGGAGAGCATTTGAAGATTGGCTGAGTATCAATCCCTCATGAAGCTATCGATCACGCCATATCTTTCTTTGTGTCGCCCGGAGTGGACGGGCCGGACCCGCCTTTTCCCACTGCCAAGAGCCGGGATGGAGCCGGATTTTGCCTCTATATCCCCCACATTTTTAAACCTCGACTTCCTCTGCCATTTCCGAGAATCCCGACAGATATTTTTGAATGATCAATATTTCTATCATTCAATATGACTGATGCTAAAACCGACTCGATTCTCATCGTTGGCGCTGGCGTCTTCGGTCTTTCTACCGCTCTCGAACTGAACAAGCGCGGATATACTGATATTACCGTTGTCGATCGCTTTGTACCCCCTTCAGCAGATGGAAGCAGCGTCGACATCTCACGCATCATTCGTTCTGACTATGCGGATCCAATTTACTCGCAGATGGCCCGTGAAGCCTATAACGGATGGACCACCGAGTATAAAGACCAATTTTTCGAATCTGGATTCGCGCTGTTCTCTGAAACACCCAAGAACACTTATATGGAAGGATCCAAGGCAGTCATCCGTGCGGCGGGTGGAAAGCTAGACGACCTCCATGATGCCATGGATATCCGCAAACTTTACCCGAGTGTCCAAGCCGAATTGTCTGGCATGAGCGGCTACCACAACCCCAAAGGTGGCTGGGCCGATGCTGCGGGCAGCATCCAAAAGCTGGCTTCAAAGTGTACTGTGGCTGGTGTCTCGATAATTGCAGGTCCCCGGGGAACCGTGGTGTCCTTGCGCCGGGCAGACTCCCAAGTCGTCGGTGTCAACCTTGTTGGAGGTCAAGTCCTGCTTGCTTCAAAGGTCATTCTCAGCACAGGCGCATGGACCAATCGTTTGCTAAACATTGGCCACGCCGCATCTTCTTCCGGTCAGCCTGTTGGATTCATCCAATTAACCGAAGAGGAAGCCATTGAGATGAGAAAAATCCCAGTGATGATTAACATGAGCTCCGGTGTCTTCTCGTTCCCACCCACGCCAGACACCCACGTGCTCAAGTTGGCGCGTCACGGATACGGGTACGCTACCGATATTCAGGTTGAAGTAGACGGCGTCAAGAAATCTGTCTCATCTCCAAAGTTCGACACCAGCAATGCGGCTACCGGATACCTGCCTGACGACGCAGATGAGTCGCTTCGCAAAGGTCTGCGTCAATTCTTCCCGAAGTTGGGTGATCGCCCGTGGATGAACCGCCGTCTGTGCTGGTACACGGATACTCCCAAGGGCGACTTTATCATCGATCACCACCCTACTATCAAGGGTCTGTTCATGGCGACTGGAGGTGCAGGACAGTAAGCATATACTTTGATTGTGGGACTTTGATGATGATCATACTGACTCACTCACAGTGGTTTCAAATTCCTTCCCATCCTTGGCAAATACATTGCGGACTGCTTTGAAAACAAGGCCCCAGAGAATTTGCGACAAAAATGGCGGATGAACCCCCCGCCCGAGAGCGATGCAAAGGGAGGCATGTTGGGCGATGGCAAAGGCGACGGAAGCAGAGGTGGCCCGCCGCTGAGAAGACTGAGTCCATTTGAACAAGCAAAGCTGTAAATATGCATTTACGAGGATGAATTCAAATGTCTTATTACCTATGAACGAAGATTCAATCAACATCCTACGCTGTTACAAGACTGCAATAACCTTGGGAGAGTCTCAAAGAAATTTCAATGTTCACAATCACAACATGAGATCTCTATGTACAAACTTGAAACATGATGAGCATAAAAGGCATCAAACATCAATTGATGAAATTAGCTTTTCAACCTGCGCATTATTAGACCTAGTGTTGGTTGCCGTTCCAATAGCAAAGCTACCATCCCTGCAGACAGGCCACTGTGCCTCTCGCAACCAATATTCTTCATGAGAGGGGGTTCCCTTGATAACACCCTTCAGATCCAGAGGATCGGCGAATGTCTCCCATTGAGACCGTCGATCAGTCCAACCAGGACCCATGCGCTCAGTGCGACCATCAGGACACAAATAGCGCAACTTCTGTCGAGGCAGGAGTCTGCCAGGATGCATCAAGTTCATCAACCACGTAAAGATGAGCATGGGACCCAATTCAAAGGCATAAAGGTACCACTCGTTACTGAGAATCGGTCCACAATTCACCCGGCAGCCGAGCTTGCTGAACATGTCGAAGGACTCCACAGCTCGGAAGATGCATCGCAACAGGACAAAGGTAGATGTGCCGTATAACGTGAAGCAAATCAGACGCACATTCGGTGATAGCATTCGAGCCCGAGAGCAGCGTCTGTGAACTGTTGCGACGATTGCGACGACCACTAGCTCAACGACGGCTTGGAGAATCAGACCTGCGGCTACGAGAGTACCACCGGACTTGTACTTCTCCAAGTTTGAGCCTGCTGAGGCATTCTTGGCTGCGCCTGCCACCGTGATTCCTTCAACGGCAGCGCCCACATAAACGAAGAAGATGAGGACGCGGTTAGGATTGAGGACTGCATGCATAGGCAGATAGTTCATGAGACGACCGACAAGGTTGTATGCCGAGGCTGAATATACGGGTGGACCGATATATATGAATACCTGGGAGGCAATATAGATGTCCACATTCGTCGGGTGATAGCTTGAGACGCATCGTAGAATCCAGCCGATGGTGAATAGGGTTCCACCCCAACAGAGGAAGAAAGTAACGCGCCAGAATCGGTAACGACTGTCTAGGTTAGCAACTTCTATGACATAGTATTGTGGACAAACTCACTAATTTTGGTAAATATGCAACAATAATGACAAGCCAACAATTCCTGCAAACACTGCAGGTAAAACGTGACTTGGTTTGTACAAGTAGAGACTTTCTCCTTTTTCTGTGGTATGAGGGATCATTGTGAAAGATTATCGAAAGAGCCTTGATTGAATCTACAATGTTGGATGGGAACCACGATTCTATAAGTATACAAAGGGTTCGTATGAAGCGCTACATGCGTCCAAATGAGGCCTAGCTGTAGTTGGGCGTTAGTGGCGCAATGATCACGGATAAGCTTGAAATCTTTTGGGGCTTTTTAGCACTGCCACTTGCAGTATGTAAAAGAAAGTCAAAAGCCCCTTCCAGGGTTTGAGAAAAGAAAGCGAATCGAAGAACGCTGGAGATCGTCTAAATAATCGGCCAATGAGGTAAGGCGCACTCAGCCTTGCACAGCGGCACATGAAACCCAAAACGGTTAGACTCCACGGGGCATCAGCCGCGAATTGACCTCAGATCACTTTCCTTTGCTACCTTGAGGAAATACGGAGCATCTGCCGTTAAAATATACTACTGTGCAGAGCAGAGCTTGGCCCCCTGCAGTCGACCTCTTTCAGATCTAAGCTCCGCTCCCCCCCCACATCTGACTCCACAATGCCCGGGGTGCCCAAAGGACGGGCCTGTGATGGGTGTCGCAAACAAAAGAAGAAGGTAGGTACCAGTTGGATTTTGAAAGGCTTGAGACTCATCACATGATAAGTGCGACGAGAAACAACCTACCTGCGGCCGATGCCTTCGCCTCAAGTTGACCTGTGTGGGGTCTGGTCAGCAACGATATAAATTCAAGCAGGACCACCGATTCATGCCAGATTCCAACCAAAGTCAGATCATCTCTTTCGACTCGTCAAGTTCAAGTTCAAGTGGAAGTGAAACTCCACCATTTAATATCCCTCCGATTTGCCCCGGTAATAATATTACATTCCTAACGGGTTTGTTTGTCGGAGCCATCAAACGGACCAATGATCTGCGATACAACTTATGGTGGTCGTTTGGTTTCTTTCTGGAGGAAATTCCCCGGCGCATCGGCACCAATGAAGCACTTGACCGCGCAGTAAGTGCTTTGACCACTGCGCATGCTAGCTTTTGTGCCGGTCAAGCAATTTCGGTAGACGCCCTATTCAAGTACTCTTCTGCTCTGCGAACTCTGAGGGTTTATTTGGACGACCCTACCCAAGCAACCTCTTCCAGCACACTATGCGCAGTCATGATTCTGTTACTTTGCCAGTCATTTCATGGACCCAGCGGACGGACGGTGACAGGCCACGCTCAGGGCGCGTCCAATATTTTGCGAGCTCGAAAGCATTTTGGGCCACGCGATGAATTTGAGAAGAAACTGTTTCTCTCCCTTAGAGGGAGTGTTGTATGTCATGCACATTGAAATCTACGCGACAAGTTCTAACCACAGCCGCAGCTATTCGAGGGATTATACAACGATGCCATCGACCTAAGTCCAGAAGAGTGGGAATCCTTGGTCACGAATGACTTTGACCAAGACTACCCCGAAGGACGTATCCTAAAATGTCTAGCCAAAGCCCCGTTTCTCATCAAACGTGGGAAGCAGGCTAAGCTCAACATGGAAGATTTGGGGCCCCTAGCAGAGGAAGTCCGATCAATATATGGTAACTGCAAGCTGATTTTGGAGGAGCTGAAAGCAAGAAAAGGGGACTGTGAATCATCAGACCTCGGTGATGCACGCACATTCCTACCCCGATTACTGCAAGCTCATTATCTGCGTACATATGGCATTGGTCTTGCTATCACTATCTTCTTCAACTGCATGCTCCAGGCACTGGGATCCAAGGACCCCATATACAGCGAAGAGTCAACATATCTGGTCGAGGAGACTCTTTTACATGCCAAAGAGGGTAACATGTTCAGGCCTGTTGGAGCAGGCTACATCATTATGTGTTTGGCATCGGCATGGGCTGCTACCACGGATCCCCAACTAAGACTAAAGGTCGAGGCCTGTCTGCTTGACTACTACGGAGACTTCTCGATGCTCCGTGAGCCTCAACTTTACCAGCACTTGGAATGGTCAAGAGACAATCTTTGGCTTGATACTTCCGGAAAGAATGTAGATTAAATTTAGGTATAAGGTTATCTATACCAGAAAGTATCACGATACCCATGCACTCAAGTAACGTGACAGGCGGCTCAATACATTTGTGATACTGCAAACACTACCTACTGGTTAAATCCCTACACCCTTTCAAAGTTCAGAGTTTTCATTGTGTCGATGAACGTTTTTTATTCTTCTCTCGAAGTCATACATAAGATCAAAAGTTGATGACCAGAGCCCTGAAAAGATTTCACATCGCCATCAACGTCACATCAGAATTTAACAGATATGTCATCTCAAGCGTCATATACTCTGTTTACGAGCGGCAACCAAGTATTTTGTTGATCTTTGCTTTGTATTGACGTTGAGTTCTTGGATGTTTGCTTGCTTTATGAATATTGGAAGGGCTAAACGCACTGAAATATGAAGCCAGCCTCAACTACTCACACCTCTCTCCCTCCCTCTCCTTCCCTCTTCCTTTCTACCTTTCCACATTTTTACTCCTCTGCTTCTCTACCTTTCTCCCTCTCTACCCCCGTCTCTCTCTCTTTCTCGACCTTTGGCGAGTTTCAAAGATTTTCCTATTCATGACTGTATCCCACCTTGTGCCAACAACGATAGTCCAAATTTCTCAACGGCAAGATGAGTTTCAATGGAGTGCTACGCCTGGGCACACCAGAGGCTCAAGATCATTTGAAGCTGGCTAAGGGAGATGTCGATGTCTCTTCAACCTCACGGGAGAAAGCAAAAGCCTTGAGAGAGGAGTTGATTACAGCGCCACTTTTTACTTTAGGGGCCTGCGAAAGTCTTGAAAGCACAGCTGAAGATGACGGCGAGAATCAACAGTCCGTTCAATATGGACTCCTTGGGTTGCGGCTTCATGGTGTCAACAACCTCTCGGAGCAAGATGATCTTGTTTACGCCAATGTGTCAGCACCATGGTCTGCCTTCATTTGCGGTAGCCAGGGATCCGGAAAAAGCCATACTCTGTCCTGCCTCCTCGAGAATGCGCTCATCACTCCCCCGCCGGCTGGAAATTTGGCTTCTCCTCTTGCTGGCATGGTCATGCATTACGACAAGTTTACCGCATTTTCCAGCACGCAGCTGTGCGAAGCGGCGCATCTTTGCTCTTCGGGTATCCCAGTCAGGGTTCTCGTCTCGCCAACAAATTATCTCACCATGAAGGCCGCATATGAAGGGCTTGCAGGCCAGTCGGATATGTTGACGGTTGAGCCGTTGTATCTTCCGCAAAAGGATCTTAACATCGGGATGATGAAATCTTTGATGGGGGTAAACAACTTGGCAGCACAGCCACTCTATCTCGAGGTTCGTGTTGTTCAACCCCAGGCCATATGCGATAGAAGACAAAAAGGCTAATAGATACTATGCAGGTGGTGATGAAAATCCTTCGTGGGATGGCCATTGCAAACCAAGGACGTTCGGGCTTCGACTACCCTCAATTCAAATTCTTGCTTCAGTCAGAGCCATTTATCCAAGGCCAGATGGTTCCACTTAACATGCGCTTGCAAGTTCTGGAATCTTTCTTCGAGCCAGGTTCGGTTCCAGGTGCTGCAACCACAAGCATACTGAAGGAGAATGCCAAGGGATTGGGGAGTTTTCCTCCTGGAACCCTAACAATTATTGATCTCAGCTGTCCATTCGTTGGTTCTGAGGACGCTTGTGCTCTCTTCAACATAGCGCTGTCACTATTCTTGAAAAAGCGTCACGAAGCTGGTCGAGTGATCGCCATGGATGAGGCCCACAAGGTAAGTGGCCACTCTCCAATATTGTGGTCTGGTTTCATTGCAAGACTGACTTGCATATTCTTTTAGTTCATGGAGTCCACCTCTCCAGAAGCTCTAGAGCTGACCGAAACCCTGCTGTCCGTCGTTCGCCAACAGCGCCACCTTGGCAGCCGAGTCCTGATTGCAACACAGGAACCAACACTTGCCCCGTCCCTACTCGAGCTCTGCAACGTCACCATAATCCATCGTTTCTCCTCCCCTGCATGGTATAAGACCATCAAGTCCCATATCGCAGGTGCTGCTGAGAATGCCCATCATGAACTCGGCTGCGGCCCTCGCGACGATGTCTTTCACAAGATTATTCGACTGGCAACCGGTGAAGCTTTGGTTTTCTGTCCGACCGCTCTGTTGGGTGTTGATAAGATTGAAGACGATGTGAATGACAAGTCATCCAATGACTCTTTTCAGGAGCTTACCCTGAAGGCTCGTTTGAATAAATCAGACACGCCAAGCAATGCTGGCTCTCTGGGCAGCACCGGAAAAAGCACTAGCCCGATTATTCCCTCTCGACGGGCTATTCAACTTGGTCCTGCTCATGCTCACATTCGGGTACGCCAGAGAATTACGGTTGACGGTGGCCGCAGTGTGCTTCAATTCTGAGCGGATTATTTCATAAAGTTGGATAAGACAGATTTGGATCTCATACAAAGCTTGTCAATATGTCTGGTACAAATACTTAAGCTTCAAACCTTGCTTGTCCTGGAAGAAATTTATCGTGGTTTTGATAAGATCTGTGAATAAGGATATGTAGTTCGATTAATCCAAAGGGTAGGTCACCGTTTACTCGCCATAAGTCTTCATTTAAGCTCATAGAAATGAAGATAACACTGATCTTGAGAAACCTGGGAGCTACCCATCATTCCCGGGGTCTCTCATCGACCCGTGGACCCGTGGACTAACCTTTGGAACTTTAGCATCCATTGATGGGATCCATGACTAGATGGGGTTCCAAGGTTTCCAGCGACTTGTAACTATTACCTTCTAATGTGTCATAGTTGAATTCCAGACATCAGCCCCCTCCAGTGCTGCCTGATATTCTTCCTTCTGTAATCAATCAACTGCTTTTCTTGAGCTCTTTCACTTTCAATGACCTCAAACAATATTTGTACACACCTCCAACTCAGCCACTTACCTCGGTGTGTAATCTTCGCAGTCCCCCCTCACAAGCAAGCTGCATATGCCAAGCATCATGGGCATGCTGCACCTCTTCTTTCACTCCTCTTTCTTGTTATCCCGATTTCTGGGCCCTAAACGCAATTCATTACCCGGACTTCCGGTCCAGGTCTTATTCCGAATAACGGAGTTTCTCTCTCGTGACGATATAACATGCACCTCACTCTGCAATCATCGACTATTTGCTCTTTTAAAAACCAGGGAACCTCCTTCGTTGCGAACAAGACGAGACCAGCTAGCCCTTTTGACTCGCCTGGGGCGAGATCTCCCAAAGTTCTTCGCTTGTCATGCCTGTCATGTTCTCCATAGGCACGATACTTCATTCGACTTTCTTCCTGGGCCTCGAAGCATGATTTTCTTGCGCTGTCCTAGAGAATTAGCACAACTTTACCTTCCTCCGCATCAGCTATGGTATTCCGGTCACCATTGCGCTTATTATTTTCACTTCACACACCTGCAACTTCTTATGATGAGGCTCTATCTTGGCCCAGAATATGGGATCGGCACCGAGGGGACATTTTCTACACAGAAGTCCAACTTCACAGTCTCCAGCCTGGCACTCAGGTGTCCCTTATCTCTTCCGTTGACGCAGACATATGTTCAACGAATCCTAATCTCATTCTGAGAGTCCAACAGATCATTTCAGTTGATCGTCACAAGCGATACCTATTATATCGATGTCCACGGCCATCAGCCGAAAGATCTATGATTCCTCCGCACAGCATCATCATCTGCAGTCATGAGAGCAACCGAGACATTGATGCCTGGGTTAATCAGGTTGTGAGCGCCCATCGTGCTGGAGCAAAATCCCCGTCCGTCTCTTTTGCTTGTCGCCATTGTGGCACCGAGGCCCTCCTCGAAATGATTGAATTCGAACATCAATTGGCTCTGGTCATTACAAAGTGGATATGCCTAGGCGCTGGATTAACCCCGGAAGATCCTCAATGGCGGAGCCATCAAAAACCGGGGTTCTCACCCATGAGGTCCACAGAAGGGGAATACACTAAAAATTCTGCGAAAGCAAGCGCTCGAGCCTGTTTCGAACGTGCGTCGACGGAAAGCTTACGGTCTCGCAACATGGCGTACCTCAAAGACCAGCGGTTCAAAAAATGCATGATCTACAAACCCTTGTCATCGTTTGGGGGTTATGATCCTGATACATGGTATCTATGGGGCAACCATTTTAAAGCTGCAAGACCAGCCACCCACTGACCACCTGGGCAGCTCTCTGCTCTTTCTGCACCTACCATGATAGGTGATTATTTCTTTGCTATCTACTTTAATCGAGCTATATTGAGTACAATGGACTTGTGAGGCTTGAGCCGAAACTCATTCGACTTCAGCTCCATTCTAAGCATTCATATTTTGCTCCTTAGTTATACCCGATGGAAGATTTCAAATTCGTATCTTCAACTGCATCGATAACTACAGGACCGAGTAGACGCTGGTGCGAGGAAAGACATGCCAGCGCATCGGCTTTGCCCTCTAACTTCAATACTTAATGTCTCGCGGGCGGAAGAACTGGGCTGCTTCATGTTCGATGCCCACTTACATATGCGGGTGGCCTAGCGAGATTCCAGGGTTTTCAACATTCGGACTATGGTAATGAGGGATTTCTGTTCTTTCTTTTCAGCAAAGCATGCATAATTTTACGCGAGTTCTTAATGGAACAAACCTCCAGGGCTTGGAAGCAGAGTTCCAGCGAGATATTTGAGCTCGGGAGAATAATCTAGGTGGTATGTACCAAGATTGCACCCAGCGAGGTGTCAATCTAACTTCCAAGGTTGCAACATTGGAATGCACGCCTGCGCACTATCTTGCATGGATACTTGTATATATCCTCACCATCTCCCCATTCACCATGTATTCTCGCAGCTTCCAAGGTTCCTATGTGTTATCCGAAGCCTCACTTCCAGGGCTAGATGGAGGTAAATTCAACACCATTCATAGTCATGTCTCAATTGTGCACAATCCGCACAATATGAGCACCAACCTTGCAAGGCTCCTAACTTGGTCGATGATCTCGCCTTCGAAATCGACGTCATGTCTGAGGATTGATAGAATGCTTACGACGACTATCAACTAATTTTGAATCAAAGGGTGGCCATGGAGATATATAGGTCAGACAAGTGATAAGTTCGAGCCAAAGGAAGCTTGAAGCAAGAATGGAAATGTCGGAAGACACCCACACGCGGTCACGGCCGAATGTAGACTTTCTGCTACGACAGTTGAGACAAGGGTAACTCCTAGCACACAACCCGGTGATGGATTAGGTAGAACATTTGAGTTTCCTCCAGAGACTGGCGAATGATTACTGTTCCGAGGCTGTGTTCATGCTTTGTGATACTCACTGTTTTCATAGATAGCGCCCAGGCAGCTGATTTGTAATTTCCCAGAGAGCCTTAGCGAGAGGCGATTGCATTTTGCTAGGACATCAAAATAGCGGATGTATGTCCACGTCGGCTATTTGGTCTCGTTTGTGGTGATTGCAAACGTGGGATATGTTTTTCTTGGCCTTTTGTCCTACCTTTGGGTGGCCAAGAATCCCCAAGGAGCCCAATGTTTCCGGTGCGCTAAGACCTCTCGGAGACGCTGTCCCACATCATTCAACTGGTGTCTGAACTGATTAAGGCCATATTTGAAGTAATGATGATCTGAAGTATGTCCACGGGTTCAGGGCTTTGAAATAGTTTAGGGACACGGGAACCGTAACAGAGATGCATGATCTAAGGTCAGTTTTCAGGGTCTTTCCGAACTTTAATTTGCTTTGATAGGTAGCTTCAATCTGAACTGTCCGATCCTCCAGTCTCAACTTTATCCCTGGTAACTGGCATTGAAGCTAAATAGGCTGCAGCGGTGATCCTAGAGAACCCGTACCCTGAACAATGGACTCAAGTTTGCTATGATAGATCTCATATTGCGATACAGACAGCAGCTATGACGCGCGGCCAGTCGACTTTATAGATGCTGTACGTCATGAATTCGCCGATTAGGAATTTCAGTCTGAGCCGAAAATGAAGTTGCAGTACAAGTTGGGTTGGCATTCCTTTCGGACCTTTTGGGCGCCTCAATGTGACAGATTGACATCACGGGGACTGGAAAATGCAGTCTTCGTCTGGTTGCTTTGTACCCCAATAGACCTGGAAGCACGGCGTACGATGGATCAAGGCACCACGGATAATCAGTCCAAAAATAAAGATCGAGATAGCATTCAGCCAGACCCTGTGAGATGCACAGCTGGAATTATGAGATATAAAGAATGGCATGCCCATCGTTTGTTTCAAATTTTGCTTCCTCTAAGCTCTTCGATACCTACTTCGCCTTGTTGTGACCCATCTTCTTGTAAATTGACTAATTCCAAACGAAGCTTCGGTTAAGTTCACTTCTGCTATTCTGTCAATATGCAAATCAACATCATAACTCTGGTGGCTCTAGCTGCTACGGCAGCAGGTAAGAGCTTTTTTTGGACGTCGCAGCATATCCTCATACTAATCCGAACAGGTCTTACCGTCACGTCGCCACGCATGGGCGAGAAGATTGACCCGGATCAGCCATTGACCATTAAATGGCAGTCTGTGGAGTAAGTGGCTGGCTTTTGCAAAGGCTCAGGGGTTCAATGAGCACTTGCTGACTGAAAGTGAACACTAGGACCGATCCCGAGACCTTCGATATCCAGTTGGTCAACCAGAATGTCTATCCCCCCACTACTGAGGTCGTGGCCTCCGAGGTCGATTCTTCTGCGGGCTCCTACACAGTGAAGTCCAAGACCTTCAACGGTGTTGACACAGGGTAGGCAGAAAAAGCCATGTCCTCGACTGCTGTGCTAATAATTACTGACACAAACATACAGAAAGGGATATCAAATCAACTTTCTCTCCCCCGCCAACGGCATTTTGGCTCAGTCACAGCAGTTCCGAGTGACTGAGCCTGGTGCGCTGTCTAGCTTGAGCTCTGGTAAGGAAACCAGTACTGCCAGTGAAACTTCGTCCGTTGCGTCGTCCACGTTGCTTTCTACGGCGTCGACAAGTGAAGTCACTTCTTCAAGTGTCTCCTCTTCTCCGTCGTCGACTGCTACTTACTCCTCCACCAGTGCGTCTACCCCTACCTTGTCCTCTTCGTCTGCTGCTTCCTCTTCTGTTTCTACACCTACATCGTCTTCTTTGATGACTAGCTCTTCTCAAAGTGCGTCTACGTCTTTCATTGTGACTTCTTCGTCCTCTTCCCTTTCTACCTATACGCCCACCCCTACAAGCTCGGGAACTTCATCAGCGACAGATTCTTCTACATCCAAGCTTACCACTTCCACCTATTCCTCAGTCTCTTCAACTTTAACACCCTCAACCTCTTTGATCACGTCAACATCTGCCAGTTCCTCTGTCTCCACAACCCCGGCTACATCTTCTACCCCGACTACTTCCAGTTCTATCACCACTTCAACTCCCCAGACTACTTCTTCATCTACCTCATTCACTACATCCACTTCTACTTCCAAAAGCACTTCTTCTACTACCTCTTCTTCCTCCACCCTTGGTTAGTAAAGGCGGAAAGCATGGCTTCCAAGATCACAACTTACACACATCACTGATATATGAGAGACTCGTACTGACATTGTAATTTATAGTCACGACTGAGACATCAACTACGACTTCCACTTCCTTGTCTACTTCCACCCATTCAACCACGACTTCGACCACGACTCGCCGCACTACCTCCACTTCCACCTCGACTGCCACTGAGTCGGCAACTACAACTGCCAATGCTGGAGCTGTGCTGATGCCTCCGGCTGGCAGCCTTCTATTGGGTCTGTTTGCATTGGCCCTCTAGATAATGAGCTAGGTGATTTGCCGTCAATAATGAGCACGGCCTTTTGGTCACGAGTTGGGAACTAAATTTCTGTCTGCTTGTTTGTGGTTTGTGGTTTTGGTAGAGCCTGTCTCTCTCTGACTTGAGTGAAAGTTGGTGAGGGCAGTGCTTTGGTCCTATATGAATTCTTGGATGTTGATGTTGATTATTTGGTTTATGAACCCATGATATGCCCTTACATTAATGAGATACGTGATCGTTACGCACATTTCATTAGACTAGCGCTACAAAGTAATCGCTAGTCTCTCTCTAGTCTCCAAATGAATCACATTGAACTGGTCACAGGCTAGTTTTAGTTGGCGCGAGAAGAGGCAAATCGAGAGAGATATGATAAAAAATATGTACGAGGGAACGATGATATGTACAAATGTATGAACATGGAAGTGATGGGGTATCTGGCAATAAGAGCATTCAGCAACGCTTGAAAGCCGCGCAGGCGTATCACTATTTGCCGATGCTTTCGTTGGGTCGGTCCCAAGTTCGAATGTGGCCTAATGAATAGGTTAGCGTAAAACATCAACATTGACTAGCTTTATCACATACCTTCAAGAGAGGAGGTCATGATACAGTCCTTCTGGAAGCCAAGCCAGCAGATAGGGTCCTCGCCGACGATTTTGGACTGATGTTACATTAGTTTCAAGTTCAGCCGTAGAAGGCAACAAGTCATTGGCGGCTTACCATGATCGGAGGCAGCATGGCTGTACGCGACCGAGGTTCCACAGGGTGACTGGTGGTCTGGTCAATGTCCTCGTTGTAATTCTCTGTTCCGTTAGAGTCCGAGCGCACACGGCCGTCGCCACTGTCTGAGCGATGGCGAGTGGCGGTCTGTGGACTTGGTGCTATGATGCTCGTTCGATTGCGGGTTGAGGCGTGGTGTGCCCTGGGACGGTGGAGCATGCCGACACTGAAATCCCACAAGAGCAGGCGGCAGTCATCGCCCACACTGCCCAGCCGGTAGGTTTTCTGGTCACAGCGCCATGGGTCGAATGCCACTGACGACACCCAGGAGTTGTGGCCTTGGCACCGTGCGACGATTTTACGCTCGGGGAACGACCAAATAGTCAAGAGATCATCTTGACCGCCTGTCACGATGTACTTGCCGTCTGGAGACCAACAAACACAAATCAGACCACCATAGTAGCTTCGGAAGATGTCCAAGACCCTGAATCATGTTAGCATGTCACTATTTTGTGCCAGTAGACCGGGACAAAGCTCACTCTTCCTTAAGATAATCCATCAGTCGCAGTGATCCATCCTCGAGGACCACAGCTAGATGTCTTTGGTCAGGAGAGAAGGAAAAGCTGGAGACCTTCTGGTTTGCCAGCTTCCAAAATGCTACTGGGTTTGTCTTTTGGTTCTTTGAATTCACGGATTTGAGGATTTCCAAAGGCAGCCTCCCAGGTTCTTTCTCGTAATGCACATTGGGCTCGGGCGTGAACAACGCGTCCTCTTTCTCTTTATCATAAACAACCAATACGCCATTCGCATGAGATGCCAAGAAGAGATTTTCGGAACCAGGGAGCCACTTGAGATGGGTAACTGGCGAGTTGTTGATCACACCGTTTTTGTTGATCCGAGCATACTTTTGCGACATGGGCTCATACCAGATAATATCACCCGCGGAGGAGCCCATCACAATATCCAGATGAGAAGATGTCTTGGTGAGCTCATTGATATCGTGGCAGAGCATGTGCGCCTTGGTGAAAAGCACCTTCGTCAGATGCTCTTCCTTCGTCGGCGAACTCAGGTCCAGCCATTGGAAGGCTCGGTTGATATTTGCAAACGCGAAGACACCGTTCGAGTCGCGGTCACTCAGCCTTTTCGCAGACGTCTCGTGCGTGATGACTCTTGACACAAATGAAGAGCTGCTCTTGATGATGTTGTTCTTGGGCTTCCTTCTCTTCAAAGCGTCCTTCGATGCGACAGGTGGCGCAGAAAGTGCCGAGTTTCCATCACCAAATTGAGGCGCTGTCACAGCGGATTTCAAGAATGTAGGAGGCTTCTTCCGCGGGTCGAGGCTGACCAGCGATAATTTCACGCCGCAGGTCGGTGGTGCTGGCACCGTTGTCAGAGGGTTCGGATTGACGATGGGTGCTTCGGAGGGATGAGGAGGTGGTGTCGCAAGTAAAAGATCATCTTGGAGGACGTATGTGCCTATCGCGCAAGTATATAAGCGTTGTCCTTCAAAGGGAACGGGATGCCATGACCCGCGAGTGTCATTTGTAACACTTACCCTCGCCTACTTGCAGCGGACACCCACGCTCTGGGTGGGTGATAGTGTTATTCGTTTCGACAACAGGAACTGCCATGCCATTTGCCGCCCCCGCCGCATACGCGACAGGGATGGTATAGCGTGGAGGTGGAGGCGGAAGAACACTGCTGGTGTGTGAGCGGAAGTGGCAATGCGAAATCGCGTTTTGTCTACTAGTATGTCGCAAAGCATAGAGAGACAGGAGAGTGAAATTCGATATATGAGGCGCAAAAAATGATAGAGAGAGGGAGAGCGAGAGGGAGATGGGAGAGAGGGCAAGCCTTACAACATGATCCAACGTCACTCGTACAGGCTCGAATTGAGCTTAGGATGTGATGCTGTGCGACCACAATATCCAAACCAATAAGCTACACGGACTTTGTACCGCACCAATTATATAGCTTTATCTTTCAGAACGTTTATGAACGATATCAAGACGGTGTCTCATGGGCCGGAGGGTTCGGTGGCTGACGGGCTGCAGATAAGGTGAGAATTTGAGGGGATAATCGCGCAATGATTCGATGGTAGGGTTTGTATAGATGATGGGTGTAGAATGACAAGGTCGTATATATAAAGAAAATAGTTAATATGAACACACTGTCGGAGATGAGGAGGGAGAGAGGGGGTCGAACAGGGATCAGCGACAGAAGTGATGTCCGGGGTAAAGTTGGAGCGGAGAAGAAACCGCGTGCCTGGCGGGGCCCTAACCCCGGCCGGGCCGGACATGCCTTTTGTACGAACATCCAAAGTTACGATCAGCAGGACTACGTAGAATTTACACTCATTGAACATTAAAGGGGGTATGAAATTGATTGATGAACTAATTTCCAGTGCCAACTCGTCGCCAGATCATCACCGCTGCAGCGCCTGCGCAAACCACCGCTCCGAGGGCAATTCCCCATGACATCCATTTGCCCTCCACGTCTTCTTCACTACGCGGGAAAGCGGTGCTTGGTTCCATGGCGGCTTCTGCAATGTGGACAAATACTTCCTGGATGGAATTCCAGGTCACACTAACGTGGAGAGGTGGGCTTGGCATGTTCAACATAGCCGTGTATTCATGGGGCTGGTGCTCCGCTCGTTGAGTGGTCCGGTCCAAGTCCGCTTTGAGGGCAACGAAAACACTCGGAAGTTCTTCCAAGTGGGGGTACTTTGCCCACAAGGCAGGAATGTAAGCAAATGAGTCAGGGTCCGAGGAGTCGTATGTGTATGCAATCACGTCGCATTGATCCAGTAGTTTTGCCTGATTCTCAAGAAGAGCAGGCTCAAGCTCACCAAGTTCATCTAGAATCAGATAGCATTGCTTGCCGCCAGGAAGTTCGACAGTGTTGACGGCAGTGCGGGGCTGAATGGTGGGATGATAGGTTGTATTAAAACCGCGCGAGAGTAGCGCATCAAGCAAGGCCGATTTTCCAGAACCGGGAGCCCCCACAACGTGACATTGAACGACGTTACGTCCTACACGACCAGGGCGCCGGCGCCTTTTGCGTGGCCGTGTGACTTTAAGTGCCACCGTGATAGATTGATCACTTTGGTCGGATGGCTCAAAGCCTAGGTATGCCAGATATTCAAGGGTGGTCTTCGGGGATAGGAAGGTCGTCATACTCCATTGAGCAAGCCAACCCTGTAGTGTCACATGCCCTGCTTCATTGCGGACAGTAGATGATGGGAACGAACCGTCGGCCCATGATACAGGCAATCCGGGGGTGGGAGCGAATAGTGATTCAAGCTCTGCTTCGTTCAATCCGCCGTCATTGTCCTTGTCGGATAACAGGAAAAGATTCACAAAGAAGCGATATCCTTCTGGTGAGAGCTCGGCGGAGGCGAACGGTGGAACTTCAAATTTGGGGTGCAAAAACTTCTCTTGTAAGGAAAGGTTGTCGGTGTACTGGAAGGCTCGTAAGATGATCCAGACTGTTTCATGGCGTCCTTTCTCTGCATATAGCTTGTTGAGATGAATGAAGCCTTGGCAGTCAATTCCAGACTCTGTCACTGATTCCATGAAGGTCTTTTGAATGGTGTCCTTGATATGAACAAGGTCCTCCTCATTCAGGGGCTTTCCAAAGCAGCGTGTTTGGAAGTCCTTAATTTCCTTATCCGAGAGATATCCGTCTCGATCTTTATCACAGAGATAAAAGATACGTTGAAGGGCCGCCACTGCAGCGGGTTTCAGGGCTGATTCCTTCGAGTCAAACAGCGGTGCGATTGGATGTGTCACAGCTTTCTGGCAGACGAAGAAAGCTTCGTTCACATTGCGATGTTCACGCGCGCTGGTTCGGATACAAGAATCGATCTCTTTGAACTCCGCTATGAGCGGCAACATCTCTTCTTCGACCACTTGTGTATGACTCGTTCCAAGATCGGACTTGTTTGCGCACAATATCACCGGGACATTGACGCCCAATGACCGGAAGTACGGGAGCCAGAACAAAGCCACCCGCTCATAGCTGTAGTGGTCGGAGTACACCAGAAGAATCACGTTCGATTTCCGTATCTCTCGCGCGAGGTTGTTGCGCTCCTGTGGCAGAGCAGACGTATCGACAACGGTCGTGGTGGTGACATTTTCAGGGGTTCCGAGGGTAGGAGGGATTGTGATCTGAGGAAGCACTGGTTGGATCTTATTCGTGACAAAAACACCCTTGACGAGGGAGGTGATGAGGCTGGATTTGCCAGTCCCTTCGTCTCCGCAGACGCAAATCCGAACTGGCTATGTCAGCGGTGATCTTGTAGAGATGGGATATATGAAGTACCTGTAGCCATTCTCGCGTTTAGCGAATCAGCAATGGATCAAACAACAATCATAGCTCCACGGTCAAGGGAAGCATGCGTGGATTCGGAGGTGCCCAGGTGGATTCGGAGACAATCGCGATATGATAACAGATGGTCTTGGCGCCTGATCTCCATCTGGCACGTGCCGGCGACTCTATAGAATGGTCTTTTACTATTTTATAGCTCTAGGTGTGCAGAAGACATACAGATATCCTCACTTCTAGCTATCATACACACCAGTGATTGATTCCCTTTTTTTCTCCAAGAAAAAACAGAGAAGATAAAACTTCCTAAAGTGCCAAGCTGTCTTTATTGCCCAGGTGTGCTCCGCCACTGACAAATGTGAGTAGAAGTGGAACAACCATTTCAACTTCAATTAAATTCCGACTCGAAACTAAATACTTCAAATTACAAGGTAAATATATCATCAAGACATACCCATTGAGTGTGAATTTGAGCTGCAACTCTACGAACTCCTCTCGCGCCTCCCACGAACCGGCGTCGTCCCGTGCCAGCCGTCATACGGCCCACACCCCACTGACTAACCGCTACCTTAGGGAACCCGATCAACAGCCTCCTCATTCCTCAACGTAACTCTCTTGCTGTCCCTCGAGTTCTCGTTCATTCTACCAAACCTCCGCCATGCCTCTGGGGATCAACAATCCGCTCCCGTCTTCGATGGGCAGTAAGTGCCTACCAATTCCAGTAGCCCGCTTCCCCGCAGTCGTGTGCGGCATCTCCGGCTGATACTGACCGCACTCTGAACAGGCGAATGCAAGAAGGCCGCAAAGATTCTCACCTCATTCGTCGATCCTAAGCAATCTTTCGGTCCTGATAAAGTCATCCCCCCAGAGATTCTGGCTGGCGCAAAGGTATGAACCTCGTTTTCTTGAGTTAGAGAGTGAGTCGTTGATCTGTTCGCTCGCATAGGGTCTTGCAATTCTCACCGTCCTGAAGGCCGGCTTCCTGGGATCTGGTCGATTCGGCTCTGGTATTGTCGTTGCTCGCCTGGCTGATGGCACTTGGTCGGCTCCTTCGGCCATTGCGACTGCAGGTGCTGGAATTGGAGGACAGATTGGATTCGAGTTGACCGATTTTGTTTTCATTCTCAACGACGCTGCTGCTGTCCGCACATTCTCACAATTTGGAACTCTGACTTTGGGTGGTAATGTCTCACTTGCTGCTGGTCCCGTCGGCCGAAATGCCGAGGCCGCCGGCGCAGCCAGCACCAAGGGCGTTGCCGCTGTCTTCTCTTACTCGAAGACCAAGGGTCTTTTCGCCGGTGTCAGTTTGGAAGGCAGTATGCTGGTGGAGCGCAAGGATGCCAACGAGAAATTGTACCGCAGTCGCGTCTCTGCCAACCAGTTGCTCACTGGAAGCGTCCGCCCACCCCCCCGCATCTGAGGCGCTCATGCGCGTCCTAAACTCCCGCGCTTTCCAGGGAAACTCGAGAGCTTACGGAGACGCCATGTATAACGACATTCCTGTCTACGACGAAAGCCATGACGATGTGGTCTGGGAAGGTCGGAAGGGCGATGCCTACGGCCAAGGAAGCCGACGAGAACGATCCAACACCCAGGACGATCCCTACGAATACCGCGACAAGCCACGCCGTGCGAACACTTGGGCCGACGATGTTTACGATCGATCTCCTGGAGGCCTTAGTCGCTCCTCGACCGGCCGGGCTCCTGCTGGTGACTCCTACGACAATGTGGGGCGCAACCGAAGCAATACTGCGCCATTTGATGAGGACTACGTCTACTCGGACCGTCGACCTACCCGCCCGACAGCTCCCAAGCCTGTTTTCGGGCAGAAGACCGGTGCGGCTCAGCTGCGCTCCGACCAAGTCGTCGCTCTCTACACATTCGACGCCGACCAGGACGGAGATCTTGGGTTCAAGAAGGGTGAGATTATCACGATTATCAAGCGGACAGATAAGGCAGAAGACTGGTGGACCGGTCGCGTTGGAGACCGTGTGGGTATCTTCCCAAGGTGTGTAATTTCTCTCAACATGCTTCTCATGGCAATGGCTAATCTCGGTGTAGCAACTACGTTGATACCTCTTAAGACTGTGTCTGTCTGCTGGTCCATGCAGCACAATCTGTGAAAACTCAATGCACATTTCTCTGGGTTTTGGTGGAGACACACACCTCCAATACTCCAAATATATCCTGGCGTCTGCGGATTTGCCGTTTTGTTTTTCGTACCAAGTCCTGCCATTCACATTCTTCAGCGCGGAGTTTCTCGTTCTCATGCTTGGGGGTAACTTTTCTTTTTTCATGATCTTTCTGGGTTTCATGGCAATACATTCCCCAATCTGGTCACGATCATGCTCCTATAGTTTGTTATATCCGTGCTTTTTAAGCTTTTCAGGCTGAATACACCTTCCGAGATGCCTGTTATGCAGCCATAACCTGATTCCTTTTTCCGGTTCTCTGAATGTAGTCACAGGTGCTCACATGCATATCTTGGTCATCTGTAGCCCGACCCAGGTGGCAGGGCGCTTGAGGTTCTAGCCCCCGTATTTAAACCTATCACCTGAATCCATTTGAACCAGCCAAATCGGTCAAACCCATGTATGATCTTGAGGCGCAATAGATGCCCAACTGTCTTCACTGCACGCGAAAACCAGGCGAGGTCACACGACTCTTTAGGTAGAGTGTGGTACCAAGACTTCCAGGAGTACAAAGACGCGTCAAAATACCCTGATCCCATTCTGATGCCCCCATGTCCTTGAGTTACCCAACAGTACCGGTTTTGAGTGAATGGCAAGTCTCTGGTGTCGTTGGTGGGGTTTGAAATTTCCCCAAAGGTATTGGGCTTGACAGACTGAGAGCCCAAGAGTCCGGAGGGGAGTCCGGAGGGGAGTGTTCAGTGCCACTCATAGGTGTAGTCCGTTAGACCCGAACCAAAGATATACTCCAGTAGGAAGTATACAAAGAAAAAAGTCGGTAACCCCATACCGAAATACTAAGCCAGAGTGTAGATCATCGTTCTAAGTGGACCCGAAAATGAATAAAAGGCCGAAAATCGAAGCAGACAAGGAACTAAATCGGAGAACTAAAGCGAAACCAAGAACTAAAGAACAAAATAAGTTCAGGAAGGTTGTCAGAAGTTAAGACAACCCAACGACTGCGACGAAACGAAGGCATATTAATTTGTGTGTCAGGTGCCGGGGTCAGCTCTCCGCCTTACACCCTTCTTTCCTCTTTGGAAACCCACTCGAGACGAATGTGTCTTTCCGCTTCAATGACTGTTCGTCCCTATCTTCAGACTGTCTTCTCTTGAGTTCTCGCCCTTTGGGCTCTAGGGTCTTTGGTACCTGTACGATTGGCTCCCATGCAGGTGTGTTGCTTGTCCTTGCTTCTGATAAAGCCCCCTCATCTTTGGGGCCCCTCCCTCTCCCCCTTGGCTTGAGATTAGCCTTTTCGATGTGACTTGTCAGCCACTAACATCCTCGGCTTTAGACCTCAACGGGTGCCCATGAGGCCGGACACGCGACGCGGCGAGGGCATGCCACCCACTTGTCGATTAGCGATCCGAACCATCATGTGACGGAAGTGATTGGGCGTATGTACGACGACGACTACTACGATGATAATGATCCGAGACGCCTGAGCTATATATCCTCCCCAGTCGGCGGCGAGTCAATAACCACCATCCCGCGGACGGCCGCAGGCGCCGAGTCTCTTTCCCCATCCTCACCACTGCAGAGCTCGTTCTCGAACAGGCAACCGCCAACTGGAAATGGACAACAGCGACCACCGCTTGTCGGAAACCACTCGTTCGAGAAGGGTGCTGATTCCGGAACCCCCGATGGCACGCGGCCGCCCTCCGAGACCGCAACCTCCTCCTTCCCTCTAAACGATATCGACTATGAGTCGAATCCCGCGGCTGTTGCTCAGGAATTGAACAATCTCGCTGCAATTCGACGCATGTCTATGGATGTGGCCGCCGCCGGTGACCCCGACCTCCCAGGTTTTTCCCCGCCCCCCAAGTCCCTCGGCTGACGAGGACGATGCTTCCCGTTTATTCTGGGTGCCCGCGCGATTACACCCCGAGCTTGCCCCCAAAGAATTCAAATCGTTCCTCGATACCAAAGCGGATCACATAAAGCGCAGGTCCGGTGACTATTCTGCGGAGCGCAAAGGGTCGGCAGGGGGTCTCCAGCGCAAGAAGTCTATGTTATCGAGGCAAATCGACAATTCCTCGGGTTACACGGATGGCGCGGATCGGCTTGAACGCCAGCGCTCGCAATCAAGCAAACGGGATGGCATGCTTAGTCCTAACCTACAACAATTGGAAACCTTGGTGGACGACTCGAATCCGGTGGACAAGGACGCGCTTCTGCGGGGCATGCAGAACGCCAGCATCAAGGATGAGGACAGACCGATTTTACCGCCAGCGCCCCCGGGAAACAGCCTTCGCCGGTCCACTCGAACACAATACATCAAAGCCGGCAGTGTGAAAAAAGGAGAAAAATTACCCTACTCAAAACGTGTTGGGCGGGGGGCCTCTGAATCCGCAGGGAGTGACACAGGTTCCAAGACTCTTCCACAACATGAAGATCAGACCATTCCGGGATCGACGCGTGTGTCAACTGATCATGCAACCAAAGCTGCGGCGCGAACCTCGTCTGCATCATCTCGCAGTGGGGCTTATTCCCCCGCACTTTCTGCAAGTTCGACATTTGAATCGATTGCCGATCAACCCGAGGCGGAGCAAGAAGAGTCTTCTACGACCGGGGGACATGGAGATGATACCGCGGACCGACCAGAGTCTACAGACTCAGACACATCACGGCAATGGCAATCTCGCATCAGTTCACATGGACGCTCCACCGTCAACACTGCGCCCGCGGAACAGAAGATTCCCGCAATCATCGAAACACCACCCGCTCCTGAATCAAACCGCACACCCAGCGCGCCTTCGCAGAGTAGCCGTTCCTCGGATCGCGCAGTTACATCGGCACCAGTCCACAAGGCTACACATGAAACATCACAAAAACGGACGAAGAACTCTCGGCAGGCTCATGAACCTGCGTCCTCGCTCGAAGACTTGTCCAATAACCCTCAGATGGTACCCGGCAATAGTACTCGCACTGACAGTCTTTCATTCATACCCACTCTTCCCGAGACAAAAACCGAAGAACGAAAACCAGAAACCAAGAAATCAAAGGACAAGAAAGACTCGGAAGGCAGCCGCAAGTCCAGTTGGCATTGGTTGCTAGGCAGTGAAGAAAAGGACAAAAAGAAGGAAAAAGACAGTGACTCCAAAAAGAGCAAATCCAAGGCTACCGACAAGTCCCACGACAGCACGCGATTGGATGTGCTCCAGTCTTCTATTGAGAGCACCCCTCGCGCGCGCGAAAGTCTAGTTTTGGACCGTCTTGATCCGAAGTTGGAGGAAGAACGCCGCAAGGACAGTGTGCGGCGGACATCAGGAGACTCGAAGAAAGAGAAAGATGGCATCTTCTCTTCCATCTTTGGCGGTGGCCGGAAAAAGCACAGTAGTGAGGGCCACCACCGCAAACATTCATCCCGGAACCTGTCTCCCGAACCCCCAGTGCGGATCCTTCGCGCTGACCTCGATTACCCTTGGACTCGCTTCTCTATCTTGGAGGAGAGGGCTATTTATCGCATGGCACATATCAAACTTGCAAATCCCAAACGAGCCCTGTACTCCCAGGTATTGCTGAGTAACTTTATGTACTCATACCTGGCCAAGGTCCAACAAATGCACCCGCAAATGTCGGTCGCCTCATCTGGATCTTCCCAGAGATCATCTTCGAAGTCCAGAGACCAGCCAGATGAGTATACGCAATACCAGCGATACCAAGAGGTAAGAAAGAAGATTGCCCCATCTCTCTGAACCAGAAGCAATCGGTTTACTAACAAGCAACGCACAACAGACTCAGGACCAACATTATGGGGAAAGCGGATATGATGACTCCTCTGCGTACGACTATGACGACGACCCACACGATCGCTATGGTGCCCAGTCAAGAGGCAGCAAGCAGGGTTATGAAAATGGCAACGCTTACGGTCCAGGGCACTACCAGTACGGACACTCGTCCTTTGGCGATGACGTCCAACTAGATGACGACGACGACGATGATATGTGGTGAACTTAGATCCAGCGTCCGCACTCGTTTTCTTTCTGTATCTTTCTTCCGAAATCCTGCTCCCCCGTCTTTAGCAGTTCACAGAAATACCCATGCTTATTGTCGGCTCTAGATGTTCCCAGAACATGTACATTCAAGCCGCGTTCTCGCATTTTCATACTCCACTGTGTATCAATCCTCCGCTCGGGCTCGTATCTTTGTTTACGAACGTCAGACTCTTTATCGGGGTTGTTTCCTCGATAAAGTGGTTTCGCCTTGGCCGCAGAGTGGGGTTGAAGCTCTGTCCTTTTTGTTCTCCATGTCCCGGTGTCGTGGCCCTCTCCAGCCTCGTGCTTTGCAATATATCCTGTCTGTGCACCTGCTCTGATTTCTCTGTTCGCATAGCGCCTGGGGTCTCATTCTCGTTCACGTTTTTCTTTTAGTGTTCACCTGATCCTGGTGTTTACCTTGAGCTTCTTCATTCTTCGGCGTACAGTCGATCTTGAGCCAATTGCACATTCATCGCACCATCTCAGTGCATTTTATTCGTTGATTGAAACAACAATAGGGCCTTGTAGTTTGAAACCCACCGCTGGTCATCCACATGAGATTGGGAGATATATCTCGCAGGCGATGGAGCCACACTCGATCGGCAATTATGCATGTCAAACGCAGTTCCGAGGTTGAACATGGTCCTTCTAAGGTTTTGGTGCATCATTTGGCATCTGGACCGACGAATTGAATTTGCACCAAGTCAATATTGGATTCATCGCAGCCTCCAAATTTCGGCAGTTCCCAAGGTCCGAGTTTCGTGTGCATTTCAAGTTAGGGCTCAGCTGCTCCGCGTTACCCGCAGTACCCGTATACCCTTCCGCAGAGGCAAAGTTGGCCAACAATCTTCGAGCTACTTGGGCAGAGATATAAAAAGGGGTTGCCATACAAAAGGAAAAATATGAAGGCTCAACCCTGGAAGCTTTTGAACATCAATCCTTGTCTTTCCCCAAATTCAACTCCACCATGGCCTTGCAAAAGATTGCTCTGGTGACCTGCAGCACTCGGGAGCCACGACTCAATCCATTCATCACACAATATGTCAAGAAAATCCTCTCAAATGAAAAATGGGAGGGAAAGCTTGAAATAATCGACTTGGAGGCACACTCACTGCCTCTCTACAACGAGCCCGCCATCCCATCGCATCTGCCCTCAACCAACCCTACACCACACTACGTCCATGAGCACACACGTGCATGGTCCAAGACCGTCCGACAATACGACGGCTTTATATTCGTGACACCACAGTATAACTGGAGTATTCCAGCAAGTCTGAAAAACGCACTGGACTATCTATATTGGGAGTGGAACGGCAAACCCGCCGGGATTGTCACATATGGAGGCAAAGGAGGAGGCAAAGCAGGAGATCACCTACAACAAATCCTCACCGGGTTGCGAATGAAAACCGTGTCGATTATTCCAGGTTTTCCCGTTGGAAGTCACACAATGGATTCTTGTCTGAAGGAGAATGGTATCAACAAGGATGATCATGAGGTCTGGCAAAGCCGCGGAGTTGAAGAGAAGGTTCGTTTGATGTTCCAGGGGCTGATTGAGAACTCGAGTTTCCAGTAGAATAGGTGATTGGCTTTGGCTTTATCCATGGATGTTACTTGCTAAGAATCTAATCCCTGTTATCTTCTTATGTTGTGATTAGATGAGATCGAGCTTTGCTCACAGCCAACCTTGGAAGCGACCAAAATCAGCCGCAGCTCCAGAAATGTACCTAGAGCAGACAAGCCTGAAAACCTCAAAATAATTTCAAAATCATCAAGAACATTCAGACCACTTTTTTAGACTGCAAGATTTCCAACGACGTGTGATTACATAACCCAGATGCTCGACCTCGTGCCCTGTGGCTGGATTGATGTTACATCCATCCAAGAAGGGGGAGCCTGACTTTTGTGATGTCTGGGGTGATCAAGAATGCCCAAACGAAGGGTTCGAGACATCGAAGAGGATAACACTTATCTAAGAGTACGATCAATTCGTGCGTGTGGCGAGTGTCGTCGACGAAAACGAAAATGTGATGGCAATGCGCCTTGCTCATCATGTGCAGGCTACGGATATAGCTGTTCATACGAACCAACATCTGCCTCAAACAATACAACCAACGTGACCGAGGAAAATGATTCCCGTGGTTACTCTCTGCACAAGGGCAAATTGACATCCGCTGAAACCAATCCACCAAAGCATCTGGGAAGTGACGTTCTACCAACACGCAAGCCACTTGAGGGCAGCCAGTATGACCGAATGCTCACTGTAGGCAGTGCTTTTGCTCTGCCGCGCAATTTGGGAACTGAATTGAATGATCCTACCCCGCCACGTTTGCATTCCTTCGGATATAGCTTAGGACTTCGCCCAGAGCGGCGAAACAAGTTCGTTTCCAAGATTGCGTCTTTCCTATCTGAGAAGAAGTGTCATGACTTGGTTTCAGTCTACTTTGTTGAAGTCCATCCGACCTTTGCGTTTTTACACCAAGATACTTTCTTTCGCCAAGTACAGTCACTATGGAGAGATTCGACAGAAAATCCTGGCTTGGAGGCACTGACATGCGCAGTATGTGTACTGGGCTCTTTCTTTTCAAATCCACCGAATGAATACGAGGAAGAGATTTTCAGCCACTGTCTGTCAATATTGGATATGGCAAATGCAGAGCCTGTCGCCCGACCTGATGAGAAGATGTTGGGAGCTTGGATTCTTCGTACCATCTATTCTCGACTGACTACTCGACCACGCATTGCTTGCATGGCCAGTCATACTGCGATGCAAATTGCAGAGGTCCTTGGACTACATCGAAGCCCAGAGCCCAGAGCCGAGGATAGTTCAGATCAGCCATACTTGGATATGTTCCTAGGTGACTGTCGCCGTCGACTTTTCTGGCTTACTTGGTCGCTGAATTATCTCCTGTCTACGGAGTATGGCTTGACGCCGGTAATATTGGCGTCGGTGACATGTGGTCTGTTTGATGATGGCCATGAGACGCATAGCGCGAGATTGGTGTCCTTGATTCATATACTGAAGGACGGGTTCGAAGGATCCCTGAGCGCAGTCAAACCGGGAGAGGTTGAGCGGCAAATTCATCAAATCCAAGATCTGGGAACCGGGCCAGCAATCTTCACTCTGTTTCAAGCTGAAGTATGCCTTTCTCTGATGCGAAGGATTCTGTCAGTGACTCGGGTCATCAGTAACCCTTGCCAAACAATCGCCGTCTCTATCATCAAGGCAGCTTTGAGCGAGATGCCAAACATCCTGACCAAGCATCAACCCTGGTGGAATGTTCTCAGCGTGCCGTTCCAAACAGTATGTGTGTCATTAGCACTCGATAACATTCTGATCCTCCCTCTGCTTCCAGATGCAATGGAGCGTCTCCAATCTATCACACTTGCATACGATTCGAAACTGGCCAAAGAAGCATTGTCAACGGCACATCACCTGATCATTGCATCGCGACAATACGAAGAGTCAAAAACAAAATTCAAGGACTTGGCTGTGGCATCTACAGATTTGGACTTTGCGCAATCTGGGATAGATTTTGACTTGTTGTGTCAAAATCCAGCTTTAGAATCACTTGAAGAGTGGTTCCAGTTTACAATGTAAAAAATACCAGGGTTGCAAACGATTCTTCTATATTTCAATCGAGCTAATCAAGAACCATGGTAAAATTTATCCCCTACCAGTGCTGCACTTCACCGACATTCAATGTTCGAGTTTGGAAGTCCACGGGTGCCCAAGGTTTATAGAGTGAACCAATCGCAAATGATCATGCAATATTATTCTACGAGAAAGTATAGTTAGCACCACTAGTACAAGAAACAGACAGCCTCTGACCATAGTTTAATTTGTGTAGTCACTGCTGATATGCTTGTCAAAAAGGACATGGCATAGCAATAAAATTTATGCCGACCAACCAACCCCAAAACAATGGTAGGCTGCAAACTGGGTACTTCCGCTGCGCATGTGGTGACCTTGAGCCACAGATCCATGACATCATTGAGTCTGTAATGCAGGGTCATGTGATAATACCACGTGACAGTACCCCAAAGTTGGCTTATCTTATCGCGGGTTATCAGATCCCTCAATGAAAAAGCCACTTTCCCACCCCTCCCGACGCCAGATCAGAGGGTCCAAAATAATTTCTTACCAGCCTAAGGGCATGAGTCACGTGGGGCGACTCAGATTTATCCAGATTTGTTACATGAAAAATGGGGGACTCGGGTGACAGGCTTGCGCAGGTACGTCACACTGCTTCCACACCCTAGGCCCAGCTATCACTGGGCCTACCGCATGTTGCAATTTGGACTGACTGTTGTTATTTTCTGTACTCACAGGAGCTCGCAAGTACTTACTGCCCACAGATTGACCCGGCACTTTTCCAGGCGATCGCCTTAGACTATGATCTAGCAATTCCAGACCAGGTCGAGCAGTTACGTCAAACTTTGGACGTGCTGAAATTATCGGCAGCTGAACAAGAAGACCTGCCATTCGACCCGACAGGAACAACAAATCTTAGGAACTGTGAAAGCTTAGGTTCACCATACGCGGAAACGTCCGGCAGCGCAACAAACTCAGATCCCACCACTTGGACATCGCTTGAGCATCTTGGTTCGGAAAATGGCGACATCAACAGTGAAAGCTTTGCAGCCAATTTCAGCAAGGACTCTCAGCGTTCGCAAAGGTTTGCGAGCACAATCAGTGCCGAGAATGCCCAGACCTTGATTGGCATGTTCCCCAGTATCACTCGTCTGGAGGCAGAGGGCATCCTCGAAGACTGTAACGATGACCTGAGTCGCGCAATGGATGTTCTGCTGAATCTCGCTTTCATTGAAGAGACTCAAATTGCTGGGGATGTATCCCTGCAAACCGAGATCGCTCAAGGATTCGGTCAGTCTGGCGCTTTGAAATCGATCGACGGCTTCCAAGCCGCCGAGAATCAGACGAGCAACAAGAAGTCCCGCCGAAAGAAGAACAAGCAACAGAAGCAGAAGGTTGTGGACTTGTCTGCCAGGCCTACCGTAGCCCCCACCACCAACAAATGGGAAACAGGCAAGAACGATATCGATTTCATGGCAACGCGAGCTAGCGCGTTGCAAAGGGAAAAGATTGCTTCAGCGTATCATCTGAACTCCATGTCGCTCTGTGCGACGCTCAGAGACTTGGCGCATGCTCAGGCGCCCGCGGACACCAACGAGATAGAAGAAGATCCTGTCCTTGTTACACAAGTAGGGGACCTCGTCCACAAATACCCCGGTGTCCATCCCACCACTATAGCTGGCCTGATCAAAATTGCCAATGATGACATCTCTGCGGCGGACGAGTTGGCTGAAACTCTGTCTCGCCGGCCTGCCTTGAGCTCAGTCTCTAACATAATCACCTTCGTTTCAGCGCCCCCTGTAATAGAAGAGGACGACGAGAACGCTGTACCTACCAGAGAAGAGGACAGCCATGTGGACTCCATGGACTTCAGCCAGGCTTCCGCGGCTGCTTCATCCCACTTCGCAGCTCGTTCCGCTGCCTTGGCTCAAGCATCACAATCAGCGCGTCGTGCGCGGTCGAATCCTCTGTATGGCGGTGCATCTGCCTATTACCGAGATGTTGGAAACGAACAACGCCTGCTAGCCATGCGCCATCTGGCAACTGCTTCTGATAGGCTCGTGGCCCAGCAATCGACCAATTGTGACTTGGATCTGCATGGTGTAAATGTTGCCAATGCCGTCAGAATCTCTCGTCGCAGTGTTTCAAATTGGTGGGCGGGATTGGGCGACCAGAAACACGTTCGCGGTGGAGGTAGAGACGTGCATGGCGGGTTCAAGATTATTTGTGGCGTTGGCAATCACTCCCAGGACCGCAAGTCCCACCTGGGGCCTGCTGTCTGGAACATGTTGCGCAGTGAGGGATGGCGTGTAGAGCTTGATCGCGGCTCCATGTTGGTCATTGGGAGGGAGCGTCGTTAGGTAGCAGTGTTTGTTCATGTCTTGCTTTCTTCAGCGGTATAGCTTCAAGATACCCCAGCATAAGTGGAGTTTTTTTCAGGGGCATATAGCTTTTTACAATTGATTTTGGACAACTTGGACAAATTTATTGCCCCAGGAATGACCAGATGTATTTGTGGGATAATTACCGTGCCGGAAGATAGCAGCCTTTGGGTGCATACTTGTCAGTCTAGGCCTTAAGCAGTCCCCGACGGGCGCCCCCGCATGATGACGCAAAGACCAATCCGGGATTAGCTTCACTCCACTCAACTTTTTGTCTTGCATCTGCATCATATTCGAACTTAACAACCAACTTCACGTGTCGATACACTCCATGCGATCTCAAGCTTGTCGCATTCTGATCTCTCCTCTCAGACCTCAAATCATATCTCTCCGCGCTACGCCGGCCACTCGGCTTCTGTCCAGTTCGTCACGCAAGTCTCCCACAGCCGGTCTCAAGGCCCTCAGAGCGGCGCCAACTATCCCGTTCATCGGCGCCTTCTTCAGCTCCAATCGAAATACCGAATCATCAGAGGCCATGTCATACCCCGACCAGCGAAGCGAAGACCAGTGGAGGGCGGTCCTCAACCCAGGTTCGTCCAGGACACTACAATGCTCGAATCTAAAACACTACATCACAATGGAAGCTAATCGCCGTTGAAAATAGAGCAGTTCCGTATTCTCCGCGAAAAGGGAACCGAGCGCGCCGGTACTGGTGAATACGATTCCCACCACCCGTCGAAGGGTGTTTACAACTGCGCAGGCTGCGATGCGCCGCTCTATACCGCTGATCACAAATTCAAGTCTGGTTGTGGCTGGCCCGCATACTTTGACTCAATTCCCGGCGCTGTGACCAGACATGTCGACAGCACCTTCGGCATGAAGCGGACGGAGATTGTTTGTTCCAACTGCGGGGGTCATCTCGGACATGTGTTCGAGGGCGAAGGATACAAAACCCCCACAGATGAGCGTCACTGTGTCAACAGTGTCAGTCTGCGCTTCACCGAAGATGCTGGTTCCAAAGAGCCCAAGGCGAAGGCTTGAGTAGGTGATTGCTTTCAAATCTAGGTGTTGCGGGGGGCACGGCTGCATAATGGCCGGCATGCATGAGAGGAGGCGTCGTTGGGAGTAGATTCAACCGTAGTATTTTAAAATTTCAACTACATAGTAGTCATTCTTTCAATCAAATTCAAGTATTCTAACATTCTTTCCATCTTGTATCTTTGGCCCATGACTTCATATCAAACTGCGGGAGTGGCATTTTCGCCCATCCGTATGAACCCTGACGCCTAAGGCCGCCACGGTGCCGACCGCCACCTAAGATTAATTAGGTAGCGTTTCATTGTTTCTCCCTTTCACCATTCCTAAGTCGCTGCATAGAATTATGTCTCGACGTCCGACTCCCGGGCAAGCTGCCCAAAATTCGCAGACCATCAAAAGTTTGTTGAAACTTGAGCACAACAAGATATGTGCCGATTGCAAACGGAACAAGCGTGAGTCCCGATCCCGTCAAGTTGCGCCCACGTTGGCCTCATTCTCGTGCTCTGGTCTTGGCGCTAACAAACTGAACTATCATACAGATCCGCGATGGGCTTCCTGGAACCTAGGTGTCTTTGTCTGTATCCGCTGCTCGGGAATCCATAGGGGTATGGGCACGCATATCAGCCGAGTCAAGTCCGTGGATCTCGATGCGTGGACCGATGAACAACTCCAAAGTGTGATCAAATGGGGAAATTCAAGAGCAAACAAGTTCGTCGCAACCAATTGACCCCGTGAGCGACCCAGGCACTAACCGGACATAGGTATTGGGAGGCGAAACTGGCCCCCGGCCATGCCCCCTCGGAAGCGTGAGTACATTTGAGATCAATCGTTGCACGACAATGTGCTGACAGTGAGCGCCAACAGAAAAATCGAGAACTTCATCCGGACCAAGTACGAGAGCAAGCGATGGGTAATGGATGGCGAGATCCCCGATCCATCCACCTTGGACGACGGCGACGACGACGTTGTGAGTGATCGCGTGATGGACCCCGTACCGGGCAGCATTTACTGACTAAATAGCCTCTCGCCGTTGTACAAGAGAAAGCCAAGATCGAACGTTCTGCTTCCCAGCGAATCGCCGCTCCCAGCCAACCCCCGGTACACCGGCAACAAGCCTCGATTGATCTGTTCGGCGATGATATCTCCCCTCCAGCGCGCCCCAGCACAACCGATCCTACTCTGCGTGCGCCGCCTAGACAAGCACAGCCCGCACCTGTCAAGACTCACAAGCCAAATGATTCCCTTTTGGGTCTCGACTTCTTCGGCAGCACTCAACCAGCCGCTGCCAGTCGCCCGGCTAGCACCGCATCCACGCCAGCGGCACCAACAGGAATGTCTCGCCCAGACCTCAAACAATCCATTTTGTCTTTGTACTCGAAGCCGCAGCCCGCACCGCCCGCGCAGCACCAGCGGGGTAACTCGTTCGGCGACATGGCCTCTCCCGCGCCTCCGTCGGCTTCATCGAACATGGGTGGTCTGACGGATGCCTTTAGTGGACTGAGTTTCCCTTCCACGACTTCTCCTCCGCCGGCCAAGCCCGTCGAGAAGCCCTCTGCATTCTCCAACCTCGCATCTTTCGGCGCTGCCAAATCCACACCTGCCGCCCCGCGAGTCACATCGCCGTCGGGGTCTGCCAGCGGTGACCTGTTTGAAAGTTTCGCCTCTCCTACCATGTCTGCACCTAAGCCTCAGTCCCGTACCACTTCTGTGTCCTCGGGCGGGCAAGACTTTGGATTCGGAGGATTTACTTCACCCACTGCTAAGCCTAACCCTCCTTCGTCGTCTCTTTCCAATGACCTGTTCGGACTTTCCTCGCCTCCTGCCGCATCAACATCAACGGTCTCGCCACCCAAGTCTACTGCCACTTCACCCCAGCAAGAGATGAAATCCGCATTCAACATTTCTGCTCCGCCAATTCAGCCCCCCGCCCCCAAGGTTCCAGCTCCCAGCGCTGCGACTGCCGCGGCAGCCAACATGATGTCTGGCAGCCTTGACCCGTGGGGAGGTAACGCCTGGAGTACGCCCGACCGCGCCCCTTCACCTGCCGCCCCTGCTCCCTCCACTGCATCCATGATGAAGGTCCCTGATACCCTGACTCCAAACGACATGGGTAATGGCTGGGGTGCCCCTAGCCCTGCTTCCAAGGCCCCAACCACAGTAGCAGCTGACGAGGACTTTGGTGGCTGGGCCAGTGCCGCCCCAGTGTCCAACCCTACTCCCTCGGTTAACACCAGCAAGCCATCCGGTGGGTTTGGTGGCTCCGACGATCTCTTTTCCAACGTCTGGGAGTAGAGTCATCTAACTGAGCCATGACGGGCCAGTAGAGCCTTTGAGATTTGCACGAATGGTAATATTCAAACATCGAGTATCTCGAGCTTGTTTATAACGAAGTCCATCTCTTGGGATCTCCGTGCATTGGATGAACAGCTGCTCATTCTAATATTCCTACATGTTTCTGTAACGAGTCTTATTTCTTCACGTGGGCAGCTTCCGGATTTACGATGGGCAGGTCTCATGCATATTGGAAGATTAGCTTGTTCTCTTCGCTTTGGCATATTTGTACGTTTTTACAATGCATTCATAATACCCTAGACTTTCTTTACAGTGTACTTTTTGTGGATGGGATTTCAGTATCTCTGAATAACGGGTTCCGCGCAGTCATGACCACGCGTTATTCTGACAAGCCTCAGTGCCGTGCGTGAGGCCAAAAAGGCGATGATAGTTTCTTATAAACAGGACTTCGGGAGTAGTCGTGTATTGGCTTAATCTCATATTTCGATTGGAAAAGGAGGAGAGCTGTTCATCAATTCGGGACCTCTTTTTAACAGTCTTTTTGGCTGTCCCTCCAAGGTTCCAAATAATTGTCGAGTCATCATGATTGATCAAGAAAAGGAATTCTTGGCTAAGCCGTGAACAGAGAATTAGGGATTGAGGACTTGAAGGTCCCATCCTCGGGTTTTGTTTCAGATATGATTCGAACTTTAGCCTATTGTGATTCTGTTCGCCTTGGCCATGTTCATGAGGCATAGCTGAGTTTATATTAGAAAGTAATGGCCCTGGCGGTTATGCCAGCCTCGTCTGTGTAGTTGGGTATAAGTACATCATCACCATGGAAAAGAAAAGACAAAGGACGTGAGCATAGGACAACCGGACGTGGCAGCGGGGATGGTAAATATAGCGAGAGAAAAAGAAGACCACCGGAAAAGGAAACAGTAAAACATAAAGGATGAGTCCGTGAAAGTTGATTCTTGTATGATCTTCATACCAACTCTTTCGTGCTCTCCTTGTCGTCTGTAACAGAAATCTTCGGATGAGACATGGTCTGTTGTGTCACATCGGTAGTGACCTTGATACCACTGAAATCCTCTTTATAGCCCTTCGAATAACTGTTCATGGACGAACCAGATGGTGATAGGGCTTCTAGATCGTTGTCGTAACCCGGATCACGGCCACCGACAACAGAGGCAAGGACTTGCGTATTTCCATGGCTAGTGAGAACGCTGCGGCCAGTACGTGTTGGCCGTGTAGTTCTGCTGCGGTAGCCATTGCTACGGGTCGAGAAGATGTGAGGCAGAAGTTGAGAGAGGAATGCCCGGGTCCCTGGTAGACAGGCACAGATGATCGCCACATTGCATTCGACGGCAGACCAGGCTGCTGCGCCGACATTGTCATCTGTAAGGAATAATTAGATATCTGTTTCATGTCCATCTGAGGGGAAATTCTTGAAACATACAAGTCGCGTCACTGGAATTGGAAATGACCAACAAGGATTGAAGACGAAGAATTGTTGTGACCAAGACGCTATAAATCGTTAGTATGAGCATTAGGAAATCATCTCGATATCCACAATGATAAACTCACATCGCGCCCAGTGCGAATACAGCCATGAGAGCAATCTTCTGCTTCTTGGGCAGCTGCAACGACTTGAGTACCGGCATGGGGTAGATTAGAATAATAACATCAGTCAAAATGTGAATACCCGAGTTGGAAAACCATAGAGCCTTCTTGTCTAGGCAGAAGCCTGGAACGGTTGGATCCCAAAATTTGGCCAGAGGAACACAATTAGCCCACGCACTGACAATAGTCCACGTTCCGTAGAGACCAAGGAAGCCGATCAATATCCAGCAGGCTAGACGCATTCGTGGTGTGGAGAAGACTCGTTTGTATTGGAGAAGGATTGACATCTTTGTGCTGATGAGACTCGTTTGGTAAATGGGAACGGAAGCCCAGAAGCACTGCAGCATATTGATGTCAGCGAGGGGCGTCCTGAAGTCTTAGAAGTTGTGTGTGATGTAGACATACAATCATTTGAGTTTTATAGATCGCTGCGGGAATCATGGCGTAATGTTCTCCCATGCCGTGGTATACCTCTGAAGGACTGTTAGACGCTTCTGGTTCCATAAGAGCCCAGATTGAGACTCACCACCGACCAGCAGGCCAAAGAAAATCCACGAGAAGGCTAAAGAGACAAGGATCACATAGTCATCGGCTCCCATCTGTTTCACAAGAAATGCGCGCGTATATATTCGAGCAGCTGTAATGAATGTGGCAAGCGTGGTAAAGACAATGCTAACGGCAAGGGCCTGGCGGCCGCGGGGTGTCGAAAGGGTAGTCATTGTGTCATAAATTGCGTATTTAAAAGAGTGACAGGCGAGATGAGGAAAATGACAGTCGGTAGGATATGCAATGCGTCGAAAGAGTGAAATCGCAATGCCTCCTGGCACACGGAGTAGAGTGTATGAGCCAGGGCCACTTGATCAGTGCTCTGGTGAAAAGATCCCGAAAATCCGGTGCTCGTGGGGTGGCCCGCTTCTTAATACAAACGAGAGACAAGAGGGCACAGAGAAGAAAACATTAGACGGATAGACAGGAACAAGGCTAGGGGCTCTGCGCTAATATACGCCAGCCTGATTTGACAGTCTTCCAGCCACCAGAGGGTCTTTGAGTTAAGTTCCTAATTGGACAATTGAACTATTACATTGTTTGGGAGGGATGTGTTTGTCCCGCGAAGCTGGTTGACGAAGCCACGAAACGTTAGCGGGCCCCATATCGAGCCCACCCACAACCACATGGGTTCTGATGCGAGGACAGATTTGACACAAGGCAGTAAGTATTTGTCTGTCATGACGCGGATACTTACGGATATGGCCCGCTATCTGTTGATCATTGGCCACAATGTGACATCAGCCTATAGGAAAATCACCATCGTTCGCCAGTCTTGGGGGAAACCGGAAAGGACTTTACATCTGCTGTTTGTATTTCTGCCATCAAGTCTTTGAAAGAGATGCGATCAAGAACTGTGGCACTCCATACGTTGTCGTCTACAGAGTCTAGTGCGATGTACGAAGTAACTAGACATTGAAGATTTTGTCAACAACTAGCCTCTTTCTGTATTGGAAACCGGGCTTAAAGGCTGAACTCTAATTCGTTTATGCTCTTCTCGTTCCATGGTACGGATCTCTTGGTTACACTGTATTAGGAAGCTTCCCCTTTGGTGCTTACAACTACACACAGTTGTCCACGGGTCTGTGATGATGCAAAAAATCTGATCGTAGAGTGCTAGACAAACGAGAGAGATATGTATTTTGCTGTAAAATATTCCAACTCTCGATTTGTCAAAGGACCATTGGAACCCAAAGACAAGGCCTGCATGAACACCGGGTAAAGTGGAAAGCCTGGTGCACTAGTCCCCAAAACCCACTTTTGCCCCCCCTTTTGCCCCCCTTTTGCCTGTCAATTGTCATTCTTCTGTAATCCATGGCTCGATCGCAATGTGGCTGACCATTGAATCAATAGTCGCAATGATTCGATCGACAAAACAGTTGCAATCGAAACTGTCAAATGATCGATAATCCTATTGGCCCTGTTGCAGCGATCCCTGCACCTACAGTAAGATCTGCTGCAGCATTGAATTTGCAAAACGTGCATGCATGCAAAATTCGGAACTCGATACGGAGTCCTCCGTATCGTTTACTCCGTACGGAGTATTTGCGCACCCTAATAAAAACAAGGCAATGCCCCCGAAGGCGTTATGTCCGAAGAAAGCAAGCGTGAAGATCAAACGCCGATCCAAATCACAAATGTTCATTAGTGAACGGTTGTGCAATCGCTAGCCGAGGAAGATAAACCCGCGCACGGTGCCTACAGAATTCCGCTAAATCGGACGATGAAAAGCATTGACATTCATGGCGTGCTTAGAGGTACGGAGTATAAACATGACTATCGAGGAGTGCTAGTATTTTACAAGATATCAATTTACCCCCTGACCCCATAGGCGTCCCACTGATGAGCCCCGGAACTCTCCCCCCAAGGTTTTGCACGAACGATTCCTATCTCGGGGTTATCTCGGCAGGAGATCTTCAGGAAATGGGTCTCCAAAGCAGTTCTTATTGCCCGCCTCGGCGGCCCTTAGCGCGAAATTCTAATTGTACCATCTACGGATTTGGAAAGGTCCTGGCGATCCCTCTGCCGTCGCGGAGAAAGACGCCCGCACATTGTACGTGTTCGCTTGGATATTTGCTGTGACTGGCCATCGGTGATGACCCGCCTGGTCTTCATGAATGCAAAATTGAGCTGCCATGTCAGTCCCTGTCACCTTGGAACCTTGGAACCAGATGAACGTTGACTCCAGGGACCTTCGAAGTCTGTTTCAGGTGTGTTCTCGCGAGTCAGATCAATCCTCTTAGCACTGCTCATTGTTCTGGATTTTGAATCCTCTTCGATCGATACGCTTTGTCGTATCCCCACTCATCAGGATAATCAGGGCATGTTCTGCTGAGTGGGTCCTCGCAACACATGTTTCTGCGCGTATGGAATACGAACCCTGGAATTACTGCAGCGTAGTTGACTTCGATGCAGACGTACAGTCGCGGTATACAAATGCCATGTGTGTTCTGACATCCGATCTTCTTTCTGTATATAGCTTTTGGAAGCATAGAGTCTGGCCCCAGGTATGCTGTATGTAATCAAAACTTCAGTCTCGCTGCTCCCTTGGACCTTCGCAATTACATAGAAAGAGCTATGTAGCAATTGGACTTGGCAACTGCAGTCCTATGTCATGCCGGGGGATTAACAGGCACCCGTCGGTAAAGGTCCGCCTGCAGCACATACGGAGTATGTCCACATACTTTATCTTTCCATGGGTACTCCATATCATCAGTGGGGATGAGGAACAAGCGCACGGGTACAACATTCTGAGATGATTACGTCTTCGACTAAAATCTTACAATGAGAGTTGTATGAATCCAACGGCGATAACTCGGTGTACATTGACACGTTATGGAGAGGAGTCCATGAATACAACGAAAGTGTCTTTTGCCTGTGTATTGTGCAGATCGCATTTTTGGACCCTGATAAGCGTACGGGGATACTCCGTACTTCGATCGCTGTATGTAGAATGCACATCTTTTGTGCATCGTGCTAATAATTCCACTCCAGAAGTATGAATACGAGAATATTTTCCGAATCTGATAAAGGCGATGTCCCAAAGATGAGACGGTTACACTTTCGGCTATTTGATTGGCTCAAGTCAAAGTGGGTCAAACGATCGCGGGGTCCAGAACAGAACCTCGTCTTTTCCATGCTCGGGCTTACAACCGCAAATCACCATTGAATCGCGTTTGAGCTCCCCGTAGTTTTATTTGGCATGGCTGATCCAGCCGGTCAAGCCGCTCGGTCATCTGCACCACGAGTCCGGCTCACCTGCGAGGCATGTCGTCAGCGCAAGGTAAAATGTGATAAGCTCAGTCCATGCACCAGTTGTCAGCGACTTGGCCTTGTTTGCGTTCCTGTGGAGCGTGCCCGCTTGCCCAGAGGGCGCACACGAAAGCCCACGGAGCGAATTGTGGGCTCTGACAAGGAGCTATCCGAGCGGGTAGCCAAGCTCGAGAAGCTCCTCAAAAAAGTCGCGAATGAGCGTGGCACCGAAGAGCAAAGAACTCCAACACCAGCTCCGCCTACAGTGAATATCGATACGCCTCCTGTTTCAGCGAAGCACGAACCGGCCGGGGAAGCCGTTAATGTGGAAGCCGAGAGTTGGCAGGAGCAGAATGACTTAGTCCCCACAAATGTTCCTCGTCCCGGAAATGCTTACATGGGTGTCTCCTTCTGGGAGGACATCATGCAGCAGGTAAGACCATCAAGCTCCGACGCTTGCGTTCATGTGTGATTAACGTATGATGCACGGCTAGACCCAAGAACTGCGGAACGTATTAGATGGTCGTCTAGAAAGCGAACAACCTGAATCAAAAGACCCAGCTGTTGTTTTTGGAACATCGATTGTCAGCTCGGAGAGTCCAGAAAGCTCAACGGCTTCAATACAATCAAGGAGAGGGATCGCCCTTCAACCTCATATCCGACACAAATTATGTGATATCTTCTTCCATAATGTCGATCCTCTCTTCAAAATTCTGCACCGGCCATCAATGCAAGCATTCCTCAAGGAGGGAAAGCCTTATCTCAATTATGAGCGGGACCACCAAGCACCAGCTACTCTCGCATCTGCCGTATATCTTGCGGCTGTTTGTACTCTTGACACCAAAGATTGTCAAGCATTGTTCAATACGGACAAAAAGTCCATTGTTGCGGAGTTCCAAAAGGAGAGCGAAATTGCACTCGCCAAAGCTGACTTTGTCACAACCAATGATGTCACTGTTCTGCAGGCGTACATTATCTCTCTTGTGAGCATCACCATAATCTCGTGGCCCTACTGTGTTTTGATGAAAACTAATTGTCTTTCAGCTCGCTGCGCGATCCCAGGACCAAAGCCGGAGAGTATGGACGATGTTGGCCATGGCCTTGCGAGTAGGTCAAGCATTATCCCTCCACATGCCTGAGCCACCCTTCAGTGTACGACCCTTCGAGCACGAAATGCGTAGGCGTGCATGGCTAGGAATTGGTCTTCTTGACGTGGCAGCCTCCCTGGACAGAGCGTCTGAGCCTATGATGCAAGCAGCCTGGCTCGACTACAACCCACCATCAAATATCAATGACGAAGACATCTGGTTTGAGATGACAGGGCCCATCCCCACGCACCCAGAGGGAACATTTACAGACATGACACACACATTGGTAATAGCCGCATCCTCCTCTGTGACCCGCTCCCTTGCGTTTGCGGACTTCATTGAGCCTACTGTCAAGATCATGAGCTTGCGGCAGCAGATCGTGCACGACTTCCAACAAAAGGCTTCCGATTTACTTAGTGGATGCAGACCCGATTTGTCAGATTTCCAATGGTATGCGCAGAAGAATGCTGGTGTCATGGGCAGTTGGCTTCAACTGGCCTGTCTCCGACCATTGCAACGAAACAAAAACTTCACGCCTCCAAAGGTTCACGGCGACGCCCTTCTCAAAATCGCAGCTGACAATCTCCAATGGACACAAGAGGCTTATGATTACCCTGGCGCCGGAAAATGGCGTTGGTATGCATCCATGTGGGTTCCGTGGCATGCGCTGGCTGTCGCCATAGCTGAGCTGTGCGTGTGCAAAAGTCTCACTATCATGTCAAAGTATTGGAGTGTCGTGGACAATGTTTATCAAAGATCGCGACTCGTCATTGCGGACTCGCAACAGGGGATGCTTTGGAAGCCTATGGATAGGCTTATGACGCAAGCTTTAGCTCGGAGAAAGGAGCTCGTTGAATCCGATGCCGCTCAAGGTGTGGCCCAGCAACCTCAGTATGCCTACACCAATATGAACACCGGTTACGACCTGCAACAACCACAACCGCCATTCGCTGGATTTTCACTCGAGCTGGGAGATGCTATCAACCAACCACGCAACACGCATATTGCGGAGGTCCCGACGTCTTTTGCGCCAGTGCCATGGCCTAATGTGTGGGATGCGATGGATCTCAGCGACCCTACTCTGCAGGGAAGCTCCGATGATACTGCCTGGCTGAGCTACGAGAACTTCATTGAGAATGTTTACGACAGTGTGGACTCTATATTCTTGCCTCGGTAAACGACTATCGGTTCAAAATTCCAGAAGATCACCGGAGAAACGCCTCCAAGATCTAGCTGTGAACAAGACAGCACTGGCGGACGTGCTGTCAAAAATGTCTTACTTTTTTATATTTTTATCTCTACTCATCTCCTTCTGAACGACCCGTTCAATATACCCGTGAAATGAAATCAATTGACACATATCCATGGATCGCGCTACCGCCCGTACGTGGCCACACCTGGGAAGGCGGTGAAAGAAAACTAGATATGGCCCCTAGCACTCCAGGGCTGGGTATCGAGATCTTACCCGTAGGCAATATTGGAGTAGCCCTGCCCAGGTGGAGGATACATATCATCCCCGTCGAGTAAGAGAAATGCCCTCCTGGAAATGTTTCAAAAATCTACCTGAAATCACCCTGCCCTCCAATTCACCAATCGCAATAGGCCACAAAACCCTCGCAGCACCATCCTCAAACCCAATCGGACAGCCCTCAGCCCGTTGGCACTCTGGTGCAGCACTCATATAGCCTGGATCAACTGAATTCATAGCAACGCGACGTTCCTTCCACGCGTCCTGTGCCTCCGTCTCGGTAATCATATTGATAGCTGCCTTTGACATGTTCGTGTGGACATGATGACCGGCTTTACTCCGGGAGCCGGGTATGTCCTCGAGGATGCCTTCACGAGACGAGACATTCACTATGTATCCGCTTGGTGACAGGGTTCGATGTGGTCGGTCTGAGCCCATGCTTTTAAGAAGTTCACGACATAGAATCAAAGGGACGAATGCGTTGACGGAATGTGCGCTTATCAAGTCTTCGTATGGGATTTCGTAGAGAGACTGGACCCAGGAGGACTTCGAAGAGTCTGTATCGTCGATTGTTCGGAGACCTTTTTGTGTGGTTCCGTTCTCGTTGTCGTCATGCGGTTCCACGTTTTCAATGTAAAGCTGTGACTTGTTGCTTTCGATGCTGGGGACCCAGGAGGCTTGAGCACCTCCTCGAACTCTCGGTCGGTACTCTTCGCTTGTGGTTGCAAGTAAATACCGTGTTTCGGGACGGTCTCGGAGCTGCTCCTCTTTTGCGATCGCTTTGATCTCTGCTTTGATCGGATCTGTCAAAGTTTGGGCGGCATTGTTGATCAGAATATCCAGGTATTGAGGAGTCTTGGTCTCTTTTTCACATTCCCAGTCACGAAGTAATTGCTTTACTATGTGGACAAGACGAAAAGCATCCTTTGCAGCTCTGAAATCGGCCCCAACAACCTTCAACCTCGAGTTCCATTTGGCATAATCGACCTCGTTTGCGTACCGCGCGGCTGCATCGGCAGGATACCGAGACGAAACAATAACATTGGCACCACAACGGAGTAATCTCAACGCAGTGGCGTAACCAAGATGAATTCTTCCACCGGTAACAAGAGCGAATTTCCCTGTGAGGCTCAACTTATCAGGCAATGAAAGCTCTGAGCATCCGACATTGAACATGCCGCACTGACGACACAGTGAGGGATATAATTCGTGGGCATCTCTGGTAGAGAATTTATAACGACAGATATAGCAACGTGATTTTTCATTAGCCTTCCGACTCTGTTCCTCCCCTCGGAGTTTTCTGTGTTGTGCAGTTCGAATGATGTCATCCATAGAGCGTTGCGCCTTCACAGTAAGAATCACATCCGATAATGGATCTGTCGCAGAGCTCTGCGACACCAACTTGTGTTTTTGAAGATAGTCAAGCACCTTCAGCGTTGTTTCCAACTCGCTGTCTGTGGGGATGTGAAAAGTATCCTTGATTGCATCCTCTTCCCCTGATTTGCTCTCCAGTTGATTCAGGTATGATTTGATGCCTTTGATGATTCCGTTGCACCTGGTCATCCGCAAAGCTTTTGATACCTGGTCGTGTGGCGTGATATGCCATGCTACCAGGTCAAGTAGCGTGCTTGGGGCGAAGCATAGCTGTATAGCAAGGTTGCTGGGAAGTCTGTTGTTTTTGCAAAGCTCTTGGTCTGTTCTCAGGCGTTGTGCAATCGCCTCAGCATCTTGCCGATCTATCAGTTCTTGGTAGCCGTTCATCTTTGGTCGGCTTGGGCAACAAACACAACAGGGAAGTAATTATGCAAATTTGACATGTTGTCTCCGAGTGACTCAGTGCAAAGTTTGGCCCCCGGGCCAAAAAGAATATTCTAGAGTGGCGGGGTGGTCTAACTAGTGTCTCACCATGTGAGTCAACCATCAACTGTCAACTACAATAGTTTGGAAGAAATAACCAGAATTCCTTCCTCCGTGAGCCAAGACAATGAATTTTGAACTGAAAACATTCAACTCGACTGCGAGATGCCTTTCGACCCTGCCGACCGAACTTGCGCATCAGATCATCGATGATCTGCGAGTCAAAGATGTTTTGAAACTGCTTATCTATGACCACGATCGTGTCAGTGCGCTCGTCGTATCACATCCAGTCTGTCGTGCTATGTTCAATTTGACTAGCGATCAAAACATTGCGAAGGTCCAATTTGCCTCTCAGTTATATCACGACATATTCCGTGAAGTGCACCCGGCGCTCAGCGCCGATGGTTGGTTAAGACATGCGTGGCTTCCGCTGAATATCCACTGTGTGAATCTGAGAGACCGAGATTTGATCATGACTGAAATGAGAGACCACATCCACTGCGAGCTTTACCTACAATGGCGAAAAGCAGATCTGACTCGACACGGCGCCCCTGAATATCGCGACTTGGATGAGCAGCGCGCTCCTCCTCCTTACAACAAGTTGGACTTCGAGGCCATGAGGGAGCGATGGGAGGCGATTAAGACGGCAAAGGCCAGTCTGTTCGGGAAAATGTCCGCTGAACTTGATTGGGCTGCAGATATCTTGAAATCGAATCCAGATATTCTCAAACGCACGCTTGATCCGCACCAACTACGACGGTCTAACACCAATCATATCACATCCAGAATGCAAAACGATGCAGGGAAGATCTTACGGGCCTCGGGTCAAAAATTCATAGTGTGCGAGCACTTCAAATACGCATTCTTTGAAGTTATTCCCTTTGACTTCGCGCTGGTTGAATTGTTGGGTTTGATGAAGAAGCACGGTCTGGTCACTGATGATCAGTTGAGGATCGATGGTACGCCTAGCTCAGATATCGATGTGTCACATCCATCTTCGATCCGTGAGTCAGCGCAAGCCCTTGTCAATGGAATGGCTCATTTCGATGTATCACCCGAGTTAAATACCGAAATGAGGAAGACTTTGCGAGAGATGGCAAACAACTTCGGAACCGAAAATTCCGAAGGAATCCTGGTCCCCCGGACGGGCAATACCCCTTGGTCGGGAGAGGAAGCTTTGGTGGACGGTGTCGATATGGAGGGACCTTTTTTCACACCAGGCAAAACCATGCCCACCAACAAATTCATACGACCTGGTCGTAGCCGCTGGGACCCTCACGGCGAGGGAGAAAGGAAATGGCTGGAGGCGTTTGTGAACTTGTATCGGTACTTGAAAGGGCTGTGATCGGTTTATCGTAAAGTCTCGCTCTCGAATAGCCTTCCATAATATCAGTGGCTCACCCCTGGCTGATCGATGAAATTAGTGTCATTCCACCTTCAATGTGTCTCTCGCAGTTTGTAGGCCCCAATAGCGATTTTTGGATTGATTGCATAGCTGGCCAGATCAAACCAAAGTGTTTGGGATGCTTTGGTGAGATCAAGCGTGAAACAATGACGCGCCGGCGCTGTGCCATTCCGAGCTCACCAATCCAGGATACATGCGCATATATGTCACGCAATGTAGAGAAGCTCCCTCCAGCCTTGGAGAATGATCTCTTTCACCTTCCTGTGGCCTTCATAGAGGGATATAGTGTTGAGATTCCAAGATCCCAGGTGGGCTCGGAGTCCAGGGTTGAACATTCGGCATTAGCGCTCTCGATTGGCACTCGTGCTGATGATGCTACATCCCCAACGAGGCGTTGGTAACTGCACTCCTTATCGCGTTGAATGCATGTGGAGCATGGTAGTTGGCCTGTGCAAGCTTTTCTAAGAACAGCGCAGTTATCGCAAGCGCGTTTGTGTTTCCCTCCACGCTCCGGCGCGGGTATATCATGACCGCTATCTACACGGGCCTTGCATGACTTCCAATGCCGTCGCAATACGTCGCTTGATGGCTTCGTTAGCCTGCCGAGGACGATTTGTCGATAACAAAAATTATTGACATACCGTCTACCAAATGCAGACCCACAAAACAAACAGACATGATGTTGTGCGGTATCATCTGCGGGATTCTGTCAGCATGCCTCTTATTGGCAACCAGCTGCAGCGTACGTGTAGATTCATGGCGTTGGAAATGATCTAATCTTTGGAATGTCGACGAGCATCGGTCACACTTCCAAGGCTTTGGTGCTTGGCGCAGCTCGGGGTTACGTTGTGAGCGTTCGTCCATCCCCGTCAACCTTGAAGCTTTCGGGTTGATAGTGTGCTCCGACGGACCACCAGGCTGAATTCTGTGGGTTCGATAAACGAAGACGATTTGGCTAGAATGGAGGGGCCAGGCATTCACACGCGTCAAGGATCAGTGCTGCCAAGACTAAATTGCCCCGTGCCGAGTCGGGTGAAACTGCAAGGCCGAGATCTTTCGCTTCCAGAAAGTCAGTCTCAGCACTTAGCAGTGGATGAGAGGGAGAATGGAGCAGATCTCGGTAATTTGCGAGTGGCGATTGGTGCGGCGAGAAAAGAACGGGGCCGGAACTCAGCGCGATTCCCCCACACGGGTGGACCTCAGGGATATGCCACTTTAGGAAACTTGATTGGATTCAGAGTACCAGTAGAAACAGTACGGAGGGTTTTTTTTTGTTGGATCTGTTGGTTTATTTAATAAGACGGAATTAGAGCCTCTTGGGTCCTGGTTCCAAAGTGTTTGCAACAAACGAAACCCACCAACTTCCGATTTCTTTCTCCTAATTACTCTCATCTCTATCTCAAATGGATACCATGGAGTTACCAACGCATTACAATGACTGGCCGACCGACAAGGGCGTAAGTAAAGAAGCGTGCCACTTATGTTAGCCACATTCTGACCCCTGCTAGTACGATCCCGAATACGAGCAGCGCGAGCCCGTTGAATTGCCAGTGACAGGGAAGATACCTGCCTACGCTGCCGGTATCGTATACCGCACAGGTCCAGGGAAGAGCCAGGTCAAGGCTGACAATGGAGAAATCCTTCGACTCTCACACTGGTTTGACGGCTTCAGTCAGACGCATCGATTCGAGATCCTCGCTCCGGATGACACCCATCCATCCCCACGAGTGTTTTACAACTCGCGATTTTCGACCGATGATTTGATTCAAAGTGCCATCAAAACAGGGACCTTGGATGGCGTCGGTTTTGGGCAAAAGCGAGATCCCTGCAAGAGCATCTTGGGCAAGACCCAGAGCGAATATGTCCCCAAACCCACTCCCTCGAGCAAGAATATCGGCGTCACACTGTCGATCAACTTTCCAGGTTTGGACAAGGGTCAAAAGGACTCTGTTGAATCCACCTCCCGCTGGAATAACTCACAGGGTGTGCGAACTCTCTATGCGAAGACCGACTACAATGCCCTCAAGAAGATCGACCCGGTGACACTAGAGCCTATCGGTCTTGCCTCGCAGGCAGATCTACACCCAGAATTGTCAGGCCAATTGTCTGCATCTCACTCGCGATCTGATCCCATCACGGGTGATATGTTCAACTTCAACCTCACGCTAGGACCAACCTGTACATATCGCGTTTTCCGAGTCTCAGCGGCAACTGGAGAGACGACAATCTTAGCGGCATTTTCGGCCACACCTGCCTATCTCCATTCGTTGCTTATTACACAGGATCATGTCATCCTCTGCGTCTGGAATGCTCATGTGAATCCACTGGGCATGACTGGATCTTTCTTGGACGCAATTTTACCCACAGACCCCAGCCAACCGGCTGTCTGGTATGTGATTGACCGCAAAGGTGACCAGGGCCTGATCGCAACATATGAAAGTCCCGCGTTTTTCTGCTTCCATACCATCAATGCCTGGCTCGAGCCTTCCGAGAACGGTTCTCAGATGGACATTGTTGCAGACGTTGTGAGGTCTGACAACTGCGATCTGATCAAAACCCTCTACTATGAGAATTTGATATCCTCGCTAGATACAGCCAAGGAGTTTCAAAAGAACAGAGACGACTCTCTTCGTACGTCGATCACCCGCTTCCGTCTGCCTTGTGTGCCACAGACCCCATGTGGAAATGTGAAGAAAGCAACCGTCGAATGGTCTGCGTGCAACTCGCTGTCGCCGGAGCTGCCGACCCTGAATCCAAACAAGGGCACTAGCAAACATCGATATGTTTATGCTGTAACTTTCCGCGGCGAGTCAACTCTCACAGACGGCATAATGAAGTTCGATTGTGATACTCAGGAAGTTCGTCTCTGGGCTTTCCATGGTCACTCGCCCGGTGAAGCCATTTTCGTCGCTGATCCCGAGGGCTCTAACGAGGACGACGGTGTCCTTTTGAGTGTAGTGCTCGATGGGATTTGTGGAAAGAGTTATCTCCTTTGTCTCGATGCCCGAGATTTGTCTGAGCTTGGCCGGGCAAACGTTGACGGCGTCGTTGGGTTCGGATTCCATGGCCAGCATGTTCCAGCTGATGGAGGCATCCCAACTGGCGACTATTAGGGGCCCTGTGAAGATAACCTGCATTAAATAAATTGCAGCTGGAACCGCCATTTCGAATTAGTTTTTATTGCAATCTCATCTCAATCCCTTCGTGGCCTTCCAAAACAATACATCCAATGTTAGCGTTCTCAGCATGACTGATGCTCGTCGTGATAATTTTTCAAGAGGATGTGACGAAAATAAGTGCTTCCGTGAATCCCGCATGTGTAAACTCAGTGATCAGTCTGAAATTAATTCAAAATTGTGTCTAGTTTCCGCTATTTCATCAGAGCATGCTTGATAATTCCACTCAAGTTTCCTGCCAACTCCCCCTTCATCATAGAAAAATGATTGGCGCCACTCACTCGCGCAAAGCGCATGTTTGCCTCCGGAAGCAGTTTCTCCCACCCACAGGGCCCGTAATCTTGTCGAGCCAGGGTCAGGAACTTGAGTCCCTCTGGATCGTTGTCGCGGTGTTCGAACTTGTTTTCCACATGAGCGTCAATGGAGTTACAAGCCCAGATGATGTGTGTCGTGGGGGCCCAATCCTTTGGTTCGAACGGAGAAGCGTGGTAATCGTGGAGACTGTTGATACACGCTTCGAAGTGTGGAATCAACCATGGAGGTGGAGTCTTGCGCTCACCGGTTCCAGAATGAACAACTCCGAGAAGCCCGATCTCTTCGCAATACTCGAAGTATCGCTTGGGGAGGTGATCCAAGCCACGAGGGACAGGACAGTCGAGTAAGACGAGACCAGAGACGGTATCACCCTCCGCGACTAGTAGCTGGGCGCAGTGGTAGGCGAAAATCCCACCGACCGACCAGCCACCCAAGGCATAGGGACCGCGAGGTTGACGGCGCTTGATCTCCGTGATGTAGAGACTCGCGACATGGTCGATGCCTCTTGGATACAGCGATGGATCTTTCATGTATGGACAGTTTAGAGCAACCACTGCAAGAGATGGATCAATGATGGGAAGGGATCCATATGAAGACGCTGACCCCGAGCCATCGGGGAGAAGGAAAAGCGTCTTGCTGGTTCTGGCTGAAGCGGGGTTTCCCTGCAGCAAGAGAGAGCTGGATTTAGCATTAGACTTGCTAGTGGATGTCAAAAGTTCAGTCAATGAGGCATGAACATTTTCCACATCGACTGAAATTCCTGAATCAGATGGACTCCTAGGCAAAGATGGATCTTCCTGGACAGTATCATGGTGGAACATGGAGTTCAGAATAGCATCTTTGCCAGTCACATTGGAAAGGTCCCCCTTGGAGGTAGTTCCTTGCTCCCAGAACACGCGAAGCTCACCCACCGTGGGATAGTCTTCAAAGATAGTGGACTCATGAGCGAGGCCGAGCTCCTCTCTGAATCGACTCGCACAAAGGAGCGATAGGAGCGAGTCCACACCCAGGTCAGCAAAAGCCTTGTCATCTGTCAAATCCGCCACTGGAACAACACTCTCCTCGGAGATTATCTGGAGCGCAGCAGGCCAGGACGAGATATTGGTCTCTTCGACAGGCAGATCTTTTGGATCTACTGCTTCGGGGGCCCCATTTTGAGTGCTGTGCGCCGGTCGTAGCGCGTTAGTAGGCCCGGGCAAGCCGACTTGAGTATTGTCCCTCATACGGACTATGTAGTCCATGAGCCTGCGTGGAACGCCCTGAGCCTTGATCCCGCGGAAGCAGGCAACCACTTGATTCCCTTCAAACACAGTCATATCACCACTGTACATTCCGTCCTCTTTTGGGCCGTGCATCTTGACGTACGAGTGGTAGACCTTGCCGACCGACACTTCCTTGTAAAAGTGAAGCGATGTCCATCCATGGTTGACAAACACCTCTTTATTGAGATCGGCTTGGTCATTTGCATTCATGATAAAGAGTGCAGGCTGGCCAAAGTTATCAACCAGATACGGATTGACCTGGTATGTCCCAGCAGATTTAGCACAAATGGCATCTGGACTGCCACACTGCACCTTCGCGATTGCTTCGAGGTTCTCGCTGTCCATGATCACCTCTGTGACTCCCTTGTAGTCAGCATCATAGGAGGCCAAAGAGGAGACGAGCTGATAGCCCGTGCTACCAGCCATCTTTTGAACCCGATCGTTGTTCTCAATGCCCCGGCGAAGCTTAATCACGTGTTCGCATATTTCCTCAGCAGCAGCCTGGGTTTCGGCTTCGGCTTCGGCAGCAGGGGGGAACATGATTGAACATTCTGCGTGCTTGACCAAGAGTTTTCCCTCAGGGGTAACGCTGTAAAACTGCACTGCTGCATTCTCGGTGGTGACGTTCATAGTCACTCGGCATCGAAGCAGCTGAGGGCCCTTTCCTTTACTCTTGACTGCGAGTGGCCTTTGCACGTCCATGTGTTGAACATCAACCAAACATTCAGCCCATCTGGGACTTGATTTTCGAATGTAGTCACCAATAACCAGTGCCATTTCAGCATAGACCGAAGGCGTGCACAGTGCGACACCATTGACGCGATGTCCTCGCACAAAGGGATCGAGGTCATCTCGTAGGAGGTCGGATTCACCAACGACGGTGATCTCAGAGTCGTCATGCTTTTCCTCAATCAAGCGGTGCACACAGGTCGTGGACAAGGGGGGTGGTCTCGCTCCCGACAAGAAAGCGGCATCACCTTTGTACAGCGACCAGTCGTTCTCATATTGCATCCAGTAATTTTTGAGATCCCAACGATAGTTCGGTAAGCGGAGCACTTTCAATGACTTGCTAAAGTCTCGATGATACTCACCCCAATGTATGACATGGCCGAGTTCATAGAGTGTAGTAATTGTGCTGGTCAAGGTCTTCCATGCATCTCTCTTGCGCTGAAGTGAGGGCAGAACTGTCACAGGCCCCAGGTTGGCCTTGACCAAGCCGACGACGACGGGATGGGGTCCAATCTCTATCCAAACTGATTTATTGGTGACCAGATTGTTGAGTTTGGCGTTTTGCAGGGCATCTGCGAAGTTCACAGGCTCACGAGCGTGACGCGCCAAGTACCGCGCGTTGATGATGTCATCGGTTGTGATAGCATCGCCAAGCAAGGGACTAAGGAGAGGAATCTGAGGCTTGTGGAATTGCACATTGGCAGCCACCGCTCCGAATTCATCCAGAATCGCGTCAACCTGTGTTGAATGGAACGCGTATGGGACACGGAGTCGGGTCATTTTCTTGATACCCGCATGGCTAAGTGTTTTCTCTGCTTGATCAATCCACACGCTTGTTCCACTCAGGACTGTTTCAGTGGGTGCATTTTTGCAGGCAATCTCAACATCCAGCTCTGCGAGCAGAGTTTTAGCATCGTCGGTAGATATGCTAACTGCAAGCATGCTATGGGTATCACGAGAACACTTCTCCTGAAGGAGTTGCGCCCTTTTGCCTGTCAAATAGATGGTGTCCACATCTGACAGTACACCGGCAACGTTCAAAGCTGCGTATTCGCCCAGACTGTGGCCAACGACTGCAGCCGGCTCGATTCCCCACGAGCGCCATAGCTCAGCCATTGCCATCTGGGAACAAGTCGTGGCTAATTGCACGGCCAAAGGCTCGAAGTCGGTAATCTCACCTGTGGTAGCGGTGATAAGAGGCATGATTGATGGGAACCCTTGCTTTTGTGCAATGCGATCGAGCTGTTCCATATTGGCACGGAATTCCCGGACCACAAGTAGCTCTCGAGCCATGCCAGGATACTGGGCTCCTTGCCCTGTGAATGCAAACACCACTGCCGAGGCTACCCTTGGCTTGAGTTGGTCCTCAGATAATACGAGGTGCTTCCCAAGCTGATCGCTGATTTCCTTCAGGCTATCGCCACTCGCCATCGCTCGGTAGCGGTGATGTGTTCTTCTGGCCGTTGTGGTGTAGCTCAAGCTCGGGAGAGAGGGGCTCTCGCGGTCAATGTAGGAGATGAGATCTTTGATCCCAGCAAGAAGAGCTGTCTGGGTCTTTGCTGACACAGCCACCAAGTGGAATGGACGAGGATCATGTTCAATACGCTTCGTCTGATACCAGCTGGGCGCATCTTCCACCAACACTGAGCTGTTTCCCCCTGCAGCTGAAAAGTTGTTCACCATGGCACGTCGAGGTTGCTCCTCAGTGCGTGTCCAAGGAGTGAGTTTATCTGCGATGAATACATTTCGCTCCGCCAAATCCGTAGGGAACTTGTGGTTAATCTTCGTCTTGATGCCACTGTGTGGAGGAATGAAATTCCTTTCCATCATCATCAACACCTTTGTCAAGGCGATGATACCAGAGACGGATTCACCATGACCAACATTAGCCTTGACTGATCCGAGATGTATGGGATTCTCGCGGGGCTGTTTCGCGAACGTTGAAAGCACAGAGTCCATTTCACGAGCGTCTCCAGCCTGAGTGCCAGTTCCATGCATCTCAATGTAACTGACCGTCGCTGGATCAACTGATGCTGTAGTCAATACGCGGTGGAAGATTGCTTTCTGGGCCCCGACATGTGGGCGGGTGATGCTCTCAGCCTCTGCAGAGTGGTTGGTGTATGCACCTAGTATGACGGCATGGATGGGATCATTATCTGCAATCGCATCTTCCAGACGTTTGATTATCATGCTCACAACGCCTTCGCCCCGACAGTATCCGTCGGCATTGTCATCAAAGGTCTTGCAGTTGCCAGTTCGCGAAAGGAAATACCCGCGATCAAGTCCGGCGGTGATATCTGGTATTCAGAAACAACTTATTAGTGAAAAGTAACAAAAAGTATAACCCGAAGAGACTTACCAGGGTTTGTCATAACGTTTGTCCCGCCACTAATTGCAGTGTCAATATCCCCACGCCACAAGGCATTGCATGCGAGGTGCATGGCTGCCAAACTAGACGAGCACGCCGTATCGACACTGTAGCTAGGGCCACTGAACTTGAAAAAATAGTTTTGGCGACCTGGGATGAACGCACGGCATGATCCCGGAATGTAATATGTATCGACATCTTGGGAACTGTTGGTCTCGCCCCAATCGTTACTGGTTGAGCCGACAAACACACCCACTCTGTCCCGCTGGGTCGAAGGTGTTGCGTCAGGTACCATTCCTGCATTTTCCATTGCCTCATACGCAGTCATCAAACTTAGACGCTGGGCTGGATCAACCTGCGGTGCTTCACGAGGGCTCATCCCAAAGAATTTGGCATCAAACATGCCAGGATCGGTCAGCCAACAACCATAGGGAGTACCACTAGTGTTCTTCTTCTTGAGGGTGGGATCGACATGCGTTGTGACGTCCCATCGCTGCTGAGGCGTGATACTGGCCACATCGCGCGCTTCCTCAAGCAGCTGCCAGAAGGCTTCATTGCTGTTGGCATCAGGGTATCGACCGGAGTAGCCGACAATGGCAAGCTTGGAGTTCCCCAGTTGCCCACTATCCGAGACAATGGAGACCTCGGGGACGCTCAGTCGGTTTATGGAACTATCAATCACGGAATCCTGGATGCCAGACTTTTGCACGGCAGTCAGAAATGCTTGACCAGTTGGAGTCGCGACTGGAATGATACTGCATTGTGCAGCTCCTGAGCGAGTAATCTCCTCTGTCAGCCCTTCCAGGATTGTGTCCAAGCGGAGGGGTTGTAGCAGAATCTCCCTGAGAGCAACACGGAGCAAGGAGGCCAAAGTTGTTTGGGTCCCTATACCCGGGGATATCAGGCCACCACTAGCCTGGACTGCAATTTGGCTGAACTGGGTCTTGTTGCGATCTGCAGAGACTTTCTGCAAGATGTCCTCAATGTCGGACTCGTTGTAAAGATGAGGAGCATGGAATGGTGTGTAGATCCGCGTTTTGAGCCCCGAAGCACGTGTCATGTATCCAGACGCTAGGATCTCATCAAGCACGCGAGAGGGTCCGGAGAGGGTAACTCCACTGCGGGCATGCGCGCTGATGTACGGATTGGACGCTAGTGATGTGCCCTGCAAGCCCCGTCAGCCACAAATCTAACCTTTCTTTCTGTCGTCCGCAACGGATGATGCTTGACAATACCTTGTCCGTGATATATCTTTGCAAAGCCTCAGTGGCTGCGTCCTCTTTCAACCCGGGAATGACCACAGACCAACTCCCTCCTAGGCTGGCTGCTGGCTCAATTCTCAACCGGACGTCCTCGGAAAGTAGACCGATTCGAAACCCCACCACCACAGAGTCAACTCCAGAAGGTATCAATTCCGGCAACGAAGAGCAACAACTGATTGTCACCGCGGTCAGGAGGCCAGTGCATAACCCTGTCAAGAGAGTGTCGGCATTGGTGGGGTAAACGTGCCCTGGTTCTGTGAATCGTCTGACAGAAGAGCCAATGTTCAGCTTGGGATTAAGCATTCGGGGGAAATGATAGGTGTGTTACATACCGGATAAAAAGTCCAAATTGCATCACCAATACAAGCGCCTTCTGAAGTGCCGGATGCACCACGTCGGCAACTCGTACTTTGGCATGAAGCTCACTCAAAGTGGTGAATTTGGGAAACAAAGCTCGCTTTGCTGGGGAAAGACTGCCAATTTGAGCACGCAAGGCAAACGCAGTGCGCTCAAAAAAAGATTTGAGTAACGGATTGTCGTGCAATCCGCAGAGGATTCGCAAATTGGTATCAACATCGTGATTCAAGTCACCGAAGACGAGGACTTGGTAAGGAGACATGATTAAGGTAGCTGGTAAGAATAAGAATGGTGAGCGAGGAAGTTTTGCAAGGTGAGCCCAAAGCTGTTTTTATGCTGAATTACTGAGCCCACATCTTGATTTAGGGGCCCAGCTTCAATGTCTGGCATCTAGTCTACCTCTTCACTTCACGGTCATTTGAGGTGTAGCTCGGACCACGAAAAAGATCCAGATTCAGCCATAGATTGCTTTTACTCGTGATCCAATATAAACACTTCTTAACTTAGACTTGTATTCTCCTGCTAATGGCCTCTCATAGCACTCGCCCAGGCTTTTTACATCTCGGTGCTTACCCGGCAAAAGCTCGATGGCCTCGAGTACACTAGCCTCGTATGCATTGATGCTTACAAAGATGTGATACGACCTCATTATATTACCTATGGTAATACTGATTATGCCTCGTTGATGACCTTGTGAACTATTGACTGCGTTCCAGATCTCCGACGTTGTGGGAGGCCGTTTGAAATGCAACTGGAACCAGGCTCAGAGCAAATCTCACGAGATGCAAGGGCTTCCCAAGTCTGAGGTAATTTCCAGTCGGCATGCAGCTTATTCCTAGACAATAAATTAGGGTGGTTACTGATGGCCTTGTTGGCCTGATTCGGGGATTGAAGGACCTTGGGGTAGCACAATCTGATCCGAGACTCGAGATGTTGAAGATTGCCATAGGGCAATACCTCTGTCAATATGCTATACTTGGAAACAAAGCAATTTTCAACAATGCTCTTCAACGTGCTAAGATTTGGAAACAAAGTGATATCTTTTACGCCACGATTTCAACTTTTAAGGCTGATGTTCAATCTTTGGATGTCAATTGCATTTATCTATCTTTTTTTTAGTTATCAGTCAATGGAATCCATTATTGACTGACTTGGATATGTTTATCTATCAAACTATACGTAGTACCTTATGAATCGGGTACTATACATTTCTTTTTCTTCGATGCTACGGCAGGCGATCAGCTTCTAGTTGTTGGCTTGGGCGTAAGTGAGTCACGTAGGCTAGCTGGTCATCATTGACTCCAAGGTAAATTCATGCGGTTAGCCAAGGCTCAAATAGAGAGGTCGCCTTATCAGAAGATGACTCGTATCTCTTGGAAACGTATACAAAGCACGAATCCCGCCGTCAGCACGATGCACGAATTTCAGGTGGCCAGGTGATACATTGTAATTTACCATTTGACACAGTTGTAGTGATAATGATGCTCAGGTGAGGAAGTAGGACCACAAGCAGCGCGGGATTTTGGGATCGATTAGGCCTTAATCCTCCTTACCAGCGCATCGCGATGGGTTAGGTCGACCATCTGACCCGCAAGCTATGTTTGCATGGGGCTTGAGCAGCTAGTTAGTTCTAAGGTTTGATTCAGCGCCCCAGGCGTGCCTGGACCGAGAGCAAATCTCAATCTCGGGTTGAAAAAGGGTCTGGGACCAAGTCCATACTCTGCAGAAAGTTACGCCTAGAACCATGGACATGGATAGGTATACCCTGGGCCTAGGAGTTTCCCGTGAAGCTCCACAATTGAGACACTGTTTCTGCGGCTGATTGAATCATGCAAAGTAATCAATTACCTGAGAGATCTATTGTAGCGATGTATTTGTGCTTGTGGCGAATAGGTCGGTTGCTGCCTATGTCTCTTGACATAGTTGCAACATGTGAAGCAGTAATATAAGGAGAGAACCCGACATGTCACTGTCATACATGGTTCATCCTGGTTGACCTGCAGGTTCTCCGGGTTCAAGTTCTTGCTCTCTTGCTGCTATCACTTGCGCTTTCCCAATCTAAATGTGTGCGCTCTGGAACAGCACCCAAACTCGGAAGGGAACCGAAGTACCCGGTATCAGCAATGAAATTTGGGCACATCGGTTTAGCTCGCGGCATATAGTCCGAGTCTGTTGATATTTCTGTAAAGCTGCTTTTCTCTAGTCATCATTAGTGGGCAGGCAACTGGCTTGGTACCCATTATCCTGTCGTCGCGGTACCTTGATGTAAATAGTTACCTTCCAAGGTTGATGTTGAACCCGATAGCTAGCAATTCAGAACACGTTAACCGTTATCAGCCGCAGTTGAATTCTGAGTCAAGTTGGCGTGGTTGTATAAATTAACAGGCACAAACAGCACCGAGGACTGTTACGCTAGGGGGAGGGAAGCAGGCGAGACTCTTGGTGGTCTTGGTGATTGGAAGTCCGAGTGAGGGAATATGGGTTCTCGTCCTGATTGGCCATACACATACTTCAAGCCATTTGGAACACAGCGTAACCATCCCTGATGTCAAGTTGTGCTGCGTACTTTGGGCGCTGCGCATGGATCACACGAGGTTCGAGGCTTGAGGCATCACTGGGGTCTGGACGTTTCAATATGGGTACTTAGATTGGAATGAACCTGCATGTAGTCACAAAGTGAAAAAAAAGGAAAAGATGACTGAGTTTTTGAGAAATTAATAGTAGCATATACTTGGAAGTAGGAAGAAAATAGAGAAAAGAGACTTAACATCTCGCCCTTGTCGCCAAATCCTAGTTGAGGTCAAGAGAAGGAAGGTACATTTTAGAACCTTCTCTATATAAGCAAGGATGCTTTCCATTCTCTTTTGTTTGTAGCTCGTTTGCGTTAGCTAGCAATCCAGTTACAATGCACCCAATCGTAAGGTAAATTTTAATCGATCCGGCAAACCCGCCATGGCGATCCATGGATGAAATAAGCCCTGGACTTCACTGGTACCATGAAGATCACTACTCTCAAGAGAGACTTTTCTTCCTTCGCCCTCCCCTGAGGCCTCTTCTCTAGTAGATTTCACTCCCTCTCAGCGGGTATATCTGGTTCGTAAACAGTGCCCCCACTTGAGTACCTAGACCTGGGCACCATCTTTGGTGAAAAAAATGGTGAAATCGGTGGAAATAGAAATGAGTAAAAGTCAACAATTCAAAGGGGTAGACCTTGTTAAATACAGCCGCACACTTTCGCAATGCTGGAAATCGTCTTTCTACCGACTCGGGGATTAAGCGGGGCCGGGACCTTGCGTGGCCGGGCTTCGGATTCCGGGGGCGGCTCAACTGGCTCAACTGGCTCCCCGCCAGATCTACCCGCCAGACCCAGAGATCTACCCGTCCCGGAACTACAGGCATGCGAGTATAAGGACATGGCGCTTCTGTCGGGCTTCCCCGCTGCTCTATAGACTTCTGTGTTATTCGTCTAGTGATCGACGGAACAATGAAGATTTTCGTGAAAATGAATGAACAGTCCACTACTCGTGGACGTACCTCAATTCTTTGCATCCATGGATGTAATTTTACTACAATGGCGTAGAGAAAAGCACTGACATTACGGCATGGGTATGGGGCACCTGGGCAGGTTCAAAGAAGACATGCGATGGTCAATCAACTAGAGGAAACGAGTGTCGGACAACAGCCTCGATGCACTCAACACGATTCTGCAGGTTCTATCTTGATTCTCAGCCAACGACGCCAATTAAAAACATCTACCCCCATAGATAAAAAAGCCGTTTAACTCCACTTGCTCGGCATTTTCACGCACCGGTGTAGCCTCAATCAGAAGACTGGGCATTAAACAGAAACATAAAACATAACACACCGCCGATACAGGCCCGGCTCGTCTATATTGTACATTGAAACAAGAGACCGCAACTAGGAGCCAAGGGCAATAGAAACATGAATAATCAGGGTATTAGTCGTACAGAGATGTGGCTTCATGGCGAAAGGAGGGACGAGACATTTGGGGCAAGACTCAGTAGTCGACTTCTTTCTCAATAACCATGATCAACTCAGTCAACTCCTTGCGCAGAGCGCGGTTGCGGTCCCAAAGCTCAACCACCTTGGGACGTTGGCTGGTGAAACAAGCCTTCTTCCAGGGAAGTCCACCGTATTTGGATGTAGTCCGATTCGGAAGGCCACGAGCGATGTTGCGCAGAACTAATGCGGCTTTATAGGCCACGCCAAACGGCTCACCTTTCTCGTTGGTTGGAGTGTCCATGTAATACCACTTGCGGACGATTCGTTCCTGGAGAATTGCCCGCTTGGCGGTTGTGGGTTGTGCGTCCGCATGGCGGTCTTCGGGTAGATGTGAAGAGACATGCCCAGCAACCATCGATGTATTGGCACTGGGGCCTGAGGCGCGGAACCGTGCGCAATGATCCCACTGACAAGTGTGAATGGGTGTCTCGGCCGTGTCGAGGTTGTATTGACCAGGGGAGTCAGGGGAGTCTGTAGGCTCCAAACTCATATGTTCACCGAAGACGTGGTTGCGAAGGTCAGTGGGCGATGTGAATGCACGTTGACACATTTTAGAAGGCTTTGAGTGATCTGCCCACCGACAGTAAGAGTAAGGGAAACCTTCAAAGGTATGAGCAGTCTCCAGAGGCCGGATACCCTTAATAATGAACTTGGTGGCAGCACCCGGCCCATTGATGACTTGGGCTTGTGCGTTGGTGAATGTGTTGCTGACGTTTTTGATGAACTCCGCAGCGGGGAGGACACCTCCACCGGCAATGCGAGAGTCTGCAAACCGACTTTGGTAGGCTTGCCAGAGCGCGATTTGCGTGATCTCGCATTCTGAATCTTCTATGAAGCAGCATCGCAGCCATTGGGAACTCCGCTCCGGTTCCGACAACTCCATGAGCTTTGCCAAGAGTTCGGCAGGCACACGCGGGATCTCGGTGGGCGGAGGAGCAACCTTCTCTTCCTGAAGAACAGTTTCATGCTTGGTGGGTCGTGCCTCATAGGTCAGGAGAGCAACCATGCGTGGAACGAAAACTATTGGGAAGTTGACAACGTCCATCAAAGTCTCGATATTGTCATGGCTAAGAGTGTACTGGTACCAGAAGTCCAGTGCACCGCTCAAGATGTCCTTGTCGAGGTCAAGCAGTGTGTGATAGTACATTTGCTGTAGAGTAGGTTTGGTAAGAGTTTCCAAAGCCCGATTAGCATCTGCATCATCTAGCTCAGTGCCGAAGTGTGTCAAGGCCCACAGAGCCCGCACAACATGCGCACGGTCTGAGGAGTCCAGACACTTAACCAGGGAAATCCACAGTGGGTCGTTGGGGTCAGTTCGCAGGAATTTGGTCACTTCTTCGGCAATATCCAGAGCATCATTTCTGATTTCGTTGAGTCGGGGCTGGTTTGGCGCGTTGATGAGGATGACCAAGAAATCCCGTAATAGACCGTTTGCGTATCGAGACACGTAGAAAGCATTCTCTTTGAGAAGTACCATGTTTCTTAACACGAGTGTTGCCTCCTTGATGTTTCGAAGTTGGTGATTGAATTCGTGGGTTTCCAGGCTGTCGTCTGGGAGGTTGACGGGGATTTTATTGATTTTGTCAAGAATGTCCCTAGTGCCGTGAAGCGAGTTTAAGACGTTGACACGGTCAGTTGGTTGGCGGGGATCATATTGGAACTCCCATTTGACACCTGTGCAAAGCTCCGTGATATCAAGTGCTTTCTGCATGAGAGTTTCCGCGAGTAACGGGAACCCTTCGAATTTGAACTTGTCCCAACGTTGGTTGGAGATTTGAACGAGGTGATAGAGCGCGAAGTCAACCTCGTCCGGGATACCTGACTGCAAGCCATAGTGGGCACGTTTGTAGATGTGATCCGCTGCAGGGGAGAGGGATGTTAGCCTTTTTCCTGGGGTTCTGGGACCATATGGGTGAAACTGACTCCTTGGGACCTCGAGATATCGGAGAGGAAAGTGGGGATCGAAGTAATCCAGCTGCCGGGGCGCTTTTGATGGGTCCCGCAAATGGGCGAAGATTAGGGGACGGTTTCCAGGTGTCGGGACTTCCCTCGTTGACATGGGAAGCTGTCTGTGGTCCTTTCCTTGCCAGCTCTCGACGGCAAACTGTGAGCTGCTGGGGTTTGCGGCGGGATCAAGGGGCACATGGTGGGTGCTTTGGGGCTGTGGTGAAGTTGAAGCGAGGCCTGGGTGAATGTGAGAGCGACGAGCGGGTGTTGTGTCGGGGATGAAGGGTTGGTTGACTTTTGGGGCATGGCGCAGGCCCTCTGTAGATTTCGTTAGTATCGACGCCATGGTCGGATTTTGGGGCATCGGAATCTTACGTCGCAGCGACGTGCGAGGGGTGGACGCAGACATGATGCTGCTGGGAAGAGACAGCACAGCTTTGCGCCGTTCACAGTTTGGGACGCAAGAGTGAGCGCCTGGGATTCTCCAATACCAAGGACAGCAAGATCTTCTCGCTAGACCCTCACGCAAGAACAGGTATGCGTATTTCCGGCGCAAGCTCGAGGGTTTCTGAAACGCAACGAGACGGATACCCTTGATAGACTTTGAACCGACCGTACAGGAAGGGGTGCAGGTTTGTGGGGTTTGTCAATTCGTCGACCCTCGTGGGGTTTGAGGTGAATGGAGGGTATGCGTTTTTGTCGAATTGGGACAATGATTGGCAGCGCGAGAGACTGACCTAGACGGGCAAAAGATTCGCGCGTTTGATCGAGATGCGATGAAAGGAAGTATTCAACTGCGAATCGTGGGGTGCAGCAAGTTTGCGCGGATACAATCGTATTGAGCGACGAGTGTCAAAAGTGGAATATTAATCAATGCCTTGCGGCCCTGTTGGGCTAGAGCTGGGCTTGCGATCAAGGGCGCTGCAGCCAAAAGTTCGCGCCGTGGAGATGGCCGGGCGCGCTTTCGGATTATTTGTTATTCCGTGATGACTGTTGACTCCAAATCTGGAAGCTAATGACACCTCAGGTGTCATTATCCTCGAGCCTCAGCTTTCCTCAACATCTATGTACTCTTCAGCTCGACTGTGTTGAGATTGATGTCTTTTTCATGCATGTCTGTCTTTCTATCAATATAACAAACCTCGTCTACTTGAATTTGGAAAGGCTCCAAATTACGTGCAGCAAATCTGCTATCTGATCAGCCTCGATCACATCGTTGACCCTCAACCCGTAGAGTACCCTGGTAGGGAATTATTATACACCAAGAGTCTATCTGGATGTCATTTACCGACACACATCTTCTAGACCTCTCTAGAAATCTGACCAAATAATGTCAGAAGTTTCTATGACAATGAAGTTCTGAGAAGGCCCTGGACTCTGGAGTAGTCCTAATCTCTCCTCTGTCACCAGGCACTCTTCCTCAACACTCCACACCTGGACATGCACTTGTCCATCCCTGCAACCGTAAAGACTTCGTCACTCTCGGGGGAAAACCTCGATGTCTGAATAAGATGCAGCGTCCCCAGCCTTCATTTCCAGCCCAGGTCCACCACTTCACCATCGCTAAGTTCTCCCATACCACGACTCTCATTGATCATGTTGGTCCCCTCACCTGGAACCATGTCACTGGAAATGGCGAGCTGCACTGTATCTTTGAGAAGATTGCAGATCCCAGTCTGGTATCCTCGAGTCTAATTCAGAAAGTTCTTCGAGGTAATGACATGCTGGTACGTTCACTACCCACAGAGCTTGTCACGATACTGATCGGGTTTCGCTGGTGTAGGAGCAAGTCGACCTTGTTTATCAAACTCGGCTTGCAGCAATGTCTGCTCAGCTAGTCCCCATACCCAAGTCACATTTTGCCGTCGTCGTGAAGTCGCCCTGCATTGCAGTCAAGTATCCTGAGCGTGAAACACATGTAAGCATCTCACCAGTCATCCTACATTTTAGTCACGGTCTCTGATCATCTTCGAACAATCTCAGATTCGTCGTTTCCAAATCAAGTTTAGTACTGAGCATGATTATTTCATGGCTTTAGCTCTTCTGGGTGAGATCAACTGCCCATTGATTGAGGGAAATTCGCCTGTTCCCGCCATCCAACGCTTTCCATCAGTGTCATCATGGACATCAGGTTCTCTGTCCTCGATTGTACCGAGGGGGTTTAATCAAGCAACGATGGCCCATGGAAGTAATGGGATGCAGTTCAATACCGGCATGATTGGATCTGGGGGGACAAGTATATACCTGACTCTTTGACTGCCGCTTCACTAGAAAGCTGACATTCTGACCTCGTAGCTCCCATCCGAGCATCATCTCCAGCAAGCACCGTATCATACTCGCTCCCGGGATTCAGCCACCATCCACCCGCTGTCGTCCAGCCTACACTGGCCAAGGGACCGGAAGTTGTGGACCAGCCACCACATGGGCCTACAACCATCCTAGACGCACCAAGCAGTAGTCTGGAGGCTCCAAATTCCCAACTCTCCTCTGTCTCTGCAATACATGATATGGACCAGTTGAACCAGATGCTGCCGCCCAAAAGGGACCTCCCCTTTTCAAAGCCGGCGGCAAAAAGGGCTAGGACTGCCAATGCAGCTCGAACCACACAGGCAAAGCAAAAAAAGAGTCCATTCAACGAGCCTCACCCACCAAATCCCAGTGATACTCCAAAGCATAAGCCGGTGGATACAACCAAAGGCCTTTATATCGGCCCTGGTGCTTCAGAAACTCAATCTCAAAATCCATCCCAATCGGATTCTTGTCATCCAATGAGTCAACCGCAGATGGTCAATGACGAACCTCCTATGTCATCCCAAATGCCTCCCACCGAAGGAATAGTTGACCACATGCCCCAGGTATCCACAGGTCACCAACTTCTGCCTATGCAGCGTCACACCAGTATTCCAAACACGCCCAGCCAGCCGAATAAGCAAGAACAAGAGCCGGGACCACGTGCAGTTCCAGCTGTGATGGCTGACCAGCTCACAGAGTATCTGGCTCATCCAACCCCTGAGCGAATTGCTTTCCTTGAAAATTGGATGTGTGAGTTGATTGAAGACGACGGTTTTATGACTCTGTGTCAAGATGTGGAAGGAACGTGGAGGCGTTTCGCCTTCGGGCGGAACCAATAAATCTTACTATGCAAGCCATAAGGGCACGGTCGTACCTCCCTATTCGGCGCCAGTTCAGCGGGTTACTTTATATTTTATTGCCGGCCCTATCCTGTCAGAGATTATTGATACCTATATTCTTACTTTGAACGATATCAAATATGCATCCAAAGATATATGGACAGCTAAACTCCATGGATGAGATTCGACAAGTGCGCTGAAAACTCCCCATCAAACATTGGAAGCCCTGGTTGTGCTTTACAATCGAGAGGGGACAGGAACCAGCCGATATAATACATGATACAATTTTTATACTATACTATCTGAGCATCGGAAATCGGAAAGCATGATATGGGGATGAAAAGCTCTAAAGACACCGGATAAGAAGAAGAAAAAAATAGCAAAAGAGTTGAAAAGCCGAGCAGAGAAAGAAGATCCGATTCAACGGGCCCGTCGATAGATCAAACCCGAGAACACGTTCAAGTAGCCCTCCTTGGTGAGCATAGTAAAGTCTACAACAACACGACCAGACCCGTTCTGCGAGTGAGCTAGTTGTGGATTAAGGTTTGGCGACGCTTCGCCGTGCTCATGGGAAAGTCCCGGCGGAGGTGTAGACGCATTCTGACCAACAGATCCCTCGGCACCGACAGCAAGATCGGCGAGATGCTGGAGCGAGCGCTGTTCATTGGGACCCATGACAGGTTGTTGGGACTTGGCGAGGACGCCGATATCTGCTTCCTGGAGCTGGCTTTCCTGGGACTTGATTCGGCGCCACTCGATGAAGATGCGAATTTTCGCATCCCATTCTGGTGTGCTGAAAATATTGTCAAATTCGGCGCCTTCGGTGGCGCGCTTGGAGCGGACATCGAGAATTTTCTCGACCTTTTCTAGGGCAGCCCAGCATTCGTTTGCGTACTCGGGGAGAACAGTAGCCTCAAGAAGGGTCATAGAGGCGAGTGCTAGACTGTGAAGATCGAAGGGCGAGGGAAGCCGGTTTTGGAGAGTGGACTTGTGCATCTCGTTGATAACTTCTTGTGCGCAGAAGATGATCTCGTATGGGCTGTAGACAAAGACATGTCGTTTGATCAGAAGCCGGACAGTCCAGTAGAGCTGGGATTGGAGGCTCTCGTAGAGTGGACGGGTTGAAGTGTTCTCTGGTAGCTCATGGATCTGGAAGATGTCTTCCATTTCTGCTAAACGCTCAAGTGAAGATACCAGATTAGCTCCAATTATGCGCCCAAGCCCTGTGTTAGTTTGGCAAACATTGTGGTCAACATTGGCCAACGTTACCATCTCCGAGAGGAATGTCGAGTATGCTATTGAAACAGTCAGCAGAGTATAAAACCGAGAAATCGGAGGTATGACATACAAGCGATTCCGGTTGTGATTTGACCGACGACTCGTTCGTCTTCGCGGCCACCGATCTCATGACCTCCCAGAACAGTGGCATCCGCTACACTAATAGCGTACCACCGAGCCAAGATGATCAAAGAAACCCAGTTGCGACGAGTAAGGTTTGCGTCCGAGTCCACGTCAGGATCAGCGGTGCGTTTGTTCTTGAGCTGTCCTTGGTTCTTGGCCAAGTCGTATCCCAGCTTGTTGGCTGCTTGAACCAAGCTTTCCTTAGGAACACCGTCCTTGAGGACGAAGTTGTCTGGTCCGCGAGTGTCACAGTCAACAATCATAAGCAGCAGAGACTGAAGCCAGATCAAGTTGACGGCAGTCGAGGTCACGATCAATGGTTGGCGAGTGTGGAAGAGCAAGAGGTCTTGAGCATTGTCGAAGCTGCTGATCTTCTCGAAATTGCCAGCAACACGAGTGAGGTCGGTGCGAGTGACGCTGTACAAGGCGTAACAGAAAATCTCTTGGGCTTCACGGTTACATTGATGCAAAAGCTCCAGTGTTCGCTCCTTGGTATGAGGCAAGATGGGCAGCAAGGTGTGGATTTTGTGATAGTATCTGGGACAAAAATGTTAGATCGGTATGCGACGGCCACTGAGTTCACATTGCACTTACGCATCAAGAGCACCCTCATCCAGGGTCACTGGTGTCATGTCATCGTCGCCATCATGCTTCGGCAAATCGGTCATCTCAAGACCACTTGGCAGATCGTTCTCGTTGCCTGTGAGATTCCAGAACAAGTTCCCAGGCTTCGCTGCAGTGCCGCTAGCCACAGAGGGATTGTACGGGTCCGCCGCTGTCTCGTTCGTGTCAAATGCATTCTGAGAAACTCGAGCGTTGAAGGATGGCTGGGCAAACGAAGAGCTGGGGAGTCCCTCGAAAGCCGAGAATGTCCTCTTGCGATTTCCAGGGTTTGACTCGACCGGCGACGCGAAATCCTGGTATCCTCTCGGGAGTGATACTTCGTTCATCGACTGGTACGGCACGTCGGGTTGAGCAATTCCGGGCTGCATCTGGTTCTCCAAGGTGTGGAGTCGCTCGGCAAGCTCTTTGATATATCTTTGTACTGGTTAGCAGGCGCGATTATCAAACAGGCGCATCGGTCGGGCTTACCCTTTGCTGGGTCCTCGTTTCATTGGAACGCGACTGAATTGACACACGGCACCCAGACGCTGACAATTGGAACATGTCTCGAGGCCAGTCTCAGAGCTAGCATCGCATCGAACCTGTCAAAACAAAACGCGTGTCAGATCTGGCGGCTTTTGGTCGCGTTGTTGGGAGGACATACCTTCTTTCGCCGACACTCGTCGCACGCCCTTGAAATCTTGGATCGCTTGCGCGCGCTTTGTTCGCCATAGCTCAAGTCATGGTTCGGGTCCACGCCTACTTGTTGACTCGGGGGGAACTGCAACATATGCTGGTGTTGGTGTTGATCGTCCGAGGACGTACGGCCCATGTCACCAGCATTGTTCGAGCCCAGGACCATGGGCTGGCCATGATGAACACCATTGTTTGATTCACCTAGGCCGGGGTTGGAAGCTTCGCGCGACAGCTCGGCGGACAGCAATTCGTCGGTGGTCATTTGACGGTTGCTGTAGTACGGCATGGCGCCTTGGGCCATCTGCGCGCCGTTTGGGGAGGGATAAGAAGGCGCCGGAGGCATGTCAGATTGCTCGCGGGAGTTCATCGCGCGATTTAAAGGCGAAAAACACACGAAAAATGATAGGTTGGGAGGGAAGCGGGCTTCCGGGAGATGGGGGAAGAAAGTGTAGGACGCGAGGTGACAGAAGTGAAGTTTTAGGAAAACTGCGCGGGGGCAATTTTCAAGGGGTCTAGCGCGGAGAGCGCCGCATTGAGCAACAACATGTTGACAGGAAATTCATTCATTAGGGATCCTATCTTTTGAAGCTATACACTGTTGTTTACTATCAGTCTTTTTTTGGATGATCCCACGGAGGACGGCCTTTCGTTTCTGCGCGTCGAACGGATTAATACTATTTCCTCCTCGGACCGGATGAACTACAGATCCAACGGTCTGTACTTGGTTGGCCTTTTCGTCCATTCTCGACAGTTCGATGCGACTTTTTTCCCCCTTCTGGTCTTTGTTTGGTGAAATCTGGTGGTGATTATTGAGGTAGAATGAGTAGAATGAGTGGCAAACTGCGATCGCCCCAATCACTACGATGTGCCTCCATTTGGAAGTACAGAACAACACAAACTTGGTGCCAGAGACCCATATCTCTTCTCACGCACTAATTGAGACTCATTCTTTCGCGGGATTATTAGCAAACGCTCGAGAATTACTTAAACGCCTTGGTGTTTCTCAACCCAGAGCCCCAAACGCTGTAATCACCGAATCAAAGGAAAGACTTCAATGTAGAACCGAGCCACTCGAGCAACATTCCATTCGTTAAATCGAGACCTGGATGCCATGTTCATTTGGAACGTTCGTTCGCGTCCAGTTGGTATCGAAAAGCACAAGCAAATTTCTTGAGGTGCTCCTAGTCTTACCCCGCTCACTTGAGGATTTAGAATGATCCCCTACGTTGCTAGAGCTTCTTGGTCAACCGAGATTGTCCCTGCCTATAGAGCTCAAATATTGCAGCTATATAATTTTAACAGCACTGCGCGAATCCTCGAAGTAATTTGTCTAGAGGCACGCTAGAGCATTGGGCAGTTCACATGATCTGAGCAAGTGCACCTAAGGTTGATAGCTGCTGAATGGGCAGTGTCTTTGATCGTCGTCCACTCGGACTCAAATATGCACACTCACACGTCACTCTAGGTGGGCAGTTGAATACTAATGAGCTCACCGAGTTGGTGGACTACACTTTAGATTAATTCTACCGAAAACCTTCGGTCATCTTCCAAGGCATTATAGAAATCGGCATAGCTCCGGCGTCATTTGAAACCCGGCGTTGCCGTCAACGCTCGGAGGCAGTAAAGGTCAGCATACTGACATGATTGGTTGGGTACCGGGAATATCAACTTAGTCGCGTCCTACAAGACCCGAGGAATGATCAGGTGAATCTTACGCATGCGCCACGTGTGTATAGCCTGGAATCGATCGGCAACTGGCAGGTATTGGGGCAAATTCTATCTGAACAACAGATGACGGAGCACAGGTTGACGTAGAGACATGCTTAGAGTCAACCGCGAGATAGGCAAGTGACAGATGATGGGCGAAATGATGAGCGGACGAAGCTTTCGACTCTCTAAGGTTAGGACTAATTTGTGAGGAACCATGGTTCAAGGATGTGTCTAACATGAGCCTCCCCGGACGTCTAGGACCGCGTGCGACCAAGAATACTGAAAGGGAGAATGAAGAAGAAAATTGAAAAGATATTCCTGGCATATGACAACGTGTCGAAGGGGTCCAATCGTACTTCGAAAGTGATGAGCCCTCTGTCCGGTGCGCACTGGACCACTGCTCGTGGCAACCAATTAGTACACTACCACATATTATGCCGGTTGTTTAGTCCTATGGGAAGGGAATTGCTTCCAAAATTTCTCCGATCAGAGGCTCAAGTCATGTTGTCGAGATGTCGAGCAGATTTTTTAGATTTCGAAGGCTCCTAGGCTAGGAAATCGAGTCTGTACCAGGGAGAATAATTTGCATGCTAATAATAGGGGTGGTTCACATCAACACATCAAACACACTGACGACACTGACGACACTGACGCACGATGTCCAACAAGAGGCTGGGGCCCGCATTGAATGAGAGTTGAAACACCAGAATCGACGTTGTGAGGGTGAAGCCCGAGGCTTGACGTAAGATCGGAAGGTGCGCTAAGTGCGGGAAACATGCCACCGATCGCAAGAAAGATGTTTACACCCGATGTGATATGAAGCGCGCTTACGACCTATCGGGAGAAGATTTCCTGACAATCATCAATAGAGAGTCCAAGGCAGAACGGGGCTCTGTTTAATGGATTCTTCGCAAACCGGATTTCACGATATCTGAGCACACTCTCGAATTTGTAGCAATTACGGAGAGACAGCGAGCGAGCCTTCGGAATAAAGTCCTATATTTGTAGATTATCATGCTAGCATAACTGCGCTCGACTCCATAAAAGGCACCTTTACTCCGTACTCTGGTCGGGTTTACATACCCAAAACTCCAATACGGTTCTGTAACCGGAGGGCATACCCACATCGGCCACTATTGGCGGAAATTGGGTCGATCAGGGCCCGCCAGCCGGCCCCAAAAGCCTCTGCAGGCCGCCTGAAGCAGGAACACTGACGACATCGGTCCGCTTTGGCCGCGCTGGCTATGACTTGCATGTATTGTACTGCATTGTAACCTCGACTTGCTCCGTACGTGGGATCTTTCTACTGGTTTCGCCGGGCTCTGAATTTTGAGGCCCATCTTATCAAGTCCCAGTCGCAAATGGCCCGCTTTCGCCAACTGTCAATGAAAGCAGAAAAAACCTTCCAAGGTTTGACAGGGATTATGGAAAGTTCGATCTATGTACCTGGATCGAACTTGAACCCCTGGAAGAAAGAAAAATTTGCAAAATTACATCTTTTTCAGCCCCAGTGACAAGGATGTTGCACGTACAAAGGGTTACAATTATTTACTCCCTACCCACGAATCGTGAATTAGAATGTCGAGGTTGGGGTGTGCGGCCCCAGATTTCGCTAGCGAGATCCATCAGTAGTGGGGAGTTCGTGTGGTTAGGCGCTAAAACTCGTACCAGTAATGGCCGACATTCTATCTTCCCAAACCAATTCTTCCAAGGTTCTGGATGTGTCTGTGTTTGTTTCTATGAGATAATGAGTGTAGGAGAATGGCTTGGAAAGGTCCACGGGTATTCTCATTGCCACCACCATTACGATATACGTATTGGTATGGTTGGGGTTGTCAGGGCATTAAAAAAAAAGTCAAAGTTAAAATTGGAAAACTACCAGAAGTGGTTTCAACCAACATAAGGGCGATTTATGTTATCTAATTATCTTCGGTCTCTAACGATGGTGCGAAAGCAAAACCCTAAGTATAGTTTCTGTGGGACCTGTGGAGTCCAAATACTAGATCAAGGGGGGCCAAGATGGAGAGTTGCACACATACTGAATGTGAAGACAGTAGAGGTGGTAGTGACTGGTTACGGAGTGGCCTGAATAGAGAGAGACATAAGCCGGAATAGAAGGTAGCTAGGGATTCAAAGACAATGCGAATTGGAGTTGGGGTATAGGTAAGGATGAATCAGTGTGTAATCTACGTATAATTGGTGTAATATGACAATACAAGGCAGCGGTACCTGTACCCAGGTACCGGTACGGAGGACTAGAAGGACCACAGACGCAGCGAAAATCCTCGTTCGGATACCCCGTTATTAACGGCCGATGCCCGCCTTCCTTCCTCTCCTCTTTTTCCCTCCCCATATGGTGTCCCAACGGCTCCTCTCCTAGAACGCTTTTCTCTTGGCCGCCACTACCGGTACTTGGTGTCCTGTCTAACGGCCGGCGCCAAACGGTGCGTAGGCTTGGTCCCCCTCTTTCTGTTACTCTCCGAACCCTGACCCTCCGACCTCGCGCCTGATACCCTTTGGATTTTTTATTTTTCGTTAATTCGAGAGCTACTCAGCATTGTCAATTGCTGAGTGCTCAACTGGATCTCCCTGTCGCATTGGGACCTTCGACTATACAATTATACCCTTTTTGTTTTCTATACGGACCTCTTTGAGGCCAAATCGCCTTGACGGCTTGATATCCCTTCGGTCTCTCCGACCGATCTGTTTTCTATACTTCGAATACCCAGTTATTGCCCGCGAATCGTCGCATGTGTACTCTTCAGTAACACCGCAGTGATGCTCGTCGATGGTGAAAAGTGGGCTTGTGAAGCTTGCGTCCGGGGTCATCGGGTTAGCAGCTGTCACCATAGTGGTTTGTCGATCGTGGAGAGGTGCACCAACGTCAATGCTAATTCCTTCCAGACCGCCCCTTGACTCATATTAACAAAAAAGGCCGTCCAGTCTCTCAATGTACACACTGCCGCGGCCTGCGCAAGTCTCGGACAACCCACACAAAGTGTGATTGCGGCGACAAGAAGAAGAAGGATGACTGCCATATCACCGACATCCACAACCGCTGTGGCTGTTGTCATGGCCAGCGCTGCACCTGTGCGCTCAAAAAGGAACACCATCTCGATACTGTACCTGAAACCGGTCTTCCCTTCCCTCCACCGCTTCCAACTGAAACCGCGCGGAAACCTCCTCTTACGTCTACCAAGTCGGAATCGACCCTGACGATCTTCCGCGACGGTCACCATAAACCCGCCCATAAACATAATGATATGGCCCACAAATGTGGATTACCTTACACGATCCCACGGTCACATACTATCCACCACCCTCATGACATACCCCGTCGATCCGTGGACCACTTGCCGCTCGGCCAGTCGGCCTTTATAAAGGAACCTCTTGCTCTGTCAGAACACCCGAGCTCTCAACAGCTGTCGCAGAAGGGTTCTCCCAACAGTGCCCCTGCGTCGGGCACAGAGGACGATGTCAATGCCGCTCCTCTGGATCAGTCATATATCGACCAATTCGCCACACCTACTCGCCGACACTCCTCATTAGACCGGTCCCAGGATGGGACAGTCAATCCAACTTCTGCCCCCTCCACTATGGACAAATACCCACTGGAGCATATCGTCACTAGTGTTCCCCCTCTTGACGTTTCCTCCTTCTCCTCCTTCCCCACCACCAGCACCAATTCCCCGGCTACCTGCATGGCATTCCAAGATCCCTACCAAGAATGCTATTTCACGTCTCCAGATTCCGATTTGCCTCTGGGATCCGCGGGCATTGGTGCACCCTCGGTCGACTGGTCGAGTTTCCCTCTATACTCCGACGTGCCCGCTGCCACCAGCACACAAGCCCCCTCATACGCTAGCTTCGATTACAACGGGTACCCCTCTGGCCTCCCACCGCCATCTTCCTCCGGCGAAATCTCCGAGGCCGACGAGTTCGGACCGCTCCCGGGATTGGGTCATCATGGCAATGACATGCACGATCTGCACAGCGTGAGCGAAGCGTCGGACATGGACCACCTCCGCGCCAGCTCCGCCTCATCATTGGTCGGCCTTCCCCAGACGCGACTCCTCTCATCCAATGACCTGGACTCGATCAACATTGACGACTTCTTGAAGTCTGCCAACGAGTCCACTGCTGCGCTCGAGCACCAGCTGCAGGCCAGTATTGGCATGGAGACCAAACCGGTTCCCGCGCATGATATTTTCTCCATGCCGCAGGCGCCCGAGTACAAACCAATGACGTCTGGTCCGATGACCAGCATCCCCTCGCCGCCGGACTCGGTTCCCATCTGGACGGGAGGTATCTTCGATGCTGGATCCACCCCGCCCATGGATGACCAGTTCTTCCAACAGTCCTGGGCTCAGTAAAAGTTGGTGGTGCCGTTGCTTTTCTTTCCTCTTTCCTTGAATTCTCTTCCTATCCTTCCTTTACCTCCGGGGCTTGCTGTCTTGCGGCAATTCACCACCACCTCCACACCGTCTTCATGACCCTGATGAGAGATGATGATAAATGCCTGATTTGTCCTGTTTCATTAGCCAATCTAGATTCCTTCCTTGATAGTCATTCAATCTAGAGGGGTTTGCAATTTGGACTTCTTTTTTACACCTGTACATTCTTTCTTCCTCTTCCGTACAACCCTGTTTGCTTTGTTCCATCGTTGTCGCACAGAATGCTTATAGAGGTCTCTGTTGATTTTCTGTCCCCCTTGTACAAAGAACCCGGGCGATACCTCCCAATTCCATCGCATCCCCCACCAGGACAGGGCAAAGCACCTCAACCTGCAACCTGCTCCGAACTCGAGATTTGCCTCTATGAAGGGGTGCTTATGAAGATCCCGAAACATCAATATGCACATACAGAACACAACCATTTGCATTATACATACCCAACCTTGGAATTTCAAGGTCAATGAGATCACACCATTTGCCTATGAAAGGAGTCCGTAACCTTCATACAAGTATTCCGTACCAGCTATGGATTCTGTCCACTCCACAGCGCTAGTAATAATAGTGGACCAATTACCGAACGCGATTGTGGATGAGGTTGACGACAAACCGAATGTAGCGGTGAGAAGACCGAGCTATGCCTCCGACAAAGTCAACGCGGCAATCAGCTCCGCTGGGCAGACCGACTTTGCTTGCTTTATGTTATGCATATTCTAAGGCTTTCAGCCCTGGAGTTTCAGATGGATATTCTATCTGCATGTCTGATGTTAAAAACCTTGGAAGGTTGGAAACCTACCCCCATGCGCTTGCGAGACATACGGGACTGGTCGATATAAACTCAAAAGGTCATTACTGACCAGGATCAATAAACGCACTATGTAGAACGGAGGAACGAGCAGTTTGAATACGTTGTCTCAAATGTCAAAGATAATTAGCAACTCTGAGATCCACTTCAGCTGTTCATGTAGCTCCATTTGTATGTACCACACCAACCAAGCTACCCAAGTAGGTATCCCGACGTAGCTTATATGCGAGGTAACCCCTGCAGCTGATCTTCAATACTCCATGCACAGCTAAGCATTAGCCAAGAGGCGCAAGTCAAGGCTTGTATTGCAAAGCAGACGCAGTATTCGTCCAATGTTGCGGTCTGCGGCGCTACCACTGTACGCTGTACGATTAGTTTTTTTGGTGTGGGCGATCAGAGCGCTCATAAGCACCGACTGTTGGGAATGCCGTGAGTGGCTGGGTCTTTTCATGCGCCTTGCATATACTACATGCGTGGTCATGTGGTCGATAGTCAGGGTTTGAGTACGTCATATACAGTATTCCTCCTTCGGTCTGGAGTCCGGGGTTTGCTGGGAAGATCCGAAGTATTATTGGTTGTATTAGGGTTGTGGCATCTCTTGGGTCATCCTTTGTTCTACTTTCAGATCCTTGTCTATGACCTCGCTGACTCTGCGGCGACTCGATCTTGGAAATACTCACCGCTTCTTCAAATATACTGTGTCACCGGACATGTCAGATTGGAGAACAGTGCGAGATGTGTGGTCATATGTCGAGGGGCCTTCATAAGCAACACATCTTACTCTGTAAAGAGAGTGAAGCTAACAGCTGACCTTGTATCAGGCCGTATGGGCATGTAGACACGGTTTTCTTTTGCTTTTTTTGTGTCAAGCATTGCTCCTGCAAGATTTCCTTGTTTGTACGACTCTCGCCTCCAGGGATGTTAATGGAATTGAAATATTTACTATTTCTCTCCTGATCGTTTGTCTTGCTACAACTCGTTGGACATACCCTTCCAGGGTTTAATATGTAATGATGTAATGAAGCATTGAAATTTTTCATTGAGCATGAGTTAAGCCTCGTAATGTTCCAGATCACAAGGTCACCATCCAAGGATACATTGTATGTATGTTACATGCAGAGCGCTCATATTGAAATCCCAAACCAGTTGCGATTCTGATATAGACCTCAGATTCAGGGACCGGCACTGATACAAGAGTATACAAAGATCATCAGTGGCCCTCTAAGTCTTTTTGTTATAACCACTCGACCAGCGAGTGCCTAAGTAACATATATCCCAAGATCAAGCCCTGCGATAAAGCAACGAGCCAAATCCAAGGCCGTCAAATCCACCTGAATTAGGACCGTAGTTTCCACCCCCGCCTTCAACACCGTTTGTGGAGTTCCCATTAACCCAGTCGCGGTAAGAATCCGTCCAGTAAGAGTCGAGACCCTTCACCTGGCCATAATGCGCAGAGAGTAGCTCGAATCCAGGTCGAACAACCCCACGCGAGTTGTTCGAGATGACAGATTGGGGACCCTGATAACTTTCATATAGAGTGTATGGCACATCGTAGCCGACGTTGTATTTAGCAGCATATTCAGCTCTGGTACACGTTGTAAGTATGAACAGAAAACTAAGTACGGGGGATGAACTTACGCGTTGAGAATCTCATTGCCGTACTCAGCAAATAGGTCATCACCTTGATTATACGCCTGCTGCGCCACGATACCGAAAAGCACCATATCCAACGTGGAATGGCCCTGATCCCGACCGGCTTCCTGACCCTGCGTCAAGACCTTATTGGATCCAGACTCCGTGTGATTGGCAATAGCAAAGACGGGAAGAGCACCGTTCGACGGACCCGTGCGAACCCAGCTCAACGCATAGTCGTACATCGTCTGGTTATCAGTGAAGATACCAATAGCGAGAAGCGAAGCAAGATTACACAAGTCCCAATTGGCGTAGTAATGGTAGTAATCTTGACCATTGTGTTCTTCCATGAAACGCGTGTTCATCGCCCCGAAGACATCTGTCAACATTTTTCCCGTGGCGGTCTTTTTGCTACTATCCCAACCGGTGTAGTCTGACATGAGCTCGGCGGCATTGGCCATTTGGTAGCCGTATAGACCAGATGCCAGGTACTTGTCACTGGTTCCTTCGATGGCGACTAGAGATGCAGCCCATGCGTTTAGGATGTTGATTGCGGCATCGGCGTAGCTTGTGTCGTTTGTGATGCGCCAGCGTATGGCGAGCTGGTAGGCTGCTGCAGTGTCTCTGTACAAGGATGGGTAGTTTTCACTGTCTACACCATTGTATCCTCTGTAAACAGTCTCTTTCGGGGTAGGCTGATAGGATGATTGGGCGTAGGTGCTGGCAGATAGAAGTGTCCATGTCGTGTTGTGTGGTTCGACCTGGTTCGCGAGATAGGTGTTGATGCGCGTGAAATCCCGCGCCGTGTGAAGTGCCCCTGGGTGAACGAAGGCTGCCGAAGACACCGAGAAAGCGAGAAGGGACAGTATGTTGCGCATGATAGTCAAGATATATGGGTGACCGGCACCTGGTCAATGGAGATAATCAATTATGGCTTAAAGGCGGCGCCTAGGGAGCACATCGCACATTCCTTAAATGAACATGCTTTGGTTAGCTTGAAACACGCATATTGCAGCCAAGCTTTTCAACACCAGCCTACCGAGTATAGGTAACTACCGAAATCCGCAAGTGATCGGCATGTCATATTGCTGTGGAGTAGTAGCACGTTTCACGTTGAAAAAGGGGCGGGCCGGGGTCCATTGTCTACTCGGTTAGAAGAGCCAAGTCAGCGAGGCCGGGTAAATGCCTCTGTGATATTGAAGTGGTCCATTTTTATTTGCCATAAACGGCTTTGACGTTGGTGGAGTTACCCTCAAGGCAAAATTGTGGATTTGGCTCTATATAAAGGACACCCGAAAGATGAAGCTCCTATGCAAAACACAAAGAAATCATGCAGGTTTTTTGAAGTATGTGAAGCAGATCCAGGACAGAAATGAAATGTCAAAATGCAGTAGATGGGATGAACAAAAGTATAATTGTCAAGGACGAGTCCAAAAATAGAGTCAGTAGTCTATAAGGTATCGAGAACGAGCCGAAATCCACTTCAAGATCAAACAGAGTAAATGTTATCTAGCCCACAAATCTTCGCTTTCAACAATGGCGATGGCTGTGCGGTTCATTTATTCGTATAATTGTTGTTTTCATGTTTGTACAAGTTTAGCGGTACTTGTTCATGAACTCGGAGTGGAACTTGACGATGCGCTCGACCCAGTCGGTACCAGGGGCGAGGAAAGTAGTGCGGAAGTGGAGAGTGCCTTCCTTCTGACCGAATCCTGAGCCAGGAACAACACACACACCAGTGGCGTCAAGGAGAGCCAGGGAGTAGAACTCGTCCGCGGCGCGGCCCTCTGCCTTGGCAGCTTCGATGGCCTTGGCGGGGAGGTTGATGGTGGGGAAAAGGTACATGGCACCCTGGACACAGTTAGTACGAGATCATAAGTTCCGAAATTCAGGGGTTCCATACCTGGGGCTCCTGGACTTCAACGCCTTCCATGCGCTGGAAAGCGTTGAAGAGGGCGAGAGCACGCTTGTGCAGACCCTCGGAGATACCGTTGTACTCCTGGTTGTACAGCTCGAAGCTAGGCTCGCCCTTGAGGGGAGGGTTGACCATGCACTCGAGCAGGCACTGTGCGACGACCGGCGGGCACAGACCAATGCTGACCAGCTTGTAGATCTGCTCCTGAACAAGGGGATCGAAGCCAACAAGCTCGAAGTATCCACCACGGTGGCCACACTCGCCGACCATACCCTTGGAGATACTGTGCAGCGAGACCAGCTCGACATCATCGTACTTGCCGGGCTGCTCCTTCTGGAGCTGGCGCAGGCGCTTCTTGAAAGAGACGAACTCGCCCTTGAAGACGTTGGTCTGGTAGACCTCGTCGGCAATGACAATCAAGCTCTCCTCGGCAGCGACATCAAGAACCTTCTTGATGTCGTCCGCGCTCAGAGAGGCTCCAGTGGGGTTACCGGGGTTGATCACGACAACGGCGCGCACATCGGTACCGGCGGTCTTGGCATCCTCAATAGACTTGAGGATAGCGTTGACGTCGGTACCCCAGGCCTTCTCCTCCTCGAGGAGATAAGGCACGCAGCGAGCGTTCAGCAGCGCCAGAGTCGCGGTGTACAGAGGGTATTGGGGGATGGGGACCAGAACGCCAGCATTCGGGTTGTTGCAGATGACGTTGAGGAGGGTGCTGACACCGGAGGAGGCACCGGCAGTCAGGAAGAGGTCCTGGGGGTTGGCAGAGAAGCCATCACGGTTCTCGATGAACTTCGCAACGCTGTTGCGGATACCCGGGGCACCCTGACTGTGACTGTAGGCACCAACGCTCTGCACATTGGCCAGGAGGGTCTGAGCGCGGTCGATAACGTCCTGCTTGTATCCGAACGAGGTCTTGAGGACCTCGGGGTTCTCCAGCAGCAGGGGGTTCTCAACTAGACTGAGGACCTGGCGGAAGAAGGTGATGGGCTTCTGGTCGAGTTGTTGCGGGTTACCGATGTTGGCGAAGATGACACTCTCGAAGGGCAGGGACTTATCGCCATCAGCCAAGCGCTGGCGGTAGTCCTCGGCCTTGACGGCAATTTCTCCGCGCACGGCGTACTTGGCCTCCCGGACATTCTGGTTGATGTTATCGAGGTTCAGGCACTTGTGAGTCTGGTACGCCGACAGGGTGCGCTTGGCGGTGTAGGAAACAGTGGTCTGAGACATGATGGGCTCTGAATTAACCCGAGGGACGTTAGTGAGGTTCAGAATAAAAGTACTAAAGTATTGGGTTCCCCAGAAATTGGGTGGATCAAATATTTGTGGCGGTTGAGATAACAACCAAAAATGGGGAGATTTGAGAGAGGCACACAATCAATCAGACCACACAATGACGTGAGATCCCAAACGCTGAGCGAGTGCGGAGTACTCAATCTATATAAAGCCGGGGTGATAGTACGTACCTGACCAAGCGGAGAGACTCCCCGCAGCGCCGCGGGCGGCCGGGCGATATAGGAGACCATTCGGCCGGGTCAGTGCCCGTAGCGGAGACGCCCGCGCGCTGGAAGCGAGCTTGAATTGCCAGGACATTTTTGGTGAATGGTCAATCGAAGATCAGATTGATCAATAAAAGTCCCTCAGACTCGAACCCCTGTGTGATTGTCCGTTTCGCAACCGGAAGAAGAAAGAAAAAAACCCTAGGCCTTGGCCATTGGGGCGGTGAGGGCAGTGAGTCAGCATTCTTCCCCACACCGAGGGCCGATTACGATAAGGATGTTCACTTATTTACTTATCAGGGGCTACAGCGCATATTGCGTCTCTCTACTTCAGGGCTTCGGTGAGTTCGGCTTTTCTCCCGATGATAGGAGTCATCTACATCTATATGTAAGATGCTGTACAATCTGACTGTGCATGATAACCGGCATCAGTGGCCGATCAATTTCCCTCGGAAAGGTTGTCGGTTGCCCGATTCGTCACTGTCCGGCGGTACCCGATGCGGGGGCCTGAGGATCGACTTTTAGTCAAGGGTCTAGGCATTAGTCAAGTGATGGATAGTCTCAGGTGATACTGTCCTATTGCGCGAGTTCTGATAGGTAATAGAAACACGCGGCACGTAATATTCTCCATTCAGACATACATAGTTGGTCATGGTTTGTAGTTCTAAGGCTCAGAGTTGTCCCCGTGTCCATACTCGTTGATGTACCATCTCTAACTGCGCTCACTTCCACGAAGACGCACAGCTTGTCCATACTTCTGGATCTTGGTGATCAGAGAATCACCGTGCTTAACCACATCGGCATACTGCTTGTTCTTGTCATCGGGACGATTCGTCTCAATGATACCGTTGACGCGGTCGATAGTGCAGGCAATACGGTTGTTGGAAATGAATTTGGCAAGGTCACTGTGAAAATGTTAGCATCCATATGAGATTCTAAGGGTGAAAAAAAAAGCACATACCGGTCCAAGTAGTCTACCGTCACACCGAAGTCATTGGCCATGCCAGTGAGTCCAACAACGCGGTAACTCTGCAGAAGTTGCTGATAAGCGCGAAGGCGCATCTCGCGAACAAACCATGCCCGGTGTTCGTAAAGGTATCGGTCTTGTGTGAGGAATTGGTCTTCAACAGCGGCAAGTGCCACAAAGAATGATCGGTAATTGCCATTGTAAAGACTGTTAACCAAGTTTGCCAGTGGTGAGAAGTCGACTGGGACCTCGGCATCTACTGGCGCACTAGATCCGGTGGAGAACGAAGTCAAGTTAACAGCGGTAGTAGCACCACCAGCGGGGGTGGACTGAGACGCTGTCGCATCCTTCATCTCCTCGTCCCGAGCACCGGCGCCAGCCGAGATCTCTCCACTCAGGGCAGCCAGTTGTTCTTCTCCAGATCCAAGAATGGCCTTGATCTCTGGTGCATCAACCACCTTAGCCTTGAAGTCCACACGCTTCAGGGACAATGATCCCGCAAGAACCGAGTAGATCACCAACGAAGAGTAACTGCACAGTTCGTAGCTTGTGAATGTAGACAGACTGTCAAGGAGGAGAGGAGCAGCGAGGCTGTAAGCGCGGATGGTGAGGAGGTGCAGTCCCTTGTATGCCTTGAGACGGTTTCTGCGGTCCCAGTCTCCACCGCTCTCGACCAAAGTCTCTGCCCGTTCGATAGTCTTCTTCACAAACAAAAGGTCGCCGAAGAAAAGACCGATTCGAAGCATCGCCATGACCAGATCAATCTTGGTTCCCAGGAAACCGGTCTTTTCCAGGAGAGCTTCGTGCGATTCAATGGCTTTGTCCTATTGAGGCAATATGATTAGACTTGGATATATGGGCCAAAAGAGGTCAATCATTCTCACCTTGTCTCCCACACGAGCCCAGAACTCGGCGCGCTTCCCGCGCGCAGCTTGTACCTCGGTCTCACCAGCAGCCTCCTCTGCCTCATCCTCCTCTTTCTGGAAGGTCTCCAGCTCCTTCTTGTTATCTTCGACTAGAGACTGGTAAAGCTTCTCATCCCATGGGAAATCAAACTTTTGCGGTGTTTTGCGAGAGGCGAGGATGTTGGAGGTGATGAGAGGCTTCGTTGAAGTTCCGCTGTTTTGCGGGTGCTGTGTGACGCCTTCGCCGGCGTTGTTCAGGATACCCTCGGTAGGGTGGGCCAGGTGCCGGTAGAGAGGCGCCATCTTGTGCTCGGAGATAACATCTTGGAGCTTCTTCAATGATGTCTGCTGGACGGATGACGCGCACGCCGGGTTGGAGAGGTTGAAGACATGTTGGGCGAGGGAGAGGTTAGGGAACTTGATGTACTGCGGATCAGACCCCATGATGACAGCTGAATACCAGATATGCTGAATGGACTGCCAGACAAAAGCAAGATTCGATAGAACAGGGAGATGATGGTAGCTGGTGTTTGGGGATGATCAATCAAGCCAGGTGCATCACCGTAGCCGTCTCTTTCACCGCCCAGCGAGGAAGCTCAGCTGGCATAATGTTTCTCCGGCCCGAAGTGAGCTAGCTATATTGCCATTTCTCGGCAACTGGTGTACATACTCCAGAGTACACAGTTTCTTGACAGATGACTTCCAAAGAAAGACTGCAGTTACCAGTCCGAAAACGGGTCTTCTCCAATGCTTTGCCAAAAGCTCGAACTCTTCAGCAAATTAATCTTCTATAACAGCCGATGCCTTGACTTACCTAGCCCTAGGTGCACGAAGACACCTGGGCAGAATCAATTGTGGATTTGATACGGTTGGCCTGTAGGGTCTTTTGCTACCAATTTACAGAACAAGATGGGTTTCAATATATCCCGAAGGTCACTATGGACCGGAGACAGCACTGTAACCTTGGAACGAGACTCGTTGAGAAAATATTTCGAACCTTTTGCTCTTCCCATGGGTTCAAGCTCAAATTCTCGAACCTTTTGAGCGGTCGCGTTTATCACTGGAGGATTCGACTGCCTAACAAACTTGAATACTTATCAATGATGCCTGTCAAGCTCACTACGCAGTGGGTTTACATGGTGCTTTGCCCAGGTGTACGGAGTAGCTTAGTAAAAACAAGATGGATCCATCACCGTGCGTCGCGAGAAGATTTCGCTGGTTACACATGTCATCGATGTATGTCGCGTACTTTCAGCCTTAGAAGCCATTCATATTGGCCCCTCGTTGACCCCGGGGGCTAAAGCGTTGTGTTGAGTTTGTCATTACTCCGAACACTGAGGCTGACCAAGGCCAAGGCCAAGAATACCTGGCCTGAGCGTAGGGCTTATATTCGTAGGGCTGATGAGCTCACATCTTGGAACCTTGGAAGGTACGCGTGTATATGCTCTTTTTAGGAAAATGGGCGCAAGGTTCCATGTTCCAGGTTCCACGAGAAGGTTCGATCCTTCGCGGAAGTGCGCACGTGGCAGCGGGATTAGGATGTCAATCCTCCTTTCTTTTGACTCCGTAGATTAACCACGGGCATCAACATCGCTCTGGAATTAGACTCCGATACCCGTTTTCCACCACTGCTGCCCTTTAATCGGGATGCCGCTGGTCTGTCATACTCCGCACTCGTGGACGCATTGGGAGCTCGGGGTGGCCGAGTTTGAATGCAACGTAGTTTCTGCAACACCATTGGCCGGCAAGTGACCTGCGATATTTCAAGGGTTTTTTATTGGTTCACGCAAGTTAAGAGGCCGGTCATGAAGCTAAACTGATAGCTCGGGGGCCGGGTCCCACCAGGTTCCGTTACCTGGCTAGCCACGGGCCTTTGTACTATATGATAGGTACCTGATACCCCGTTCTACGAGATGCTATCCCCCGAGAGGAAACCGGCTTTAGCGTCACAAGCTTTTTTTTTTTTTTCTCCTTCATTTTTTCTTTCGCTCTCGTTCTGTTCTTTTTCTCTCTAGGCTCCTCTGCTGTTCACTTAATTTCCTTGTCATCTCCTCCGCCTCAAATTCTAGTGCAGTGAACTGCATGTGCGTCTCGTCATTGTGATCGGGTGATACATTAAGTCCCCTCGCGCATTGGCCTCGTCCACATCTCCGATAATCAATTCAATCTGCGGCTCAAAAGTGAGCACACGACCTTGAAAAAGTTCAAGTCTTGCTGATTCCCATCGCCATGGCCGAACCCCAGTATTCCAAGGAAATGTCTGAGAAGGACCAACGCCCCCTCGAGGCTGCCCAGACCGTTGAAATCCACGATCTTGAAAATCCGACCAAGGGTCGCTGGGAGCGCAGCTGGCCCACAATTGCCTGCGGCGCGGGTCTCTTTTCCGATGGCTATCTGAATCAGGTATGTATCTTTAGGTCTCCAGGAAGTCGAGTCCAAAATGCACAAGTACCGAAGTAAATATCACTTTACTGACAAAGCTGAACGCAGATCATTGGCCCTGTCGGCACCATGCTGCAGAAGATCTATGGAGATGCTTACACCAACTCCTCTGCTCAGCAGAACGTCTCTTCCATTGTCTTCGCTGGTACTGTGGTCGGAATGTTGATGTTCGGCTATACCAGTGATCACTGGTCGCGCAAATGGTCTCTGATGATCTCTACTGTGATTCTTTTCGTATTCGCAGCTCTTGGTGCCGGTTCCTATGGTGCCGGTGGAAGCATTGGTGGCATGCTCGCTGCTTTGACTGCTTATCGCTTCTTCCTCGGTATCGGAATTGGTGGTGAGTATCCTGCTGGCTCAGTGGGCGCTGCAGAGAACACCGGAGAACTCAAGGCTGGACACCGCAACCGCTGGTTCATCATGTTCACGAACTTCCAGATCGACTTCGGATTCGTCGTCGCTGCGTTGGTGTCCATGATTCTGGTCCTGATTTTCACCGAGGATCATTTGCGCGCTTGCTGGCGTGTTGCCTTGGGTCTGGGTGTGATCCCTCCGTTGAGTTTGATGTATCTTCGTTTGAAGATGAACGAGCCCGAGGAGTTCAACCGTGAGCGCATGCACAAGTTCCCGATCTGGCTCATCATTAAGTAAGTCCACGCTCTTCTTTTTGTAAAGAGATTGTTTTAACAGCGTTGGCAGGTTCTACTGGAGGCGCTTGGTAAGGTCAATTCTAATTCTGGGTTGTAAGAAGAAACGCTTGGAAATGTCGATCTAACAATCTGTTTAGGCTGTGGTTTCCATCATCTGGTTCCTATACGACTTCTCGGCCTATAGCTTTTCGATCTACTCTTCGGCCTGGTTGAGTATCATCCTAGGCGACAATGCCCCACTGTGGAAAAGCTTTGGCTGGTCCACGGTCGTCAACCTTTTCTACATCCCAGGATCTGCCCTCGGTGCCTTCATGAGTGATTGGATTGGCCCCCGCTATACCCTCGCGCTTGGTGTCGGCCTCCAGGGAATTATTGGCTTTATCATGGCTGGGTGCTACAAGTGGTTGGCGACTCCCGAGAACGTTGCGGGCTTCGTTGTCGTGTTCGGGTAAGATGCCAAAGACAAGATTGTCTGCAAAACTTGATATTAATACACTTTCAGGATCTTCTCTGCTCTTGGTGAGATGGGCCCCGGCGACAACATCGGTCTGTGTGCGGCTAAGACCAGCGCGACTGCCATCCGTGGCCAATACTACTCATACGCTGCCGCGTTCGGCAAAATCGGGGCTTTCGTCGGCACATACGTGATCCCAATTATCCAGAAGAACGCACCCAATGCAGTTCGCAAGGGCCAAGATCCCTTCTGGGTGTCCAGCTCCTTGTGCATTCTCGCAGCCTTCATGGCTATATTTATGCTGCCACAAATCAACCAGGTATGATCCCCTGAAGAGAAGCATTTCGTTGTCAAGCTCAACATTTGTTAGGACACCATCACCCACGAGGACGCCCGGTTCCGCGACTACCTCGAGGCTAATGGCTACGACACCGCAACAATGGGCAACCAAGCCCGCCAGAGCGACACCCGCAACCAAGAGTAACCGCATTACCCGTGATCAGCCCTCTCGCGACACACACTTGCTCACCCATTGGGGCTTTGTGGACCCAAAGGAGAAATTTCCCCCAGCGACCTTAATACCCCATGCGACATTGCGACATCGGTATTCCCAAATCTGCACGAAATGAATAATAAGAAAGCGACCATCAGCCCTGGCGACAACAATTTCCCGAATTGAACCAACCCCTTGCGACATTGTATCTGAAAGTATGAAATCGCGGGCATAAATCATCCGATCTGCTGGTGGTCAGGCTGATTGATGCACCTCCGTGGGAGAAAATGAAGCTCAGTGATCAATTCGCTATTATTGGCACCTAGGTATCTCCGGAGATCTCTAATTCATCTAATGGGACAAATGATACGGTGCAAACTTAGGAGATTCAAGTCTTCATCTTGTAACTTAATAAACCGATAGTGCTCTCCAGGATATGTCGAGCAGACCATCTTGAGTTTAACCGTGACCAAACGAGAGGTATATGACCATAATCTCAAAGAGGTCTTAGTCGCTCGAAGATCCCCAGACCTTGTTTCTCTCCAGGGCTGTTCCATATCATACGTGGAGAAGCAGGCCCACACCCGAGCGGGTCAGCAGCATCAATATAAAGACCCAATTACAAATCAAACACTCGGGAGATTCAAGGCAGATTTGTTTCTTTCCTTCTTTCATACCATTTCCTTCATTCTCTGTAGAATGCCCGCTTCCTCAGCCACCATCATCTTCTCTCCATATCATGTGGGATCACGCGATCACCGCGTCGGGAACGGCCCGCACCGGATTCGCTCGCTGGGCATTATCGAAGCTCTCGAGAAGTTGGGGGTGAGCATCAAACTTGACGAAATCCCCCACGTCGACAATTTCGAAGGCGAGATTGGTCGCAGCTTCGAGCTTCTCCGACGCATCTCCATCGCGGTTTCCGAAGCGGTGGCATCAGATAGCTTCCCCCTCATTCTGTCCGGGAACTGCATGGCTAGCGCTGCAGCTGCCTGTGGTCTACCAGTCAAGGATCTCGGCTTTGTTTACTTCGATGCCCATGATGACTTGGACTCGCCGGACGTCAACGAGAACGGGTATTTCGACGCAATGGGTCTCTCCATGCTCCGCGGAGAGAGCTGGAAGACCCTCATGAAAACCGTCCCGGGCTACTCACCTCGGACATATCGTCGCTTCCTCTACTGTGGTCTGCGCGACCAGTCCTCCTTGCAGCGACAACGTGTCATCGATGCCGGCATGACTGCTGTCTGGGGACGCTCTGATATCAAGGTGGACTTCGTCGCCCAAATGAAGCAAGAGCTATCTGCCCGCTCTTACGGCCCGGCCCTCGTTCACCTTGATCTGGATGTTTTGGATGAGTCTTACGGCAAGGTCAATGACTACCCTTCGCCTGGTGGTATGATGGAGGAAGACCTGATCTCATGTATGGATATGGTTCCCCGTATGGATACGAGCCCGCAGTCGCTCACCGTCTGCTCCTTTGATCCCGATGCCGGGGATGGTGATAAGATTGCTGCCATTGCTATACGCGCTGTCACTGCCTTTTTTCAAGCTCTTTTGGATACCGATGCTTTAACCACAGCTTCAACTTGATGACATTTCTTGAAACAGTGTTTTTCTTGAGAGGAATGTTGCATTCTCAGAAATGGTGGCTGGGCAGGGAAGCTTAGATGGAAACTTTGGGGAAACATTCATTCTCCAATTACCACCACATTTTGATGATTATCAAGCCAGTATGTGAATTGGAGATTGTTCTTCAAGACCCAGGGGCCCAGGAAAGCTATACAGGCCAGGAAGGCCCACTGGTATACTCCACCTTCTTTTCAGCGCCTAGCTGAACTCGCTATACTCGGAAATTCAATGCCAGTGAAGCAAAAGGCATTTAAAAGCTCCACCAATATCCTCATGCTGTGGAAACCTTTGGAGCAAGTAAGTGGCAGAGTTCAAGAGTAAAGTATGGGGCAGCAAATTCCCGAGCTGTTCACTCGCCGATGAAACTAAGACAATTGGCTTTGATGTCTCTGGACTTTGAGGAGTACATGCAATAGCCTACCTAATTAAGTGATAGTGTCCCCTGCATACAATATAGTAGGTGGAATATGCTTGCTCCGTCCTGAGCATGACGAGGACTTGGGTGGTGTTCATCACAAGTATAATTCACCTGGTCGCAGGCATTTTCTTCTATTGACTGTTTGTTTTAAGGCTGAGAACCACGTTCGACTACAGAAAATTGCTACTGGAATGTGTTTAACGGAATAACACTTACTCACATGCCAGCCATCACAGTGCGTGATTAATCAGTGGCCCGGTGGCTAAGACAGTGATGTCTCTTATGGTTATGTCTTAGTAAACATTAAAATCTGTTCTACGGAGTACATCTAACATGAATCTTTTCGAGCAAATGCCGATCGTGTCTGATGAGTACTAAAAAATGTCTACGGTTGATGCATCCGATTACTTAGTGCGGATATTCAATCCCGTACCGAAGTCGGCCGAGAGGACACAGTCTGAAAACACAAGTTGGGAGAAAGCAAAGCAAGCAACAATAGAAAGAGAAAAGAAGTGAGTATAATACACGAAATAGCCGAAAGCGATCTCACGTGTAAAAGAGTGCAAGAGTCGAGTGATGTCAAGCATCTGAGCTGGAGCTAGTACTGTGACGGGTATTGAATACCTCCGGAATCGCCCCCACAGGCCGACACTTCAGCCGAGGTTGGACTTTCCTATTCCTTTGCCGTCCCTCTTGTACTCCAGACTCCCTTTTCGATTCTCTCTCCCTAATACTCCATCCCTCTTCAAAAAACAGAATCATGGTTGCCGACGCCCTCGTTTACCACCCTGCGCTGGCGCACTGGCTGCGCTTCGTCGCGACAACTGGTACGTGATCACACCCCAACATTTTATGCCCGGTCCAGCCCAGACACACCATCCATCTCCATCAATGATATCAAATGCCTCGCCCTACAATTTACCGGCGCCAGCTATATCCCTCCACACACTACGGACACCCTCGGAGCCCTGCTAACGCCAGACAGTCGGCCGCGATAAGATCCTCCGCACCGTGCAATACTTCTCCCGCTTCTACGCGTGGTACCTCTATCGAACCAACAAGCCGCAGGCCTCGATCGACCCCTACAATGCCGTGAAGAAGCAATTCGGCACGACGCGCAAGATCATGCGTATCGGCAAATTCCTCGAGCACCTCAAGGCTGCCGCCGTCGCCTTCGACAACAAGAACCCCGTTGACCCGGTCCTCAAGTACCTGGCCATCGGTCGCCAGCTCGGCTATGCTGGATACCTGACTCTTGACGCAGTCACCATCATCGATGTGATCGGCATTCGGAAGCTGGCTTCCGCAAAGAGACTCCAGGAGTCTGCTTACCGCTCTTGGGCAGCGGGTCTGATCTTCAGTGCCGTGGCTGGTGTCTATACCCTTGTGCGTCTGCAGGAGAAGGAGAAGACCATCGACCGCAAGGAGGGTGAGGGCGTTGTGGAGGCGAAGAAAATTGAAAAGTACGGTTTTGTCCCTGCGGTGAATGGGCGTGATGCTAATTTTTTTAGGGAGCGCTCTGCCGCTCGCGTGCAACTTATCTCCGATGTCTGCGATCTTGCCGCACCCTTGTCCGCTGTCGGTATCCTGAACCTCGACGATGGTATCGTCGGTATTTCTGGTACCGTCAGCAGTTTGATTGGTGTCTGGTCCCAGTGGCGCAAGACCGCTTGAATGCGGTCAGGCTGGGAGTAGATGTTGATTATCTTTGGAGTCGGGGGATCGGGACTTCCTGATCCGGTGTACGCTGGAGACCCGGTGCTGGCTCGGGGATGGGAGACCGGAGGTATTATTTTGACCACGCACTTTATATCCTGTTGATTGCGTTACTTGCCTATGAACAGACTCGTATCTTTTTTTATTTATTCCAGGGAGTGTCTACCTACCATTTCCTATTTTCTGGTACATAACAATCACATTTCTGTTTTTACGCTTCATGTCTTGAACTGGGGGGTTTATTGCCGTGTCATCGTAGCTTGCTATGAAAAAGATCTGAACTAGGCATCCTGGCGTCTTGCTCTTGACAACTCGGCCTTCTCTCGACGTTGACGTTGACTGCGAGGTCTGTCCTATCACCTTGGAATACCCAAATGGTTGTGCACCCCGGCGGTGACTTAGACGGGGCAGGTCTAAAGTCGGTCAGACTTGCTTTGAAGATTTGGAACCAGTCAACGATAACTTACAGCACCGCAGGAGCCACAGCTCTTGCCGGAGCCAGCGGCGGCACCGCACTTGGGGCATGAAGCATGTCCGTTCATTGTGGATGTAGATCGAGTCTGACAGGTCAGCAACCACCCGGGTCCTCATTTCGCAAAGGATATATACTCACAGTATGAACTTGCAGATTGATTTGAAAGTGGGATGAAATGTGAAGTCAACGTTGGGCGCGAAAATTGCTGACTTTTCTACCCCGCCTGACTGGTGCCCCGCTCTGCTCGTGATAGGCCTGGAGCCCTGTGAGATATACTCCGCCAGGCCAATAGTTTTCTTCATATTTGTGGTATATAAGAGCGACTTTAATTGCTGACGTATTTTCTGTCTGCGTGACCTCTACTTCTTGATCACAATCATGACCTCTTCATCACAACGAGAACACCCCAAGCGAGAGATCATCTGGGCCAAATTCCACCGAGTATGGGAAGGCTCTTTGGCCAAATGATCTACAAGATACCCCAAATTCTCTACAGAGAAACCATCGCCCTCTAGGCTACGTAAAGCTGCATCGGGCGAGCGTCAACGAGCAAACAGAATTCGGTTCGCAGAGTGATTAGGTACACAAGCTTGGAAGCTCAGTCGGTCTTCCACATAGCCCCTAATTGCTTGAGAGCATCATCATACACCTTTGCCCTAGCTGGAGCCTTTTTCCAAAACGACGGCATCTTGTCGAACCCATGGACAACGTCTTCGACCACGAACCCACCCACGCTCGTCATCTTGCCATCATTTACAAAACCAGCCAACCTTTCACGAAAGGTATTACCTTCCACAAGCAGCTGGTCCCATGCACAAGTATAAACCGCAACAGCAGGTGCATAAGCCGGAAGCAGAGTCGACTCGGGCGCTATACCGGGCGAAAGATAAGGATGAGACATATCCACCCGGTCTGTACCCGAGAACTTTGGAAGCGCAGCATGAGGAAGGTAAGAATTATCGAAGAACTCAAACAAAGATGGTGAAATCATGGATTTTTCTGAGGAGATGGGATTCGTAGCATCTCGCTCTGCGCGTGTTCGCGTCCAGTCTACGCTTGGATAAAACGCAATCTGTCCAGCCAGTGATATCTTTTTGCTTGATTCCTGGCTTCTTTGGTGCAATATGTCCTGTAGTCGCAATGGTACGCTCAGTGCTAGGTTACCACCTGCACTGAACCCGCTCAAGCAAAAGCGATCTATGTCAAGATTGTATTGGTCGGCTCGCTCCCAGAGCCAGAGGATGGCGTCGGCGCCATCGTCTAATGCTGTTGGGAACGGGTGCTCTGGAGCCAGGCGGTAGTTGACGCTTACCACCACGGCATCTGGATAGGCGTTCAACACGGCTCCTGCCCATCGAGAATCGTCAAGTGCGGTTCCAATGGAAAATCCGCCACCATGGAAATTTATCAGTACTGGACGAGGTGAAGTTGTGTATTGGACTCTCGAAGAAATGCTCTTCGATGGCGCAGTGTAGATTTGTAGATCGATTGAGCCAGGACACTTGCTGACTGTAGAAGGTATTGCTATCTCGATTTTTGGCTTTGGCGGTAGTGGCCACGAGAGGTATCTATCGAGCACAGAGAGAAGGCTTGATAGCATGCGGTAGCGTCCTGCCTTCTTGATGAGAGTGGAACGACATAGGGGCCGTGGAGCTGCCATCCCGAGATCTAGATACGATGGAGATAGAAGTTGGATAAGATCAGAAGAGTAGTAGTGGCGATGATACAGCTGACTGGGTGACGATTGTGTCAAGCATTAAAGTGATGGTCCGGGTCAATGTCATCCCGATTCGGACGAAGTTGACGGAAGGCATGGGCCGGCGCGATCACATCACTAGCCACCCAAATTGTTTATTTTTACAGAAAACATGAGATATACACTTGGTGGAAGACCATCTTAATCTGCTTCACACAAAACACATGGAGCCTTCTCACCGATATGGCTCGCAAAGAAATGCATGAAGACAACTAGATGGTACTGATGACGACATGGGGTAGAAGTGCCCGAACCTTAATATTGGAAGTATACATGGAATCAAAGCTCTGTTCTTATTGTTCCTTGTAGTATCTAAGTACACTGAACACAGATCTGGTACGAAATAAAGCGTATGATTGCAACAGTGGAACTACTCCTGTGGGACCTTCCGACACTAGACCCAAAATCAGCTAGTAACTAGCGGGTGCCACGAGCCGCATCGAGTAGGCCGGACTCCGAGCTTCTAGATAAAAACAGATCGACTGGAACCCATTTTTCAGCACTCCGTCTTCTTCAAACGATCCAATCCAAATTCAAAGGTTACCTTGTCATCTATATCTATTCACAATGTCTCTTCCCCTTCCAATTGTGGTCTGCGCTCTGGATGACCAAATCGGCAAGCCGGTCTCCGAGCTTCTTTTACCCGAGTTCGAAGGTCAGCCAAGCATTCCCATCCCATCCAGCCAATAAGACACTTTGTTATTTTCTACATAGTAGTGTCCCTTGAAATTCTCGATGTGCTAATTTCCTACCAGTCATCCACTTTATTCAAAGCCTTGAAGCCGCCCAATCTGAGATTCCTCATATTCTCGCCGGCCAGGACCCTCAAACTGCGCATCCCAACAATGTCGGCACAAAAGACTACAGTCGCCCGGTGCGGGCAATCATATTTGGTCGGGCATTTGAATTAGAAGATATCGAGGCCTTGAGGGAGAAAGTCGCTGGAACTTCGTCCGACCCTATCGTTTGGATTGTTGGTGACCCGGCTCGCAAACCGCCTGCTGGTGCAGTTCCTCCTCCTAACTACCCCCAGCTGGTCGCTGGTGTTGCGCGGAAACTCCTAGGTGGTTGGCTCGAGGCTGGAGCTGCGAATGACGAGATCATTTTGTATTAAGCTGTCTACTTTCTCGTCTTTTTGCCTCAATATATATCTTGCTCATTTGGAGAATTGATCATAAATCCAAGTCAAAGCAAACCCTGTGGGCCTCTATTAGATCTATGTTGCTGATATGATGATGAAGTTTAATGAGTTCAAAAAGTCAACATTGGAAATACTAGCCCTGAGTGATACCTATTCCCTAACAGTCCACTCCAGGGCTTGATTATAGTCTGTGACACCTGGGCAGGTCACAACTTGGTTACCCAAGACCACCTGGCCGCGAGATATCCTGTATTCATGGATCGAACTTCAAATTTGATAAAATCTTGGAAGTACATCCGGGGTTCTAAGGTTCGAACCTTGAAAATTGCTCCAAGCCTACGTATTTTTGAGTTCTGTCCAGGTGACTGAGGGGTTGTTAGGTAAATTTCTGGGCAATCTGGAAATTGATACCATCTGCATATTTGATTCAGTACATCAAACACGCCAATCGGTTCAAGAAAAACATGAAGTCAACGTAGCTGGCAAACGGAATATGACTCTTCAAAAAGGAGGCTTGGAGCTTCCACCTGGGCATTTCATTAGCGTTAGTCAGTGCCAGACCACAAAATTTCAAAATGGCCCACTAAATAAATAAATGAAGTTTTATTTAGATAATTCAATGCCCAGAAAACTGATCTGAGGCGAGGCTCAGCCCTAAAGAACTGTATACCCCGCATCCGATCAAGCTGGGGAGGCCACGCGACATCTTCCCCAGAAAAAAGCCAAGATGCCAAGAGGCGCAGGTCGACCGAAATGTGCAAGGGCCGGAATAATCTTTCGCATCGATACGAGTCATGGGATCGGCCGGGGTTCCGTAGCGAGATGGGGAAAATGTCAACAATGACGTGCATTCGCGCCTGGAGTCGGCTTCGGGGAAAATAGGAGAGTTGATCTTTGTCCTACCCTTCAAATACATCGGCCCAGGCCGTTTCCAAACCGCAAGTGCTGGTTGGGCAGAAATTTAGATGATAGGTACTCGGATGAGATCCCAGATGGTACATATCACAACGGGTAAAATAGGAAGCTAAGTTTCTCAAATTGATTGGCTGTTATCAGGGGCCGAGATGTACATCTTGAATCTTGACCCGGGTAAGATAGCGGGAAAAAGAAGATAATGCGACGGGTGAAGACGAAAAGGGGCAAAGCGAAGATCCAGACCCATGGAATCTGGAAAAAGTCTGGGAGTATACTTGACGGCTTCAAGATCACGGGGTATGCTTAGCCACATCTATAGATATCCCTCTTTTGCGGAGGAGACCAGGGGCACTTCCCCACTAGCCCTTACTCCTTAGGGAGGAAAAAAGCCTCAACTGTGTATATCCCGTACATACTTCCGGACTGGCATGTCACGCGCAAGGATGGGGGCAAACGAAAATGATCAGCAGGTTACTTGGAAATAGAAGCTACTACGTAATGAGACAAAATCGCGCAAAAATGATGATTTGTTTCACGATACCCTATTACTTGCCTGGACAGAGAAGAACAACAGGTTGGGCTCCCGAGGCCGTAGCCGGCTCGGGATCCGCCGCTAACGGGGAGCAGGATCTGGGGTTGGACTGTGATCGTGCAAGGCAGCGCAATCCCGTGCGATCGCGACCGACCCGACACGAAAACCCAGTCAGAGACAGTAGAATAATCACGGCAGACCGCTCCACGACATGGACTCGGTCGAGGCCGGTTATTCCAACACGTAATTTGGGCCATAGTGCATGGTTCCTCTGGAGCATGCATTTGGAGAGCATGGGACCCAGGTACCACCGCTCGGAGGCTGGCGTTGATCTCATTGCACGAAGACGACGAGCATTATCGTCAACCAGCAAAACAGGGGGCCTTGGACCCAGCGGCAATATCTTCTGCCCACCCGACTAAGCTGGAAGTGGAAATGGCTGACTTCTGATTGGTCCCCGCCGCCGCGATCGATGGAGACGGGTGCATCATCCTCGGCTGGGTTAAACGCCGTTATTTGCTGCTGCGTCCTGCTCTCTCACACCCGACTTTTCAGCCGATTCTTTCGTCATTCGGGCTAGGAAGGGATTGTTGTTTTCCACGGACAACTCTGTGAAGTCGGGTTGATTGAAGCCGAAAATTGAAACACACATGAAAAAAACACAGTCGAAAAAAGAAAAAGAAAAAGAAAATTGATAGCTCGGTTGATCGACGATTATGTCAGCCCCCCGCGATTTGCCCATTTTGTCGTAGTGACATCCTCCCTAGTCTACATGAAGTCATGGTGCGTCATTCCTCTCGTCCGTAGAGGCTATTGTTCTATGATTTCTAGATTTCTAGCTATCTGGTTTTTGAATACTTTGGATACTATGTAGGAAAAAAAGACTATTTGCTTCCAGACCTGTTTGTGAACAAAAAATGTAGTTTGCCGCAAGCGTCATAGATGTCCATAAAAGAGGTCTTCCACAATCCCTAGCTTCTTCACTTCTGAAACTCCCACTACAAGTACGACACTTGAGTTATTTTTGACAATCCACTTCCATTTGCTCCCGCTTTTTGTCTTTCCGAAAAACGAAAGCCCATTCGTTCCGAATCCCTTTCGTGTCCACTAGAACCATTTCGGGTCAAGTCGGACTGCGCCTCGAGGCATTTTGCAACCCACGGCAACGCTCATCCATCACCAACCGCGTGTCCGCTTCAGCTCGGCCTTGACTCTCCGACATCACCCGTGAAACTGTGGAGAAACCAGCGCGGAAACTGCACGAGAACCTCCTTGATACTAGGACCGATCTCGACCATGGCCACTGCCGGAAAGGATTATATACCCCTCGACCGCACCAGCTCTCCAGGTCCTTTGGCTACAGATTTCTCTTCACAACAGATCGCGAAACAACGCAACAATAATTATCATTCTACTTCACTCAGAAACATGGTTGCCACATCAGTAAATCGCACTGCGCTGCACCCCGGTGGTGTTCAGTATGTTGCCGTCTCTCTCTTCCCATCTGATACCTTGTCGCTAACCCTCATATTCTAGGCCTGGCAAGGGTCACACCGAGCTTGAGGAGGAGCTTCACGAGACTGCTCACATTGACTACGACCGTGTTGCTATTGTAAGGACCTACCCCACACTGTTCAGACCTTTCATGGTCTTTACTTTCTTCTACTTCCTGGACTAACATGACCCTAGATTGCCAACCCCTCTGTCCCTGCCCTCTATGAAGATGCTCTCGTTTACGAGACTGGTACCGCTGTCACTTCAAGCGGTGCTCTGAGCGCCTACTCTGGTGCTAAGACTGGTCGTTCCCCCTCCGACAAGCGTATTGTCCAGGAAGCCTCCTCAGAAGGTGATATCTGGTGGGGACCCGTCAACAAGCCCATGACCCTCGATGTGAGTGATTTTTGATTCTTTGAGTGCGCGATTTTACTGCATATCTGCCTTTGTCACTGTTCGAAGTACATGTCCTTGCATATGGGACCGATCCACCTGTATCCCTTGCATATGCATCGGATGGTCAAGCTTTTCTGGCAGTTCGTGCAACCCCTTGAGGGTGCCGTTTCTACCGAAGCATTCTCCATGCCCTTGTGTCTGGATATTTCGTTGCCCCCCTAATTTGCCCCCCAATTTGCCTTCCTAGGCCAAATTTGGTTCTCCCTTCCCCCGCCCTTGGTACCGAGGCTGTCACGTTCATGACGTCATCGATAAGATTGGCTGCTAACATGTTCCGATTAGGTCTGGCGTATCAACCGTGAGCGTGCTGTTGACTACCTTAACACCCGCAACCGCATCTATGTTATCGACGGTTACGCCGGTTGGGATGAGCGCTACCGCATCAGTGTTCGCGTTGTTTGCGCTCGTGCCTACCACGCTCTCTTCATGCGCAACATGCTGATCCGCCCCAAGCAGGAGGAGCTTGACCACTTCCACCCCGACTATGTCATCTACAACGCTGGTTCTTTCCCTGCCAACCGCTTCACTGAGGGCATGACCTCCGCCACCTCCGTTGCCATCAACTTCGCCGACAAGGAGATGGTCATCCTCGGTACTGAGTACGCTGGTGAGATGAAGAAGGGTGTCTTCACCGTTCTGTTCTACGAGATGCCCGTCAAGCACAACGTCCTCACTCTCCACTCCTCTGCCAACGAGGGCGAGAACGGTGATGTCACTGTCTTCTTCGGTCTGTCCGGTACTGGAAAGACCACCCTGTCTGCCGACCCCAAGCGTAAGCTTATTGGTGACGATGAGCACTGCTGGACCGACACCGGTGTCTTCAACATTGAGGGTGGCTGCTACGCCAAGTGCATTGGTCTCTCCGCCGAGAAGGAGCCCGATATTTTCAACGCCATCAAGTTCGGCTCCGTCCTCGAGAACACCGTCTTCGACCCCATCTCCCGTGTTGTCAACTACGACGATGTCACACTCACCGAGAACACCCGTTGCGCCTACCCCATCGAGTACATTGAGAACGCCAAGCTCCCCTGCATCAGCGACAACCACCCCACCAACATCATTCTCCTCACCTGTGATGCCCGCGGTGTCCTGCCCCCCATCTCCAAGCTCACCCCCGAGCAGACCATGTTCCACTTCATCTCCGGTTACACCTCCAAGATGGCCGGTACCGAGGACGGTGTCACCGAGCCCCAGGCTACTTTCTCTTCTTGCTTCGCTCAGCCCTTCCTGGCTCTGCACCCCATGCGCTACGCTCACATGCTCGCCGAGAAGATGAAGCAGCACAAGGTCAACGCCTGGCTCCTCAACACCGGATGGGTCGGCGCTGGCGCTACCACCGGTGGCAAGCGTTGCCCTCTCAAGTACACCCGTGCCATCCTGGACTCCATCCACAACGGCGAGCTCGCCAAGGCCGAGTACGAGACTTACGCTACCTTCAACCTGCCCGTCCCCACCTCTTGTGCCGGTGTCCCCAGCGAGCTCCTCAACCCCGAGAAGAGCTGGACCGCCTCCACCTCCTTCAAGGAAGAGGTCACCAAGCTTGCTGGTCTCTTCAACGAGAACTTCAAGAAGTACTCTGACGAGGCCACCCCTGATGTCCTTGCCGCTGCTCCCCAGGTTTAGAGGGTCTGAGTGGTGTTTCAAAATTTCTTCTTCTCCTTGTTTCTCGTTCTCCTGAACAGGATGAATGAGTCATTTGCATGGCGTGCTGCTTTTACTTGGTAATGGTCTTTTGGATCGCTGCCGACGTCTGCCGCTTGTATCGGGACGAGCGTTGGATATGTCTTGATTTCCCCCGATCTTGGATTGTGCTTTTTAAAACATTAGCCACCGGTCCCGACTGGCTGATTGGAGTTTGTGTCCTTTACGATGAAATTTCTTACATGATAGTCAATGAATGTTATATGTTCAATAAATTTGTCTGCGCCTTGTAGGTACACCTAAGAGTATGGATAGACTTGATAATTCGAAGATCATGCACACCATCATACTACCTAGTAGGTATTCAAGGTTGATCCTCACTCAATTCTGATCACTTTTGGCCCTTGTCGGGCCTTACTCTACCGACAAGTCAAACTGGGTACGCACCTGGATACGCCTCAAGACGCGGACTTAGAAAAAATCCCGATGCATTGTTTTGGACTGCTGCAGGTGTCAATACGATGCCTCTAGGTCATGTATTCCCCGCGTTTTGGTGAATGATATCCGAAGACCGAGGCAGACGCTACTGTCACAAGTCTACTGGAGACCCCCACAACACGGGGCATGAACGCCCCCAACATTTTCTAGACGATTTCTGTCGTCGGGAATCTCATCGTTCATTCGTTGATTCTCTTAAGGTTCTCGCAATGCATGCCACTTAGGTGTTAAGGGCGGCGATCATGACTTCACATGTTATGAAAGCATCAATTGCATCGGAATCATTCTATCCATATAAGAATGCTGAAAGATTTCAGGAATGATTGCTTTTTGAAGTGAATCTCTAGCGACCTTGAAGATGTCTACTGAGACAGTGACTATCAAACGAAATCCAGCGGATTCTATGGTGTCGACCTGGCGCCAGGATCGATCCCAATGGAACTTCTGGCACTGGATGATCGAACTGCTTGGTCTACACCTCGTTGACCTTGACGGAGAGGTGCCGGTATTCTCCAAGAAAGATAAAATCCCCGCCACACGGGAATGGTCCCTTCACCTGTGGATCCTACTCCACGCCGCGATCCCGCTGGTCCTCCACCATGCCTACACGACATATACCGGAAAGAACCTGGGTATTCTGGCGGCGTTTGGACTATACTCCAGTGCTTTCAAGCTGAATGGGATTCATGAAATGCACATCATGCGTAGGCTCGGTCAGCGATACGGCTTCTTGGACGGCGACAAACACCCTCGTGACGAGATTCCAGATGTTGGAGTGGGCAAGGTCATTCGAGAACTTATTTCAACATCATCGGTTCGTATGGTTATGGCCATATATCTGACCTACCGAACGAATGAGACACCCAGTTCGCTTGAATGGAAATGGCTGCCTTTGGAGATCGGTCTCTACAGCATTACTGTTGACTTCTGGTTCTACTGGTATCATCGCATGATGCACTCGACCGGTTCTCTATGGAAGTACCACCGCAGACACCACTTGACCAAGCACCCCAATCCATTGCTGTCGGCCTATGCGGACCACGAGCAAGAGTTCATGGATATCACTGGTATCCCGCTTCTTGCGTACGGAACGTTGAAGGTTCTGGGACTACCCATGGGGTTCTACGGCTGGTGGATTTGTTTCCAGTATATTGCATTCTCTGAGTTCATTGGTCATAGTGGACTTCGACTGCATGGCGGTGCACCCTCGACCGTCAACTGGTTGTTGGAACTATTTGATGCGGAGCTGGTGATTGAAGATCATGATCTCCACCACCGGTATGGATGGAGAAAGAGCCATAATTACGGAAAGCAGACACGTCTCTGGGATAGAATTTTTGGGACTTGTCATGATCGCATTGAAAGTGTCAAAGAGAATGTTGATTACGAGAACCGTGTCACCATGCCTTTGCTTTGAGACTTGGGTGGTGAATGGAACGTTACAATGACCTATGATGATACTACGAAAAACATATCTTAGCAGTGGACTCCTTTCTAGCGTTCTGTGTTGATGATTGATTGAATAATGACATTGATTGCTCCGGTGGGGGAACAACTTGCAATTCTCATCTTCGATATAATTTTGTCATCTGACTTTGTCCAAATTGTCAACGAGATGCCGGTGGAGGTCAGGAGTCCTACCCGGCAAACAATGACGTGTGGAGAAAGGGGAGTTGGATCACTTTACTTGTGAATTGTCAAACTGAAGTGAGAATTGTTTGTGCTAGACGATCATTGCACACGAGAATGGTGGGGCATGTTTGCTACGACGTAATGGGTGTATCTTATATTAACCTCTCAACCTCTCTCCTTCAACAGTCTCCTTGCATACAACTCGCTTTCTATCATCGAATCATCTAACCATGGCTACAAACGTTATCACTCCTCATCAGAAAAATCCTGTTGCCTCGCCCACCACTGTCTCGGATGAAGCTCCGACAGTGTCCTTCTTGAGCAACAGCTCCACAACTGCCTCTGTCAACATCGAAGCCAAGGCACCCATTGAAGCCATCCGAGCTCTTTTTGACCATCTTCACGCTAGCACTGACGATGTTAGCAAGCTCAACGCAACCTACGCCCACCGGGGCGTCATGAAGACCGCTGCTCTGCACAAGACAGAGTCTGACCAGAAGTTTACCATCGACCTCTCGCCTTTGCGCAACAACCGGATCCCACAGGAGCTCCGTGATTCCCTGGATCCCCACGGCCTTGGAGAAGTCCTCAACTTCTTTAACCAGCTTAGTGCTGATTATGTACCCACCATCCTGGATTCTCTCAGCCTTCTCGCTGGCACCGATCTGTCTGCAGCCCACAAGTCATACAACATGAACTACCGCCTGTGTGACTACAATCCCCACACAGCTGACCCGGAATCGTCGAATGGATGCGGAGCCCACACGGACTACGGAACCTTTTCCATCATCTTCCAGGATGGAACTTCCGGACTTGAACTTGAGGAAACTCCCGGGACTTGGATTCCTGTCCCTGGTGATGCTACTGTTGTCTTGACGGGCTGGTGTGCCGTTATCCTGAGTGGTGGACGGGTGTCTGCTGCCAAACACCGGGTTCGCCGTACCCCTGGCGTGCGTCGAATCAGCGCTGTCTTGTTCGTTGCTCCCGACCTTGACGTTAAGCTTCAGCCTTTGGGTGCCGCTCAGCCTGTCAAGTCCTTCTCCGACAGCATCATGCGTGGTGATCTCGACGTCGAGACCTTTAAGGAGGTCATGGGTAAGAGATGGCGATACCGCGAGGGAAACGAAGAGATGGAGAATGGTGATTCGATCTCCCAGGACAATGAGATTGAGAAGATGGTTTGGGGTTAAGCATGGATAATGCCAGTTGGGGATCTTTGGGGATCAGGCCTGTTCGTACTTCTTACGAACATTCCGGGTCATTCCTTGCCCCCAGGCTTCCTGTAGCCCTAATCACTGCTGTTCACAGTCATGCCCCACTTTGCTTATTTTATCATTTTGCTTTGCTTTTTCAGTTGGCGCTCAAAGACAGCAGACCTTTTGCTTGGATAGTCAGGTTCTGTTCAATGGAACTACATTTTATCATATGCACAGATAATATCGATCTCTGGCAGAGAAAGTTTTCAATGTAGCCCGTATCAATTTAGCAGTCATGAAGACTGGTTGGGGCTTCGAATCAGAATTCATGGATTGTATGCCAGTAATATCGGGATAGAAGTAGGAGTAGCACTAGTAGATATTCAAGGTCATGAAAAGTAAGCTTAGAAGATTATCCCCTCCCTCATAGGGCACAGGTGCTCGACTTTGGAGGAAAAAATAAGTATAGTGTCTCATGACTTAGCTTCCAAAGTTGTATGAAGTTTTACAGATAGCGTGGACAACTTAGATGTACAGGGGTCGCTGCAATCGCTGTCCAGCACCCCTCCAGGGCTTGGACAATGGGTTAGTTAACCCCCAGGAACAAAACATAAGCTCCCGGAAGATTAACGTGCACGACATACAGCTTTGGAACCCAACAAGAACCTCTGATGTGAATTTTTGTGTGTTTCTTTTTTTTTTCTAGAGCAGAGCACGACTGTAGTGTTCTGAGAAAAGCGCAATGTCATATTGGAAGCCTCATGTTGGAAGCCTCATGATCACTACCGCTGCTCGTTCCCGCATCCCGGCAATCCACGATTAGCCCCTTTATCCACGGAGCCAAGTCAGTGACTATCCCGAAGACTCATGCCGAGCGGGCAGTGGGTCCGATATGAGGCTTTAGGCCCGTGGGGCCCGACTTGCCGAGAACCCTTTCCGCGGAGCGGAGTGGGGGTGACGATCGTGGCCCTGACTAAATTGACAGATTGGCGTGAAAATCTTGGTCAGCTTTGTTGTCGAAAGCGGGATCATTGGGGTCTAGAGTGGATTGGGCTTGTTTGTCTTGGAAATATCGATCATTTTGCTAACACTTTCACGCTGAGATAGGCGAACGCGGACATGGGCTGCTTTGGCGGCGGCGGCCGATATCAAAATTTTCAAGGGTTATCTGAATATCCTCCAAAATGACCAATATACTGATGGACATCGGAGACGCCCGTACTTCTTCGTACCTAGCTTGACGGGGATGAGGTCCTCTCCGTACTTGAAAGCCTGGGACTCGGTTTACACTGCACGTCTCGGACTTCGATGACACAAAAGCTCAATAGGCGGATTGGTACACCGTTCAATGTATACTGGCTGCGGCCGGTCGAGTCCGATGTGCCTTTCTCATTTGCTTCCTTTGAGTTAGATCGAGCCCGCTTAAACGCGGTTCATGTTTTCCTAGCATAAGCCCACAGACACCGCTTCAACACGCAACATCACTTCCCGCGTCAGAGTCAGCTTCAATGCGCAACGAATCTCGCTCTGGGCGAATCAATGATCACATTTCCCGGAGAACAGTCGTCCGTTCACCTTTACCGAAATGCCCGATCCCCAGTAGATGTTGCAAGTTGATATTTAGATCCGAAATCGTCACGGTCGACCAATACCATGTCTTCAATAAGGCACCAGAAAGAGTGGACTCGCAGAGACCAAAGCTTACTCGACAGCGTTAACGCCGGTTATCGGCGAAAAGAACCAGATCGGAGGAATCCACAGGCTACACAATATAGTGCGAACTAGCATCAAGTATCCACCAATAAAAGGCAGCGCAAGTGTTCAATTTCCATCAGAGTGGCCCATAATCAGGGGTAAGGTCAACGTCAACGTCAGCGCGACCAAGGCCGAATGGACTGCCGTTGATATACCCTCGGGTGAAGACCCGAACGCGGAAGCGGGAGAGGAGTATGGAATAGCCGAATGGAATTATATCCGTATGCATTTTTTTGACGTAGGGCGGGGCCCTCTGGGGCTCGGTATAGATTCTGGCTCATCATTATGGCAGGATAGATCACGTTGGGAGCTGCAGCTTTGTTGAGACGGCCCCATGCAGCGACAGTTGATAAGATTTCCCTCGGGTATCATCGGACATCTGGATTTCAGTTCTCCGCGCAATGACTGTCTAGTATTCCGTTGATGTCTGAGTATTTTGTAGGTATCTTCAGCGACTCACAGGTAGTATCTTCGGACGCCCGGAGGTAACAAGTCAAGCATGTGTCCCCGCATTTCCGACAAGCTCAGAGTGCAGACGTGTCCACGCTCGTGCATAAAGACCGGGTTTATATGCAGCCGATGTGATTGGCCCAACGCAAATATAGTCTGGAGTATCGTCTCTCCACTTTTTATTTTTGTATAGGCAGTTCTCGCGGGAAATCCCCACGGCGCCAACAACTCCCGTAGACTCCACAAGCGGAGAACGTGTGTCGGGCGAGGCATCGGTTGAAGGGGAGGGATCTCCCGGAATGAACATTCGGGCACGGTTTGCATCTCGTATATAGACAGGCTTAGACCCCTCGAGTACTTGACTACATACACCCCGCACCTGACAATTTGTCCTGTGACATCCCCCAGCTTCTGTTCATATTCTTATTTATCTCCGGTTATTTGATTCTTTCAACATTCAGTTGTCAGCCGAGAATCGTGAGTCGTGAGTCGTGAATCGTGGTGAACTCGTGTCGAGTGAACAATTTACGTCATCGGTAAGTATCCATGGGCAAGCACCTTCCTCGTCCCAAATCCACCAAAGAAAACAACGGACCTTTTCTAACTGCCGAAGCTTCTGCCGTATAGCTCTACTCGTCAGTCTGCAAGCTCGCTGTGCTTCTACACGTCTGACCGTGTGATATCTAGATATCCCCAATCTATGGCATCCGCTCCCAAAGACGCCAAAACCACGAGTGCCATCGTGCAAAGCGCAACAATGAGCTCCAATGAAGGTTCCTCGGAGCTCCTGCACCACCCCTGGACCCGTGCCGCCCTCCCCTTCGTCAATGGTGGCCTCGCCGGCATGACCGCCACCGCCGTGATCCAGCCCGTTGACATGGTCAAAGTGCGACTCCAGCTCGCCGGCGAAGGCGCACGTACAGGACCCAAGCCCTCGGCTCTCGGCGTCACTCGCAACATCATCGCCTCGGGAAAAGTCCTCGACCTCTATACTGGACTATCGGCCGGTCTCCTACGTCAGGTCTTCTACACCACCGCCCGTCTGGGCTTCTTCGAGACATTCATGAAGAATCTCAATGCCAAAGCTAAGGCCAAGGACCAGCAGGTGACATTCGCACAGCGCGCCGCCGCAGGGCTGACAGCCGGTGGCATCGCAGCGATGATTGGAAACCCGGCCGACTTGGCGCTCATCCGCATGCAGTCGGACGGTCTCAAGGCCCCCGAGGCTCGCGCGAACTACCGTGGCGCCTTCGATGCGCTGGGCAGGATTGCTCGCGCAGAAGGCGTGGCTGGTCTGTGGGCTGGAGCGACACCGACGGTTGTGCGCGCCATGGCTCTAAATATGGGACAGCTGACTTTCTTCTCTGAGGCGAAGTCGCAGCTTCGGCAGCACACTACTCTGTCTACTACGAGCCAGACTTTTGCTGCTTCCGCGATTGCGGGTTTCTTTGCTAGTTTCCTTTCGCTGCCTTTCGATTTCATCAAGACTCGTCTTCAGAAGCAGCAGAAGGATGCCTCTGGCAAACTGCCTTATAAGGGTTTGTTTGATTGTGCGCGCAAGGTTGCCAAGGAGGAGGGTTGGTTGCGCTTCTACCGGGGCTTCGGCACTTACTACGTGCGGATCGCTCCTCATGCGTTAGTTGCCCCCACTTTCCCCCCGATTTTCCCCACTGACTTTGTGACAGCATGGTGACTCTCATTGTGGCCGACTATTTGAATCTTGTCACCAAGTAATATGGTCCCGATTTTTCCTGTTGGTTCTGAGATTCGACTATTTGCTACATTTGCCCGATCTTGACAACTCCTGTCGCTCAGTCCGTGATTTAATTTTCTAAGCATACCAAGTCTCATGGATAGACCGTTTGCTATAGTTTCACTGATGGTAATTGCGGAAGACAGCCTATCTGAAACACATGTCCAAGTCTCGGCCTGGAATGTGTAAAACACGAGTCTCACTCCCATCATAATTTATGGTACGTGAAGACGCAATCTCACTGCGAAACAACATGACAATCATCTCCCTTGTTCGATCACCCCGTTGCGAATGAAAAAGAGGCGAGAGTTTACCGGAGAGAATAGGAGGCGATGGTTTCCGCGGAAAGCGTCTTCCTACTCACAACCAAAGTGCTTGCTGGATTCCCTTTGCTTTATCGAGTTTTGTTGGTCTGAACATTTTGCTTCCCTCTTTCCGACAAGCGAATACCCTCTTGTCCTGCTTCTAGTCATTGCTAAATCTGGTATCAAGGCGTCCTCTGCAGGGGGCCATATTGTTCCATTGTTACACATTGCTTACATGGACATCATATCATCTTTCCCTTCGTGATAGTCAATCATAATTACCCAAGTGCCCAGGTGTGATTCCTGGATTTTCCTGTGTAGCGTCGCCAGAAGCATGTAGTCTGTTGTATGCTGTTGCAGATAATTAATGGCTGTTAATTTTGCCCATGCCATAGGCCAACGCACATTTGCACCACAGCTCGGATATACAGCGTCCTAGGGACCGAGAAACAAAAGACATATCTTCGTAAATTGATATCATCGCTATTAAAAATGGGTAAGTAGACATGGATTCGCACCAGGGCAGGTTGGGAGCAACTGTGAAGGTCACACAGTCACCCAAACACAACCCCTGATCGAACCAGAATTGAGAGTTGCAGATCCAAAAACAAACCCAGAACAAAACGAGCGCTAGTTGTTCCAAGTGTACAATGGTGAAACCGACACCAAGAAAAAAACCATGCAGGTTAAGTTACAGGTTAGATTAGATCTTCTCATCGCCGGTGCGCCTGGATTCAACAGCACCGGGTGGAAGAACGTCTTCAAGAGTCTCGCCGGTACCAGCGAGCTCTTCTTCGACAGGGACAGAGTCCTTGATCTTGTAGAAGACGACGGGGACAGCGACGAGAATGGAGCCACATAGGAGACCGAAGTTTGAGGCGTATTCGTTCATGTAGGGCAGCTTGTGATCGTCGAGAGACCACATCACGGCTGCGCCGGCTGACTGCAGACCCTTGTAGAAGCCTGCAAGATTAGCCAGCTTGCGGCCTGAGTTACCGAGAGCGCCCATGATCCTAGACACCGTTAGCATGTTTGACAAGCCGATATTGATGAATCGGACTTACCAGTAGACAACACCTTGCCAGATAGCGTCGTACATCCCGTAGAAAAAGTACAAGAACATAGGCCCAACGTATCCCTTAGTCTCCCAATCCCAGCCCTTGAACTCAGGGTGAATCTTAGGATTCACGTCATCACGAGTATACTTCTTCTGCCAAGCATACCCAGAGCCCCAGATGACAACGGTTAAAATGAAGAGAATGACCAGCGCAGCCTTGGCCCTCACAGACCGCCTCACCTTCTCCAAATCAAGAAGCGGACCAATGATGACAGCCGCGACGATCTGCGCGAACCAATACAAGAAACCGTTGAGTGCCTTAGTGCGTGTGTTGAAGTAAGCGCCATTAATGGCGTTTTGCTGATATGTATAGAACCAATTGGAAGACCAGAACATGGGGAAAAGAAGAATAATCCAGGGCTCGGAGCGAATGGTTTCCCAAAGTCCTACAATCTCAGTCTTCCAGCTCGGGTGCTTTCGCAGAATGACACGCGATCCATCAGGGCGCACGATCTTATCCGCATCGCAAAGGAAGAGCGCCAGACAAGCGCCGGAGAACATAAGGACAATAAAGGCGATGTAAGTTCCATCGCCGACGGTCTTGTTCTCTTTGACATTAATGTTTTGGCCGAGCGGGATCTAGATGTAGAAGTAAGATTAATTACCAAGCCAAAAGGAAGGGTAGCAGGTGGGGCGGGGGAAGTGAGAAAGAAAAAAAAAACATACCAAACTGCCGATGCAAGCACCAATGTTGAAAATGGCCCAGAACCAAGCGAAGTAGCGGCCCTTTTGGTGTTCGGAAGGATAGGACATCATAATGGTGCCCTGGGCGGCCCAGAGGAGACCGGCGCAAACACCCAGGAAGGCGCCGGCGAAGATGTTGAAACCGGGGACATACTTATGCTCCGAAACCAAGAGACTAATGGACTAAATGGTGTAGCCGATTCCACCGAAGGAGAGGGCCAGACGGACGCCGAGACGGTTGACGATGGTGCCGGCGAAGAAACCCACGACTGCGAAGGTACTGTACAGTGCGATGTTCTGGAGTTATTGTTAGCGATGCCATCTGAGAGGAGCCGAGGCTAGACGATCCAAAAACTTAAAAAAAGAAAAATAAGAAAATTGGCCCCCACAATATTTCGAGTCTATTTCCCCGGGGACAAAGAGAAATAGGCATAGTGGATGAAAGAAGCAAGAAAGAAAAGAAAGAAAAAAGAAAACATGGCTCATACCATTTTGTCCGCCAAGCTGGGGTCAGATTTACCTCCGCCACCTAGACCACTCAGGGCATTAAACATGCCTGGGCAGAGGAAGCAAACGAAGGCGACCATGCCGAGTTGGATGCGCGGAGAGGCATACCAGCTGGTAGAGAACTTGCCGATGGAGCCCGCCTTGTACATCCATCCTGCGGGTCGAGGGACGGGCTCAGCCGATGCGACTGGTGATTTGTGGTCCATTACAGGTTGTGCGAGTGATGAGTGAGAGAAGTGTGTGAGAGAGAGAGGGAGAGAGATAGAGCTGAGGAGAGATCTTTAAAATAAAGACACTAAAAGATGAGAGGTATCAACGGGAGCTTGCAGGGTAGCATCCAGAGAGATAATGGTCGGAGGTAAATGGCAAATAATAGCAAATAACGGTAGTACGCAGATAATAGGGGAGTTTTATCGCGGCTTATGGGCCTTGTACTAGCCCTGGAGATTAGCGTCCTACCGCTTTGATAGCAGAGTTACATGGTACGATGATACTGTCTCTTGTCGCGTGCCCAAAGCTGGGGTGTAGTATTTTATGGGGTTATTTCAAACGTGTGGCTTACAGAACCTGGAGAGATCAGGTTACATCCCGGACACGAGACAAACGATGGAACAAACGGGGGAAAGAAGACAAGCCGCAAGCGATGCAAAAGGAGATTCGGAAGCCCCAGTGATTGGCCCGAGACCCACGAGCCAATCCTGACACGCGGGGGTGACACCTCGACACCTCGACACCTGGATGCCTTGGTGCCTGGTTAGATATAAGGTTCTCCACAGTTGCTACTATGCCTCGAACTGCCCTCTACAGTCTACACATACTCGTAAACAGCGCCCAGGTAACACTCGCTAAATGGCATTGGCATAAATGGTCTTGGAATTATCACATCAATCCCGATCAATCTCACTGTCACTGCTCTCACTCTTGACAACTGACTCGGTCTCCTCTGAGCCATCGGAGTCGTTTGAACCCTCCTGGTCTGCATCTTGATCGTTCTCACTGGCCACACTGGGTTCTGGCTGAGTCTCTTCGGTGTACTCTTGATCCGGCTGCTCTTCACTTCCATCATCGCTCTGTGCTGCTGATGGGGGATTTGTAGGCGCTGCCTCCTCTTCATCTTCATCTGCCTCCTTGGAGTATTCTTCGTCAGCTTGGCCATTCTCTTCGTCAATTGAGTCGGTGGGCTCTTCGGCGACTTGAGTCTCACTTTGTCCGTCTTCTTCCTCGGCCTCGATGCCTGTTTCGTCTGCATCTTGGTATTCTGCCTCTTCATCTTCCTCCTCCTCTTCATCCCCCTCTCCTTCTTGTTCCTCATTCTCATTCTCATTCTCGTCTTCAGCATCCGCCATCGTAGTGTCAGCGGTTTCTTCTTCTTCTGCTTCATCCTCCTCTTCTTCGTCCTCACCTGCTTGTTTCTCATTATCATTGACAATTTCGTCTTCAGCGTCCGCCATTGTCTCATCGGCGGCTTCTTCCTCCTCCTCCTCCTCCTCCTCCTCCTCCTCCTCCTCCACCTCCTCCTCCTCCTCCTCCTCTTCCACTTCCTCTTCTCCCTCTCCTTCTTCAAGCTCATCCTCATTGTCACCTTTTTGGGGACGAGGAACCTGGCTAAGCGGCTCGGCTTTGATAATCCGCTGCGTGGCAGGCTGAGCATCGACATCCATGGCATCATCACTGCCGTCATCACTATCAAGCTCAATACCATTGCGATCCTTGGTCTTTCGATTCTCCTCAAGGTGATCATCTTCCGCCTCCCGCTTCTCAAGCTCTTCAGCACGACGAACCTTCCGCAGTAGAACAGGATCAGGCCGTAGATCACCCGCCGTCAACGGAGTAGAACAGACAGGACATTTCACAAAGCGAACGCGACTCTGGCCCCCTGCGTGCACCCGGCGGCGCAATAGTCGTCCGGCTACTATGGATCATATTCGTAATAGCCTCACGCTCGAAACTGTGCGGGCATTTGGTGCTTGTCACTGGATCGACAAAGGACATAAGAGTAAGTGGGCATTTGAGGGAGACACGTTCGCGCTGGATGGCGATTTCGTCGTCGTCGTCTGGTGCGCGACCTTGGTTGCGAGAGCGGGTTGATGTCCCGTTTCTTGACTCGTTCGGGTCTTCCATGTGCTGGAACCACGTTGAGGAGTGGGGCAGAGGGGGTACATCATCGCTAGGGAATTTGGAGTCGTGGACCATCTTGTAGAAGCCAATGTAATTGTTGTCTCCGGCGTATCTGGTAATTGTTAGCGGTGGGTCTTATGAAGGCACAGGATAGGATTCATACCTCTCAGTTAGAGAAAGACCATTCCATTTGTTGGTTTCTTCTGCCACCTTCGCCAGAATTCGGCTACTGGGCGGGTTCTGCGCATTGCGCTCCCGGGCTTCCTTCTCTCGGGTATCTTCATAATCATCATCCTGGGGATCTTCGCCTTCGTTCTCATCATCCTCGTTATCCCTCCGCCTTAAGCGCCGAGAACGAGTCTGTCTCTCCCCCATTGCAGTTTCAATATTTTGTCCTTCCTCCTTTTCAACATCCGCGACTGCATCTGTCAGGCCTTGCAATCGGGCTGTAGAATCGATGATGAATCGTGTTTTCTCTTCCAGGCGCGCGGTGATGGCTTCAACTCTGGTCTCCTCTTCGCCAAGACGTTGGTACTCAGCGCTTTCTTCATCTGGAATCTCCTCTTCTCCTCGGCGACGTCTGACTTCTTTGTCTTTCTCGTAGCGACCACGGGCGTCCGCGAGTCGCTCGTTCACCTCGCCGCCGGAGGATGTGAGCTTTTCGATCGCATGGTCAAGATGCTTGCGCAGATCACGCAAGTGGCTCGTAGAGAGAAGAGAGGCGAATTGGCGCTGGTCTTCCAGGGTCAGCGGTGCTTCAGGAGGTTGGTAAGTGTATGAGCGGGCTGGTCGTGGTGCGTGGGAGGGCGCTCCACGTCGGCGGCCTGGAGTCGTGGCCATGGTTGTTGAAGCCAGGTTTGGATGGGAAGAAAAAGGCTTTTAAGTTCGAGTTGGAGGTAAAAGGCACCAATTTTCTTTGAACGGTTTCGCGGCTCGAGACAAAGCGCATCTCGAAATCCCGACGCGAGACGCGATGACGCTAGTCCTGTTTAGGTTATAGCGGGCGATAAGGCTTATCGGCAAACAGAAGTATTAAAATGGGCGGAGCCTCTACGGAGTACTGTTTACATGAGGTTTACCTCGCTGGTCCATGAGTCTCAATGATTTGTTGTGAATTGAGACCTTTGAAATCGAGGGTCTTATTCTTTTGCCTGCTTAATGCCATTTTATACATGTGCACTTTTTCTATGATTCAATTTCCCAATGCTCTACGATAGCCTGTCTAGTATACAAAACTAAGCTACAAAGTGAGAATTGCATTGCTATAGACTCTGGAAAGTCACAAACTATTCTTATATTTCAAGCTGCGTGTTTCACTTCCTGCTGGGCTGCCCCGGTGGCGCCTGATAGCATGCCGAAGATGGGACGCCTGATGTCCCAAACCACCTTCTGCCAAGTTTTCTTTGTCCCCCCATCCAAAGACTGATCCCAGACAAGATTCAATACAGGGATCAAGCCAGCCCAATCACCCCGTACCTCGAAGGTGAAAGGCTTAAAATCTGACGAGGCTTGATCTGCGCCGGAACAGGCCCGAATTGGGCGAATGCACCGCTCTCCAGCATCCGTAGCGGCTGAAGAGCTAGCGCTGCGATAGTGACTGCTCATATGCAGACAGTAGCTTTAAGACACGCGGTGATGCGTGACACTTAAGTGGACAGAATATCCAAGCCAGTGTCTATGTTTTTGACTTGGCATGTCGCCAGGTCCCGGAGGAAGTTAGCTTTGCGAGCTACCCCCACTATGCCGGTAGATCGTTGTCAGATTTGAAATCTATACGAGAATCTCGACCATGAACCTGCGTCCACGGGTATATCCTAAGATTCGGAGATGCAGTTAGGAATATGACATCCTGATTCCTGAGCACTTAGGGCGTAGGATGAGAAAATAGCACCGCCTCGGGGATGGATATAAAAGGTCTCAATCCGCCTCTCAGTCGAGCCTCATTCAGCTGCATCTACATCCATTGAAAATCTGCTCGCAATACACTCTTAACATCGGACCTCGCAAAATGCACCTCCTCAACCCGCTATATTTTGCCGTCTTCATCGTCCAAGCAACAAACGCTTGCAACCCTACTCGCCGCGACATTGAAGGCTCAGATACATTCGTCATAGGCAATGACGGCCCAGCCCCAGCTGCAACCCTTGGGTTCGCGATCAACCACATCGGCCTCGTAACAACCCGCCTCGACGAAATGAAAACCTTCTACAGGGAAGTGCTGGGCATGCGTCTCCTCTTCGACGCCCACATCACCCCCGAATACACAGTAACATATCTCGGATACTCGCAAGGCGGGCGAAACGGAACTGGGTTTCAAAGCGGCGCGGAGCTGGCAGCGGCAAAGAACAATCTTTGGGGACTGCTGGAGTTGCAGCAGTTCAATGTCTCGGATGATAGACTGATTGCGTCGACTGAGAGGACTAATACGTTTGGTCATGTTGGGCTTGTTGTTCCTGATACCCTCAAGGCTGAGGAGTGGTTTAGGTCCAAGGATGTGAATATCTTGAAGAGTGTTACTGAGCCTCTGAAGGATTATACGGGGCCGGTGCCTAATGCTTTTGGACTTGGGGAGTTTGCGGGCTTGCATCTTGCGGCTAAGAAGGCGCTTATTGATGCACAGGGTCTCATTGGGTTGGATCGTTTCTTGATGATTGCTGATCCGGATGGTAATCTGATCGAGATTCAACAGCAAGATGCTTAGAGGTTTCTGAAATGAAGATATGTTGCCGAGTGTGCTTGTGGTTAGTAATGAATGGTATCTAGATATATGTGCAGAATTCCATGCAGCCTGAGAGGCTGGCTTTGTGACGTATTAGGGCTTCATATCAACAAGGTCTGTGAGATACTACACATGCAAAGTCCGGGGGTGGTTCAGGGTACATCCTTGGCTTAGAGCAATACATACAAACGGAAGTACTGAGCAGAAGTGTCAGTCAAATGACCAAATAAGGGCTCCCAGGCATAACAAATACCAGCTGGGTGAGGTGTCGCATGTCCTGATTCCGCGCCAGCTTAATCCCAAAGGGCCCAATCCTCTCCATCTGTTGGGTCAGTTTCCTTCCCGAAGTACTGGGTTCGAATCCTAGTCCCGATGTCCAGCTGAATTTGTTATCACTTTTTTTGGTTCATTTTCTTTCGATTTGCTGCTATTCTGAACCATCTAACTATGGCCTAAACCTTGTAGAAGCAGAATGCATGGTAGAAACCTAGTTGGTTAGTTTTATGACAGTGCACTTGGGCTGATCACAGAGACTACTCACTGACGGCATCCTTCTCTTGCTCGGTCATGTTCAAAGCACCAGTCATGCGGTCTCGCACGCCCATTCGCTCGCTAAGTGGACCCAGCTCTGGGTGGTTCTTCTCATCTTCCCAGATATCCAAGAAAGGCTTGCGGTATTGGAGCTCCAAGTTGTAATCTTCGGTCAATCTGGAGGATATATTAGTTACGAAACAGGCCAAGCCAGAAGACAAAAGACACTCACGCTCGGAAAGCTTCCCAAGGAACCACGTATTCAGGGACTTCCTCAACAGCCTCCTTCATGAAGTAGCTGTATTTCCATCCGAAGGGAGGACGGAAGACTCCATCCTCAGGTGTTGCAGCGGGGAATTTGACGCGGTAGATATCATTGCCCCATTCAGCGCGTGCAACCTCCTCGACCTCTCCATCCTCGGGTGCCTCGGGCTCAGCCGGCTTGACAGCCTCTGTTGCCTTGCGCTGCTTGTGGTATGCGACCACGTGGCTGCTAATCACATCTGAGTTAGGACAAACACCAATGAAACGGCCACCCTTCTTCAGGCAGCCCGCAACATTGCGAAGCATTTGCCGGGTCTTCTCCTCGGTCTCAAAAGCGTAGTGGATGGCGAACATAGATGTAACAACATCAAAGCCTCCACCGCCATAGCGAGAGGCCATAATGTTCCCACCAGGCCCAACATTGGGATCAATACCGACCTGCTGAACGATATCGATATCACCCAAATATTCACCAAAGCAATCCTTCGGCCAGAATTCACCGTGGAAGATAGGAGGGGGTCGACGACCTCGCGGATTGCGACGACCCGAGCGCATTTCATCGTATCGGCCTCGCGCCTGCTCAATCGAGATGTTGGCAGGGTCGAGACCAACGTATAGGTCAACCGCCTGAGGCGCCAGCTGCCACTTGCCCAGATCGCCACCCTTTCCACATCCCAAGTCAAGCACCAAAAGCTTGTTTTCAGGAACAGGTGGTGGACCTTGACCATCATCCGCCCAATCCTTGCTATCATCAAATCCCGTGGCAAAAGATTCATCAGGCGAGAACTTCTGAATCAATGTACTCTTCACCCAGTTGTTGAACGTGCGTAGACCCTTGATCTTACTCTCAGTCTTGCGCCATTCGCGGCCTCGCTCCGGGACCGCGTTGTAATGTTGCCTGACAACGTCATGGACTCCGCGCTGCTGGGAATTGCGCATAGCTTCATCCTGCTCTGCGCGCTCACGCTCCTCCTGTCTGCGTCGTAGTGTTTCACGGTCTGCAATACCCTGTCGTGCACCGCCGCCGGGCCGCTTGCGCGGACGCGGTGCTTCGGGCGAGGGTGAACGTGGCTGTATGGGGGATCGAGATCGACGATCTTCTCGTGGAGCGGCGCCATTGGGGCTGCGAGAACGGTTTCGTCGAGGGAAAACAGAGGGAGGTGTTCGGCCGCGCTTTCGGGCTTGGGCACGCTCTTGCAGTCTTTTGCGCTTGGATGCGGCATGGGATAGGGTCTCTGTTTGGTTGTCTCCTTCGGCGCCCTTTTGTCTCTCACTTTCTGCTGGGGGTTGCGTGTTGTTCGTGCGGCCGGGGGAACGGGGTGTGGATCGACCACCAGCTCCATCCTGGTTTGGGTACTCCATGTTGATGATGGACTGGTCGGTTCAAGATGAAAGGGTCAGGGTTCAAAGGAATTGATGACGGGAGGCGGAGATCCCGGGGGGTCAAGAAAAGCGCACACAGTCAAGTGAGAATCAAAATGATATGTTCTTCCAGTCGAACATGGAAAGTTGAAATCAAGAGGAATGGTCGCTCTGCCGGCTGAGATCCGCGGGATAATTGAGCTCCAAGCCTTGGCCAATCAGAACGTCCCGAGCAGCCCTAACAGTCTAAGGTTGTCAAGAACAACCGTGAGGCCCTTGATCTCACCCAAATAGCAATTTCTTGATGAAGTTTGCCAGTTATGAGCAGCAACGGAGATTCTTGGAAGTAACAGTCATCTATCACCTATCCGAAAGTTCATGCACCCGAATCCAGTGGTTTACATGTCAAGCATTCTAAAATCCATATACCAATTGTGCTAAAACGCTGGTCATACTCTGTCCTGTAATTTTGCAAGTCCAAGAGCTCGAGGTTGAGCCTTTAAAGACCTCCAAGGCTGGTTGTTCATGTATAGCGAAGCCAATGGTTTCAGTAAATCCTCAATATTATTAGAGATAGAGATAAAAGGAGATCCAAAGCCGCTAAATCAAGATGCATGTAAAACAGTATTCATAATCCACACGCCATCGACCAATGCAACATCAACCAAACAATCACGTAGCGGCAGGATTACTGAGGCGCATTCGGCAGAGCTGACTTTCGCTTGGGGGACTTTGTCGTGAGCACTTGTCGCACTCGACGGATCTTCGCCCACCACTCGCGCTCTGCCTTCTTCTTCGCCTCCGGGTTATCTTCTTCCCCCGCAGCCGCACTAGGAGTAGCCGTCTCGGCATTCAAAGTATCCGTAGAGGCCATAGTTCGCAGTGTTCGGCGATGTTTGACCTTCACAGCCTCAGCTACCAACTGCCACCCGGCGCGCAGCTCGGAAATCTTCTCATTCGCTCGACCAGTTCCACTTTGCGCGGACTTGTCAATCCAGGGACAATAGTCCATGTGCTCATCAGCCACGTTCAGGGAAGTGTACACGGTCACGTCTCCGTTGTCTTTGGGTTTGTACATCCATAAGCCCAGGCGGCGGAAGCATGCACTACACCCGACTAAGCCGGCAGCTCCATCAGATGTAGCGTCCCAGCCGAGGAGCGCAAGTGCCAAGGCAGTGCGATTAGCAGACTGCAATTTCGATTGTGTTGAGTGCGTAGAATGTGAGGATCCCTGAATGTCTCCATTTGCCACGGGCTCCTCGTTAGATGAAGAAACATCATCGGCCTTGAACCATTCTTGGGGTAGTTCATTGATGACCGAATTAATATCAAGTCCCTCGGGGGTCTCAATAATATCATTTGCTGGCAATTTGTCGCCCATTTTCGAGATGTTTGTATAGCGAGTATGAAGCCCCGACAGAGCATTCTCATAATTGGTCAAAGGGAGATGTTGAATGGTCGCTGATCCGATGTTAACATTGAGATGACAAGAGCCATAGATAGACGGCAGACTTACCATCGCAGCTTTTGTTTCTCCATGGGCAGCCCTCGCTATGAGAACCGCCTAGCATCTTGGCGTACTCATCCACGAGCCTCGCGCCTGTTCATTGCATATTTGATCAGTTCCGAGTCGCCTCCAGGTAAGAATAGCATTGGCTACTCACGAACTTGGCTTCTCTCCTCAACCTTCTCAATATCAAACCCATCCAGCTCATCAATCTCCTCGGGCAGCTTCACAACGACTGCACCACCACATTCACTAACGCATGTGACCCGCATGGCATCTGTACATACCCATCCGTGTTTTGCCCATTGTACTTCGTTGATCGGTGCCGGCTTAGAAGTCCATCGGTCGACGCGACGGAATGTTTCCAAACGCTCTAGAAAACGTTCACGGTCCCAAGGGACAAAGGTTGGGCGCTTATTCGAGTTTGCGGAGGCTATTCGATGCGCCGGGCGAGAGATTTTGTTTATTGAGTTTTGCACTGCTGGGAGGACTGAGTGGTCGGTGTTGCCCAAGCGGACTTTCTTGATGGAGAGGTTGGCGGAGAGACGGTCTTGCGTCGTTGCGGGCGCTGCTGATGTCTGCTTCGGCGCATTATCGGGAGTGTGAGGTTTGGATAATGATTCTAAAACGCGATGAAACTTCCGTTTCTTTGACTCGACGGCGTAGGACATGTTGGTGCTGCGTTGTGATGCAGACCAGTTGAGGTGGATCAATTCAATGCGGATGGTTCGAGCTGCGGCGATCACCACGCGTCTGCGCCTGAGGCACCAACAATTACATTGGGCTTCAATCGTGATCGATTCGCATGCTACGATAGATCAAGATGGCACATTTCGTTTTCTCCGAATGATCAGAGTCTCATCTCTACTTTTCGTAGTGTTGGCCGTGCTACACGGAGCGACAAATGCTCCGCCGCTGATTGGCCGATCAGCATTCCGCGATATCGTACGATCTCCGAAATCACGACACAATTTCTCTCTCTACTCCTGTCGTCTTCTCAACCATGGCTTCTTTAGGGGGGCTCTCTGCCTCTATGGAGGAGTGTTGCGCCTCGCTTGGCGAAGGACCTCTTCACTTGTCGCCAATGTTTGCGGAATCAAGGATACGCAGCCAAATCTATCCGCCAATTGAGCTCATCCCCGTCTCGCCAACCGAGCAAGATTCAATCGAGCATCTTCACCGATAAAACCCGCCAATTCTTCACCTCCAGTCTCAAGCGTTCGAGCGCCGCGCCGACCGTTACCGAAGCAATCGCAGAGGGTGCCGCGAAGAGCAAGTCTAGCTTCCCTAAGATCAGCGATAAGGCAGTAGCCTACTGGTTGCTTGGTAGCGCGGTTAGTGTTTTTGGAATTGTTGTCTTTGGTGGTTTGACACGTTTGACGGAATCTGGGTAAGTGCTTGGCTCGTTGGTATCTCATGATTGAGCTCCGGATGCTGACGGGATAAATTCTGGTATAGATTGAGTATCACAGAATGGCGACCTGTTACCGGATCTCTGCCTCCGATGAACGCGGAACATTGGGAATCTGAGTTTGCGAAATACCGTGCTTCCCCCGAGTTCCAATTGCTCAACCCGAACATGACCCTGTCCGAATTCAAGTCGATCTACTACATGGAATGGATCCACCGTCTTTGGGGTCGGTTCGTCGGAATGTCATTTGTCCTTCCCGCTGTTTACTTCGTCGCTCGGAAGAAGGTTTCTACGCCCATGGCGTGGCGTCTCTTTGGAATCGCTGGTCTTATCGGTTTCCAGGGTTTCCTGGGATGGTGGATGGTCAAGTCTGGCTTGAAGGATGATCTCTTCGCTCCTGGCAGTCACCCCCGAGTTAGCCAGTACCGCCTGACTGCCCACTTAGCCGCTGCCTTCACTTGCTACGTTGCAATGCTGTGGAATGGTCTGGCTATCCTGCGGTCTCACAGACTGATGGCCGATCCCGTTGCCGGTATGGAACAGCTGAACGCGCTCCGCAACCCGAAGTTGGCTCTCTTCCGCCGCTCCGTTGCTGGTATTGCTCTTCTGGTCTTCACCACCGTCGTTTCTGGTGGTCTTGTCGCTGGTCTTGATGCTGGTCTTATCTACAATGAGTTCCCCTTCATGGGCAACGGGCTTACGCCTCCCAGCTCAGAACTCTTCGATGCCCATTACTCTCGTCACGAGGATCGCTCTGATCTGTGGTGGCGCAACATGCTCGAGAACCCTTCTCTTGTCCAGCTTGATCACCGAATCCTCGCTACAACCACCTTCACCGTGATTTGTGCTTTGATGGCTTACACTCGCGGCTCACCTACCATGAAGCGCTTCCTTCCTGCACCCGCCAGAAAGGGCGTGCACGGCGTCTTCGCTTTTGCTTGCTGCCAGGTCGCCCTTGGTATTTCTACCCTCCTTTATCTTGTCCCCACCCCTCTTGCTTCCGCCCACCAGGCTGGTAGCTTGTTCCTTCTCACCTGGGTCATGATCCTGGGCAGCCGTGTATGGCACCCAACCCGTACAGCCAAGCTTCTGCAGATGGCCATCAAGGCTCGCTCCCAGTACCCTGCCAACACGGCGGCTTCGGCTGTGAAGAGAATCTGAACCAGTCGTAGGTTCAATGTACGATTATGTTGATCGGGGTAAAATTACCCTGGATCGGTGATACCATCTCCATTCACCTGTGCCTCGATCGTTTCTCGGGTCATGTTGTATAAATACTATTGCTACTTGTGTAAAAAAAGACCAAAATGAAAGAAAGGTCCCATGTTTAAAGAAACTTCCATTACTAACACTCATTAGATTGAGATCAGGTTCCAAGGTCGCTCGATAGACATATGTCTAGAAATGGTCAAACTCAGCAGCAAGGACGAGAAATTCCTATCCACACTGTCTCAATGCCCAGGTGCAATCCAACCATCAACAAGCCCATTAAATTTCCCTTTCCTCTTGTTCTTCGCTCACCTCCCGAGTGCAAGAAACTCCGTTCCTAGTCGCTGCTCCAATCTCTCGCCTAATCCCAAGGTGGTTCAATATTTCAGTCAGTCATCTTCGACGAAGGTCTGGCAGCACGGGTAGGGTTACGCCGAGCAATGAAGTACCCAAGCACCAAGCCCTGCTCGTCAACCGCAACCTCAGGAATCCTAGCATCAGGGTCATCATCCATCCTCTCCTCATCTTCGGCAATCGAAATAGTCATCTCGGAATCAGTCAAAGTATCCTCAACCTGCGACTGGGGCTCATGGTCACGCAAAAGGCCCAAGCTCCCATTCAATCGATTCCCGCCTCCAACCCCGTATCTGTTCTGCACCCGAGTAGCTTCAGCTGCAATATCCATTAGGGTCTGTGCAGCCTGCCAGTCAGAATTTTCATACAGGTATCGATCCTGCGATCCATCCAAGGGAACATCGCCTCCAACGTCAGGAACATGAACGGCTCCAAATGAAGCGTGAGACTGATCTCCGGCCCGGTCATTCTTGCACTGGTTGCAGATCTGCCAGCCACAATGCTTGCAGCGCGACATACCACTCTGGTTCCTTTTGTTGCACTCGTCGCATTTGGCCGTGTGGGCTGCTACCTCGGCGAACTGTACGCCTATCTTGCGCAGACGGGTTCGGTCCTTGTGGCCAGACTCCCAGGTGCGGCTGGGTCCCTCGGCCTTGCGCTGGGGGACGTAGTTGTCTCTTGGGGGATTTGGAACACGGCGAGGCGGGACGTGCAGTGCCTCTGTGATCGATGAGGATGGTAACACCGAAGGCTTCACTGTAAGCTTGGGGGTCGACTTCTGCGCCGCTGGGGCTAGTCGTGGGTGAAGGGTCCATTTTGCAGGGCTGATGGGTGGCTGCATGGCAACTTGGGCATCATAATGGCCTTTGGACCGCAAGGGAAGATGGAGAAGAGAATCATCTGTGGGATCTCACAGTCAGCTCCGGTATTCGTTTGGTATGTATATTCTGCCCGGGTGTTACCTTTGAGAGCAGCTTTGTTCACTTTGTTCCAAACTCGCTCGGTATCTTCAACGGCAAAAGTCTTCTCATAGTACTGCGCGTCAGTCAAGTGTACGAACATCGAACTCCGTTGTGTTGCATCATATACATACGTCCTTGGATCTGAATCCGGTATCGCCATATGCCTAGTAATGTTAGGATACTTTCTCATATACGGGGACGACTGATACAAACGTTGTGGCTTGGGTCAGAAGGGACATGGGATCCTTGAATAGGATAAGGTGGAAAAGACGATTCGATGGAGTACAAGTCACCTGGGGTTGGATCTTCTCCACGATTCTGGCGTGCGTCCATTTCCTCGAGAATATTTGCCTCGATCTTAGCTTCAAGCTCACTGAAAGAAGGAATGGTCTGGTCTGGGTCTTTAGGAAAAGGCATGCTAGGCCGAAACATGACAGGCAAATCCTTCCGCGTGAAGGGAAAGAAAAGGAAAGAAAAGGTTGATGTTTGATCTCGAGTTGTGACCTGGATGGTGGAGTCGTAAATGGAGATGAAGATGGAGATGTAGTCCAAAAGGAAGTTGATGAAGGTGGTCAGATGCAAGTTGCAGCTATGGCATTTGTTTTATAACACTGTAGAAAGATCGGACAGCTCCTAGTAAGTTGAAGGCACATGCCATTCCCAGAGCAAACATTCTGTATGTCATGATCTTGTCGAGATTGAAGACAGATCCATGACGGCAAACATCCAAATATCTTGATCCCATACTGCACAATATTCAGTGATCCAAGGAGCTGGCCGAAGTCTACACTAGCTTCGAAGACGTCTTCTTGTTGGGCTGAGGTTGATAGAAACCTACCTTCTCTAGGCTCATGCTCTTTTACCAGGTGGCTGTGTTTCTCTTGCTCTCTGGCTCTTGGTTCTTTTTATCGTCCATTTGTTTTGATCAATTTGCTAATGACGAGTTGAAATTTGACCCATCAAAAGCAAGAGCGAAGAATACTCGATGGCCATGCATTGATGTTGAATTATCTCGAATTGTTCTCAGATCAACGCCCTACTAGGCAGGGCAACGAAGCCTGCGATATTCCCTCATTTTCGCCTATCACTACATCCATCGCCTTGCTCGACGACCTCGGGATACTTGCTCGATGTTTGAAGCACAAAAAGCACACCTGAACTTGTGGTTTTATGTGTTGGTTTTTAAAGTCTCAACCTTGGAAGGTTATGGATTTAGCAGTGTGTTCATCAAGATCTATATCTGCTTCCAACCACATGAAACCAGATTGAACGAAGAAGAATTGGCTGGATATTTTGAAACTATTTTATGTGATGCATTTATCATTGACAGGAAATCCTCATGCCAAAACCTAGGCACATATCAAGCTCGAAATCTTCATGATCGAGGCAAGTCAACATCATGTTATTCATTTGTGGGCTGTAAATTCATAGTCAGTGATATCGGCTCATGAAAATTACAGGATACTAATAACATACGAATTCCTTCCTCGGGCTGAGGCTCGACTCCAGCAACCTCAGCGGCAGGCTTGGAGTCAGCGGCGGTCTTGTCATCCTTCATCATGGGGAAAGCAAGGACCTCCTTGATACTGTAGTTGTTGGTGAGCATCATGACCAGACGGTCGATACCCATACCCCAACCACCAGTGGGAGGGAGACCGTACTCCAGAGATTGACAGAAAGTCTCGTCAATCATCTGGGCCTCGTCGTCTCCCTGGTCCTTCTGGTTGGCCTGCTCTTCGAAACGCATGCGCTGGTCGAAGGGATCGTTCAACTCTGTGTAACTGTTGGCAATCTCGAAGCTGTTTGTCGGCGTTAGCATTGAAATTGCTTGATATGGTATGCATGGATAGGATACTTACCGGGCAGTGAAGACCTCGAAACGCTCGCAAAGACCGGGGTGGTCACGGTGGTACTTGGCAAGAGGGGACATCATCTGGGGGTGGCCACTGATGAAAGTGGGGTTGATGCAGGTCTCCTCAAGGAACTCTCCGACCAGCTTGTCGAGCATACGAGCGTTGGTCTGAGGAGCGGAGCACTCGACATTCATCTTCTTCAGCATGCGCTTGAGGAACTCGTTGGTCTCAGCGGTGTGGAGCTGGTCACCAGGAGGGAACTTCTCGCCACAGGCTTCCTCGAGCGCGGGCATCATTTCGATGCGGCGCCATGGGGCCTTCCAGTTAATGTTGTGGGTCTCTCCGGTCACTGTGGTGAAAGTGGTCTCGTATCCACCAGTGACGTGCTTGACAAGGTTGGAAACGAGGTCCTCAGTCAAGTCCATCAGATCGTAAACATCGGCGTAAGCCTGGTAGAACTCGCAAGTGGTGAACTCGGGGTTGTGAGTCAGATCAATTCCCTCGTTTCTCATCTGCTTGCCAATTTCGTAGACTAGAGAGATTTGCCGTTAGTTTATACCTGTGATTGTTCTAGGGCACTTGGCAATGTATTCGCGCAGAGAACCATATGCCAAGTCCAGTGTGTTTTCAACGTACCACGCTCCATGCCTCCAACAATCAGCTGCTTAAGGTAAAGCTCGGGGGCAATACGCATGAACATATCCATGTTCAGGTCATTGTGGTGAGTGACGAAAGGTCTGGCGGTAGCACCACCAGCAATAGCGTTCATAAGAGGGGTTTCGACCTCGGTGAAGTCACGGCTGTCGAAGTATTGACGAATGAAGCTGATAATCTTAGCACGAGCGCGGAGAGTCTCGCGAGACTTGTCGTTCATAATAAGATCAAGGTAACGCTGGCGGAAGCGCTGCTCCTTGTCCTGGAAACCGTAGTGCTCGGAGGGAATAGCGTGCAGACAGGGGGTCAGGAGAACGACCTCGGAGGCGAAGATGGAAAGTTCACCATCATCACGGTTCTTGGGGTTGGTCTTGCCAATGAAACCGGTCACACCGACGATATCACCACGGCGGAGGAGCTCGTGCTGCTCCTCGAAGGACTTTCCAGTCGCATTCTGGGCGGCGCACATAACCTGGATCTTGACACCCTCAGCGCGGATATCGTAGAAGACCAGCTTGCTACCAGCGGCACGCTTGGTGTAAATACGACCACCGAGGTTGACAATGGCATCGGTCTTCTGCTCGCCCTTCTGGAGACCCTCGTAGTCCTTCAGGATGTTGCGCAGGTCGGTGTCAACCTTGAACTTGTGGGGGTAAGGGTTAGGCTGCTTGGTCTCGCGGAGCTTGTTGATTCTCTTGCTGCGGATCTCGAAGTATTGCTTTAAACACGATGCATTAGCCTCGATCTATTACCCTATTACCCCGCGATGCGCACGGGTAGTCGCGTATGCTGGAAGTGCTCCATTCACTTACGTTGGGGCTCAGGTTAGCCTCATCATCTTCAGCGGAAGTTTGCTTCTCGGCCGTGGGCTTGGGAGGCGCGGCGGCGGCCTTCTCCTTCTTTCCGGCTTCCTTCTCACGCTTCTTCTGGCGTCTCTTCAATTCGGTCTTGGACACCTTCTCGCCGGTGACTTCGTCGAGCAGCAGGTTGGCCATTGAGGCCTCAGCCTCTTGAACATTAGGGTCCGCCATGATGTTGTTATGCTTGGAGCAAAGAACAAAGTGGGATGGTGGGATGAGTGACTTTAAATTTTGGGCGGGATCGGCATGCCACCTGATTGGGCCGTGCTTTATACTCGGCGCCTTAGCGCTATCTGATGTTATGACTCACTTGATGCTATGACTTTGTGTCCGAAGTACGATGACACTGAAAACAGGGATGGTGTCTTGTTATTCTAATTGCAAGGCTTACAACTTGTAAATTAATTGCATAAATCTGGTGTTTTAATAGAGTCTCAATTTGGAAAGTAGGGTTTAGGGCTACCCCGCTCCTGCCATTTTCGGCCGGTGGGTCCGATCTACACTACATCTTGGTGGTCTGCAAGTGTATACCTACTCTACACTTACACTCCGTGTGTTAAGACCTCATTGCACTTTTCAACATATGAAGATTCTGAAATCTCACAAGAGCTACTTGGGAAATCACCTACAGTCTATCGCAACCAATTGTTCAATATGTCATTATGCTTCAATACTTCTGAATCAAACATTTAGCTACCCAGTAGCTCTCTGCTGTTTCTTTCTCATGTCTTCTGTACTTTTTCCACTCACGAATCAAGCTTCCTTTGCTCAGACTTCAATGTTCGGAACATATCGCAGTAACCATCAGTGACCATTGCTTCCTTGGACTCGTTGCCGACAGCCACATTCTACCCACTCAACGGACAGTCAACGAGGAGTCGTCAGACTCAGCCATCACCGTATCTATGCTGTGAAGGGAATTCAATTCATTTTGAGCAATCACAAGCTTCTCGCGTTCCTTTTGCAAGAACGCCCGGCGCTGCTGGCGCTTCGGGTCCTCAGCCATAAGCTCCAGGCAACGAGCCCGGCCTAAAATCTGTCAGTGGTGGCTCACGCAGTACTAATTCACCAGAGTTGTGTCACTCACCGTTCTCTCCGAAGATGCGTAATTCATCTTGGATGGCCTCAATAAGACCGATGCGGCAAGTCTTGAACAATTTCATGGTCGTCGACTGGCACAGTGTGTCCAGGAATCGGGAGGAGGCAATCTCATAGTATGCCCGCGCATTCTATCCACGGGTATGATCATTAGCGGGGTAGTAGTAGTGTTTGCTATCAGACTTACCGCCATCATTTCAATCTCATCCGAGTACTTGTCCTCGCCAAGCGCAGTGTTGGTGCCGGCTTGAATGTTGCCGGCAATCTTTCGGATCTTTTCTTTTGTCCTTTCGTCACTCATATCGTGTCCACGCACGCGAAGATAAGCACTGGCCCGTGAAAAGGCCCGGAGGGCTCGAAGTTCGCTTAGCGATTGCCCCATGATAGTACGGTGGTACTCTTGAGCCATGGTGAAGGGAACTTCGCATTCAGAATGACACTGATCTCTGGCAACTGCAAGATGATTTATGCGAACACTTTGCATGTAAGTGCTAAGGATTTTGTTTAGCTCTTGATAGAGCCGAGTCTGGTGATATTGTGAAAGTTCATTCTCGAATGCCAAAGTCAAAGCATCCTGCACAGTACCATGCGCTGCTTGAATAAAGGCCTCGATTAGAATTTTCCAATGCTCAACCATTTTTTTGTAAAGGGTCTCAATCGCTCGTGGGTCAAGTTGGTTGGGGACGCCAACAGTGTGGGACTTGTTCTTCAATTTTTCGAGCACGTCCAGGTTGCAATGGGCAGGCTTATTGAAATTCTCAAAGTAGCTTGTCTTGTAGGGGCTTTGCTTCGGGCTTGCGGCACGCGGCTCGACAGTTACTTGCTGGGGATCTGCATTTGCCTTGCGCTTTTTTGGTGGCGAGGATTTGTTTTCGATGATCAGCATCTCACAGTCCGCGTCGATGCGTTCGCTTGGATCATCTCTATCCTTCAGTCCAGAAAGGTCCAGAATCGGGCGTGTCTTTTGCAGCACAATCTTGAAGTCTTGTACAAGACTGTTCCACTGTTCCTGGAGTGATTGGTTCCCTGGATCGCGAGCCTGAAAGGAAGGAGGCGTCGTTTCATCGAATACTTCATGAATCCGCCGCTCCAGATCAGTCACTTTCCCCCAAATAGTCCTTTGGACATCCTCGGTGGGTAAGTCAGGCAATTCATTCAACTCTTCGTCGATCTTCTTCAACTTTCCATCGATTTTGTTGGCAATCTCAGGCAGAGAGCCGATAATCTGACGCTTGAGGAGATCCGAGAGGGCTGTCACGAGGTTTTTGACCCCAAAGCGTCCTTCAAGGGCGTTGAGATTCTTCTGCCACGGACCACTTGCAAAGAACTCGGCTTCTTCGCTCCGTGCTTGGTCGTGACTAACACCGGGATCCGAGTTATTGCGGACAACATAATACCCATGGCCAAGGCGAAACTTTTCCCCCTTCAAAATCTGCTCCCATTCGCCGAGAGAGTGTTGCACCGGCCAGCGATCAGGCTTGGTCAAAACACCAAGTGTCCGCTCTTTCGCACCGACAATACCACGGACAAGCCGGGCAGCGCTAGAGTTGGTGGCGTCATCCGTCATAGGCAATGTTAAAAGGACAATTGAGTTCTCTTGCTCAACATAGCTCTTCACGAGGTTCTCAACCAGATCGACCAAGAAGCTTTCATCATCCTGTTCGGCCTGACTGATCACTCCGGGCAAGTCGTAAAAGGAAAGGTTGGGGTAGCTAGGGCCAGAGATATCCAGGCGGACTGCGTTCGGCGAAAACTTGACCTGTAATCCACGAGAGAGATCAGGGTTCTGATAATTGAAGTCGGCGCAGTTAGAGTTGGGGTTCAAGATAGCTAGCTGGGCACACCAGATTGCTTTGGTGACCTCGGCTCGGTCTGTAAGCTCTGCGAATCTGACATTGTCTAGTCCATCCATTGCAATCCACTCGCCCATTGGATTCTTCTTCTTCGGACCCCTTTTTGGGCCCTTCAGGCTCGGGGGATCGTGTGCATATCGGTAGCACAGATAGACGACACACCTCCATGACCCGTCGCTCTGGGACAAGTTGATCTCCAAGGGACATCTTGTACAAGTGCCTTCATTTCTAGGAACCTGGATTTCGGAGATAGCCTCGATGAGAGAGCTTTTTCCGGTGCTTTGATCGCCAACGACGCAGATTTTTGGCAGATGGATCTTTTTATCCTCGATGCCAAGGTGGCTCAGATCTTGAATCTTTTTCATCAAGCTCTTCATATCCGCGGTGAGGGCGTCAAGGGAGCGGTCATTTTGGGCTGATGAACTTGAGACGGGCATCTCAAGCGAGATGGGTACCTTGATGCGTGACCCATCTATGAGGGAAGAAAGGATTAGCAACTTCTTGACGATGGGGGCTTCTGACTTTTTACCAGGAGATGGTGACATTTCCCACTTGGGCACTGGCGAGGAAGCTTTGGGGGTACGCATCTTCGGATCCTGGTATGAAATATCAGCTTCAGAAACACCAGGGCACAGTCTGGGAGTGAGGTGGAGATCTGGTCATCTGAAGCGATGTGGAACAATTCACATACTCAAATCTTGCAGATGATGGTATTGTCAACGTAAAAGATGAGGTATGACTTGGCAATGATGTTGCTACCGTACCTGCTGGGAAGACCGGTGACAAGAGAGGCAAAGAGGCCAGAATCGGAGGTGAATATGATTTCGAGGGAGAGGGAGAGGCACAAATGACAAACAATACGGTCAGACGAAGCTATGGGAGAACCGAATCGAGAAGGTTGCTCTGAATGCCTGTAATGAGCAAAGATATTGAGGGAGGTAGGGAAAGGTTGGAGAAGCCACAAGGTAGAAGAGATGGTGAGAAAGAGGAGAGCGATGAAGGGAAACCGCAAGAAGGTCCTACGGAAGCATCTTTCACTTTTTACTTAGAGACTTGATTCCCCACCGTACCTGGATCATGTGGTTGATACTCGTTGTGAGGCCCAAAATAGCTGGAGATAAATCAATTGCAAGTAGCTAGTGGCCATTCGTTGAATATTCCCATTAGAGATTATCAGTTCCACAGCTTCTACTCCGTACCTAAGCACAAAGTCTCTATTATACCCAACGAAGCCGATTGTCCAATAGGGCAAGCACAGAACGATTATCAGCCAGCTGTTACATATTACATGCCGGTTAGCTGCAGGATTAGGATGAACTTTTGTCTGGGCCCCCGGTTGATCGACAACAAACAAAGAAAACGCCCAGCCTACTCCGTGCTAGCGGATGCACATTTCAAAAAATTCAGATCTTCATTGGACTCATCGCCTGTCAGGACCTGCGTTGCTGCCTGGTAAGGCGCTTCCCCTGGAGAAAAGGAATGTATGTCCCCGCGATCAAGTTGATTCTTGAAACGATTCAAGTCTCTTTGAGACTCGACCATCCATCCCCGAGGTCTTAAATAGTTCATTTCCATGCTTTTGGCCCTTGATACCTGAGGTCCCGTTGAATCATCACTCAGCTTCGTCAGCTTCTAGAATGCACGAACTTCGTGATTCTCTTCTAGGTGCTTATCCTAGGGGCACTCCTTCTGTCACAACAAGCGACCATGGTCGCAGAGACCGGGAAAGTGCTCGTCAATCTATCGCTCGGGGTGAATTCCAAGATATTCGAGATACGGCCTTCAGCAACCGGACCTGGTTTGTCACCAATCGATACTGCTACGTCGGAGATGGAATACAGACCCTCGAGGAATACATCCATAGCTCGTGGCATATGTACTACGAGCTTGGCCGAACCATCCCCTCTGAATCACCTGAGCATGAGGGTGTGGTTCTCGATATCCTCCGCATCCAAGGGATGGGCCCGTTGACTCGACCCGCCCCGGGCCTGTACGGTGTTGATTTTGCAAGGTTTGCCGATGATACACTCTGGAACGACCTTCCTTTTTTTGTTGACGACCTGACCGATCTCTGGGTCAACAACGGTGGTGTGATGTCAGGAAAACACCGTCTGAATTTCTCAACATTCCTGGCAAAGCTTGCATCCACCCGCGTCGACAAGGATAGGCTGTGCCAAATTGCGCTTCTTGTTTTTCGTTATCTCTTTGAAAGCCCTCAAGCACTTCGCAGTGAGAACGAAGAAGACGAGGAAGACCTCGATCGAGGTATGAAACAGCTTGAGATCATTAACCTCTTGCCATCTGCCGTCGCTTGGTTGAAGATAGCAGGTCATAATCTCCTTTTTCTCTCAGAGGTATATTGGAACCAATGCCCCAGCGACGTCAGCAAGGGTGGCGAGACTTTCCTTGAATCAGAGTTCGGACAAAGATCGCCTTCTGGATTCTCGCCATGGAGATACTTATTTTGGCTGAAGCGACTCAATGAGATTCGGGAAGAAGCTAATAATGCCAATGAAAACGCCCTGGAGGAGCTTGCCAGCGATGGTGTCGATTACATGGTCAACACTATGAAGGAAAGAAACTCCGAGGTCATTGAAGCTTTCAGAAATGGCGGAGATCTTCTGCATCAGGACAAGCATCTTGCATGTCTGAAGCACCTCATATGCGACGACATCTATTTTTAGTCAGAATTCGAGTCGAGGAGTCCAGTCTCTCCAGAGCTTTGATGGAAACATTATCTTCATCTTTATCCAAAGATAGAAACATTCTGGAGGAAACCAAGTTTCTTCACAGTTTTCTCAGCAACATCATGCCTTTGTTTTGATCCTTGACAGTTCACTGAAGGATATGTATTAGCCCCTTTGGTGGTTTTTGTTCGGTAGAAATTTGCTTGTGTAAAAGCGATTGTGAGAACAATGCGATTCTTGTGTTTATTATCCTCTACCACCTTTCTTACCGATGGCTTTGTTGTGAACAATGCTCGATATGAGTCTTTCAACCACATCGGCGTGGAGATATCGAGTACCAGAAGTATAAATTGCTCTTGCTTTCCTCGAGATCAACTCCATCATCAACTCCATCAATCATCTGATAAACAAAAACCAGCTATATCCACTCATCTACTCATATATAACACAGAAACTACCATCTTAACCATTGACCAACATGTCAAACAGACCTCGAAATTGTCGCTGTACCGGGCGTGTGTGCACATGCGGCGCAAGTAGCAGGGCCGGAGCAACAGGACCGGCAGCATCGGCGGCACGAACGGCATCAGCAGCACAACCCCAGACACGAGCTCCGGCACGAAACACACCAGCAACAGCGCTAGCAGGATCGGCAGCACGAGCAGCATCAGCAGCACACCCCCAGGCACGAGCTCCGGCACGAAGCACACCAGCAACAGGGCTAGCAGGATCGGCAGCACGAGCGGCAGCGGCAGCACAAGCCCCAGCACGAGGCACGGCAACAAGACCAACAGGATCGACCTCACGAGCGCCAGCACAGAACCCGCTAACAACAGGGATCGCAGGATTAGCAGTATCAGCAGCATCAGCACCACGAACCCCGGCACGAGGCACAACAACGAGAGCACCAGAAACACGAGCCCCGGTATCAAGCGTGCCAACAAGACCAACAGGATCCGCATCACGAGCGCCAGCACAGGACCCGCTAACAACAGGTATAGCAGGGCTAGCGATATCAGCAGCATCAGCAACACGACCTGATTCACGGAGGCCTTCAGCAGCATCAGCAACACGAACCCCAGCACGAGACACGTCAAGAACAGCATCAGGCTCAACACAACCTCAATCACGGAGGACTTCAGCAGGATCAGCAACACGGGCTCCGGTAAATGGCACGCTAACAAATGGGTCGTCAGGGCCAGCACACCCAGCAGCATCAGCAACCCGGACCCCGGCACCATCCACCCCGAATTTGACTACGCGTTTCACTGAACAACGTCAGAATCTTCAATCCCAGCTACGGAGACTTGCGCAAAACATGACCCGAGCTGATCCAGAGACCATCTTCAATCAAGTAGTGGCTATAAACTCTACATTGGAAGGCCTTTCAGATACCGGGGCACAAATGGTCCGTACCTCCATGAGAGAGGAAGTCTCCAGAGCTGGTCCTGTGTGGTTCTTCTACGACGCATTACCGCGTGCTGGCATCCGTGAACCAATGACTGAATTTAACTGGGCTCGTGGCTACACGGTTAATGCGGTGCAATTGCTGGTCAGGCAACTCATGACCGGTCTTCCAGGTACTGGTGCCGCTCGAACCCTTGAAGAGCTAGCTAATCTCTGGAATATACAGCGAGCATTCCCCACCACTCTTGCCGACAGTACCACTTCGCTTGAGTTCCATGTCAGAGGGTTACATCGGGAACCAAGCTATCGGCCTAGGTAGAGAAGAAACCATCAGGTCATGAGGTAAGTTTTATTCTGTCAGCTTGATACTAATTGGAAACAGAAAAGGGGTTCTTTGGAAGCCCCACTAAAAAAAGGATTAAAACAAAGAAAGACCAAAAAAAGGGAGGTTTGTTGCAATTCCAAGTTCAGATGATACTAATTGAAAACAGAAAAGGAGCTTTATGAAAGCACCACCAAAAAAAAGAGATGAAAAAAAAGAAAGACTACAAAAATATGAGATTGTTGCGTTACCGATTTCAAATGCCATAGACCTATAGAGTACAGAGTAGAGTAGTATGCTGTGCTAAACTTTGATGCAAGTGGGTTATCCCGTTGAGTTAGTAGTTGACCAATAACGAATCCTCCCTGTTGTATTTGTCCTTGACCTAATTCCTCGGTCCAAGGACATTCATTTCCCGCGAGATGGATTTTTGCGGAGTTCTCTGATATCTTGCCCCCAATTCAAACCCCCGCCGTAGCAGTGAACCTTTGATACTTGGGCGGCATGGGGGTTCGGGGCTGTAGTTATGAAGTAAAAGAGTGACTGAATCCCACGTATTAACTAGTCTACTTTCTCTATAGTCCCTTACACGAATTGGATGTGGACTGCAGGGCTCTCCTGGCAATTGCACCATTGTAAGGCTGATATGATTCGTAGTTCCCTCGCATAATCGCATAAGCCACCTGATGTTTATCTTTCCCCGCTCGTGATATGGGAACCTTGGGGGCAGTTCACTTCCCATTCAAGCATCTCTTTTACAGATTAATATCTTTGAGGGCTTCGGGATCTTATTCACTTCTTTTCTACAACCCTGATATAAATCCCTTGTTACCGAGTCTCTACACTCAGAATGGGAGCCGCCGCTTCTCAACCCTTGCCGCTCAGCGAGAAACCTTCCCCGATCAAGAGAGAGGCAAGCGAGCCGGACACGAGTGAGAAGTGCTCCAGCGACTCTCGTATGTCAAGATATCGAAACTCATCGTTTCTTTCTCGGAATCAAAGTTGACAATATCACAGCCCTGCCGCTCTACCCAGTTCAAGAACGAGCCATACCTGTGACGACTGATCGCGTCCAAGAATGGAGCGATACTTTGCTAAGCGATCCAAAGGTTTGAGCCACTTGTAGTATCATCGACTCAACTAGCGACATCTACTAATGAGAGCCCTCTCCTGGCGCGCGAGATAGAACCGCCTGGCGATTGCAAGTTTCGCTGGCCACTCTTTTGCAGATATACTCATCAACAATAATGCCCTCAACCGGGACCAACACATCTTTAATCTCACTGTACCAGTGGAAGGCACTCCAATCACGAACCAGAGGTCTTCCGGACGTTGCTGGCTCTTCGCAGCGACAAATATTTTCCGTGTCCCGTTGATCAAAGCCTATCAGCTGAAGGACTTCGAGCTCAGTCAGGCGTATCTGTTTTATTGGGACAAGATCGAGAAAGCAAATTGGTTCTTCGAGCAGATCATCAGTACTGCCCATGAAGATCTTTCCAGCCGGTTGGTACAGAAACTATGCGAAGACCCGGTCACTGATGGTGGTCAATGGGATATGGCAGCCAACCTGGTGCAAAAATACGGATTGGTTCCCCACACAATTTATCCAGATGCATATCATGCGCAGAATAGCGCGAAGATGAACTGGCTTCTCACTGCAAAGCTGCGAGAGCAAGCTTTGGTCCTTCGCCAACAGGCAAATAAAGGCTCGCACTCTCTAGCTGCTACCAAAGAGAAATTTTTGGAAGAGATACATTCTCTAGTGACTCTCCTGTTGGGACCTCCACCAAGCCCTCACAAGAAGTTTGTTTGGCAATTCTCAGACGCCAATGGAACAGCCCGTGAGGTGCAGGTGACCCCTATTGAATTTGCCCAGCAGGCCTTCAAGCCTCGGTCGATCTCTCGGAGTCATCCAAGTGTCAGTACCAGCCGATTGTTCAGTCTGGTGAATGATCCACGGCACGAGTTCAACCGGCTGTTGACGATTGATAGACTGGGGAACGTGGTGGAGGGAAGACCCATCACCTACGTCAACGTAGATACCTATACCCTCAAGGCTGCCATCATTGCAATGCTCAAGGCTGGACATCCAGTCTTTTTCGGCTGTGACGTGGGCAAATCCTACGATCGTGACCGCGGAGTCTTGGATGCCGATCTCACTGATATCGCGCTTGGATTCAATGTCCCGCTGAAAATGAACAAGGCCCAGCGGGTCGCCAGTGGGGAGTCCTCAATGACCCATGCCATGGTCATCACTGGGGTGCATTTGGAGGGCGAGAGGCCGGTCCGGTGGCGCGTGGAGAATTCGTGGGGCGAAGATGTTGGACAGAAGGGATGGTTCGTGATGACCGACCGATGGATGGACGAGTATACTTTCCAGGCTGTCGTTGACTTCAACTTTGTTCCGGCCAATGTGCAGGCTGTCCTTGAGCAAAGCCCGAAGATTTTACCCCGGTGGGATCCCATGGGAGTGCTTGCTTAAGAGCAAGAGGAGCGTTCAAGTGTCTTGGATCCAGACTCCAGATTGGAACAGCATGTCCGAGACTGTCATTTCAGTGTTGTGATGCCAGCGAACTCGCGCTAAATTACCTCCCAGAAGTATTGGAACATACTGGTAGTACAACTTGCGTATCTTTTCACGCCTTTCACGAATCAACTGAGGGGTTTTCAAATATAGTTTTCCATGACCATTTCCAACATGCATTGGCACATTCTAAATCACCCAGGGGAGCGAATAAAGTAGATATTGATCCGCTCATGCTAGTGATTTTGTCCCAAATTTGGGGTGCCCCCATGTAATCTCGCCGTCTCAAAGTCTTGGGATCTAACTGCTTGTCAATAACATCTCGAGGACGAGACTGGAGCAAGTAGTATCGAGTGTTGCGTATAGCTTTAATCAGTTCTTTAATCGGTTGCACGAGAAGTAGAGTTGGGGCGAAGGCAAAAGATCGAAAGGAGTAAGACGTTGTCAGGTGCCCACCGAAAGCGTCGGCTTGGCGCTTGGAGCTCCAATTCTCCCTGCCCTGAAAGATATTCTAAACTCCGCATCCCCTTGCATATTACTCGTCATGCTCCAAGTACCAGTGCGGGAACAATCCCAAGCCTCGACTAAGGCCGTGATCTTGGTAAGTGCGCCAAGTGCGTAGGGTTGACCCCCGCCGTAACAAACTGACACCTTGTCAACAGGTCGGAGGCCCCTCCAGAGGTACTCGGTTCCGCCCATTGTCGCTCGATGTGCCAAAGGTATTCCTCCTTACTTGCATTCAATCGCCCGCGAGCGCAAATTGACACTCACGCAGCCCCTATTCGAAGTCGCCGGCCACCCCATCATCCACCACTGCCTAAAGGCGGTGACCAAGGTCCCCGATGTTCGCGAAGTGATCTTGGTTGGATACTACGATGAGACTGTCTTCAGGGACTTCATCAAGGATGCCTCGAAGGAATACCCCCAGCTCCGCATCGTGTATCTGCGGGAGTACACGGCCCTGGGCACCGCAGGTGGACTGTACCACTTCCGCGATGCGATCCTCAAGGGCAAGCCGGAGCGCCTGCTGGTGCTCAACGCCGATGTTTGCTGCTCTTTCCCCCTGGGTGAGATGATGAAGTTGTTCGAGGAGAAGGACGCCGAGGCTGTGATTCTGGGTACACGGGTTTCCAACGAGACCGCCACGAACTTCGGATGCATTGTTTCGGACTCCCACACCAAGCGTGTTCTGCACTACGTCGAGAAGCCCGAGTCGCACATCTCCAACCTGATCAACTGCGGTGTCTACCTCTTCGCAACCGAGTGCATTTTCCCCGCCATCCGCAGCGCCATCAAGCGCCGTACTACCCGACCCCGCCTCCTTTCCTACCCCTCCTCCGATAATCTGGAGTCTTCCTTCATTGCCGGAGAAGATGAGGATGCCGAGAAGAGCGAGGTGCTTCGTCTCGAGCAGGATATTCTGTCCGATCTCGCTGACAGCAACCGCTTCTTCGTCCACGAAACCAAGGACTTCTGGCGCCAGATCAAGACCGCTGGTTCTGCTGTCCCCGCCAACGCCCTCTACCTCCAGAAGGCGTTCCAGGCCGAGTCCTCTGAACTCACTGCCCCCTCTGCCACCATTGTTCCTCCCGTCTACATCCACCCCACTGCCTCCGTCGACCCCACCGCCAAGCTGGGCCCTAACGTCTCCATTGGACCTCGTGTCGTGATTGGCGCCGGTGCCCGTGTCAAGGACTCCATTGTCCTTGAGGATGCCGAGATCCGTCACGATGCCTGTGTCATGCACTCTATCATCGGCTGGAGCAGCCGTGTCGGTGCCTGGGCTCGTGTCGAGGGTACCCCTATTCCCGTCAGCAGCCACTCTACCAGCATTGTCAAGCAAGGCATCAAGGTGCAGAGCATCACCATTCTGGGCAAGGAGTGCGGTGTCGGTGACGAGGTCCGCGTGCAGAACTGCGTGTGTTTGCCCTACAAGGAGCTCAAGCGGGTATGTCTCAATCCTCTAGTCTGATTTGCTTCCAAAAACTAACATTTTCTCTAGGATGTCGCCAACGAAGTCATCATGTGAACTGATTATTCAATTTTTGGTCTTTGATGTTTAAAAATTACACCCTTGATCTTCTTGTCGATACAGCTCCATTCTCTGGTCGATCTCATCTTATCTACCAGTTGGATGATTGTTTGCTTTATGAGCGCAGCCGATTTACAAGATCCTTTGTTCTAATCTTTGGCCCAATTTAAGAGTCGTTAGAATTCTTCATTGCTATTTTTAAAAAATTCCCCATAAGTTTATCACACAAATTTGAGCCATGGAGCGATGGAATCCCTTTCCAGAACGCCATTATGCAAATCCCGATCGTCAATATAAAGGCACATAGCTCTCTATATGCAACATAGTATGAAACATCAAAAGAATCCCGCTTGCTGTCATCGAGGTATATCAAGAAAATTAAACGATTCCTTAGACTTAACGATACATGGCAGGATCATACCCTGTCTGTGCCGCCGGTCTCTGATATGCTGTCTGGTCATGCGATCCGAATCGCACTCTAGGCCTCTGCTGCGAATCTGCCCCAGGGGCATGATCGTAATATTCCTGCGCATCGCCCGCATAAGCATACTCATTACGACCATAGGCACCGTGCTGCTCATATGGTCCAGAGGGCTCGTATGCGCCATGAGGTGCTTGCGCACCATGCGTCGAAGGCAGATCGTGGAAATCATGCATGGCGGGAGTGGCCTCGCTGCGATCGTCCATCTTGACGTCGAAAGCGCCCGAATCATCCAGGCCGGGCTGGGAGCCCATGGCGCCGTAGTTGCCGAAGCGGGTTTCGCGGCGGCGAACGATGACATCCAGCCAAATGGCTGCGATTTGGGCGATGAGGCCGGTTACGGTGAATGTGAACATGGCCTTGTAGCTTCGGCAGACGGTTATGCCAGCGGAGTTACCCCAGGTGGCTGCTGTGCAGGTTGTTGTTATTGAGCCGGCCATGCTCCAGGCCATTAGACCGAGACTGAGGGCCCAGAGGATTGTGAGGATGATGTTAAGGGCGATGGCGAGTTTGGTGGAGAGGCCGCAGCTGCAGTGGATTATGGAGGTGAGAATGATATTTGCGATGGAGAGAGCTGCTGTGACAAGGAGCTAAATGGTGTTAGTTTTAAGATGTTGTAGTGCGGTGGTGTTTTACTTACCACGATGAACGAGTATGGTAGTTTGAAGCCATCGGCATGGAGGTGGTAGATGAATACGGCGAGGATCACGCCTACCACGATCGAGGATAGGAAGACGAAGAAGCGGATTAGATGGAAGGGCAGAGGCGGATACGCCGATGGCTTGACTGAAGGGGACCGCATGGCTGTGGGGGATGAGGAGGAATGAAATTGTTCAGGCCGCGCCCCTACAATAAAGGGTAAACAGCCCATGATCGTCGGCTCCACTTAACACGTTTGGAGCGTACGTCACCCCTATTTTTATCACTGGGCTGTGCGGACTTGTCGCGGTTTCTTAAGAGTCGTGTTTCACTTTACGGTTGATGTAAAAAGGTAAATGAATTGCCACTATTTAAGAGAGCCTCGGGGATGACTTTCGACCCGTGTACTATATTGATCAAGTATGTTTAGGGGTATGTTCATGAAGAATCCTTGCACTTTCCCTTGAAGTCACCTGACTGCTATGGTCGATAAAGTTCGCCCCACAAAAGATGCCCCAGCAACCTGACAACAACTTACTTTCTAGACCCTTTCGAAGCCGCCTCTCCATATTGATAGTACAAAAAGGTAGTATGGCCAAGTTGAGCTGCCACATACAATGTCTGCCTGTTCAACTTGATTGAAATTTCATTTTGTTCGAATACTAAGCTTGTACCACACTCAGAGTCTGAAGGTCCTGTTCTAGGGCTCTGTTCGTGCTTCCAAGGTTGTTGCTGATGTTATTGATATGAGCTTCTTTACATCGACTTATGCACCTGTGGACTCCACAAGCACACAGCACTCAAGACTTATGCCTTTGAAACAGACGTTAAGCTCAAAGTCCACGCATTCCAAGGTTTCGAAGCATTGATGATTTTAAAGCGGCCCAAAAGCTACCTCGGCCGGACACGGACAGAGTTGCAAAGCTTCATCTGACAGACCTCGTAGACCCGGATTAATGTTGAACCACTAATTTGCGATCGATAATTCCATGCAAGTTCAGAGAAAAAGAGACAATGCAATTCTGCTGGAAAGGGACAATCAGTAATTGAAATCCTCATAGATCACGGTCTTCCCAGCAAGCCAATTCAGCACCATCCGCTTCAGAGCAACACCTGCGCAAAGGTACCAACGATCTGCTAGTGTCAGGTCCAGGTCCTCGGCCTGCATTCGTCGCCGCACTAATTGTGTTTCAGATGGCAACCCGTCCCACACCCGCCGATCGGCCCCGTCAAGCCCCGCACCGGTTATAAACAGAGTCGTTGACATGGGCAACTGAGGCCACCGTTGGAAGGTATCACGCACCAACCCTATGTCTTGAACTGGGACTGACCAGAATAGTCGCAGTCGGGACAAATCCAGATCTGGAAGTTGGGCAAGAAGCGGCGTGATACCGATACCTCCTGCTATGAAGGGGGTGATTCCCTCTGCTGTTGAGATTTGGAAGCTGCCCCCGAATCCCTTGAGTGGAACTTCCAGACCTGCCCGCTCATTTACTTGGAACAAGTATTCGGTCACAGGACCGTTCCGTCGGATCATCATCTCGAATTGGTCTTTGGGGATGTCTTGACCGGGGTAAGAAGATACAGTGAATGTTCGAACGAAATCATCGTTCAGGCTGGTTGGGTCACTGTCCCTCATGTGGCTGTATCCCATGTCCAATTCTTCTTCGAATGAGAGTGTGGCATACTGCCCTGCAGTCCACGACGCCGGCACACGGCTGGATATCCGAAATCTAAATCGTTTGATGGACGGTGTTATGCTCTCTTTCTTTATCATCGTTGCTGTCGCATCTGAGACAGAACCCTCTTGGGCGCTAGGAATCTGCCTTTCGCCGATAAAGTATCGCACACTTGGATTATACGGAGATAATTCTCCAGGTATGCCACGGAACGCGAGCCCATTTTGGACGAAGAGTGCGGCGGCGATGGTGACCCGTATAGCGAGATTGGACCTTGGAAGCACAGCGGAAGCTGCTTTGCCAACCAGCAACTCTGTGCGACCTGTCAGGTAGAGCACATTCCCGTTCTCGAAATCTGGCACAACATAGCCAGCCAGTGGTGTGATTTGGAGATTGCCCAGTGTTTGATACAGTCTGTTTCCCGAATACTCAGGGTATACGAGCACAGCGCCACTGGACTCGTTGGACTGCACACGCACGAATCCAGGTGGACCACCTCGGATATTAGTGTCCATATTGATGGTTCCACGAGACGAGGACACAAACATGGTGTCCGCACGAGCTAGGAGCTCAACTGCGGCGGGAATTAGTTGCGGCAGATCGGATATCAGGACGGGGTCAGGCTTTGCAGGCACAATATGCTTCTTGTTCAGATACTTGGGACAATTCCCCATGCTCTCCTCGATGTGGACGACCAACTGCGCCTGCCCGGGATCTGTGTGAGATATTGAGCCCGATTCCATTCTGCCGTACAGCTTTACTCTCTTGCGGTGCTCCAAGTCAATTGCAAGCCCCGAGACCATCTTCCCCAAATAGTTGTCATGCTGGTCATCCCAGTTACCCAGGAGTGATTGGGCCACCGGATCATATTTGGTGTCTATTTGCGTCCGAAGCCCAATGGAGGACTCCGCGACCGGTGCTGCAAAGCCTTCCGTGCCTCCCCATATGGTTGACCACGGTCGGCCTTCAGAGTCGAGTGTCCCCAAGGCGAGGAGTGGGGCTTGTTGGACTAGAAATCCGGCTCCCGGGCTGAGGTACGGGGTGGTGGGGTTGTCTCGCTCGGGGACTTGGAGCAGTCGCTGGACTTTCTCCTCACCCTCGTGCCAAGGCACAGTTTTCGTTAGTAGTGAAGCCATCATTTTGAAGATCAAGAAGACGAGGGATGAGTGAGATAGTAAATAATAAGTATCGCGTCATCAATGACACATCCCACTGCGGGACATCTTCTGAATTTTCGATTTCTAATCAAAGTCAGCTGTCCCTCGACTTCGGTGGCAGTCAAGCCCTGGAGGTCTGGACCTGTAGAGAGTGGTGAATCCCATATGGGCGTACATGAGACCAATCGAATGGGTGCAATGATCGTATTCGCTGCAACCATTTGTAGCATAACATGTACGGAGTAGATTAAAACACATAGGATCAAACACCCTATCTCGAGGAGGGTCCATGATATTTTCGTCAAAGGGTTCGAGTGAGCAACTCGTGCAAGTTGGCAGCTAACGTGGTGAGATCGACAACCCCATCGCGAGCTGTGAATAGTTACCGCCCACCTAATTGCCGGGCCGCGTCGACTTGGTTGCCTCCAAAGTAATTATTTCCTATTTCAATTCCATTTCGCGTTCGTCTCTGCGTTTCTGCATCTATACATCTCTGCCATTCCCTTACAGGTGCAGACAATTGAGGGTGTCACAAATCGGGCCCCGCCTCAAAAACCACCGAAAGCGTAACACCTTATCCACCATCCACCATGTCGACCTACGAAAGTGAGGACCCTGATGATCCCAGAGCTTACCATCGGCCAAGCTAACCTGCCTTCAGTTGAGCACAACACGTCTGACCCATCAACGGCTCAGACCCCGCGCCGCCGCCGCCCTGACCTCTCCACCTTCTTCTCAGCCCTCTCCGAGATCACCCCAGCTCCCGACCACCGACCCCATGCAGTTCCCGTCCCAGGTGATGTGAGCGCAGCCTTCTACTCCCTTGCCGAGGCATTGGAGATGATGCGCCGTGATACCGACTCCACAACAGAAGCGCCAGAGGCCTCTGACGCGGGCACCGATAATGGACGCGATCTGCTGAGCACAATGATCCAGTCGCTGCTTGCGCAGGCGGATACACCACCGCGTGAGGTGGAGGGTGTTTCGGAGGAATTTTGCGATGGTAAGGAGCTCCCCTGGCCTATCGATATGGTCTTGTGGAAACGACCATCTATATCCAGCTCAGTTCGCTGACCAGTACAGTGCTCGACCGCGTCCCCAAAGCGTCACTTAAGGCCTCTGACACATGTCCTATTTGCAATAATCCATTTTTGGATGATCAATACCCGCTCGTTGTACAGTTGCCCTGCCACCCTACCCACCGCTTTGATATGGAATGCATCCGGCCTTGGCTGCGACTGCGGGGGACGTGCCCGCTTGATCGCGTGGACTTTGCGAAGCAGCAGAGAGAGAAAGCGGAGGCTAAGAAGAAGCTTGTCGAGGAAGATGATGAAGAGGAGTGGGATGGTATGTATGGCTGAATCTGTTTAAGAGAAATATGCATACATGTGGACCAAAAGGCGTCCGCTATGTGACTCATAATGAAGTGAAACATGAAGATAGAACAATCGCTTTCTTTTGACTACCTTGGGACGTAGGAGCGTCGACGTAGCCATATTGGAGAATGGGTTTGTGTCAGAAGTAGCATCCAAGGCTATCGCTGACCCTAGATGAGCCCGCAACCTAGAAAGCTTGATACATCTCTATGTCGATCAGTGGTCTCGGTACTACGATGCCTCTTGGCCCTAAATCTTTACTTTACCCACCTGGGCACCATTGACCTTTGAATCGTTTCGTTATTGTGGGGGCGTAACCTACGATGCAATATCTACGCGCGAAGGATATGGACTACGAAGCGCGAATATACACCTATCACTACGGTTTAGCAAGGTACAACACTGGGAATTCTATATGGAATCGCGACTGGATTCGTTCTTTATGGGTACCTAAGTAGTCGACTACTTGACTATGCTTTAGGTACTCCCGGAGCTAGAGTCTATGTAGCAATGTCTACATTTACCCAGTAGCTCTCAAGACCGTCTTCTTTCCACCGCTGGCTACGCCGGGCATCCAGTTCATTGTGAGTAAAGTGAATACCTAGGTATCTACCTATGACCAAGCCTTGTGGTAGCATTCAAGTCTTTCATAGGCAACTGTGAAGCGATAACCTCACCGTCCCTCTATCCCCCTTGTAAGGGTACCCAACGATCAAGGTGAGCCGCCTCGAAAGATATGGGAAGAAATAGAGAGCCAGAGTGGCTCGCTCCAACCATGACCCATGCACTATCCCTACGCGTAGGAGGCATCCAGTCATGGCTTTTGTGTCTTACATCTATCGTCAGCGCGGTGACATTATGATAAGACGGAGGTTGAGCAAGTTGGTGTTGAGGAGGAAATTAATGTTGAGCCCCTTGGAGTCTCATCATGATACTCGACAAGGTGATCCTTCATATTGAAAGATGCCTCCAACAGCCTCAGACGGTCTGTCAGATCCTCGATTGCGAAGGCGGTTCCCTGGCCCGCCTCGACGTCCATGGTACCGTAAGCTCTTTCAGCACCAGGCAGTTTCGGCCAAAACTGCCTAGCTATGTGCTGGGTCCACTCTTTAACAAGAATGATGAGTATCATGATTGCCAGTCCTAGAATTAGTCCTGTGAGGGCAAGTGCAAACGTCTCTGTAGTCGATGCCATGAGATATTTGGTTCGGTGGTGGCACTTACTACCTCCAAGGAAGTAAGTAACAGGTTTCTGTGGGAGATAGTTTTCCCTTGGGGGCAATTTTGAAGAATGCCCAAGTGGTTTTGACGTTCGGCGTCTATGTTTGGACTGTTGATCCAGTGGATAGATCTAGAAGTGAGTCCAAATCAAAGGACTGAGTGATGAGAAATTGTTGCTCAATATGGACTTGTACTTTGTATTTATATGTGCCGATGGAACGATTTCCTCGAGAGACATAGAAATACAGGTAATAATCCCTTTCTGGTGACCAGTACAATGAGCCATTCAAGCAGCACAACGGATTTCAAGACAGTAGCCGAGTAAAGTGTCCAAGACCCAACAAAGGTCTTTGAGAATATACTGAATGGTATAGTTCTCGATACAAAGAACACGACACACGATATTTAACATGCCTATAATTTTGCAATCTGGTGACTTTGAGGCAGTGACTGGAGAGTTCCAATGGAGTTCGTCTTCTGTGTATTGACATATTTCAACACTTTCAAGATAAGTACAAAGAAATACATCAGCTGGTTCCAAGACCTTACGACGATGTTGTGATCAGACATCACTCCAGGGCTTACAACAAGAAATTGCAATCAGATCATGGGCACGGGCATCACTTTTAGAGCAGCGTGCTGCCCAGGTGTGTGTAAAATCTCTCCACAACACCGAGTTTTAGACGGGATCTAGTAAGAGAGCTGTCTAGAAATAAGCTCTTAGTAGTATATAAATGGGCGGTTTCTCAAGTTGACTCTGTATGAAGAAATCATGAGGGCTTGAATTATCTTTTCTTTTTCTACGACGTTTTCAACGGCCTTTTTGTTTTGTATCTCTAGTTTGTCTGTGGTAATGAAGAGAATGCCCATTCCACCTGCCTCGTTGTATGAGAAACCGCATACATGTGGATCAGCAAGTGATTCAAGACTCAATTTCGCACGAGAGACGTGTGCAAAGGGGAACTAAAAGTATTTTTTAAAAAAAAAAGGACTACAGCAAACAAGCAAAGTGCATAGATCAGAGCGGACGAATGAGCGGCCTCTTACTGCGGGCGGAAAATTTACCTCTCCACCTCCAAATCTTTGATCCTTCCCCCTCTCCCCTCTTTCCCCCGCGCCACTTTTTTTTTCGAGAACGCGTTGGTTAATTTGAACACTGCGCTATGGCGGAGAAGCCTCTCTGCACTCCGGCAGAGCTTATGCTCAAGGTCGTCCTTGCAGGAACCCTGAGCCACTATGAAGTTCGAGGCATGATCGACGAGAAACGCTTGGAGCACATGCTTTCCTGCGGAAAGCAGATCTTGTACAAGACACACCAGGAAAGCGATGTTCGGTGCGGAAATGCCCCATGATCTGCTGTATCTTCCCAAGACTGACGTTTTACTTCTAGTCACAATCTCGGCATGTCGTCAGATATCTGGCAAGGCCTTACAAATGTCCTTACGAAAGCGATCCCCGTCCTCGAGTCCCAATCTTTCGCATGGAAAAGCCCCGCCGCCAGCTACGAGCACTCTTCCTCCAACCTTATCGCCTACAATTACCTCTCTCTTGTCAAGGATATCGAGCGCCTCAATGATCTGTGTACTATTGCCCGCAACCTCCTCGCCACAACCAAGAAGGCGCAAAATCTGGCAGCGGAGACCGGATTTGACCAACGGATCCTTGCGCTCATCGATACTTGTGTTCGGGTCACGGCGCGGGGATTTGATGGCGAAACAAATGCGCGAAATGAGGAGCGATGGCAGAAAGTGGTCAACCTTTACAAGCGGCTCTTGATTACATGCCTTCAGTACCTTCACAACTTCATTATGCACAATGAGCACCGCAAGATGGTTCTCTGGCTGGACCTCTTTGGCTATCATTCAACCGCTGATACAAACATCATCAAGCCAAAGGAGCCCTTGGACGATGCTAGCTCCCGGGAAGGGGTTGCGCCTATTGTTCAGGTTGGAGAGCGTGTCATCAACCCGCCCATTCGTGCGCTTTACGATCAGACTGCGGAAGATCTCTTGCTAGAAACCATTGCCAAGTTCCCCCGGGAACCCGCCACCATCAAAGAGGAAGCCGCGATGCTGCTCTTGGCAAACATTAAGGATCACATGGAGCGAATCTTGGGTCGGGATCTCAGTGCTATTCAAGAAATGGGAAGAGATCCTGATCAGGTAAAGGATATCCGAGCCGCCTTGACCGCGATACTAGGAGCGAAGGTTGATGGGTGGTCTGATCTCCAGGAACGTGCCCGTGAGCTTCCACCTGCGCTTCACGAAGATGAGCACGATGAACCAGAGGAACAAGAAGAGGAGGGACATGTGGACCACAGTGGCCACCAGGAAGAGGAAGAGGAAGAAGACCACGAAGTGACCAAGAAGAAAACCATCTTGACCATCGATCGCAGTCTCACAGCTGGCTTCCCTCGTTTATGCTGGGCCGATCTTCCGGAGATCAACGAATTTGGCGCCGTGGAAGGACCAGTCACCGATGAAGATACCAGCATGCCTCGATCCTCCCAATCTGCAGCGGAAACTTTACAAGAGGCCAAGGATGAGCTTATGGCTCGGCTTCAAGAACCATCACACATTGACGGAGACGAGGAGCATGATTATGACCATGGAGATGCACACACTGTGGGCGACGATGACTCGCGCAGCCTAGAGGCTATGGCCGATGGCAGCGTCGACGGGGACGGCGAGGACGATGTGGATGATGACGGCGAGGGGGATCCAGATGACGACGAAGAGGAGGAAGACGATGAATACCGTGGCCGTCCCGGTGATCAACAGCGGGGACTTTTGACTGATATCCCACTGGTACTCGGACCCGCTGAAATCGAAGCTTTGCCTATGATCGTTCAGGCCGGTATCGTTGACAGCTTTGGCCTTAAGGGCGGAGAACGCACGGGGTCTAGAAACATGCAAGCTCTCCGATGCCATATCTTGCTCACCCAGGAGACAGGGCGCAATCTGCTTCGTGAACTCTTGATCTTCATTGCGGCGTGGGATTTGCCTGACGATGAACTTTATTTCAAGATGATGGTTCAAATTATGGAAGCAGTTCTCAAGAACGGACTCATGTCTCACGCCTACTCCGACTTTGGCCAACCCAAGGACATCATCTCTCCCGCACAGGCTGTGGTTATCAAGATCCTCACTCACATCTTCCGATCCAAGTATTCTCCTGCTTCGGTTACAGGTTCCGCCCAGCCAAACATTCCTCGCAGTCCCAGCTCTCTCAATCGGGTTGATATTCTTACCGTTCGGTACATCTTTACGATCTTCCGTGGCAACATCATTCCCGAAACCTGTGCTCTGATCTACCTCCAAGGCCAGATTCGTGCTGAGCGAGCCTTGTCAGAGGACTTCCCTCTGAATTTGTGGGATATGGAGCGTGTCTATGAGGGTGTTTATCAATTCTTGGAGTTCTTCGCTGTTCTCACTGAAAACAATGACTGGAAGAACCTGCTGGTCAAATGGGAAATTGTCTATGACTTGGTGACCTTGATCAAAGAGCTGGAAGCAAGCATCCCCAAGGGTCAATTGAGCCAGTTGTCCTTCGGCGCTGTGCCACCGCCGCCCCCACCACGCAGCGATACCGCCAATGACGCCTCCAGCTCGTCCCCTGCACCCGTTGCCGTCGAGCGCCCCTACGATCCGAGCGACCCAGATCCTGTCGACAACGGAGCTGGCAGCGTTGACTCACGGCCTGAATCGCCCCCGATCACCGAAGATCCTTCAGAATTCGAATGGCGCAACCTCAAGAAACTGGTCGTGCTTGTACTGTCCTCGCTGGTGTGGAAGTGCCCGGATGTTCAAGAGCAGATCCGCCGCTACGGTGGTGTTGAAGCAATTCTTTGCTGCACTGCATTCGACGCTCACAACCCATACATCAAAGAACATGCCGTCATGTGTCTTAAGTTCTTGCTAGAGGGCAACCGTGAGAACCAGCGTCTGGTGGAAGAACTGGAGGCCCGTGAGGTTGTGAACAAGGATGGTGGCGTGCTGGAGAAGGCTGGTTATGAAGCAATGATCAACCAAGCCGGCAAGTTGGCCATTCGGCCCAAGCCTCGCGCCGAGGAAATCCCATGAAATTACGTGTGAACGCTGTACCGATAACTGTACAGATAACGACCTTTTACCATAGCGAAATCAAATGAATACAAGACTTCTTCTCACGTACCTTGGTTTGCTATTTACCACACAGTAACAAAGGCATTATTTGAACCCTAGCGAAGAGACATGGAGTGAAAGACAATCACCTCTGTGGGTGGAATAGTGACATTCCAGATTTATCCATTATAAGACTGCAGTGGGTTTTGGAATCAAAATCAATTAGATACAGGCCGCCGGACTGAAAGCCCTACTACATCCCGAAGGTTATCCCAAAAGCCGAGGTCATAGATGTTGTCCACATCCTTCATGCTATGGAGACGCTTCCACCGTGGATCGGGTGGCACGTCTGATCCCGGGCGATGCGCGATGCAGTTTGAGTTGGACATCAGCAAGCAACCCTCGGTCGGAGGATCCTCATCGGTGACAAGTATCTGATCTGTGTGCACCGGCCACGTCTGGTCATGAGGATCCGTGGGAAGCGGATTTTCAAAGATCAGACTTCGCTTTGTCTTGAATACCAAGCCATCTTCCACGTCCTCTTTCCAATCAGTCCACTTAGAGCTCTCATTGGTAGTTGTACCAGCCCAGATGAGATATGTATGATACGCCAAAAAGGAGATCGCCAGGGGGCAGTCATCACCATCAGTAGGAACACCGTTCCAATCCTTGGATAAGTGGCGACCAAAACACTCCATGTGTTAATCCACACTGTCCAGCCTTGCATGGCGATTTTGACCTCTGGTGGAGCTAGCTGGTCTAGCGATTCGGATAGCAAGGATTTCCCAAGGTAGGACCCGTAGATCAGCATGACAGAGAGGGAAACCAGCAATGAAATGAAGTACACGCAGTTGTTGGCTCCAACACAGTTCATTAACCAGACACAGTGGTGATCATGTCGAGACACACATGCCTGACAGAAGCTGCAATGTTTGCTGCGCGCTGGTTTCAGAAAGTCACAAGTACTGCAACGATGGCCTGGATGGAAGAGGACTCGATCGTAGGGATAACGCCTCATCTCTTCTTCATGATTCTCATCTGTGATGAAGGATTTGGTCACCACGCATTTGTACAGTAGTACATATGGGAAAGTGATGGCGACAGGCACCCAGAATCGATGAAGGCTCGACAGTCGAGGCCACGCAGCCGGGACGAACACAATTTCTCCAATCACCATTAGAGATGTAAAGAAAATCTGATAATAGTCAGCGTTGGGATAAGGAAATTAGGGGGCTTGTGGTTCGCACCAGGACGAGCGGGTGGTTCTCCTTCAGGATGTAACTGCCAGATCGGTTCCAGCATCGCATCACCCTTCCCCCACACAACCGATCGTCAACAACGGCAATACCATTGGGCAGATATACCCAAAGTACGCGGTGAAGGAAAGCAACCGGTGTTTTCCTTGGTCGGTCAGCAGAAACGTATTGAGAGATTCGCGGTACTCCTTACCTGAAAGCCGGCAACCTGCCAAATAGTGCGATGAACGTGAACAACGAGATCGCCAGGATCACCAACGCCACAGTTCTTAAAGCCCCCATTTCTCAAGAAATTTCCTCGCGAGCCGCAGATGGTCGCTTATTCACTCATTCGGACCTGTGATGCAAGCTTACTTTGAGGGGTTAAGCATTCAACGCGTCCTCACGAGTCGTCGGTTTTGTGTACACCACGTGACCGCGTCTTTCGTTCCGGTGCTGTTCTCTTCGAAGATTCTTCAAAGAGCAAGACTGAATGAGCCCTTTCTGAGGGTTGAAACTTTGATACCACGTCTGGCTACAGCCATTCTACATCAGTGCACGCGAACTTCTTCACGACACGTCAACACGTGATATCGCGTCCAACAGGGGTCTATACTGCGCAACTTTCAGTGTCAAATTTGAATCTTTTCCGTTGAATTGGTGCTTGACCTGCCGAGATGTCTTCAACTGCCAATCAATCTCTATCTGTGAATCCCCCAACGCTCTTTCGGGGGCGCGGTTTTGGCTAGCTCAATCAACTCCACAGAGGCAGAAGTTCATCAATGACATACAGGTACTTCCTAAGTCTCCTTTTGAGCCTCATTGAAATCATACTCTAATGACTATTTAGAAACATGGCGGCGTTGTTGTATTAATGTCAGATGACGCGGACGTCAAGCTTGTGGATCACAAGAAGAAGAACCTCCCTCATGACACGTACAGTCCCTTAATGGTTCAAACTCAGTTTTACATACTGACTGAAGACCAGATTCTCCTATCAATATGTGGAACGATCTATCGCGAAAGGGCGACTTGAAGACCTCGAAGCCCACAGGGCAGGTCCATCTGCACACCGTCCTATGGGTGCATCAAATATCCCGATCAAAGGCAAACGATCATCTTTCACCCAAAGAGATGACCAAATCCTGTATGATTGGATTTACCATTTTGGAAAGAGCCCAGGGGCACCAATTCAAGGAAATAAGTTCTATCAGGACTTGGCTGAATATGTGAGTAAACCCTAATGTCGATGTGTGGCCGCATGTTAACACGCTGGTGATAGTTTCCCAATCACCCATGGCAGTCCTGGCGAAGTAGGTATACAAAGCACCTGGCTCTGAATGCAAACAAACGTCCAGGTGGTGGTGTACCTCAATCCCTTGAAGAGATCATACAGTGTGCGCCGGCCAAAGACAAACACCCCAAGATCTTACCAACCCGTACTTCCGAACCCGTTCCTGTGGTCAAAACCGGAGCAAATGATCTGGAATCCGCACCTGCCTCAGATAAAAACACCATGGGTACCCCAAAACGCAAGCGTGATTCAATTCCAGAGCCGCCCAAACAAATTCGGGTTGAGGTCTCACCTTTCAAGCGACGAGCTATCGAAGCATCCGTGGCCGCAGACTCTCCTTCACTTCCACCTCACCGTGAAACCCAGCGCCGCCATCCACATCCACAACCATCAACGATGACTACACCACCCACCCGCCGCGCTGGTTCACCAAAGGACTCGCCCAGCACCTCCAATTCAAGGTCAAAGCCAATCGAAGGTCTAGGGATTCCAGAACTCTTTCCTCCACAGATCCGGCAAGAACAAGCATCTCCCCCTACCCGCGAACCACATCCGCCCCCAAAGCATGTGACGAAAATCTCAGAACCACTTCCCCGTCCACCGGGGGACAATGCATTTGCAAGGTTTGCGAGGTTCAAAAAGCAAGAAGCACCCCCGAGACCGCCACCAAGCGATCCTTATAAGGATAATTTCGACCCTGGTTTCTTAGAGCTGCCATTCCCCCCGTCCAGCTCGCCACCCGAGCCTACCGAAGACGATGTATCAGAGACGCCCGATATAGACAGCTGGATCGACGCACGACTGGCTCGAGGCGCGGATGAATCACACATCTTCGACGCTCTGCGCTGCACAAGCATGGAAATGGAAATGGCTGACAGAGTACTCAAGCACCTCAGTGCTGGGAAAGGCATCCCGAATAACATGCCTGGTGTCTGGACGACCGAAGACGACGAGTGCTTCCAAGCAGAAGAGCACTCGAAAGTGCAGCGTGCCTTATCAAAGCATGGTGCTGGGGCGTTCAAGGCAAGATGGGAGTATTTCCGCTTAGCTCGGGAAGGGGGGATTAATGAATGACAACCTGACGAATTTGGGGGTCAATGTGGCGTGCACAGGGAGAACGATTGAAACAACATGTGATTGTGATTGTAAAATACACCAGAGTTAGCTTATTGCTAGGCATGAAATACTCCCCGAAAACTCCTGAATTCCAGAACGCAGAGATAATGACACTTCAGCAAGGAACACGAAGATTGGGTATTCATCCCCGAAACATTGATAAAATCACCAGGTCAGCATAAGAACGGTCCACTGACGGGTTTTGGATCCCAGATTGGGTGAGATGTAGAGCCTGGTAGAAGAAATGGCAAGAAGATTTCACAAGAAAGCGGCATCTCGAAGTGAGCTTGAGGCTCCTCCAGATGCTATGCGATATTATCCTTCGGTTTACTCGTCGCCCTCGCCTTTGAACACACTATGAAAATGTTAGAAATGCGTTTCCAACTTAATATGGACAATTAACTCACAGGTGTGATTCGTAGAATTCGAGCATCTTGGTTGAAAGTCAGTTCAGGTCATGTAATGCGCTGTGAAGAAGAACATACCTTCTTGGGACACTTTTCATAGCATGCTCGAACGCTCACGCGGGCAGTCTTTCCGTTGTTGAATAATAGGTATGCGAAGAGGCCCTCGTCCTTCTCCCCTCGCATGATGGTGGAGACCTCTTTGAGTTCCTTGTCCCACTTGCCCTTGGGCAGCCAGTTGCCATCGTCGTCTACAACCTGAACGGAGTTCTCCTTCGCTTTATCGGCCACTTTCTCGAGCTCTTTTGTCGCCGCCGATTTGCGGCCTCTCTTGGCGGCGGGGACTGGAGTCTCATTTAGTGTGGCGGGCTTAGAGCTCGATTCCCCCATGGACTTGCGCTTCCTACCCGGCTTGGGCTTCTCTGTTGTAGGCCGCTCGGGGCGGCCCCCGATCTTGGCGTAGTACTGAGTAAGGATCTCGGATGCGCCTTCCCTGATTGGGTCGGTGAATGTACATGACAATGTTACAGACGGAGAGACCTACATCAGGTTCTCTTCTTCTTCCCACGTATGGTCCTTGATAGCATCATAGCCTTGCCATTTGACGAAGAGCTTAAGGGTACCCTGCGACTCGGTTAATTCACTGAGAATGCGCAACGAGAGTGAGCGTGCGACATACATCATCTAGCCAGTCGTGTCTGACGATCTTTTCAACCACATAGCTGTGACCTGTTAGAGAAAATGTGAGGAATTGGTTGCGTGCGCGGCTCACTTCTCCTCGTCGTCATCGTCATCCTCTTCGTCGCTGTCTTTGTTGTCACCGTCCTTTTGCTTGTCATCAAGATCTTCCGGCGCGTCCCTGAAAGGAATATCACCAGACTCTTCCTCGGACACGTCCTCAACGGGGGCTGGATTGGGAACGAGTCAGCTAAGATGCGATGATCACCGCGCGCGCGCGGAACGTCAACATTCGGGGAAGGCACTCACGAGGCATCGTGTTTTTCGAAGGAGTGATATAGGAAGTTAGTTTGGAAAACAGCTTGGCGAGTGAAAGCAAAGACCCCAATTGCAATAGAGTCGAATCAACCGCTGTCGCATTGGAAGCGCTGGGCAAGAAGCAGAAACGCGTGAAGGCGGACAGAACACGCTATACTCCTTTGGGTAGTCAGAATTTCATTTGTCAAAAGTGCATTTCGGGAAGCTCTCAACCCCTCATACAAACTTGCTGTGTGCTTTTTGTTGTCGCTCACTCTTTCTTTTTATCTTTTGGCTTCCTACTCGGAGCTCTCTTTTAATTCTATCTATTCTCTGCCAGGTGGCAGCCCACCGTCAACATGGCAATGCGTAAGACTCCGTACCCCTCATTCTTGCAATCTACTGTGGCTAACTATGTGGACTGATTAAACAGAGCTTGACATGTCTCAAGGTGATTACCTCCGGAAGAAACGCTTATTTTCGAATCGAGTCTCGGTTGCTGACACTCAGGGGTAGCTTCGGTCCTGAAGGACGAACAGGGACGGCCGTTTATCGTCGTGCGCGAGTATGTTCACCGCTATCTTTACGGCCATTCGCAAATGTGGCTCCCGAATTCGAAATATGAGGCTGACGGGGCTTTTGTGATAATCTAGTCAGGGCAAGAAGAAGAGACAGCACGGCACCGAGGCTGTCAAATCACACATCGTTGCTGCTAAGACAGTTGCCAGCATTGTCAAGTCTTCTCTGGTATGGAACACAACAGGCGTGGGGGGAAACAACTTCTAATCAGTTTGTCTAGGGTCCCCGTGGTCTCGACAAGATTCTGATCTCCGCCGACGGCGATATCACCGTCACCAACGATGGCGCTACCATTCTCGGACAGGTTCGACCCCGATCCCCTATTCCCCCGGAGTGCACAATTGCGGTCTCAGAGACTGACGCTATGGATTTATTCAGATGGATATCACAAACAACGTCGCCAAGCTACTGGTCGAGCTTTCCAGGTCTCAGGATGAGGAGATTGGTGATGGTACAACCGGTGTTGTAGTGCTGGCAGCTGCCATGTTGGAACAAGCCTCGGACCTTATCGACAAGGGTATTCACCCTATTCGGATAGCCGACGGATACGACCAGGCCTGTGAAATTGCTGTTGCGGAGCTCGATAAGATCAGCGACGAGATCAAGTTCAGCCGCGAAGATACCTCCAACCTCCTCAAGGTCGCCAAGACCAGTTTGGGCAGCAAGATGTATGTGGTAACGGCTCATCTGGCTAGCAATTTATTGACAATTATTGCAGTGTCTCCAAGTCCCACGACCAGTTCGCCCAGATCGCCATTGATGCCGTCCTGTCGGTTGCCGACTTCGAGCGCAAGGATGTCGATTTCGAGTTGATCAAGGTCGATGGCAAGGTCGGTGGATCCCTTGAGGATTCTCTGCTTGTTCACGGTGTCATTGTGGACAAGGACTTCTCCCACCCACAGATGCCCGACGAGGTGCGGGATGCCAAGCTGGCTATCCTGACCTGTCCCTTCGAGCCCCCCAAGCCCAAGACCAAGCACAAACTCGATATCACATCGGTTGAGGAATTCAGGAAGCTGCAGGACTACGAGAAGAAGACCTTCACAGAGATGATCCAGAAGCTGAAGGACTCAGGTGCCAACCTGGTCATCTGTCAATGGGGCTTCGACGATGAGGCCAACCACCTTCTCCTCCAGAACGACCTGCCCGCCGTTCGCTGGGTTGGTGGGCCCGAGATTGAGCTGATCGCTATTGCCACAAACGGCCGCATTGTACCACGATTTGAGGATCTGAGTGCCGAGAAGCTCGGTACGGCTGGTAAGGTCCGTGAGATGAGCTTCGGAACCACAAGAGAGAAGATGCTGGTGATTGAGGAGTGCGCCAACAGCCGTGCTGTGACTGTTTTCGTTCGTGGAAGTAACAAGATGGTAAGCGAGTCTCGTGTAAACAAACAGTCATTCAAATTCATTGCTAACACGCTATAGATCATTGATGAGGCCAAGCGATCACTACACGATGCTCTTTGCGTCGTCCGCAACCTTGTCCGTGATAACCGTGTTGTCTACGGTGGCGGTGCTGCTGAAATTGCTTGCTCTCTCGCCGTCGAGGATGCCGCCGCCAAGAGCCCCGGCATTGAGCAATATGCCATGCGCGCCTTCGCTGATGCGCTGGATGCTGTTCCCCTGGCCCTCGCCGAGAACTCTGGTCTGAGCCCCATTGAGACTCTTGCCTCTATCAAGTCTCGCCAGCTCAAGGAGAAGAACACCCGTCTCGGTGTTGACTGCATGATGACCGGCACCAACGGTAAGCCTTCTGAAACCTGCCATGTACCAGTCCCATTCAACTGCTAACTTTCTCTCAGACATGCGTGAGCACTTTGCCATCGACCCCCTGATTGGCAAGCGCCAGCAGCTTCTGCTTGCTACTCAGCTTTGCCGCATGGTTCTTAAGGTAAGAACTTCCTCCCGATCCGCCTCCGTGCTCTCCGCTAACAACATTCAAGATCAACAATGTTATCATCTCTGGTGATGATGAGTCTGAGTTCTAAACTACTCAGGTTAATTCAAATCACGATGATAAAAGAAAAAAATGATGATTCTGGTTTGCTCGCTATGTAAAAACATGGTCCCTTACATAGAACCTTTTTAGTTGCAATGAAAGCAAAAAGGATTGATAATGTCTCATTTTTCACGGCCAACATGTACTACTTGACAATACATCTCGATGATCAATATTGCATTTTCATGAAGCTTGTCCGTGGAACATTCAGTAGGTGTGGATCAACTCGGTGAATCTGCACGCTCGCATCAACCAACACAGCAAATCGATTCGCAGCTTCGACACCATATTCTCAACTCATCAATACATGTAACATCTGCGCGTTTGCAGGTTATGACCCTTTTTGGACGGCACGAGATCGGCTCCCCTCTACATCTCGTTCATCTCACCCATTCCCCGCGGCACCACAAGATAATTCGATCGATTATAACCAAGCAAGCTGAAAGCCGAGACCGAATAATACAATGTGAAAGAGGCCTGGGTATTGGAATGAGCCTATCAACGAAGTTCATATCACCAGGCAGACCATTTTCCGCGGAGATCCGTGCCTCCATTCGGGTTCATCTGGGTTCGTCTGTGTTCACGAGGGTCACCCGATATGCCGAGGAACACTAACTTGCCCAACGTTTTCGTCTTATGAATCCCCATGAAACATATCTAACTTGAACCTCGGTGCGCGCTTGTGGGGTATCTATCATCTTGTTCGTTTCTCAATAACGTTATTCACGCTTATGGGCGAACGCAGGTAGGTAGCCGGTGACCTGTTTACATCATGGGGATCTACACTGCCATGTTACCCAGATACGAGAATCGGCTTTTCACCTTTTCAAGAGGTGTGGATTGGGCGATCGCTGCATATTATGAACACCTGAATCCGCGCATTTGGATTAAGTCATGATGATATATCAAATGGTTGATGTGTTGGCAGTTTGTTTCCGATCACAATATATCCAAATCGGTGCTTGAGATTGTCACATTATCAATTTATACATCGACACCATACCTAGGTAGTGGTTTCAAATAAATCATGCCATCGTGCTTGTATATGTCGAAGTAGACGATACCCGATCGCGATAGTACGGGAGATGGTGGTCATCTGCAACAACCCCTTCTGCAAAGGCGTTTGGCTACAGGTCATACAATACAGAGCGAGAAGCAAGCCTCTACCTAGGTAGGTTATTCAGGTAAGTCTCAATGAGAGTAAGGGAACAGGCTCGTTGTTATCATGTAGTTTACATTTCGACGCATCGAAGTGACCTCGGGACGTGTCGACCTATGGGACACACTGGAGACGAGGCATACGTACCATCACTACAAACACTCAAGAATTATAACAGTTTGTTTTAGTCAACGGCCTGATCAAAATTATGCCGTGGATGGCAGCCGCGTAGCCAGTTTTGATCCGGTCAACTATGTGTACACCTGGTTCCCGTCTAACAATTCGATCGCTGAAAACTCCTAAAATTTGAAGGGTTGTGTTTGACAGCTTTTTTTCCCACCCGGCTACTATCTTGTATAACAATGCCGTTTGATCTTTAGCAAGTCTCTAACTCAAGGATTAAGAGTTTGATTCCCTGGTTTCACAATGCATGGAAGTACCACCCTGGTTCCCCGCGACTCGTGGATCACGAAATTCAGAAAATTCCTATAGCTGGGGCTCGACTGGGGCCGAGAAAGGCCTAGGCTGGCTCTGTTTTGTTCCCGTTTGGCTTTTATTCTTTATTCTGTATTCTTTATTCAAAGCAATAAATTACAACCAGAGTTTCCGGCTTTCTTTTCACGTGCAAATGCCGGGACATTTAGGCATATATCTCAACTCGGACGAACAACTCTTCTCTTGTCTTTGGGATATCATGAATAAGTTTAGTGAATGTCCGTAGGGTTTTCGGTATAGTGTTGGCCAGACCCAGCACATCCAAGGATATGCCACCACTTGTGCGTCGTGGCTTGAGACACTGGCTGCACTACGAAATATCTGACATTGCAGCTTGTAATAACCTGCCGATATTACAAAAGATTATCCGAGTCGCGTCTAGACAGATATGATAGCTCTCTCTCGTGGCATATTGATTCTTCACCTGCATTGACAATCCCTCGTTTTACATAATATCTTGTGTCAAGGTACATGGATTACACCCCGTAGCATAACAATTTCAAGTATTCCGTGGGCTGCAGCAAGTGGATGTAACAGATGTTACTTGTTGGAATATCTGGGGGAAAGGACAGAACCGCGGACACCTTGATAGAATTCAACTTTGACATCACCGTCTGTAGGTACGTCAACAGCCTCCAGGACTATTTACTTTGCTTATCAATGTACCTGGGTGTGTACTTGTGTACAAAAATATGTAGCGCTCTTGTTTGAACTCGTGCGGCGGGCCGAATGCAAACCCGTCGCTGCGGTGTGAGCCGGCTGACAGGTACCATAGAGCTTCAATCTGGCGCCCATTTTCGTCACCGGGGCGATATTGCAATCCGTGAGACCTAGATCTCGACTTGGGTTGTTTCTCTTTCCTTTGTTGGTAAGCTTCGGGTCGAGATATCGAGATTAGCATATCGTTGTTCAGCCGTAGCGGGTTCTATTTGGTGCCATGCCGACTTTTGTCATTTCAAATAGGACTGGAATATATTGCATGGTACAATGCGGAAGAGGCTATGTTTTACTTGGTGCATCTCTTGTGGTAGCTGAGTTAGCCGCGCTATCCTGAGATAAATCTATGCCACACTAGATAGTTTATGTCCGCCGTTCAGATGACCTGAAGTTCGTTCCCGTGTGGGATGGAAATTGAATGCGAGAAGGGGCAGACTCCGGCCAGAATCAACATGCTGGTATTTTTGGCCGTTTTTTTTTTGAGGACCATAAGTCATTAGATTTAGTCTTACTGATCCAAACATCAAGATCGTCGTGTTGTCCCCGTATGCTGTAGTCAATATCATTGACGTGGCCTACATTACCAGAGCAAATTAGGCTTAGAATTTAGAATGAGCCTATTTTTCCTTTCTCTCTCTCTTATTTTCTGGTACTATAGAATAACACATAGTTTGACCACACATAAAAAGGTCGTTGAAACGCTGCTAACGCCTCAGGACTTGGAGTAATCATCATACTTCTGCTATGCATACTGCGCATCTGTTAGCGACCGACACATTTGAGAGCTAATTTGATTCGATAGTCGCAATATTCCTGTCGCTTTGGGTGTCATTGAATCTTCCTCGTCGCCTTTTCCTGATACAACATGCTTCCCGCTTCCAGATGCAAAAAGTATACCTTCGATATGCACCATGTGTTCTCTCAAAACGGCACTGGAGAACCAGGTGCTCCAATTAAGCTGAATAGTGATTGGCGAATTTGTGTAATCTATTTGCGTCGAGTCAAAAAAAAAATGTTCAATTCTCAATACTCTAGTTTCGGTTAAACTTTGATGTTGTGTTGAATCCCTGGCCGGAAGCGGCCGTAGGGGTCTTACTCCCCCGGATTTCGACTGCTTTGATGCGACTTTGAGAACTGATTATGTGATTCCGTATCAATTTTGGTACTCTTGGGATGTATTAGAAAATAACCAGTTTGTAAATGTTTCAATCCAGAATTTTTTCCAACTGCCAAGGTTACTCCGTACGTATATTAACGTCAGGCTGCACAATGACCACCTCGGGAACTTTGGAAGTTTTCAAGAGCTATTTATTCCGATGTGACAAATGGAATGAGTTTTGACACATAAACTGAGCTGATGCTGGGGATTCTTTACTCCGTATGTATACCTTGGAAGACACATCTTCTCATCGAATTTGAGACATCATGGGCCCAGGATCTCGAGAAAAGCCACGGCTGATGAAGAAACAGGAACCTCCATCGAATAGTTTATGACCATGACCACACCATTCGATGCATAGACAAACATATCCTCAGATAGAGATAGTTTCAGGTACTTCCCCGTTTGGCGCCTGGTGCCTTAATCGGCAACAGGGTAACCCTGAAAGACATGCGCGTGGCGCCCCTTCAAAGACCTCGGAAGCTGCGGTGACCATCTGGACACGAAACACCTGGGCATGACGGTAGGATTTGTATTCAACACGAGGGTCTACCTCTTACAGGAAGAGGTCACATGGCTCTTATGGTGCCAGGGATAAGCAGTCAACGACAACATCTAAGACTATCGCGCGCCACAATCACACCGAGAGACACCGAGGTACGATGATTGAATATTGCTTTGTTCACAGCCGCCACAACCGTTCTTGGCAGGAAGAAGGAAAAAGCAAAGCGAGCTGTCAGGAGATAGCCGCCCTAGAGCCACCGGGCGGTGCCTATGGCCAGACGCAGTCATCTTCTGAGCAGGACTCTATTGGCTAGCTCTAGAATCATGCGAACATTCGGCGTCAACTATTTTGAGGGCCGGCAGATAAAAAAAAAAAGTTTAGATCCCGACCTCTTTTATAGGTGGTAAGCTAAAGGATTTGCAGTTGATCTGTAACTACTCCGTATGGCCGTGGGAGTTGGGCTAGTCTTGGATTGTTCGGGTTGGGGTTGTTTTTGAACAAGTTCGTAAGCTATGAACTGTCCCGTGATACTCCGTACGCAGTTCAACAAACAACAAAAAGCAAATTCTTAGTCTTTGAAGCCCTGGACTACATATTTAGCCTTGTGCACCATGGCAAGCGTTAATATCAGCATTACGAGTCATGTCAAGGATGATTGGAGGCACTGGATCAGGGGTCTGGGGAACTGACAAATAGCTAATTCTTTACTTCGTACGGAGTACAAACACATGTAACAAGCCAACTTACTCCATGCTCCGTACGGAGTACGGAGTACGATAACAATAATCAAAAGAGACTGAGTCATAGCTCACATTCAATGTTCAATATGCATCTCTTCTGGGTGATTTGATTTAGTCACCCCGTACCCCCAGAAACCATATATAATGACGAGGTGGCGGATGAAGCCTTTGGGCCAAAATACTTCGTGCTGTACGAAATAGAGAAAAGACCCTT